AATATCAAAAGTAAATAATAGGTTAGAGAGATAAATATTGTTACTTATTTATATAGATGATGTAATCCGTTATGGGCCATATTGGACCCAAAATTTGTTTATCGATAAGGGCCGAACTAGGAACGATATTAAGTTTCGTAAATTGGAAGCCTTTTTACATTTTTCAAAAATACCCTATTTTATTTTCTTTTAAACAACTAATTTAAAAATCTATATATACATTTTTGGAGTACACTTAGCAAATAAATCCTGGAGTTTGAAAGTATTTACGAAGCAATGCCACTGGCATTAATTATTTAATTTTGAAATTTAAATCAAAGATAAATTACCAAAAAAATCTTAACAAAATATCTTAATCATAACTAATCCTTTCCATAATATCGTAAAGATATTAATTAATTTTGACAAACCAATTTTTTTAAGTAATTCATTTTTTTAATATATTTATTTTAATTTACATTAATTAAATTATGGTTACTATTCGTTATTTGACAAACTCATTTTGCTATATTACTTATTATAAACCAAACTCATTTGGCTATAAATAATTTGTTTAGTTATAAATTAGATTAACTCCAAAAAAACATTATTACCAAATATATAAATATTATTTATGTCTATGGAATAATATGTTATTTTAGATTATTATTATTTCATAAGGTTTCAAAATTATGAATATTTTAACATTATAAGAATTTTAAATATTATTAATTTTAAACTTATAAGAAATTTAAATATTATAATATTTAAATTTATAAAACTTTTAAAGTATCTATAATATTTCAATTCTATAAAAAGTTTATATATAACATTTGAACTCTATAAAAATTATAATATATATAATATAGAGAAAATTTAAAAGCAAACATTTAAATTGACTCGAATTATATGTCTTCTAAATAAAATTATTATTAAAAAGAAAAATAACATGATGTTTAATTTCACGGGACGGGATTATATGGTGTGACGGGTTTTGTCGATATTAATACGGAACGATATACTACGAGTGAAATCTTAGAATTAACAACCAAAATACAATTATGAAATTTGGGTCGATATTAAAACTTTTATGAAGTTTCAAATATTATAAATATTTAAACTTTAAAAATTTATAAGAAGTTTAAACATTGTAATAATTTAAGATGATAAAACGTTTAAGTATTTATAATATTTAAATTTTATAAAAATTTTATTATATTAATGATATTTGAACTCTATAAAAATTAAAAATATATATATTATGGGAGCCATTTAAAGCAAACTTTTAAATTGACTCAAATTATATATGTTTTTTAAATTAAAATATTATAAAAAACAATAACAAAATAATGTTTAATTTCACGGGACATGATTATATGCTATGACGGGTTTGAATCAATATTAATACGAGGCGGTACTACGAGTGAAATCGTAGAATTAACTACAAAATACAATAAATGCTAAACAAAACAAACAATATTAATAAAATAAATTCAACTTAAAATTTCAATTTTAGTTATCAAAAATCGACCCGCGGGTTTAATGCGGGGTATATATATATTATTATATATATAATATAAGTACATTTCAAACAATAGATAATTTTCAAAAAATTTATAGTCCCGCGGTGTACCGCGGGTTAAAATCTAGTCTATATATACATTTTTGAAGACATTTATGAAATAAATCCTGGAGTTCCACCTTATTTACGAGTCCATGCCATTGGTATTTATTATTACTTTTACAAAATTTAAATAAAAGATATTAACCAAATTGATAGATAGATATCTCATATTTACATTTAAAAATACAAATTAATATGATATATCTTCAGTTAATCTTTAAAAAAATAACATTACATTTTTTAAAAACATTACTTAATTAACTTTACTAAACAATAATCACCAAAACAAACTTTACTAAAACTTAATAACAATTATCCAGAAATCTAGATTTTTGAATATAAAATCAATTTTTGATATATAACGATTTTTAATAATAAATAAATGTTTTATTTTTAAGAAATTTTTATTTTAATATTGTATAAGGATTTGTTATCCTAAATATTTCTTAAAAATTAATAATAAATATTCTATTATTTAAAAGTGAATATTCTATCACATGAAAAGTTACCTGAACTTGTGCCTAGTTAGGTAAATAGTTTAAACATTTACCTTGCAATTGAGTTCATATGTTTAGAGTTTTAGATATTTTTTGCTTTATATAAACATGATAAATATTAAGCTATAACTTATAATATGTTAGATAGGATCTTAAATAATTTTTAATAAACCATCCTTCTCTTAAAATAAATATACATAATAATTAATATTTTTTCCGAATTCAGTTTATATTAATCTCCTAATTTTGAATTTAGTTTTGATTTATTAAAATAATAGATTCTAACATAAATCTGGAAAAAAATATCATATTACATATAAAAATGTAGTTTTTTTATTTTAAATAAAACATGATATTTTTCAAACTTAAAACTCATAATTAGGATAGTTTTCAAAATGTCCCATTTTTAATATATATATATATATATATATATATATATATAATATATATATATATATATATATATATATATAAATAAAAATTACACTAAAATAGTATTTGGATTCTCCATTTAACCAAAAAAGGAAAATGTAACATACAAACTGGATTCTCTAGATTTAAGGAAAGCAAATCTTCAAAAACTTAGATTGGATAGTTAAACATGCATTGAAATTTTATTTATTTAATTAATGAGGAAAATTACCTAGAATTAAAGAGGAGCATTTTTTATTATATTAAGAGATTTACTCTAATTTTAGAAATGAAAGTAGATGTAAATTAATTAATTAATTATTGACATAAACCTTTTAATTAAAAAAAACAAATTATTGAACTAAATAAGAAATTCAAACCTCAAATTGAAGAGAATCATCATGATCCATTAACAAACGGAATCATTGCATCACTATAAGTACAATCTTTGTGCCAAGTAAACTATTAAAAAAAAACATGAATAGTTACATCTACAATTTTACATAGAACAATTTACATTGTAGTTGCTTTTAGGAGTAACTGCAAGAAGACAAACAGTTAGATAGTTGTTAATGAGGCTTAGATGAGCATGCAAATGATCTCGATAATACTTCACCAGTGGTAGCTTTTGAAGAATATGTATGTTGAGAAAAATGCAAATGAACTCAATCAACTTCGAAAATGCCAAGAATAGCAGTGCAGTTGATCTTGAATTATTTAAATAGTATAACTAATTTCAAAAAAAAAAAAGTGCGCTGACAAGTTAAATAAATAAGTACATAGATTGATATATAAGCGCGTTTTTGAAGAGAGTTTGGAGATCTATCGAATAACGCTTTGGTAATAGCCTCAATGACGATATTATAGCCTCGGCTATGCTTAGACCCACAATAAATGACTTAAGAAAAAATTATAAATCTTAGTTAAAAATAGTATTAATGAAATTTTTTGTGTTATCAAATTTATTATAAGAAGAAGTAAGAAAACCTGAATAAATTCAGAGCACATGAAAGATAGCTCTTCAACCATGGCACCTTCTACATGAGCATTTGCTATCGCAAAACATGCAACAATCAAACATAACACCATGTATGCGGAAAACTCTCATGCTCCTTAGGTTGCCAAGTCTAACTACAAAAATTAAGGGGAAATTACATATATAGATAACTCTATGTAAGTGTATAATTTATCTTTTTTTTAGTCAGCGGTATATAATTTATCTAAGGAAGGTCTTTCAAATGAATTACATACATATAGAAAAACTACTCATAATAAACTAAAAAAGAGCGCCGATAAATAAAATCGTATAACTGATATAATCAATGGCAGAGCCAAAGTTTTGTTTACAAAGGTCATATATATTTAATTATTTTTGTTAAATGATATATTTGAAGTAATTATCAAGAACATTTGATTTTTTTACCTAAAACGAACCCATATAATCTAGTTTTCTTAATATTAAACACACACACATATATAGTTCTTAGAATGCTCCACTTTCCAAAGAAAAAATATTTGTAGTTCATCATTCTTATTTTTAGTTGTATTAAGAACACTTTATTCTCATATTGTTTTTTTTTTTATCAAAATATAGTATATTGTGTTCATCTTGACTTTTTCAAAAAATATATATGTTAAGAACAATTTTTTTAAAAAGGAAGCAAGAAAAAATTTGAAACAGGATCTCTAGAAATGAAGAAAAAAATCAATATTTAAGAATATGTTAGGAATTTTTAGCCATTTAAAAAGTATTAAATGGAAAGAAAGTAACATTTAACTAGAATTTAACCCGTGGTACACCGCGGAGCTATATTTTTAAAAAAATATAATGTTATTTTTTAAAAGATTAACTGAAGATATATCATATTAATTTGTATTTTTAAATGTAGATATCTATCAATTTGGTTAATATCTTTTATTTAAATTTTGTAAAAGTAATAATAAATATCAATGGCATGGACTCGTAAATAAGGTGGAACTCCATGATTTATTTCATAAATGTCTCCAAAAATGTATATATAGATTGTACAAATGAACATGCATGATTGCATGATGCATGGTCAAAGGCATGGTTCGATCACTGACACTATCTATGTGGGTCATTATGGAAACTTTAAACAAAAAATCTAGTAAAGTGTGATCATATGTTTTAACTAAACGTCTCTGCCACACGTAAAAATGAAATTAAACAAATATTAATACGTGCCTAAGAAACTATAAAATGAGATCATTACAAGCTGTTTTGTGTTTCAGATAAATTATTGGCTAACATTTTGGACAGTTCATGTAGTTTTTGTATCTTTTTTGCAATTTTATATCCCCCTGAATTTGAAATAAATTTTTATCAAAATTAAATTTATGGAAGACCACGAAACAAATTTAAAACATTCGAGAGAAGTTTTGACTCTCAACTATCTTTTTCAAAACAAAAACTTCGAGTCTCAAGTCTCAAGTCTCAACTAAGTAAACTAACTCTCCTAAGAGACTTATCAGTTAAAAGCACTGGACTTTTCTCTGTATAGGGAAGGAACACAGATATTGTCAAATAGGATCTGATTAAAAGGACAAAATCAAGAGCCAAAATAGAGAAAGCAGTGTCTCTTAGTTGTAGTAGCAAAGGATACAGGCCATAAGGAGTGTAATGTATACAGAACATTTGTTGTGGTTACATCATGTCTTAACCGGCCTCACAAGCCCCAAACCAGAGCCACTACCCAAATGCTTGTACTCCTTAGCCTCAAGATGATCGTCGTGCTCAGCGAAACCTGTGCCTCCTTTCTTTAACCCAACCAAGTTCCTGTCCTTGCAAGGCTTGTCACACACAAGACAGACTTTGTCGACAGGCATAAACTTTTCAGCACACTTCTTGCAGAAAACATGTCCGCATGAGCTAAGTGCCACGAGGGACATTGTGTTGGTGAGAGTGACTTTGCAGCTCGGGCAGATGTAGGATTTGTCATAAGAGCTTGATGATGCTGATTTCGGCTTGTTCTCTTCTTCTTCGCTGTTGTCTTCCGTGAAACGAATTGCAAAGAGGTTCTTAAGCTTGAGCTTCTCTTTGCCCTCTGGACAAACTGTGTGAGTTTCTGGAGCATCTACTCTGACTGAAGCTGCTGGTGTAGCTGATGGGAGCCAGAAGGCTTTCATCGTCTTAAGCGCTTCTTCTTCAAAGGAAGTCGTCTTCACACTGTTCGCCCCATGAAAACCATTCTTGTCATCGTTGTGGTTCTTATCACTGTTTCGAGGCATTGCACTATGGTTTTGCTGATCAAATTCGTCGAGCTCTCTCGCCTTTTGTAACATTAGCCTCTCTTCTTCTTCATCCTTATCTTGCTTCTTTTGAGACGTATGTGCAGCAAGCCTCCTAAAAACATCTCAGTACTACATATCAGTATCTTAAACATACAGAACAATGATAAATCAGATATAACAATCTTTAAAACAAACGCAATCTTGAAAATCCCAACAAGTCCTAAGTCCTAACAAATGAGGAGAGTCGGGTCCAAAAGTTTCTACTCCGGCAATTATTAATATACAAGCTCAAACAATCACATGCAACCATAGGCTAACCCTTAGACCCGTACTCATTTAACCCAACGAATCCAATCTAAGCAAGTAGAGATAGAGACTTGATCTGAGCATCAAAATCAATTCTTAACATTACTTTAGTAATCACTCCATAGGTTTATCCAAGCTTTCATGCTAAAACTCAAGTAAAGTTATTAGCTTCTCCTTCTCAGAAACTGTGGGACCAAAACTGTGAGACTAGTAGTGGCAAAACCAGTACTCCTTAAGGTATACTCAAAAGTCTAACTCTTACTAACCAAACCATACTCAAGCATTAAATTAATAATCAGTTCTTTTCAAGGACAACTTGTTATCAGAATAATGTTTAAGATGTCGTTTCAGACAATGACTACAATGAAATCCAACGAATCCAATCTAAGCAAGTAGAGACCATGACTTGATCTAAGAACTTCAATCATCTAATCCACACCAGATGCAATCCTATCTAGCTCCTAAAGCTAGAAACTTCATGACTTGATCCTAAAGCTAGAAACTATCATGCGAAAACTCAAGTCAACTTATCATCTTCTCCTTCTCAAAAGCTATGGGACTAGTAGTAACAAAACCAGAACTCCTTAAGGTATACTCAAAAGTCTAACTCTTACTAAACAAACCCAACTCAAGCATTAAATTAAAAATCAGATCTTTGAAGAACAACTTGTTATCAAAGTAATGCTTAAGAGACTTGATCTAATCCATGACTTGATCTAAGAACCTCAATCATCCAATTCACACCAGATACATGAGGAATTCAACAACCCTATAAAGATCTTAAAGCTAGAAACTTCAATGACAATCCAAAGTGTTGATATTTTCACAAATACAGAACAAAGGAACAATAAAGTTGCAAACTTTGAAAGAAAAACTCCAAAAAGTTTATACCTTTGAATATCTTTCTTCTGAGCAAGGAAACATTCGAGGATACACTCTCTGCAAAAGACATGACCTTTATGGCAACACATCGGATCAATGAAAGGCTTCAAGCAGAGAGAACAAGCATCAAAGGGCTTAATCGAGTCTTTCCCCAATCTCTCTCTTTGAGTTCCATAACCTAACTTCTTCTTCTCGTCGTAAGTGAAATACGCAAGGTCATTGTTGTTCTTCGAGTGTCTTTGCGGCATATTGGCGACGAAGATTGAATTGGGTAGAAGACGAATCAGATGTCTGAATCAGAAACCCTATTTTTCTCAGATTGGAGAAATTGGGGAATTGGGTTTTCCAGTGTTTCGCTCTCATGTAAGTCGGCTATGGTATCAAAGCCTTAACCGTCCGATATGAATCTAATCTAACGGTTCCTATTTTTTTTTTTTTTTTTTTTTTTTTTTTTTTTTTGACGTAGTTCATCCATTCAAGTTAAAAACAGACCGCTCTCTTCAAGACATGGGGAATGTCGTCTGATGCTATTAGCTCTCGTAGTCTGTCAACCTTCCAGCCTTTCGAAACAAGATCTATGAGATCATTAACAAAGAGGTTGGGATCCGTGGTTGCTAATCTACTTTTTGCTGGACGAGCCAGGATGGTCAGGATCCAAGGGTCGGACCAAACCCGAGTGTCAAAACATGAACCGATGTTTTTCCTCAGCCCGGACAGAAAGAGAGGTCTAGCTGCTAGTATGATACGCCAACCATAGGAAGGCCGGTAAGATGGTTTGACGTAGAGAGGGCTAGAGTACCTAAAGTATAGACCCATTAGCACACGAGCCAGTAGGGAGTTTGGGAATCGAATTAATCTCCAGAGTTGCTTTGCTAGCAGCGGTAGGTTAAAATCCTCGAAGTATCTGAATCCTAACCCTCCCTTAGAGAGTGGTTGACAAAGTTTGTCCCAAGCAATTCAATGTAGCTCCTTACTCTTTTGCTTTGAGCTGCACCAAAAGTTTGCGATCGCGCTTGTCAGCTTTGAACGAATATTTTTGGGAAGCAGGAAACATGACATAATCTCTTGGCAAGGACCTGAATCAGATCTTCTTCAGAGTCAAAATCAAACTGAACTCAGCCATTGCCCAAATCAAAACCCTTCACTCTTCCTTCCACATCCCAGATGTGAGATTTTGGCATAACAACAAGGAGAAGCTCAATACTTCTACCTTCATGGTTGAAGGTTCTCCCAATCAGAGTGTTTCTGAATCTCTCCATAAAGTGAGAATTATCTATTGGGGGCAAGATAACTGGTTCATCCTCATCCTCCACCCGAGACAGACTTATACCTTTACCTTCAAAACGAGATCGATAAGAGGAAGGAACTTATCGTGACAAGAATTATGATGGACAGATCCAAACAGAGAAAAGCTTCGCTGAGATATCTCTGGGATTAACTTCTCTCTCGAGAGCCGAGGAATAAAGTTAATAGTGGTTTGAGTCTTTGGATTTGAAACAGAACTTTGCAAGACCAACACCAACAATTCACCGGAGATTCAACTGAAGAAAAATCTCTCGAAAATCGAGGAAAACTAAAACGCCGGTGAGAATAACCTAATCACACAGCGATGTTGAACCACTTTCAAAGGCTCTCACCAGATCTGACGGAGGAGGAGACTCGTGGTCTGAAATATGAAACCAGTGAGCGGAGAAAACTCGGGCTGCGGGAAGACGGGCTTGCGGAGACTTGCAATAACGGAGCTAACGCCAATCGAAGAAGCTCTCGAGGGTCGAGGAAGGTGACGGTCGGAGATTCAAGCACGGAGAGGACTTGAATCTGACGAAGCTTTGAAATCACCTTTTGGGACTCTCTCGGTGGCTAGGGCGAACATCTTACCCTATACTTTATTATACTTATTTATATGTTACAAAAAAGATTAACTTGCCTATAAGTATAACCAAGTTTCTTTAGCTTCATTAAGGTCTTCAAGTCAGATTCATCTCGTTAAGGTTATCATCTCACTCCTCTTCTTCAGCTTTTTTTTTTATATAATTGAATATCGAAACGAGTATTACTAGTACTTTCATGTTGCTTTCATCTTCCTTAATTTTGAACATTTATATTTCCACTACTTGAACAATGAAGCCAGAACATATATACACCTTATACTCCATCTAATACAAGAAATTCTATCTACAATTTTTCCCATTGTTGCTTAAGCTCTTTGCCTGGAACTGGGAGAAGTAAGCCGGAAACACTTGCTATTTATTGAGATCTAAATCCATAAGTGATTTAGTCAATCACCTCGAGGGAAACAATATTTCATAACCCGATCTTCCAGGCCGCCATGGCGCCACGAAACCCTTCCGCAACGTCTATATATCCTTCCATCATCCTCTTTTTTTTTTTCTTTTTTTTTTTGAAACCGCATATAATACAAGAGACACCAAATTTTTTTACTAATCTAGCCAAAAATGGATATGAACTTACCTGGTAGACGTGGCACCGTAACAGATCGACATGGCCCGAGGGGACGATTCCGATACGGAGGGAGGTTTCTCAGGGACTACAAATTCTGTGGCTGGAGCATAAGTCACCCAAGGACACGAGGCTAGTATGCGGCTATTTTTTTTTTTTCCATTTTACTAAAGTATATGAATCGAACCAATAATTCATCTAAAATACCAAAAATAATGGATTTAGAATTAGCCTTTCAATTTTTTCTCTAGTTTCGATTTTGATATAAGTGGCTATTTTATAGATATACATATACATTTTTATATATTTAAGCAAAACATAAGCTAAAATTAAGCAAAACATAAAAAGAAAAAATAAGCAAAAATTAAGCAAAACATAACCAAAAAAAATAGTGTAGCTTGACTAAATGCAAAGTTTTTTTAACCAAAATAAAAAAACTTTGAGCCAATGACTTCAATGAAAAAGTCTTTTTTAACCGTATCTATATTACATATTATTTTATTTTATTTTTGGCTCAATTTCTACCATTCATTATCCAAAGTTCTTACATCACATGTTCTAATTCCACAACAGATTGTTTTATGGGCTGCTCACATAATTTTGTGTATTCAGTACTTTTTTGCTAAACTACATCTTCTAAATGCATATATCAGAGATGATCACATTATTCTTTTGTCTAATAATGGTTTTGGATTTGTTAAAGTAAAAATTAATTGTTACAAATGGAAAAACCACTTCTACCAAGTAAATTCTTTTTAGAAAGACCGCCATCAAAGCAAGTGCTATTTGGATTTCTTTTTTAGCATCATGATTTTGGTGAAAAAGGTATTCTACAGTATCGTCATATTAAACTTTGATAGATAATTGCATTAAGTTATAGACTACTTTTTTTGGTAAGTTACATCTTCTTAACTTAAATAAGCTATATTATTCTTTGCATTAAGTTATCTAACGGTTCCTAATTATTACCCCTTTTTGTTACGTTTTTTTGGGACTAGGGGAGAAGTTAAAAAAAACATTTAAAAAGGGGTAATATATTTGAGAACGTTGATAAACCATAAATTTCACAATATATTTGGATTCTAATTCTCAAAACATTTTACTCTATATATCTTAAATAATCCATGTCAAAAAAAAATGTTAAATAATTGTTATATATATTCACTTAATCATATCATCACCAAGACGTCAAGACACATCTTTGAAACGACATATATAGAATGTGAATATTCATTAAGAAATGAAAATGTTTACAGTGATTTGAAATCTATAGAATTGATTCCATGGAAACAAAGACAATCATTCCACCGACTCAATATAAGCCATGAACAGTCCCGGCATTCGTGTTAGAGGGGTGGGGCATTTGCCCTACACTAAAATTTATAATTTGTATTTGTATTAACTATTAAGTATCTATTCTTATATATGAATTTTTTTCCCTTTTATTCTTTGTCTAAATGTTAATTATAAATTTATATTTATTATTTTGTCTTTAATTAATTATATAATCATTTTATACACATATAATAATTAAATAATGTATAAACATTATTTATTTTAAATAAATTTTATAAAAATAAAAATATTTTGCCCTATAAATTTTTTTTAAAAAATCTACCACTGGTCATGAAGCAAACGGGTGAACTGAAGTGATACACGATTTTGAAGTTTTAGAAACACCAAGATTAATTCTTCCAAAAATACAACCGTGCAAGTCTTTCCATTACTTGGTACTCTCAAATTTTCAATACCCACGTCCTCCTTTTAGCTAGAAATGTTTTCCTACGGGAAACTCATTGTCCATTTTCCAACATCTCCAATTCATGTTCGAATAAACAACAACGCTTTTCTTTCACAATTAAGTATGTTGCCCCAAACAAAAAAAAAAACAACTAGTGTACAAATCCGATTTAATTTCTATCGTCAATGTACAAATCCTATTATCTATGTATTTTCAACGAAAATTTTAATCAATAATCATGTACAAAGGTTGAAAACTATGTAGAAAAGACTTCAAAACAAAATGAATAGTCCAAGAGCGTAGGGGAAGAATAAGAGAATAATAACTTATGGTCAATGAGTCATCTACCAACAATTGTTGTGAAAGTAACATCGTTGACCGATGCAACATCGTGACCGTCCAAGTTGAGTTCAATCTCACCGGAGTTCAAGAACGAGTGGAAGGTCGGTTGTCTCGGACGTGGAAGTTGACTAGTTCGACTCTCCAACATCAACAAAACAGAACCAATGTTTGGTCGGTGCATGACCGAGTCTTGTGTACACAACATCCCCACGTGGATGCATCTCATCGCTTCCGTTACGTCTCTAGTGTCCTTCACAGTTGGATCTATCAGCTCTTTTGTCTTTCCTTGGCTCCATAAATGCCACGCCTGAGTTTGATTTTCCGTTTAGAACATTAGTAACAAACAAACAAACAAACAAATCAGAACCGTTAACAAATCATAAATTAGGTTGATCACACCTATGAATTTCCGGTTAAAGAAAAGAAACTTACATAACCGATGAGACTTCCATGTTCAGACCCTCGAAAGCTAAGGTTTTTTCTTCCACTCACAATCTCCAATATCAACACTCCAAAGCTATACACATCTGATTTCTCTGAGAATATCCCTTCCATTGCATACTCCGGAGCCATATAACCACTTCACATGTTCAACATCAAATCATTAGAAACTGAAACTGTTTCTTATTGTTTATACAAGAGAGAAAGAGGTTTGTTTAGTTACTATGTGCCGACGACTCGGATCGTGTTGGCCTGGTCTTGTCGGTAGTTGAATATCCTAGCCATACCGAAATCAGAAATCTTTGGATTCAGTTCCGTGTCTAGCAAGATATTGCTAGCTTTTAGGTCACGGTGAATAATCTTTAGTCTTGAGTCTCTGTGCAAGTAAAGCAATCCCCTCGCGATTCCTCCAATAATCTCCCATCGTTTTCTCCAGTCCAAACTTCCTCGTTTACTCTCATCTGCGCAGAGACATTATATACTCAATCCGAAAAATTTCAGAACATTTTTATTGAAATTGTTTAGTAAAAGAAACAATACCAAAAAGGAAGCGATCCAAACTCTTGTTTGGCATGTATTCATAGAGAAGCATCTTCTCGTTGTCTTCAATGCAACATCCTACTAGTCTAACAAGATTCCTATGCTGGAGTTTCGCGATTAGTAAGATCTCGTTCTTGAATTCCTCTAGTCCTTGCTTAGATTTCCCTGATAGTCTCTTCACTGCAATCTTTCTTCCTTCTGAAAAGTTTCCCTGTCCAAACATAACACATAAGTTTTTGCACACACACAGGGCAAATTTTTGTTATCCAATATTATTATTGTCAGGAAAATTGATTTTCAATTGATTTACCTTATATACAGTACCGAATCCGCCCTGTCCAAGCTTGTTTTCTTCAGCGAAATCTCCTGTTGCTGAGGCTACACTTTCGAAACTGAAAATTGGCAAATCGGGTGTGTCAACTTGATCCCCTACTAGAACTTTGATCGGCGAGCTTGAGGAATTAACCGAGTGATCTCTGTTCTCTCTGATATCAGAAACTGGAAGATCTTTCTTCTTCCTCAAGAAAGCTGCAGATCATGAAGTAATTGACAGTTTCAGCAGTTAATTCTTTTGAAACAAGACTATGTGCGAATAGAGACTTTACCTTTAAGCCTCTTCCATAAGATCCAAATGCATAATCCAAGCAAGAATGCACCAATAACACTGAAAATAATTATCAAAAGTTTCGATTTTTCCTTTCCACCTCCTGTATATACACAACAAAAGAAGCCAAAATAGTTAAAATACAGATTTCAGATTAGTCATGTTTAAATCCTTCAAAATGTTATTTGAGAGCTTAAATATTTTTACAAACCTAGTTCAGAACTTGCTAGCCGGATGTTTATAGAGTTTCCACCGCGTTCAAAATGCTCCATATCGATCAAATCATGGGTCCAACTCATGCATCCGATCCCTAATACAACCGCATAAGCCTGACACGAACAGTTTCTTGCGCATACATCTTTACAGGTCTCTGAGTTGTTATGTAAAACAACTGATCCAAAATCAGGCACCTTAATTCCCTTAAGTACCTTAAACCCATCTTCTTGATCCGCAACCACACTCTGATTACAGTTCAACGGAACTCTTCTCTTGCAGCCACCTGAGAAATCCTTGTTGTTCCATTGATCCTGATGAACAGGCTCAAACCCATCAAGGCAACTGCATTTACCGGAATCAAACTCCTTGCTATCATCACATACACTATAATTACCACAACGGTTATACTTCTCACATTCCGTGCTCGGTTTCCATTGAAGCAATGTCCAGTTCTTGGCATCCTTATTCCATCTGAACTGCTCTTCTACGCCATCAAACCTAATCCAAAACCTCAAGAAATCGGAACTATCTGAGGCAACATACGTGAAGTACACGCTACCATCTCGATCCGGAGTAGAGAGCTTAAACCCGTAAATATAATTCGTGAAACGGAACATATCCGGTATACCCGTAAAGATAGCTGAATTCCACGGTCCGCTACGCCATTTCCTCTTTTCCCCTTCCCAAATCACAATCTCTAGCGCTCCAACAGGATCGATGCCCATTGAAAACTTTCCTGGTGAAGGATCATTCTCGGATTTCCACGGGGTAAAAGCGCGATTTTCTCCATGCGAAGGATTCACCCGAACCCTCATACCGGGCAAGAAAGTGTCGGTTGGATTGTTAAAACTCTCCCAATACCATTTGCTTCTATCTGAGTCTGAAGACAGAACCAAATCCCCTGTTTTAAACAGTAGAGCAACCGTGTTGTTTGACTCGGGCTTAGCATTTGTGGACCAAACGGGGACGTTTTGACCATTCACGACCACCAAATTTCCGTCATCTGCAATCTTCAAAGCTCCGTTGTAATCCAACAGTGGCTTCTCTCGATTCGCGACCCAGACAACTGTTCGAGGTTCGATGTTCTTGTACCATATTCCAACATACCTTAACGTTGAATTTTTGGGACTAAAGAACCCTACCTCGAAGCTCTCATCTTCGCTGATCAGTGAGTCTCCGTCTCGTAAAGTGTGGTTTCTGGTGATTGCGTTGCTTGTCGAGCAAGATACGATGCTACACAGTTGAAGCAAAGTCAAAAGGGTTGTCACAAAAGTAAGGATTTTACAAAATTCTGCCATATTTGAGATTATTTGAGCCTCAGAGATCTTTAAACGACGATAAGGAAAAGAAAGAAACGAACAAAAATAGTGGGTGTTGAATTTTCATGTAGACTAGTTGGTCTTTCTCGAATTAGCAACTTGTATATTCCTTTTTATATATAAATACACAAAAGGAGAAAAGTCTTCTTTTTAATTGAGGACAATCGGCGAATTCATGTTGACAAATGACAAGAATATGAAATTTTCACGTTTTATTTAAGACTTTTGATTATTAATGCAAATTTGTGACTTTTAAGGCAAGAAAAGGATATATGATATTGATATCAATTGATTTTTTTTTATCTCTTATTGTGAATACGACCTTCTTCATTTGGGTGGTTGAGAACAATCCCAAAAAAAAATTCTACCATATATTTATCTTTTTTTATGAAGTCTTTATCGTCTTTATTGTTTATAGTACATTAATTAATAGGGTTTTGTGCAAAAAAACCCTCCAACTCGCCCATTTTTGCAACTTTACCCTCCATCTCCGAAAAATATAGATTAATACTACGAAGTCCAAAATAATGTGCAATATAACCCTTATACGTATATTGTAAACGTTTTTTCGGTCACATACATTGGTTTTTTAAAATTCTAAAAGTAGAGTTGAACTCTTCATCGCGAGGGCTTCGATTTGATATATTATTTGTCAAAATTTTACGAACTTGACGATAACGAATAAGGGTTACATTGCGTATTATTTGGGACTTCGTAGTATTAATCTGCATTTTTCGGAGATGAAGGGTAAAGTTGCAAAAATGGGCGAGTTGGAGGGTTTTTTTGCACAAATCCCTAATTAATACTATTGGAGATAGACAAAGATCTAAGTAACTAATAGGTACACATATGCAGATTCATCTAAAAATTTTCATATTTAATTATTTATAATGATTTTTAAAAAATATTTTATATATATTAAGGATACTTTCAAAAATAAACTAGGTAACAAACCGTAATCAATATTGATGCAGAATGGTAATCAATATTGGGGCACGACATACCAATTTTTTTGTATGAGTCCAAATATTTATTGGTGAAGAAAAATTGTAAATTCTATTGATGAGTAACATTTTCGCCTTACAAAACGCAAGTATGGAATTATGCATAATTCAAATTTTATGTTAAATCTTATTGCATTACGAAGCACAAGTTCCTCTTGCGGTAGATTCACTCATTCACACGCGTATGAGGAGGCAAAATTACATTTTCCGACAGTGACAAGACACTGGCGAACACATGACTTTCGGAGAATTGCCCCACCACTTATTACTCCTCTAAGTCCGAGTTTGGTACAAACCCATTTTAAACATGGCTTTATGAGTTGTTTTTTTTTTTGGTTTGTAGATTGATAACAATTTTTCAGCAAATGTGGTAAACAGATATATGGTGGATAAACCTTAAATAAATGGTGTTTTTTTCATTTGATTTAAACAAATAATGTGATTTCATATCAAACAACGTGATATCGGTTGAAATAACAAGACATTTGTTAAAAACACGAGAACATTTCATTTTATTGATTTTATAACCAAGAATTAAAACACAAATCCTTCAGATTGGAAATACTGCAAACAAATAAATGGAATAGAAGGATACTACTAAGTGATAATGATCCATTATCACCGGCATAAACTTTGTAAATTTTCATACTTTTCATTCAATAATTCTGAACGAAAACTTAAAAGAGAACAAGATTCTCATAAGCCTTAAATCAATTCTAGGAATGTGACTTCATCATACCCAAACACATTTTTTTCTAATGGTTTGTGGATTCTTCAGTCGTACGTACCAACCCCGAATTAGAGTCAAATAGTATGTTTGGTAAGAAGAAACTACTAACACCAAATCACCAATCATATAGTCTCATTATCCGTTTAAAACGGACTGTTTTAGTCTCCGTCAAACAGACAAATACGAGTTTGAAGTATGAAACTAAAACTCTAATGTTGAAGGAAAACAATGGCATTCACAAATGATATATTGTGAATGTCATATATGTATGTATAAAGTATAAGTTATAAAGTAATGATATAATTTGTTGGCCGAGTTTATTTTTTGTTTCCATCATCACACTATAGAGTAAAGATTTAGTAAAGAAGTACTACATTTTATAAACCATAATCCATAAGCAGGTCCCAGGCTTAGGACTTTTATTACATAGACGAAGAGTTAAAGTTACTCCCAGTTACATCTAAGTCTATTAGTATGTCTAAATACACATTTAACCAACAAAACTCCATCTGCTCTTCTCAGCCCAAAACTCTCCACCAACACATAACACCCAAACCTCCTCCAATCTCTATCATTGTTACCATTCATATTCCTACAATCTCTTCTAGAAACCCTAATTGGTTCATCTCTCTCCACTCTCACCACCTTCCTTCCTCCTCCCACCCACCCTCCTTCCTCCATTACCCTTCTCATCCTTTCTACCACTACAAAACTCAGCCCTACCGGAGACCTTAAACCCGTCTTCCTTCTCCTCTCCCCAGGTCCCCGTGGACCTTGAACCTGCCTATACCAATAAAACCCTCCATGCCCTTCTTTCTCCCCCTTAACTGCCTCCATACCCTTCACATAGTTGGCCTCTCTCACAACGTTCGCCTCTACTCTCACCACTTCTTCTTCGTTGTCATCATTGTTTCCGTCAAGATCGTTGTTGGCTTCATTGTTTTCGCAATGGTAGATCCGTTCCCAGTATTGGGATAGTGTGATCCTATAGAACATTGACTTCCTCATTTGGTGACTTACACTACAATTCTCCTTCACAAACATAAACGGACAATACCATTCTCCTACTATCACGCTCCCTGACCGAATTGTAGAGACTGGGAATCCGAAAGCAGGGAGACGCGCTCTTAGCTCATCGTCTAGGCCTAAAGCTTCTCTAGGTCTCCTCGGATGTAGGCTCCTCGAGGTTCGCAGCTCCCATCCTTTCTTCTTGAGAAATGAAGGCGGTGTACCATCTGGTGCCACAGATTTCGCAAAGAACGTCCGGTCGTGATGCCGGCTAATCTTAACCGTCTGATATATGTTTCTTGGATCCAAAGGTTTAGGTTTCTTGTCATGCAAGATATCTGGAAAACAACATAACCCTTTCTCTATCTCCCTAGAACACACGGAAACTTTCCTGCAAAGAAAAACAGAGAAGAGTTCTCAACACTAATTCCTCAATCTTCTTCCTTATTTATCACTAAAACACTAAAGACACACCTCAAATCTGAAATAAAGCCTTATAACTTAGAATTTATCGGTTTTTTAGGATCTTACCCTTTGTATCTGCCTCTGGCGTGAACAACGTAATACCGATTTGAAGACAATGGTTGATCGAGAGCTGGTATGAACAAGACTTTCTTAACCGAAGTCTCTCTGTTACCAGAACTATCTAAGTGAACAACTGATAAGATCTTGTCCTGAGGTAACGGAAGCTTCTCGATTTTTGTCCTCGTACACATCCCGAAACAGAACGTGTCCTCTGTTTCGGCTTCTTCATCTGTTATCACTAGAACACCGGAAAACGGACCTTCTGGTGACTCCTCCGAGAGCGTTTTCTGATATTTCCTGAACTGCGACAATGTCCTTGTCACGTACATTTTTTTGTTCTTGAAGGTGTTAGAGAATTAGTGAGTTATGATGTTTTAGTATCAATCTGAGAGATTTTATTAAAGAATTTTAACAACTTTGGGGTGTAAATGACGAGATTATAAAGTAGTTGGGTGGCTCAATGTAACTTTTTATAGTGGAGGGTAAAGTTGTGTAATTTAAGTGTTTGCTGATTGGCAAGTCTTTTACTTTGTTTTATAAAAGAAAACATAAAAAGATAAAGCTATAACAGTCACATTCCACTCTCAATTCTTACTAAGTTAATTTTCTACTATATAAACTTTAAGGCTAAGATTTTATTTTATTTTCAAATATTTCAGATTTAATTGGGAATTTGTCTCTCATTTATTGATGGTTTCTGTTTAATTATATATCTGTTAAAATAAATTATTTTAATTTAAAAGCAAATATACTAAGCAAATGAAATTGTGGAGATACCTGTAGCCTGTAGCCATTCATGTAAATGGCTTTTGACGTAGTGGAGAACGAAAGAGATGATAAAAAGAGGAATAAAGAACGAAAAGGAATAAAGTTATATAAAAGAAATTTGTCTTAATAAATCTAAAGTTCTTATGAGCATATAAGATAGTAGATTTAAAATATTTTGAATAAGACAAACAATTTAAGGTATAAACCGTTAACCAAGTTTTCCCTACGATATGTTTTACAATACACACGTCTACTTTGGTCTAACCTTATAAAGTAAAATCATATTTGATAACCAAAACCGTCTTTCTAAAAAGTATTCCATAAAGTTCATTGGTCTAACCTCCTAGCTCTCACACACTTAAGCCATCAACTGCACATACTATATGCTCCTACAAAATATTCAAGAGATGAGGACAACTACATACTCTCGTGCGTTTTCTAGATCACTAGATGGTTTATGGAAGCATTCATCTTGACATTCGATAACATATGATAACTATCAATCTATCATATTCAGTCCTTGTTACAAACACTTGTTATCTTATCATATCCCATTACTTTAATTTGTTCTACGCCTTCATAATTTTTACCATATATATACCATACCTATAAGGCTATACCTTAATCATAAGACAGAATTATGAACCATATCTAACCATGAAATTATGCAGATATGTTATGGAATTTTTCGAATCTCGATATTAACATTTGTAGGTACTTTATTTAGTTGTTGTATTTGAGATTGTTTATGTGCTAGAAGAATTTTCTTTTTTAAAACACCACATCTAATACTAACCTTTTTTTTTCCTAATACAAACATTATCTATCAATTAAATTGTAAACTTAATATAGATTTTTAGGTTATCCCCGTCTGAGTTTTTTTTTTATCCAATGCCTGAAATAGATTTTAATAAGACGGAATAGAATAAGCCAATAGTTTTGAAAAGGTGGAGCAGGAAGAAGCGTAATAGATATGATAAAGTTTTATTATTTAGTAGACAATATTTTTGCATACATCATCCATTATCTCACATTAACTGCTCCTATGATATAATTTTAGAAATTCCTTGTAAAAATTATAAACCCACGATAATAGGAAATTAGGAATATTTCACTACGAATATCTTATACATATGTGTGCTTGTATTGTTGGGTTAATTAGGTCAAAGATCAAACTGTGGATCTTACTAAACAAATGTAACCCAATATTTTTATAATATATGTAGGTGTATTTATATAATATAAATATTAATTTTTATATACGCTTCCAACACATACCTATTTTCTATAATATCTATAAAAATCGCTTCCACGTTTCTAAACGCTTCGCTTCCGCGTATATATCCGTTAACTTTTAATTCCATACAACCTATCTTGTAACTGGGACTTTATAGCCAAAACTTAGTTAAAAATCTTAAATTAGCCATAAGTGAATTATGTAGTGATAAAATTGCTTCCCGAAAATATCGATCTCCAACTTTCTGACTAATATAACAAATCCACTACACTTATTATTAAATAACTCCAAACTAGTTCGTGATTTTTAAATCGGTTACTCTAAGTCTCTAACAATATTGTATCTAAAAATTTACCATGATATAGTTTTTCTTTTCTAGTCAAATGTGACACATACACATGTATGTATCTTTACAATGGAGTCAAAAGAGAAGACATCATGACGCAAAACCCCAAGTTTTGAGTAGAGTGGTTAGGGCAGTTGATGAAAGAACGTCCCTACTCTTTCCTCTTCATCTTTTATATATTAGCTTATCCTTAATTAAAAGCTAGAAAACAAAACCGCTATTTCAAATTTTTATTACTATTCAAATAATATTGTGAATACACAAGATGGCTAGCAAACTTATTGATTGAATTTACATTTTTCTTGGTTTTATGGAAATTAAATTAATTAATAAAGCAATGAAATTTATTTGTGAAGCATTTTTATCACTACATAAAATGGACCTTTTAGTTTATTGACTTTAATTAGTAGTACTACTATTATAACATTTATATCTAAAAATGTTCTATGACCAACCAAAAATCCATTAAAGTAGTATCCGAATTCAAATACTTTGTATAATATACGTTTTGAATTTCATAAACTAACCAATAACCCTATGTATTACATACTTTGTGATCTATATAATATTTTACACTTATTATATTTATGCACGCATAGTCCTTATCTCATATGTATAAATAAGACCCAACCCACCCATCATTGTTTTGCCTCCTACTTAAAAACGTACAACACAAAAACATTTAGTTAAAAACCCTCTTTTCCAATGAGAGACTCTTCAACAACTGCATCCACCAAATCCTCACCGTTATGGAAACCCTTTGCCTCAAACTGTTGTTCCGTTGACGACCAAAGCGTCTTTGGCAATCTCAGCCGCTGCCGACCTTCAAGATCAGAATTTTCCAAGAACCATCTCGGACCACTTCCTTCTTTCCGCCGGCTCTCTTTCACTGATATAAGTCGGTCTTCGTCGGCTAGGATCAACGAAGATCTCGCACAGACTCTCGGAGCTGATTTAGTGGATTTTCAGATGTGTGAACTGAAGATGATCACTCAGAGTTTCTCCGGGAACTATCTTCTAGGAGAAGGTGGGTTTGGTAAAGTGTATAAAGGTTATGTTCATGAGAATCTCCGACAAAGCCTCAAGGCTCAGCCTGTTGCTGTCAAGTTATTGGACATTGAAGGGCTTCAAGGACATCGTGAATGGCTTGTAAGAACGTATATCAATAATTGCATATCAAATTCATTATCGAGTTTTTTCCTTTGCACAATGTCAATGTTCCGTAGTTATCTATTTAGTTACAACATAATTGATTACGCATATGTATATGTTTTAAGTTATAGGACATCCCAAATAGAATTCTAGAGAAACAAACCACTCCTCATGAGTTTTATATTTCTAAGTCAAAGATCCTTTGGACTCATTTATCTTTAAATACTTTAGGGTAAGAAACTATATTAAAAAATGTGTTTGGTCATAATATGGATTAATTATGTACGCATATATATGATCTTGTCGTTTCTTTTTTTGGTGTCACGTACATCGTAAGAGAATCTTTTTCTTCTTAGCTAGTATGATATAATAGTTGGTGAGACCACTTTGATATACTATTATACACGTATCTTCTTAATTTAGTCTCTTAAGAATATGATTAGTAACATTTGATACATAATTATTATATATGTTTATGGTTCATATGCAGTCTGAGGTCATACTTCTTGGACAACTAAAGCACCCGAATTTAGTCAAACTTATTGGTTACTGCTGTGAAGAAGAGGAACGAGTACTCATCTACGAGTTTATGCCACGTGGTAGCCTAGAAAATCACCTCTTCAGACGTAAGAACATTTTTAATGATTAAGTAGTCCCATTTTCTTTAATTCTTAAGAGTAATTTTTATTGTATTAAGTGATCAGAATTTCATTTTGCATTCATATTGACGTAATGAAATTGTCAGGGATATCACTATCGTTGCCGTGGGCGACACGGCTGAAGATTGCGGTCGCAGCTGCTAAGGGTTTGGCGTTTTTGCATGATTTGGAGAGTCCAATCATTTACCGTGATTTCAAAACTTCTAATATACTACTTGATTCGGTAATTTACTAAATTTAGTTTGATTTTTTTTTCAGCTTACAAATGATAATAAATATATTTTTAAAAAATATTTCTTATTTTTACATGGGGTTTTTCAGGATTTTACTGCAAAACTCTCAGATTTTGGTTTGGCAACAATGGGGCCAGAAGGATCCAAATCTCATGTCACAACTCGAGTCATGGGCACTTATGGTTATGCTGCTCCTGAATATGTTTCAACAGGTGTATACACAATCATTTTCTATCTTGCTGTCTTTCAACAATTCTTTTTTTGGTCAACTTTTTTCAACAATTAAATTTAAGCATATATTAATTTAAGTTAAACAGAACATAATTACAACAAGTAAAATACATAAATCTGAATGAGTGGACATTTAAATATTTAATCTTATGGGATTATCAATAAATTATATTTGATTAATTATCTAACGCATGCATGGGAGCAATATTTTCAGGGCATTTAACGACAAAGAGTGACGTGTATAGTTATGGCGTCGTTTTACTCGAGCTCCTAACGGGAAGAAGAGCCACCGAAAAGGCACGACCAAAAAACCAGCAGAACATCATCGACTGGTCAAAGCCTTACCTAACTAGCAGCCGCCGTCTCCGATGCGTTATGGACCCGAGACTCGCCGGGCAATACTCCGTCAAGGCGGCTAAAGATACAGCTCTTCTCGCATTACAATGTGTGAGCCCTAACCCTAAAGACCGGCCCAAGATGCTTGCCGTTGTGGAAGTTTTAGAGAGTCTCATACATCATAAGGACATGGCGGTTTCTTCGGGCCACTGGCCACTTTCTCCTAAATCTCAGGGCGGGAAGATTTCGCCGAAGGTTCGAGGGGATAATCGGAGTGGTAGAAAATCAGCTCCGGGTTCGTTAAGATCGTGAACTTTGGGTTGAATGAACTGTTAAAAAAATAACATGTGGTGTGTGTATGTGTGTATATGGTCATACGTATCTAAGTGCGTGACATAGTGAGAGAAATATGACTCCCACTACGAAAAACAATGCTATGAACATAAAAAAAAAATATAGTAGATTAGGATCGCACATGTTTTGTATAAAATATTTAATCCAATTGGCTTTGATATGTTTTTGCGAATTCCACACCCGTAGATCATTCATGGTCTATAGTATTACTTGATTGGATCTAGTAAATATCATATCATCTAACATATATGCCTGCGTAACGGTAAGTGGTCGGCTGGTAGAATTTTTCTTAGAACATGGCGTAAATTTGTTTCTCTCTTAAGTTGAATCTTCTCTTTTACTTTGGGAAGCATGGATTGGGCTTCGGTCTATTTGAAAACTTGATAAACTAAGAACATCTCCATTGAACTTGATAGTCGTTTGTTATGGTTAGAATATGTTCTAATGATTGTGATAGAAACGATTATGTTTAATGTTCCATATAAAATTTAATAAGGATAGCTTGTAAAATTTTTGTTTCCGTAGTTTGATAGATTAAGTAATTAGGTTCTTCTAGATGAATGCCAATATTTTGGTCTTTGGATATATGCTAATCAAATTAATATGAATGGGCCGGGCTACTTGAAACTAACCACAAACCAAGCTCATATTAAGCCCATAATTCAGAAACCCTAGGTATCCTCAAAAGTATAAATACCTTATTTCCACTACGCATTTTACCACAAACCTAAAATTTCTCTAGTCTTATCGCCGACAAGTCCTAAGGTACACAAAGCTTGATTTGAATTTGCGTTTAGAGTTACTTTCGATCTTGCTCGTGACATTGGTTTATCTCTTACCGTTCGTAATTTGTCTACGTTGATCTTAGTTTCACATTCTCTAGCTGCTTAGGTTTTGTTGTACGTTGTAAAAATGTGATTTTTTTGGTTATGATATGCTCTCAAGTTGTTCTGGTTTATGATTCAAAATGAAAACCCTCGGAGATACTTAATAAAATCAAGGCCGGAGTCTCTGACCTGCTCTTTTACTGGAATCCAGATTTATCTGGTCTTTTAGTGAGAAACACTCTTATAGAGCTTGAGATTTGGCTATCTTAAATGATGCCATCGGCCTTTGATCGAGGGAACATTTCGTTTCATTTTTCCAGAATTCCTTTAGAGTGTATCTTATCTTGTCAAAGTCTTGATTTTTAGTTCTTTTTTATTATCTGTTCTTGTACATATCTGATCTGATTTATTCTCTTTAATTGTTATAGAGTTTTTTTTAATCTGTTGGTCAGTTCTGTTATCTGGTGATACTCGGTGTCTATTGAGATAATTGTTCTGCTTTAGCTTGATTATGTCGTAGGATTTGATTTTTGATGTTGTCTTATGTGTATGTAATCTGGTATTACTTGGTGTTTATTGATATGAGTTCTTGTGTATGTATATCGGACCTTTCTTGTCACCTGTTTGTTCATATTGTGACTGATTGGTTATGTCATTTGATTTGATGTTGTTCTTTTGGTATATGATTATATCTTATTTTCTAATGTTTGTTTCTGGTATAAAGAATGTCTCACAGAAAGTTTGAGCATCCAAGACATGGTTCCTTGGGTTTCCTTCCAAGGAAAAGAGCTAACCGACACCGTGGAAAAGGTAATTGTGCTAACTTATAGTTAATATACAACAATTTCTGGAAGTTTTGTATCTTATCATCTTAAGTACTTAGTATGATGAATCTAGCTTACTTTAGTTTTAAAACTGTCTACTGTTTTGTCTCACGCCTTGTTTTCAAGGCAGCTTGATTTCATATTGCTTGTGAAGTTCTGATCCGATATGCTTTGATTGTGTTTCCAGTGAAGGCGTTCCCTAAGGATGATCCAACTAAGCCTTGCAGACTCACATCCTTCTTGGGATACAAAGCTGGGATGACTCACATTGTGAGAGAGGTTGAAAAACCTGGATCAAGTATGTTCTCATTCTCTTAACTTATTTATTCACAGAACTTATACTAATGATATATGCCTGTTGTGCTGATCTTTATTGATGTTATTGCCAGAGCTCCACAAGAAGGAAACATGTGAAGCTGTGACTATAATTGAGACACCTCCAATGGTGGTTGTTGGTGTGGTTGGGTATGTGAAGACACCTCGTGGTCTACGTTCTCTAAGTACTGTGTGGGCTCAGCATCTGAGTGAAGAAGTGAGGAGGAGGTTCTACAAGAACTGGGCCAAGTCAAAGAAGAAGGCTTTCACTAAATACTCAAAGAAGCATGAAACTGATGAAGGTAAAAAAGACATTCAAAGTCAATTGGAGAAGATGAAAAAGTACTGCACTGTCATCAGAGTTCTTGCTCACACTCAGGTATATCCATCATTCTCAAAATGGACTATAATTTTATTAGTTTCATTTTGTTTGATTTGTTTCTGATTACTTTGGCTATGCATTAGATAAGGAAAATGAAAGGACTAAAGCAGAAGAAGGCACATCTGAATGAGATTCAGATCAATGGTGGAGATATAGCAAAGAAGGTTGACTTTGCCTGCAGTTTGTTCGAGAAGCAAGTGCCTGTTGATGCCATTTTCCAGAAAGATGAAATGATCGATATCATTGGTGTCACCAAAGGAAAAGGGTATGAAGGTGTGGTAACAAGATGGGGTGTGACCCGTCTTCCAAGGAAGACTCATCGAGGACTCCGAAAGGTGGCCTGTATTGGTGCCTGGCATCCAGCTCGAGTCTCCTACACAGTGGCTAGAGCTGGGCAAAACGGGTACCACCACCGTACTGAGATGAACAAGAAGATTTACCGGGTTGGGAAAGTTGGCCAAGAGACTCACTTGGCCATGACCGAGTACGACAGGTAATAAAACTAACTATCTTGGAATGTTTCAGTCATCTGTGTAGGAAGTGGACTTGTCTTGGTGTTCATGTGCTGTTTTCTGTTTTTTTTCAACAGAACCGAGAAGGATATTACACCAATGGGAGGATTTCCACACTATGGGATAGTGAAGGAAGATTATTTGATGATCAAGGGAGGTTGCGTGGGGCCTAAGAAACGTGTGGTGACTTTAAGACAGACTTTGTTGAAGCAGACGTCTAGGGTTGCTACGGAGGAGATCAAGCTTAAGTTCGTTGACGTTTCTTCCAATTGGGGACACGGTCGTTTCCAGACTTCTCAAGAGAAGGCCAAGTTCTATAATAAAGCCATCAAAGCTTAGATTTTTATTATTCAAATCCCATTAAAACATTGTTTTGTCTTCTAAGTATTTGTTGTTTTTCTAGTTTCTTTCTTTATTGTTGGTTGGAGTTCTTTGACAGTTGTTATGTCTCTTCCTTTATTTTGGATTTTATCTATAAGTTTCTATGGTTTAATAGTTGCTTAAACATAGATTTCATTTTCTTTATGGTATGGCCTCAATTACCATTTCGATCAGACCATAGTGAGCTTTAAACATCCATCATAACCTATCATTATAATTCCACTCCTTATGATATACAACTCCTTCATACCTCTAAGTAAAGTGATACATAGAATGATTTCTTGATTGAAATATCTGGGAAAGGTAGAGGAACAAGGCTAAATGAATAATTTCCTTGTGAAGGATCTGTAATACTTTTCCAACAAGTAAGCTCGCGAGTTTCTCAAGTTCTCTCTCCTATGATCCTATCGTCATTCTTGGCAAAAATGAGTCATGTCGATGCTTGAAGTTTATTGGTGTTGAATTGAAATGTGGATACCAATAAGCAGGCCCATTAATAAACTAAATAAAAGGCTTCAAGGCCCAATATCTCAAAACCTAGTCCGTTGATGTTCTCCAAGCTATTTTATAGGAGGTGGACGAGGTTTTAGGGTTTTATTCATCGCAGAAACTCGACTTTGAGAGAAAAAATGGATTCATACTCTTCGCAGCCGATGGGAGGTGGTGCTTCGCCTTCGCCCGAAGTACTGATGGAGCAGGTCAAGACACAACTCGCTCAAGCTTACGCCGAAGAGTTCATCGAGGTCTAAATCTTTTTCCTAATTCCTCTTTCAATCTTTGAAATCGCCGACGAATTTGAAGTTTATTTTTAGTACACGAAGTAGAAATTTCCGACCAATCTCGAAGATTGTCTGTGAATCAGTAGTTCTTAAATATCTCCAAAGATTGAATTAAAGTTTCAATCTTTGAAATCTTCGACCAATTTGACTCTTCTTTTGTACACAAAGTTAACTTTTTTCGACCAATCCAATGTGATTTTAGTAGTTTTCTGTTATGAACCAACCTTGTTCCCATGGATTCTCAATGTTGTTGTATTAAAGTTTGTTTTTTTTTTGTTGTTGTGCAGACTGTGAGAGTAAAATGTTTTGATAAGTGCATAACGAAGCCAGGATCGAGCCTCGGTGGAAGTGAGAGTAGCTGTATTTCGAGATGCTTTGATCGTTACATTGAAGCTACTGGAATCATAAGTCGTTCTCTTTTCACCCAACGTTGAATCAATACTACTTCTGTTCTAATGATCTTGGTTGGTTTTATTCAGATTAAAAAACAAAATTACATTGGTTTAAGGTTGAAGATTTGCAGCTATCAACTTGCATTAGAGAATGGTTATGTTTCTATGTTGTTACGTGGTTCAAACTTGTTTTAGTACGAGTTTCATTTACTTGGGTCATATTGTTTCTCTAGTATATGCTTAGTAGTAGCATCGGAACGATAATGCCGGTAACCTCTTTGGAATGTAGATTTATGCATAAGAGTATAACTCTGTGTGTAAGTTTCCTTGACAGTTGAGTTCTGTGTAATGTATGATCCGTTCATGATCCTTAGTCTACACTATAGAAAACAATAGAAGCATACTAGAAATTGTTGCTGATCTTGGCACACATTAAGATGTACTTGGATGGAACATCTATGAATTCCGATGTTAATCCAATCGCCATCTTTAGATCATTCTCTCTAAAAGTATTCTTCCACATATAACTTGAACATGATCGCTAAGCAAATTTAGTATCCTTTGTTTATCTGTGTGTGGTTCTTCTAACGTCCTTGCGGGCCTTTTTGGTTTTTCCATTGATTCAATCTCAGTTCTCTCTTGAAAAGGCAAGATGACTAGAATTAATGAATTGCTATTGACAATCAGATTAAAGGCTAGGCTACCAAACAAAACCTTCCCATCACTCGTTGAAGCTCTGTGTCACACTCTCATATCTCCTTCTCTGTTTTAAAACTCCAAATAACCTTGAAGGCTTGATTTCTATCTCTCTTTCAAGCTGTAGATGATCTTTTCCGACATCCGTTCAAATTCCGACATTTCTCGCATCTCTTCGAATTTGTTGTTGTTATGTTTTTAGTTTTGATTCTAGGCTCTCAAAATTTCATGTTTTAAAAGTGTCTTTGCTAAATACAGTCTTCAGAAAACTTTAGGGGGTGTTATTGGTTTATTAATTTGTAAATCCATATAGAATTTGAAAATTTCTATTAATTATGAAATCAAGATATATGGAAACATTATTTGGATTCTCAAGTCCAAAAACAAATGAATAAACGAATAACATATGATTTTAACTAGTATTTATAAATCATAGAACTAATAACACATGAATTTAATTAGAATTTTAAAATCAATGATTGAATAACAAATGATTTTTGTTTGGATTTCTAATTCCTTATAAATCCATGAACCAATAACCCCCTCTTAGTCATTTTATCTCGAAGAGAAACTTTTAGATCCTTCGAAATGTGTAACATTAGATTGGAACATGGGATATATATATATTTCAATACACTTATATATTTGAAGCCTCGTGATATAGTGGCCTTATTTGCATCATAACTGATTCGAGAAAATGCGAAGACGAAGCAAACCAGTTAAGACTTCATTACCACAATCCTTAGTCAAGTGTCAAGACTGTATTACTACTTTTTGGCTTCTGCTAATATTCTCGTTCTATCGATGACTAAGTCGCTTGGAATAGTAAATTCGACTTCGGCTTATTTTAGCCTTAATTTAAAGCTTCAATCTTTGAGGGTAAGAAGCTAATTATAGTCACTGCAAGATAGCATCTACTTAACATTTTTGAAGTACAAATTTGCTCATTCCAATCGGGTCGGGTTTTTTTAATTTTTGACCCGGAATAATTGAATCGGATCCTTCCTTTTTTGGTGATTTTGATCCAAATATTATTTCAATCGGATCCTTCCTTTTTTGAGATTTTAATTCTATTTCAATATATTGGATATTCACAAATATCTTCTCACCCGATTTTCCAAAACAACTCTAATGATTTAATGCCCTTCAAAACAATTAAATGAAATTAGTTTAGATTTTCTTTGATTACGCTAACGAATAATTAATGCTAACATAAACAATTTTGGTAATATCCCATTTTAGTATAATTAAGGAAATCGAATTAAAAATAATAATAATAAACGAAATAAAAACTAATTAATACTGATTGACGAGAATTAAATGGGATATTCCATAACTAACTACTAAATCCTGCGTTAATACATAATTGTCATATTTTCAAAGATTTTTGCTTGCCCAATAAAATCGTAAGAATATATGATCATACCTAATTCTATCATGACCAAGGAACTATATAAATAACCTTTCAGCAAGAAAGAAAACACACCTAATCATATGAAGTTATATCTTTTCACTAGCAAACAAACACACCTAACAATATCATGGCTGCCCAATTTGTCTTTCTAAACGACTCAATGTAGGTAAGTCAATGCAAATACAAGGTTGTTAAAGAATCCAAATCTGAGTTTATCTCGCCTTTACTAAGTATCTCATCTTTATTATTCCATGGATTTTCAAATGCATTATTAAAGTTATTGTGAGATAGTATACTTTTTTTAATCTAAAAAACAATCCTATGTGAAATGATTCATCTTTTTTTATATCTCTTATTTTTGTGTTGATCATACATGTTTGTTCTATATGGCATTACAAGCTTTAATCCATTTCCATCTATAATCAATCCACTGTGAAATGATTCGTTGATAAAACAATTAGCACTTAAAAGAAGTCAATTAATGTTGTAATATTGTTATTATGTCATGTGATATATAAATATTTTATAAAATAATAAGAATAAAGAAGTCAGTTAATTTTGTAATATTGTTATTATGTCATGTGATATATAAATATTTTTACTTTATAAGAAGTTTAAAGATTATAAATATTTTAACTTTATAAAACGTTTAGAATATTTCTAATAGTTTAGTTCTGTAAAATTTTATAATGTTAATAATTTTGAACTCCATAAAAATTCAAAATATATATGGTAACCATTTAAAGTAAAAAAAAAATTAAATTGACTCGACTTATATGTTTTATATAAAAGTTTTATTAGAAAAACAATAACAAAATAATGTTTCATTTCACGAGACATGATTATATGGTGGGACAGGGTTGGATCGATATTAATATCAGACGATATCCCACGGGTGAAGTCCTAGATTTAACAATCAAAATACAATTATAAAATCTTAAACACTAAACAAAACAAACAATATTAACAAAACAAATATAAGTTTATACCAAGAAAATATACAAAATTAATACAACAATATCATAAGTTTATAACAAATATATATATTTACCCCGCGGTACACCGCGGGTCAAATCCTAGTTTTGTATTATTTTGAGGAGCCTAAATTTTAAGAAGACATTATCAGTTTTTTTTTTTTTTTTTTTTTTTTTACTAAAAGCATCATTGTTTACTAAAAACTATGCGGTAACTAATCATAATCCAAAAATAACAACATTTGAAATCCATCTCTTCTCTACTATATAAACACCAATAAGAGTTTCTTCATAATCCCACAGAGCCAATTCCAAATACAATTAAATACATAAATAAATAAATTGAGCTCCTAATCGGGGTTTCTTTTAAAATTTATTTATTTGTTTAATCTACTTGAAAAACAACATATAAAAGTTAATAATAATATGGGGATGTCTAAAAGTATCAAGGTTATTCTATCTCTCGCTCTCGTAGTGTTCTTGGCTCTTGCAGCGATCAAGACTGAGGCAAAAGTCATAGATTATCGTGATCTTTATCGTGGTGATCACAGTAGGAATTGTGATCGAGCGAACCCTGCCTCATGCAAGAAACAAGAAGCGAATCCTTACAGGAGAGGATGCGAAAAGACCCTACATTGCCGTGGCGGTACTCCAGACAACCCAAAGCGTTGAATCAACCATCCAATCCAAGAGCACAAAATATACATCAATACTAGTTTCCTATTTATTAAGAATGTGTTGACAGGCTTTTGATTCGAGTACCACTCTTGGTTATCTGTATACACACACACAATACATCCTCATATTTATATGTTAATGAGATTAATTATAGTCTATTTTTTGGGCTTTGTAATTGATTGTAACCAGATGTTATGATCGATCATATATAAATATATTTCAGTTATTATCCGATATTTTAACAATCTTACGAGCTATTATTCACTTTCTTATACACATTTGAGCGATTATCATACTTTTTGGTACAATATACATGTCAAGAATTATGGGAATATACAATGATTATTCATCTCTAGGATGGAATTCAAAAAAAGTAAACCCAAGTCTAAAACTACATAGTTTGTTTCATGTTCTAAATTCTCATATAAAATAAAAACTTTAAGTAAAACATATTGAAGATTTTTAAAACGGATGCCTAGAAGTTAGTCTATATTAGACGATCAATTGTATTCAGTTTACTAGAATTTGCGCAAACCACTGTTCTAAAATATTACTTATTTATGACAAATTTTAAGTGTAAGAAAAAACTGCCAAAAAAAAAAAAAACAGTAAACAAGTGTATGACTTAAAAAATGAGAGAGAACTTTAGAAATAACCAAGAATATTCAAGTTTGGAGGATTTGACTAACATGAGTGAATATTGGGATAATGAGAAAATTATAGTATATAATTTTGATACAAATCAATGACATCTTGTTGAAAAATTTAGAAACAATTGTATATTTTGATATAGACAAAGGACATTTTTCTTTCAATATGTATAAGAAAAATGAATTCGTTCTAACAAAGATCCTAGCGTCTTATGGGAATATACAATGATTAGTCATCCCTAGGACGGTTTGGTTTAATTACCATCTTATGCTTCCATGTTTTATCTTTTTTACTATGGAACCATGTATGTAGGTTTCTAATCTTTAAATTGTAACCTAAACTGTTTTTTTGTTATCTATGAAATATTTACAATTTAGCAAAAAAGAAGAAGAAGAAGAAGATTCTACTGTTAGACTCTTGTATTTTTGGATTCAATATTTGGTCATCTAGCAAGACGTTGCTTGTTTTTAACCCTTTTAAGTATCTGTACATTCTTACAAAAGAACCTCTCCAAAACCCTTCAAGTATGCTAAAGAGCAAACTCCAATCGAGGAGCTTTTTGCTTCAGTGGGGTAGTAGGAAATGTTGAATGCAAAATAATTTCTTTCATATGTACACAAATTTTTACTATAATTCTAGAAACTTTTTCCTTAAAATTTTTTTTTTTTTGTTTTAAATCGACGAGTCTTTGTTCAAATATAGTTCGTGTAATTAACGTCAATATAAACATTGTGGAACTCTCTAAAAACAACATTTGTTTACTAAAATTTATGTGGTTACTAATCATCATCCAAATATAACTAAGTTTAAAATCCATTTGTTCTCAACTATATAAACATCAATTAGCGCTTGTTCATACCATAGAGCCAATTTCTGATACAATATTAAATAAATAAATAACACAAACTGAACTCCTAATCGGGGTTCTTTTTATAAATTTATTATTTAGTTATTGTGGAAGAAGAAGAATAATAATATGGGGATGTCTAAAAGTATCAAGGTTATTCTATCTCTTGCTCTCGTCGTGTTCTTGGCCCTTGCATCAACCAAGGTTGAGGCCACAAGATACATAACTTATCCTAGTATAAATCATGGAGATCATGCTACACATTGTGACAAAGCCCACCCTAACACGTGCAAGAAGAAAGAAGCAAATCCTTACAAAAGAGGATGCGAAATAGTCGAACGTTGCCGTGGTGGATCCACCCCAAGAGCATAAAATATACATCAATACATTATCTATATACACACTTGACATCCTCATATTCATTTTTAATGAGATTATTTATATAGTCTATTATTGGTTTTGTAATTGATGTAACCAGATGATGTTACGATCAATCATATATAAATATACTTTAGTTATTATCCGATTTCGAGCTATTTTTTACTTCAGTTCCTTGCATACATTTGAGCGATTATCATCACTAGAATGGTATTCAAAAAAGTAAACCCAAGACTAAAATTACATAGTTTGTTTCATGTTCTAGATTCTCATACAGAGTAAAAACTCTTAGCAAATTAAAACACGTTGCAATTTTTGAAACGGCTGCCTAGACGTTGGTCTATTACACGATCAATTTTATTCAGTTTACTAGATTTGTGCAAACCATTGTTCTAATATTTTTATGTATTGATGACATATTTTTAATTGTAATTAAGCATAAATTAATTGCCAAAGAATACTTTAAACAAATGTATGACTTAATTAATTGAGAGAGAACTTTACAAATAACCAATAATATTCAAGTTTGGTGAATTTGACTAACATGCATGAGTATATATATAGGGATAATGAGAAAATTAAAGTATTTAATTTTGATATAGATAAATGACATGTTATAGAAAAAAACAAAAAAACAATATTATATTAGTTATTGCAAATTTTGAAATCAAATTAGTTATTCCTCTGTGCCCACTTTTTTTTTTTTTTATATTGGTATCAGTTTGGTTTTTCAGCATTTTTAAATAAAACAGATTCCTTTTTTTGGACAAGATCCTAGCGCTAGACTCTTGTATGTTTTAGATTTAATTTTTGGTCATCTAGCAAAATTTTACTAAACAGTACTGTAAATTTACAATATGACACTGTTTAGTAAAACAAAGAAATACAAAATATGCAACTAGAAAATATACACTACACCTAATAGAGGAATACAAATGGAATACCTAGCATAACAAGTTAAACATACAATTTCGATTCAGTTTTAAAACTACGACTGTGATTGTTTTTTTTTTTAATTATAAAAAATACTTCATAAACTAAATTTACTTCGTGTAAATACTAAAAAAGAAATACCGCAGTTGCGAAAGATATCGGCAAAGGAGGATTTAAACATACTTCAAAAGAATACATTTTCTAGTGACACACACACATATATATTTTGAATTTTTGATAAAAGAACTTCTATTGAAATGGAAAAGAGTTTACATGAAATAAAATAAGAAAACAATATATGAAGTAATCCAAAGGAAGGGAGCAAGAGAAGGTACGAGCAAAAAAAGGTATAGGGATTGGATATGATGGCTCCGATCGAGAGCCACAAATTAAGGTTAAGGACATCGAGCAAACAAATGTGAAGCACAGCCCAGCATCTACAATGCATCATCCATCGGTGTCTTAGGAATGATGGATAGAGGCAGCGACAACCAAGCTAGTCAAACTACAGACATATTGTTATTGTTAATCTAAATAGTTATTTTATAAAGATACAAAGCCCTAAACTAAATTAATTTCTTTCAAACATATGCAAATTCTATAAATAGTTTTCTAGAAACCTATATTTTTTTGTCTTTTCTGTTTTAAACAGACTATCTTTATTTCTACTAAAAACAACATTCATTTACTAAAATATATGTGGTTACTAATCATCATCCAAATATAACCAAGTTTAATTTGAAATTCATATGTTCACTACTATATAAATACCAACTAGCGCTTGTTCATAATCCCACAGAGCCAATTTCCAATACAATATTAAATATATAAGTACCATAAACTGAACTCCTAATTGGAGTTCTTTTTATAAATTTATTATTTATTTATTGCGGAAAAAGAACAATAATAATATGGGGATGTCTAAAAGTATCAAAGTTATCCTATCTCTTGCTCTCGTAGTGTTCTTGGCCCTTGCAGGAACCAAGGTTGACGCCACAAGATACATAACTTATCCTAGTATGAATACTGGAGATCATGCTTTACATTGTGACAAAGCCCACCCTCACACCTGTTGGAAGAAACAAGCAAATCCTTACAGGAGAGGATGCGGAGTGATCGAAGGTTGCCATCGTGAAACAGGTAGAAAATGAATCAATTAACCCACCCAATATTCATCGTGTTGACATTTTTCTCATTGGAGTACCTTGGTTATATATCTGTATACACACTTAACATCCCCATATTCATTTGTTAATTTGGCTTTGTAATTGATTGTAATCACATTGTGTTATCATCAATCATATATATATTTTAAAAATATTTCGAGCTATTTTTCAATTTCTTATATACATTTGAGCGATTATCATACTTCTTCACAATAACAAGAACTATGGGAATACAATAATTAATATTATTAATCCCTAGGATGGAATTCAAAAAATTAAACCCAAGACTAAAAATACATAGTTTGTTTCATGCTCTAGATTTTTATACACAACAACAAATGTCTTAACATCTAATAACAAGTAACAAAGTACACGATTCATTTACAATTGAGCTTGTTTGCACTCTTCAAGGAAAAAAAAATTGTATGCAGGAAACATTTTTTGTTTTCGCGATTTGCAGTAGCCAATTAACCATGCACGTTTGTAATTTGTAAGATTGACGTTGAGATCACAGCCCACAAGGACTGGTGAGATTAAAGCATGTTAGAGTTTTGTAAGGTAAGTACGACCGAGGGTAATACACATATTGAATTGCTTTTCGTCATTAATAAATGTTATCACGACAATACATCATTTGTAGTAGACATGTATGTATTGTCATTTGTTACAATAATTTCTTACCAGATTAGTATTCATTATAGACGTCGTCAATGCATAAAATTGTAGATGTACCAACGTATATATAGTACCATGTGCATGGTTGTATCAATATTAGTTTTAGGTTTGTTATAATGCAAATTAATCGTTGTAGAGCCAAGTCTACATTGCATTGAAAAATGTAATGCTATGACACATGTTTACCAGGGCCGGCTCAATTAATTTTGAGTCCTGGTACAAATCTTAAAAATTGGTCCTTTTTCATACAAAAAAAAAAAATTGGGCCTTTTTCATGTTAAAAAAACTTAAAAATTAACCACTTTCATACTAAATAAAATATTTAGGCTTTTTTTATGATAAAGATATCTTAAAGTTTTAAAAATTACATTTTTTTCTATAAAAAAAAAAAAATTGGGCCCTTAAATTTACCCAAAAAAAATTGGACCCGGTACAATTGCTCCACTTGCACACCCCAAACGCGGCACTGATGTTTACAAGCCATGTTATGACTAGGGTTTGCCAAAATATATAAATACTTGATTTGATTAGTTATATGTCCCAATCCGTTTTAAACTATGACACCAATTACAAATTGTTTACCATTATATACAAACTACAACACCATATTTATAATAAAGCCAAAATTTAAGTAAACATGAATTATAAATATTTCACCAAAAGTTTTCGGTAGAATTTCCAAAATATAATAATAAAAAAATGCTGGTTCTTAAACCTTCACTGGATGCATATAGTAAAATATAGTAGTAATATCATGTGAAAGTGATGACTTTTTATAGCATTAGAAGTAGTTAACTCCCTCATATAATTACTCTAAATAAACTAATTGCCCGAATGATGCAATTATGTTGTATTATTAAATTAAAAGTTAATTCAACCTTCACTGGATGCATAGCCAAAATAGTCATATAATAATATGTAATCAACACTCGATGTAGCTATCAATCTCTTTAACGCACCCAACCAATATTCAAATGTTGTTTTAATTTTTTATATGGTTATTTAATCGCCTCGACTTTTTTGGCATCGATCACATCTACAAATAATTGTTAGTTAGCACGACCGTTATTATAACTTTATGAAGAATTGCTAATCTGAAAATATCCTTTCGATATATCAGTTGGAAAATGGAAATACATTTTTAAATATTTGTTATGAAGAGCTTGCGGCTGAGTCAAATAAAATGAATTGAAAACTAAAGAGGGTGATTGACAAAAATCATAAGATGACTTTAGACGCTGAAACCTTTTTTTGAATAAAACCAAGTTCTTAAGAACACATTTGAATCAATCATAGAAATATGTGTGGAATGAAAACATATATTTCTACCAAATATTTTCTTTTTACCAAATTATTTTTTTTGTTACCCAATTTTTTTTTTAAACACACGGCTAAACGAGTTTTTTATGATACAGATTTATTATTAAATTAGCTAATAAACATTAGAAAATTGCTTTACCTATTATAGGTTGTATCGTATCTCTTGGACTTTAAATATCGTTGACGATCTTGACAAATAAAAGCTGGCAGCTCATTGATTTTGTATTTATAATAATGTGAAAAATGTGTGGGAATTGGGATCCAATATTGGATAGAGGATTCGCTTTACTGTATCTCGATCTGAAACTCTAATTTTATGATGTTGCTTATGATCTGGATTGTATCAAACGATCATTTCTGAGTTTTCGTGTACGCATGTCAACCAAAATTTAAGATAATATTACGTAGATTTCTTAAATATTAAATATTTACAGATTTTCAAAAAATATTTTTGTAAATTACAAATCCGAATAGAAAGAGTCTATTTGCGTTTAGAACAAAAATTAAATAAATAATTTAAGACTGCTGGAGCATCAAATATCGTTTTTAGTTAATTCGACTTTCTTATATCGTTATTTTGTAATTAGTTTACACGAAAATATTAGCATACATGTACTTTTGGTGTGAGGTTTTGAGGACTGGCCTTGGTCGCGGATGCTCGGGAAAATTTTGAGTTTATGTTGTGTTCTGCATTTGTCTTTTTCGGTGGTGATTTCATTTCGTCTCTCCGTTCTTACCGTTTTGTTCGAATTAGTTTACTTGTTTCTTGTTATATTCTATTCTTCTTCTTTCATATTATAATTTTTCGGTCTTTTCCGCTTCTCATAATTCTCTCTAACGTCTGTCACAAATGAAATGATATAAATTTAGTCTTTTATCTTAAGAAAAAATATTAACATATAATATTATAAAAAAGGAAAAAAGGTATTACCATATAACAAAATATTTGAGCTCTAATGGCCATCCATGAAAAATAAAGATTCATGTAGGAGGAAAAGTTATACAGAAATATTAAATTCTAAATAATTAAATAAATAAATAGTCGATAAAATAAAGGAATAAATAAAAACTCACCAAAGTCCATAACAGTTCACACAGCATGTTTTCAGAAAAAATAGTTCATATATTGGTTTCAAAGTCTTTGACTTTGAAAGTTTGAACATTTCAAGGTTCGCCTACTCGCCGGTCTTCTTCTTTCAGCTTCGTCTCTCTGTTTATATAAGAACAGAGATACGTATTCGATGATTGCAAAAAAACAAAAAAAAAAGAAAGAAAATTATTTATCTCTTCTTTAGAATTCTGTGGAAAGTACACTATTTAATAAGAGAGAAAACTTCAAAAGGAAAGCTTTTTGCTTGGAATTGTTCTGTGAGCTCTAATGGCGGATCAAGTTAAAGAAAAGACATTAGAGGAAACTTCTACATGGGCCGTTGCTGTGGTTTGCTTCGTCTTGCTTTTGATTTCGATTGTTATTGAGAAACTTATTCATAAAATTGGATCCGTAAGTCTCTTTCTTGACTTCTCCTCCTCCTTTAAGATTCTCTGTTTCTTGCTCTGTTTCTGTATCTGTTTAGTTCTTCCCAAAAATTAAACTTGATTGATCTCAAAAACTTACATCAGTTTCTGTTTTGAAACTGCTAAAACCCAAAAGGGTTTTACAGTTTTTTTGTACTTGTGTCGGTTTCATAGTATCCTCTGTTTCTAATACTAAACAAAAGTCTGTTTTTGTGTTTCTTCTTACAGTGGTTTAAAAACAAGAACAAAAAAGCTCTATATGAAGCACTTGAAAAGGTGAAAGCAGGTAAATTTATTATTTATTTAAAATTTATTATAAAAAGCAACAAATTTACACTTTTAAAATTCTTTTAATCATCTTTAGTTTTGGTTAATTAAACATTAATTAAATGTTAATTTGCAGAGCTTATGCTGATGGGATTCATATCACTACTTCTAACAATTGGACAAGGATATATCTCAAATATTTGCATACCTAAGAACATCGCAGCATCGATGCACCCTTGTAGTACATCCGAAGAGGCGAGAAAGTACGGTAAGAAAGATGTCCCAAAGGAAGATGGAGAAGATGGAGAAAACTCGCGTCGAAAGCTTCTACAGTTAGTTGATTCTCTTATTCCTCGAAGGAGTTTGGCTACCAAAGGTTATGACAAGTGTGCAGAGAAGGTAAATTATCTAACTATAGAAATCTTTCTTTGTAAGAGCCACTAGTGTGACCCTTTTCTAATGTTTATTTCCAGGGAAAAGTCGCTTTTGTATCGGCTTATGGCATGCATCAGCTGCATATATTCATATTTGTTCTTGCGGTTTGTCATGTGATCTACTGCATTGTTACTTATGCTTTGGGCAAGACCAAGGTAAGTTCTTTTATATCCATCCACATTGTGGTGACACCGGTTGAGATTTTGCTTCATTTCGCTGAAGATTGGATTTATCTATCTTACTGCAGATGAGAAGGTGGAAGAGGTGGGAAGAGGAGACGAAGACAATCGAATATCAGTATTCACACGGTATATGTTACAAACTTGGAATGAGAAATTGATAAAACTTGAGTGTGAAGTGTTAACGAGGAATGTTTCGAATAATGTAGATCCCGAGAGGTTTAGGTTTGCGAGGGATACATCTTTCGGGCGTAGACATCTAAATTTCTGGAGCAAATCGACTATCACGCTGTGGATTGTATGTTTCTTCAGACAGTTCTTTAGATCTGTTACCAAAGTTGATTACTTAACACTGAGACATGGTTTCATCATGGTATAAGTCAATCTTTCGATCTTTAATTTTTCTGTTGTATAAAACCTTATCTCTCAAGGCAAAGATCTTACAGCATTGCGCAAATGCTTCTTCGTTTTCTTCTATTTCAGGCCCATTTGGCTCCTGGGAGCGACGCAAGATTCGATTTCCGCAAGTATATTCAGAGATCATTAGAGGAAGACTTCAAAACCATTGTCGAGATCAAGTATGGAACTAATTACAATTACAAACTCCATCAGCTCACTAATTACTACTAAATCTGATGTTTCAAATGTGCTTATATCTTCAGTCCTGTGATCTGGTTCATCGCCGTGTTATTCCTACTGACAAACACAAACGGTACATACACTCATTTCAAAACATTGCTACATTGATATCTCTGTAAACACCAACAATCCAAAACTAATAAAAATTTCTCTGCTTTTCTAATGAACAGGATTGAATTCTTACCTCTGGTTACCGTTCATTCCCTTCGTCGTAAGCAACAAACAAAACCCTTAAAAGAAACATATATGTTTTGTTTCGGTTTCGACTCTGTAACAAGAATATGAATGCATAAACAAACTGCAGGTGATTCTTATTGTTGGGACAAAACTTCAAGTGATAATAACAAAACTGGGACTTAGAATCCAAGAGAAAGGCGACGTAGTGAAAGGCACACCGCTAGTTCAGCCCGGTGATCATTTCTTCTGGTTTGGTCGTCCACGTTTCATTCTCTTCCTCATTCACTTAGTCCTCTTCACGGTATACATTCATCTTTACTTTCTGCTCTCTCTCCTTACAACAACCGCGAAAAACACCTGCAATTTAACCATTTCTTTTCGCCATCTGTAGAACGCGTTTCAACTCGCTTTCTTTGCCTGGAGTACGGTAAGCAAGCAATTCTGCGTTCTCCACAGACTTAAAACGTAATATTACCAATTTAATCATCATTTCATCAAAACTATTTGCTATTTTCTTCAGTATGAATTCGGTCTAAAGAACTGTTTCCATGAAAGCAGAGTAGATGTGATCATCAGAATCTCAATCGGGTAAGTAAAAAAAACAATCATACAAACTGAGAAAATCATCCCTTCAAAACTAACAAAGTCACAACCTTTTCTTGATCTTGCAGACTTATCGTCCAGATTCTTTGCAGCTACGTTACTCTTCCTCTATATGCTCTTGTTACTCAAGTAAGACCCACACACAGAAACACATAAAGATTGAAACTTTTCAATTTCAAAATCTGATATTTTTGAATCTTGATGAACTTTTAGTAAAGATGGGTTCAAAGATGACACACACACACACACTCAAAACACATAAAAATTGTAACTTTTCAATTTTAAAAATCTGACATTTTTGAATCTTGATTCAATTTTGGTGAAGATGGGTTCAAAGATGAAACCAACAGTGTTCAACGAGAGAGTAGCAACAGCGTTAAAGAGTTGGCATCACACAGCAAAGAAACAGATCAAACATGGAAGAACTTCAGAATCAACAACACCTTTCTCTAGCCGACCAACAACACCAACACATGGTTCTTCTCCGATTCATCTTCTCCGCAATGCCCCTCATAAACGAAGCAGAAGCGTCGACGAAAGCTTTGCGAATTCGATATCACCAAGAAACTCTGATTTCGATTCATGGGATCCTGAATCTCAACACGAAGCAGCTGAGACTTCGAATTCAAATCATCGTTCTAGGTTTGGAGAAGAAGAATCGGAGAAAAAGCTTGTTTCTTTATCATCAGTGGAACTTCCTCCAGGACCTGGACAAATACGAACACAGCATGAGATTAGTACTATAAGCTTAAGAGATTTTTCGTTTAAACGATGATTTATAATTTCTTAATTGATACTAATATTTAGTGATTTGTTAATATGAAAACAGTTGTTGTACATTTTCAACATTATACATAAATATTTCTTTTTGTGGTAATAAAAATTTCAGCTTTATTATACATATTCTTTTCATTTTACATATTGTTGATCACTTCTCTATGAGACTCTCTGAAACCTAATTTCTCAACGTGCATGTTGTTTATAATTTGAGCCTTGAGGTATCTGTTAAAAAGTCTATGCAGATTCATGGGAAGTTGTTGAAGTGTTGGCTCTTGTCTTCAGGTTTGTTCGCCATGTCTGAGTTTGAGAGTTTGTGAAAGATGGGATATCAGATGTAGAAAGCATGCAACGTGTTTGATAAAATGCCTGAGTGAGACTTGGTTTTCCTGAAACACAGTGGTTTCTGGGTATAAATATATATAGATTGGATTGGCGATGATGGTATTAGTCTATTAGACATGGTTTGTACTTTGCAGAATCTGAAGACTGGTTTCATCACCATTGTTTCATTGAGTATTGACAAGGTGAGTAGGGATCTCTTGTGAATGCCTTCAAGGATTTGCTAGACAGCTCTTTGGTGGAATGTTATTCATGGGTTTCGATGATTGACGGGGTATGTGCAGAAGGAGAATTCTAAAGAAGCAATTTCGTAACTTTATGGTTTGCATCCTTTGTGCTTACGTCAACGACCAGAACCTGGTGGCCAGGACCCTTGTATCTTGGACACAATGATATTTAAAACCAGAGACACTGTATCGGGGACAGACTGTACAATTTTCATATTTTGATCAACAAGTTGAGGACCTGAAAATGACACAAATGTTTCAATATGGGTCAACCGTTGCATGGTTGATTGGGTAAAAGGTTGGAATTCTTTAGAGCCAACTGGTAAACAGAAGCATTTCGTTTAATTAATTCTGTATTATAAAACAAGGTCTAAGTTGAACATGAATTAAGTAATGCAGTATCTTGGAAGATGGGTGAGCCTGTGGTCAACATTGTTCAGAGGTGCTTGAGAATCTTTCTCTTAAGTTCTTGAGCTTGTTTTCTTGGCTCACTTTCTCGTGTTTACATGTTCCTTTCTTACACTAATCTGAAAGAGATTGTTTTTGGAGACGCAAGAACAGACATGGGAAAGACGAGGTTTTTCTTTGCGTGTTTGCTCTTGTTTACCATGTTCTTAAGTTTTGGCTATGCAGCTATAACAACAGAAAGTCCTTTGTCAATAGGACAAACTCTCAGCTCCTCTAATAATGTTTATGAATTGGGGTTCTTCAGTCCTAATAACTCCCAGAGTTTGTATGTTGGAATCTGGTTCAAGGGTATCATTCCTCGGGTGGTTGTGTGGGTGGCCAATAGAGAAAATCCTGTTACAGACTCTACGGCAAATCTAGCTATCGGCAGCAATGGAAGTCTTCTCTTATTTAATGGCAAACATGGCGTTATCTGGTCTATTGGGGAAACTTTTGCATCTAACGGGTCTCGTGCAGAGCTTTCAGACAGCGGAGATCTTTTCGTCATAGACAATGCTTCAAGGAGAACTCTATGGCAAAGCTTTGAGCATCTTGGTGATACTATGCTACCTTACTCCTCATTGATGTATAACCTAGCCACTGGTGAGAAGCGGGTGTTGACTTCGTGGAAAAGTTACACTGACCCATCACCTGGTGAATTTGTGGGTCAAATTACACCGCAAGTGCCATCACAGGGGTTTATTATGAGAGGCTCGAAGCCTTATTGGAGAAGCGGTCCATGGGCTAAAACAAGGTTCACTGGCCTACCACTAACGGATGAATCATACAGAAATCCATTTAGCCTTCAGCAGGATGCAAACGGGTCAGGATACTTTTCTCATTTACAAAGAAACTACAATCGTCCATTTGTAGTATTAACATCAGAGGGATCACTGAAGCTTACTCAGCATAATGGCACGGACTGGGTATTGAACTCTGAGGTTCCAGCTAACTCCTGCGATTTTTACGGTATATGTGGACCTTTTGGGTTGTGTGTAATGTCCATTCCTCCAAAGTGTAAATGCAATAAAGGTTTGGTACCTCAATACAGCGAGGAATGGAAAAGAGGAAACTCCATTGTCAAGGAAACTCTACTAGCAAAGATGTAAACGTCTTATATCCTGTTGCCAACATAAAGCCTCCAGACTTTTACGAATTTGTGTACTCAGGGAGTGCAGAAGAATGCTACCAAAGTTGCCTCCACAATTGTTCGTGCTTGGCTGTATCTTATATTCATGGAATAGGCTGCTTAATGTGGAGCCAGGAACTAATGGATGTAGTGCAATTCTCTGCGGGAGGAGAGCTTCTTTTCATTCGTCTTGCACGTTCTGAAATGGGTATGCCTTGAAAAAATAACATCCAAGAGCTTTGTCATTTACAACTTTATCTTCATATTCACTGATCAGCGTGGCTTGTTTGTTTCTTTTTTCTTATATATCTCAGGTGGAAACTCGCGCAAGAAGACCATTACTGCTAGTATTGTCAGCCTTTCTCTTTTTGTGATACTGGGTTCTTTTGCGTTTGGTTTCTGGAGAGTGAAACATAATGGTAACTCATTGATGACCTTACTTTTCTACATCAATCTCTTGTTGTTATCTTTTCATTTTCTTGGTAACCGAATGACTAATTAAAAAGACCCCCAAAGCGTAGGTTCAGCTACGTGTGTTTCGAATTATTGATATGCAATATAAAAGCAAAAGAGTTTTTCCACGACATCTTTATATATGCATCAATTCTTGTAGTCTTATCTTGAGTTGTGGTATCGTTATCATTTGGTGGAATTCCACTAAATAGACTAATGCAAACATGTCCTAGACACCATACTCTATTCTTTCTGTACCTTGGTTTCCGGCTTGCTTGAGAAAATTATGCTCATTTTGAGATTTGGCTTGATGGTTAAATAACTAGATGTTAAGCACTAACACATGAATTCTTGAAACTCTAGTTTCAGCTAATATATCAAAGGTTGTTTCACAAGGTGCATTGAGGAATGATCTGAAACCAGAAGATATCCCAGGTTTATATTTCTTTGAGATGAAGACCATTGAAGTTGCCACCAATAATTTCAGTCTCTTAAACAAACTCGGACAAGGTGGATTTGGTTCAGTTTACAAGGTCAGGGAAGTTTTATTCTCTTTGCTCTTTTCATCTCGAGAATGTTACATCAATTTCTTTACCTTCTGCAATCTATCTCAGGGAAAGCTGCAAGATGGGAAAGAAATTGCTGTAAAACGTCTTTCTAGTAGCTCTAGACAGGGAAAAGAGGAGTTCATGAATGAAATAGTACTCATCTCAAAACTCCAACACAGAAACTTGGTTCGGATTTTGGGATGTTGCATTGAAGGAGACGAACGGCTATTGATTTATGAATTCATGGTGAACAAGAGCCTTGATACTTTTATCTTTGGTGGGTTCCTTCTTGCCTATTTCCCTTTTTATTAGCAGCTTTAATACTACATGGAACTGTCTTATCTGAAAGTTTCTATACTGTTTTATTGTGTAGATTCAAGAAAAAGGCTTGAGATTGACTGGCCAAAGAGACTCAATATCATTCAAGGTATTGCGCGTGGACTTCTCTATCTCCACCGTGACTCACGCCTCAGGGTTATTCACCGAGATCTGAAGGTTAGCAATATTCTTCTCGATGAAAAAATGAACCCGAAAATATCAGACTTTGGATTGGCTCGGATGTATCAAGGAACCCAATATCAGGACAAAACTCGCAGGTTTGTAGGAACTCTGTAAGAACCATTCGTCGAAAACATGCTTATCTAGGATTTATAGTTATAATGATATATTAACTTGGGAAACTATCTAATATATGTGCAGAGGATATATGTCTCCTGAGTATGCATGGACTGGAGTTTTCTCTGAGAAGTCTGACACCTATAGCTTCGGAGTTCTTTTGTTAGAAATTATCAGTGGAGAGAAGATCTCAAGGTTTAGCGATGATGAAGAGTGCAAAAGCCTTCTTGCATATGTAAGTAAGATTTTAGATATAGAAACTTGTACTTGATCTCCATCAAGTGCAGAGATTTCACTGCCCGTTTTACAATGTTTCTTGGTCTTATATTTTCTTGTTCTGAATCCAAAACAGGCGTGGGAATCTTGGTGCGGAAATGGAGGAGTTGATTTTTTGGATAAAAATGTGGCTGATTCATGTCACCCATCTGAAGTTGGAAGGTGTGTTCAAATTGGTTTGCTTTGTGTTCAACACCAACCTGTAGAGAGACCCAACACACTTGAGTTGTTGTCTATGCTCACCACAACATCAGATCTTCCACCACCAAAAGAACCCACATTTGCAGTGCATACTAGCGATGACGGATCCCGTGCTAATGATTTGATTACCGTCAATGAGGTGACACAATCTGTGGTGCTAGGGCGTTAAGAACAACGCTTTACCTTAATTAAAATGATCAAAATTGTTCAATGTGTTGTAACTTCTACATACATTCATTTTCAATTAAATCTTTTGTTTCTGTTAATGCCTAAAGGGACTGTATATTGTTGAGTTCTCGTTTTGAGGCTTTACTTTATGTCTGTCTTCTCTTGGGTCTTGGCATTTATGCTCTCGCTGGTGGCACTGACACAACCAAACGTTTCCGTTTAAACTGGCGATTTTGAGTTGAAGCACGCGATGTAAGTGTTCAGTGAAATGCATGCACGAGATGTAAGGCTTCAAAGGCTGGAAAATCCAAGAATCCCAGATCTTTCCAAGTCTTAGCAAGATCAAGGGTGCTACTTACGCCCCTGCTACAAATTAATCTTTTGCGTTGAAGATGATGGTAAGGATTGCTGAATAGTCACAGGTAGGACAATTTACTTACGCTTTGTGCTGATTTGTTAATGGTTCCACCTTTTAAGAATGGTTACTGCTCATCAAGAGACTACTGATGAGAAGTCTCCTGAGTGGCTCCTTTACTACAACTAAAAGGAGCCACTAACAAGTCACAGCTCTAGTTGATAATTTCATACCAGTATCACTGTGAACGATCTGGCAGGGTCTTTTCACGAACTTGCCAAAAACCAACAGGTAAGTGGTGAACTAGGAGGAGGTAGCATTGTGCAGAAGGCAACTTTGTCTAGCAGTTATTTGTTTAGTTCTACAGATAAATCATCTCGACCTTCTGAATCTTCAGATTTCAGTGTAAATATCAGAAGCTCTTCACCATTTAACTCAGCTAAAAGTGAAGCAACTGTGAAGAGATCTCGTCCGTCTTTCCTTGATTCCCACGATATTTCAAGAGCTCCAGAGACTCAATATCAACACGCTGAGATAAAAGCGGATTTGGTTACATCCAGTGGTTCCCAACTAACTTGGCAGTGATGGTTTTAGGCCATCTTCACTCCAGTATATATCAGGGAAAGGAGATAGTAATGGAACGTCTTTGACAAGCGGAGCATCTGATTCTCCTAATCCTTTTGAAAAATTCCGTTGTTCTTTGTATCCTGCAGCCAATGGAGTAATGCCAGGTTTTACTGACTTCTCCATGCCAAAACAAAATGATGATTCTACCAATTCAATCATCATTCATCAAACCATTTGCTTATCTCTGTAGTATGAATTTAAACTCAAAAACTGTTTCCATGAAAGCAGAGTAGATGTGATCATCAGAATCTCAATCGGGTAAGTAAAAAACCAATCATAGAAACTGAGAAATCATCTCTTCAAAACTAACAAAGTCACAACCTTTTGTTGATCTTGCAGACTCATTGTCCAGATTTTTTTGCAGCTACGTTACTCTTCCTCTATATGCTCTTGTTACTCAAGTAAGACCCACACACAAAAACACATAAAGATTGAAACTTTCAATTTCAAAATCTGATATTTTTGAATCTTGATGAACTTTTGGTGAAGATGGGTTCAAAGATGACACACACACACACACAAAACACATAAAGATTGTAACTTTCCAATTTCAAAATCTGACATTTTTAAATTTTGATTCAATTTTGGTGAAGATGGGTTCAAAGATGAAACCAACAGTGTTCAACGAGAGAGTAGCAACAGCGTTAAAGAGTTGGCATCACACAGCAAAGAAACAGATCAAACATGGAAGAACTTCAGAATCAACAACACCTTTCTCTAGCCGACCAACAACACCAACACATGGTTCTTCTCCGATTCATCTTCTCCGCAATGCCCCTCACAAACGAAGCAGAAGCGTCGACGAAAGCTTTGCGAATTCGATATCACCAAGAAACTCTGATTTCGATTCATGGGATCCTTAATCTCAACACGAAAATGCAGAGACTTCGAATTCAAATCATCGTTCTAGGTTTGGAGAAGAAGGATCGGAGAAAAAGTTTGTTTCTTCATCATCTGTGGAACTTCCTCCAGGACCTGGACAAATACGAACACAGCATGAGATTAGTACTATAAGCTTAAGAGATTTTTCATTTAAACGATGATTTAATATTTCTTAATTGATTTATTTAGTGATTTGTTAATATGAAAACAGTTGTTGTACATTTTCAACATTATACATATTATTTGTTAAATATTTTCAGATTTAGCAAATGATGTTGCTTTGTTCACTTCTCACAGACTTGAGAACTTGAAGCTCTAATTTTTCAATGTAAAAGTCTGATGTTTTGGATTTTTAGACTATGGAGATTCATGGGAAGTTGTTTAAGAGTGGGCTCTTGTCTTCGGGTTTGTTTGCTATGACTGGGTTGGAGAGTATGTGAAAGATTTGTTACTTAGCACTTAGAAGAAGTAGAAAGCATGCAAGGTGTTTGATAAAATGCCTGAGTGAGATAGATTGGGTATAAAGATAGATTGGATTGGCAAGGATGGTTTGTAGAATCTGAAGACTGGTTTTATCACCATTGTTTCTTTGAGTATTGACAAAGGTGATTAGGGATCTCTTGTGAATGCCTTTGCAATTTGCTAGACAGCTCTTTGGTGGAATTTCATTCATGGGGTTCGATTATTGACGGGATATGTGCAGAATGAGATTCTAAAGAAGCAATTCGTAACTTTATGCCGGACAAAGGGTTGAAAACCAAGATCATTGGTGCTTTCCATGCTTGTGCTTACGCAGGTGACCAAGACCTGGTGACCAGGCCAGGACCGTTGTATGTTGCAATACCAGATGGCAGATACGTTGTATTGGGGTCAAAAAAGGTCAGTGGTACAATTCTCATGTTTGAAAATGAATGGTAGTGGTGATGCCTATTTTTCATTGGTTGTGGGCTCAATGAGTTGAGAAGGACCTGAAAGTAATAGGTCAACCGTTGCATGGTTGATTTGGTAAACATAAGCATTTCACTTTTCTAAAATCTGTATTATAAAACAAGGTTTTAAGTTGATCGTGCATAAAGTAATGCAGAATTTGGAAAATGGGTGCTCTGTAGTCAATATTGGTTAGAGGTGCTTTCATTTTCTATTCAACACTTGACTTTGTTTATTTGCTTACTTTTTCTCTTCCTACAATAATCTGAGGAGATTGTTCTTGGACATTGGGGATGATGAGGTTTGCTTGCTTTCTCTTGTTTACCTTGCTTTTAAGTTTTAGCTATGCAGCTATAACGCCAACAAGTCCTTTGTCAATTGGACAAACTCTCACCTCCCCTAATGGAGTTTTTGAACTGGGGTTTTTCAGTCCTAATAACTCTCAGAACTTGTATGTTGGAATCTGGTTCAAGGGTATCCTTCCCCGGACAGTTGTGTGGGTGGCCAATAGAGAAAATCCTGTTACAGACTCCACGGCGAATCTAGCTATCAGTAGCAATGGAAGTCTTCTCTTATTTGATGGCAAACATGGCATTGCCTGGTCCATTGGAGAAACTTTTGCATCTAACGGGTCTCGTGCAGAGCTTTCAGACAGCGGAAATCTTTTAGTCTTAGACAAAGTTTCGGGAATAACTCTATGGCAAAGCTTTGAGCATCTTGGTAATACTATGCTACCTTACTCCTCCCTGATGTATAACCCCGCCACTGGTGAGAAGCGGGTATTGTCTTCTTGGAAAAGTTACACCGATCCATCGCCTGGTGAGTTTGTAGATCATATTACAACGCAAGTGCCACCACAGGGGTTTATTATGAGAGGCTCGAAGCCTTATTGGAGAAGCGGTCCATGGGCTAAAACAAGGTTTACTGGCGTACCACTAACGGATGAATCATACACACATCCATTTAGCGTTCAGCAGGATGCAAACGGGTCAGTATACTTCTCTCATTTACAAAGGAACTTCAAACGTTCATTTTTAGTATTAACATCAGAGGGGTCACTGAAGGTTACTCATCATAATGGCACGGACTGGGTATTGAACATTGATGTTCCAGCTAACACATGTGATTTTTACGGTGCATGTGGACCTTTTGGATTGTGTGTAATGTCCATTCCTCCAAAGTGTAAATGCTTTAAAGGCTTTGTACCACAATTCAGTGAGGAATGGAAAAGAGGAAATTGGACTGGTGGTTGTGTGAGGCGTACTGAACTACATTGTCAAGGAAACTCTACTGGGAAACATGTAAACGTCTTCCATCCTGTTGCCAACATAAAACCTCCAGACTTTTACGAATTTTTGTCCTCCGGGAGTGCAGAAGAATGCTACCAAAGTTGCCTCCACAATTGTTCGTGCTTAGCCTTTTCTTATATTAATGGAATAGGGTGCTTAATCTGGAACCAGGAGCTAATGGATGTAATGCAATTCTCTGCGGGAGGAGAGCTTCTTTCTATACGTCTTGCAAGTTCTGAAATGGGTATGCCATACAAAAATAACATCAAAGTTCTTTGTCATTTACAACTTTTACTTCATTTTCACTGATCAGCATGGCTTATTTGTTTATTTTGTCTTATATGTCTCAGGTGGAAACAAGCGGAAGAAGACCATTACTGCTAGTATTGTTAGCATTTCTCTTTTTGTGATACTGGGTTCTGCTGCGTTTGGTTTCTGGAGATACAGAGTGAAACATAATGGTAACACATTGATGACTTTACTATCTCTATATCAAGCTCTTGTTGTTATCTATTTATTTGTTTGCATACTGTTATAATAGTATGCTCACTTTGAGCTTTTGCTTGATGGTTAAATACCTAAATGTTAAGCACTAACACATGAATTCTTGAAACTCTAATTTCAGCAATTGCATCGAAGGTTTCTTTACAAGGTGCATGGAGGAATGATTTGAAATCAGAAGATGTCTCAGGTTTATATTTCTTTGAGATGAAGACCATTGAAATTGCCACCAGTAATTTCAGTCTCTTAAACAAACTCGGACAAGGTGGATTTGGTCCAGTTTACAAGGTCAGATAATTTTTATTCTCTTTATTCATTTTATCTCAATTTTTTTTAGCAATTTCTTTACCTTCTGCAATCTGTCTCAGGGAAAGCTACAAGATGGGAAAGAAATTGCTGTAAAACGGCTTTCCAGCAGCTCTGGACAGGGAAAGGAGGAGTTCATGAATGAAATAGTACTCATCTCAAAACTCCAACACATAAACTTGGTTCGGATTTTAGGATGTTGCATTGAAGGAGAAGAGCGACTATTGATTTATGAGTTCATGGTGAACAAAAGCCTTGATACTTTTATCTTTGGTGGGTTCTTTTTCCCTTTCTTTTAGCAGCTTTTCTCTATAGAACTGTTTTTTTGATAGTTTTAACAATCTATAGATTCAAGAAAAAGGCTTGAGATTGATTGGCCTAAGAGATTCAGTATTATTCAAGGGATTGCGCGTGGACTTCTCTATCTTCACCGTGACTCATGCCTCAGGGTAATTCACCGAGATGTGAAGGTTAGCAATATTCTTCTTGACGAAAAAATGAACCCAAAAATATCAGATTTTGGATTGGCTCGGATGTATCAAGGAACCCAATTCCAGGACAGCACTCGCAGGGTTGTAGGAACTCTGTAAGAAACATTCTTCGAAAACATGCTTAACTAGGATTCATAGTTATAATGATATATTAACTTGGGAAGCTATTTAATATATGTGCAGAGGATATATGTCTCCTGAGTATGCATGGACTGGAGTTTTCTCTGAGAAGTCCGACACTTACAGCTTTGGAGTTCTTTTGTTAGAAGTTATCAGCGGAGAGAAGATCTCGAAGTTTAGCTATGATAAAGAGTGCAAAAGCCTTCTTGCATATGTAAGTAAGACTTTAGGTTTAGAATCTAGGACTTGTGCAGAGATTTCACTACCTCTTTAAAAATGTTTCTTGCTCTTATATTTTCTTGTTCTGAATCCACAACAGGCGTGGGAATCTTGGTGCGAAAATGGAGGAGTTGATTTTTTGGATAAAGATGTTGCTGATTCATGTCACCCATCTGAAGTTGGAAGGTGTGTTCAAATTGGTCTGCTTTGTGTTCAACACCAACCTGTAGAGAGACCCAACACACTTGAGTTGTTGTCTATGCTCACCACAACATCAGATCTTCCACTGCCTAAAGAACCCACATTTGTAGTGCACTCTAGAGATGATGAATCTCTATCTAAGGATTTGATTACCGTCAATGAGGTGACACAATCAGTGGTGCTTGGACGTTAAGAACGACGACGCGTTATCTCATCATCTCATTTATTTGCCTTCTGTTAATATTATTGTTCTTAGCATTATATAACTTTATAGATACATATTTTTCTCATTTTACATGTTGTTGATGGAAGCACTTGTGGACTTTTGGTCTCTTCTCTCTGAGACTCATTAACGATGTAGAGCCTCCCTGTTGTTGATAACTTCAGGTAGCTGTTTAAAAGTGTCATTGGTAGGAGGAAATTGATGGATTTGTTTTGCCATGACTGGGTTTGAGTTTTTGTGAAAGATGTGTTAGCAGATTTAGAAAGTCTACAAGGTGTTTGATAAAATGCCTGAGTGAGACTTGGTTTCTTGAAACACGGTGGTTTCTGGGTGTATATAGATTGGATTGGTGAGGATGGCATTAGACATGGTTTTATCACCATTGTTCTTCTTTGAGTATTGACATGGTGATTAGGGATCTCTTGTCAATGCCTTCAAGGATTTGGTTGAAATGCAAATGGCTAGACAGCTCTTTGGTGGAATGTGTAGAAAGATAAGTCTAACTTATGCTTTGCAGTTTGCATGCTTGTGCGTACGTCAATGACCAGGACCCTTGTATCTTGGACACAATGATATTTAAAACCAGATACATTGTATTGTGGTCAGACTGTGAAAGGTAAGTGGTACTATTCTCGTATTTTAAATGAATCAGAGTGGTGATGCATATTTTGTTTTCATTGGTTATGGGCTCAACGAGTTGAGAAGGACCTGAAAATAACACAATGTTTCAATAATAGGTCAACCGTTGCATGGTTGATTGCGTAAAAGGCTGGAATTCTTTGGAGCCAACTTGAAACATAAGTATTTCATTTTACTTAAATCTGTATTATAAAACAAGGTTTAAGTTGATCATGAATAAAGTAATGCAGAATCATGGAAAATGGGTGCTCTGTGGTCAACATTGGTTAGAAGCGCTTGAGAATAAATTTCAATTAAGTACTTGATTTTGTTTTCTTAGCTTACTTTCTCTTGCTACAATAATCTGAAGGAGATTGTTCTTGGACCCCGAAGAGAGCACATGGGGATGACGAGGTTTGCTTGTTTTCTCTTGTTTACCTTGCTCTTAAGTTTTAGCTATGCAGCTATAACGCCAATGAATCCTTTGTCATTAGGACAAACTCTCAGCTCCTCTAATGAGGTTTATGAATTGGGGTTCTTCAGTCCTAATAACTCCCATAATCAGTATGTTGGAATCTGGTTCAAGGATACCATTCCTCGGGTCGTTGTGTGGGTGGCCAATAGAGAGAAGCCCGTTACAGACTCCACGGCAAATCTAGCTGTAAGCAGCAATGGAAGTCTTCTGTTATTTAATGGGAAACATGGCATTGTGTGGTCCAGTGGAGTAGCTTTTGCTTCTAGCAGGTGTCGTGCAGAGATTTTAGACAGCGGAAATCTAGTTGTCATAGATATTGTTTCGGGAAGAACTCTATGGCAAAGCTTTGAGCATCTTGGTGATACTATGCTACATTCCTCATCCCTGATGTATAACCTTGCCACCAATGAGAAGCGGGTGTTGACGTCTTGGAAAAGTTACACTGATCCATCAGCTGGCGACTTTGTGGGTGAGATTACATCGCAGGTGCCATCACAGGGGTTTATTATGAGAGGCTCGACGCCTTACTGGAGAAGCGGTCCATGGGCTAAAACAAGGTTCACTGGCCTACCTGTAATGGATGGATCATTCACAGATCCATTCAGCCTACACCAGGATGTAAACGGGTCAGGATACTTGTCTTATTTTCAAAGAAACTACAGACTTACACGATTAATTTTAACATCAGAGGGATCAATTAAGATTTTTCGGCATAATGGAAAGGACTGGGAACCTTACTTTGAAGTTCCGGCGAATTCATGCGATATTTACGGTGTATGTGGACCATTCGGGCTGTGTGTTGCGTCAGTACCTCCAAATTGTAAATGCTTCAAAGGGTTTGTTCCTAAATCCATTGAGGAGTGGAAAAGAGGAAACTGGACTAGTGGTTGTGTAAGGCGTACTGAATTACATTGTCAAGGAAACTCTACTAGCAAAGACGTCTTCTATCCTGTTGCCAACATAAAGCCTCCAGACTTTTACGAATTTACAGATTCTGTGGATACTGAAGAATGTTACCAAAGTTGCCTCCACAATTGTTCCTGCTTGGCCTTTTCTTATATTCATGGAATAGGGTGCTTAGTGTGGAACCAGGATTTAATGGACACAGTGCAATTTCCTGCCGGAGGAGAACTTCTTTCCATTCGTCTTGCACATTCTGAACTAGGTGTGGCAAAAAAGCTAATTACAGCCTTTTCTAAGTTTCTTCCACTCCAATGATAGTGTTCTCTTTAGTAGTAGCATGGCTTATTGTTTATTTTTGTTTATAAATCTCAGATGGAAATAACCGCAAAAAGACCATTGCTGCTAGTATTGTGAGCCTTTCTCTTTTTGTGATATTGAGTTCTGCTGCGTTTGGTTTCTGGAGATACAGAGTTAAACATAATGGTAAAACTCTGTTGACTTTACGATATCTGCGTTTGGTTTCTGCTACAATTTGTTACGAATTATAGATAACTAGTTCATTCACTACATCAAACCTACTACACTAAGTAGACACACACATATATTGTTCTTTTAATCACCATATATTCTTGTTGGTACCTTGGTTTCGGTTTGCTTTAAAAAATCGTGATATGCTCACTTGGCTAAGTTACTATATGTTAAGCATTAACACAGATTTCAGCTCATATATCAAAGGATGCATGGAGGAATGATCTGAAACCACAGGATGTATCAGGCTTAGATTTCTATGAGATGAATACCATTGAAACTGCCACCAATAATTTCGGTCTATCAAACAAACTCGGACAAGGTGGATTTGGTTCAGTTTACAAGGTCAGCAAATTTTATCCTTTATTTTCTCCAATCATGTTCTCGAGATAACATTTGCTACTTATTTCAGGGAAAGCTGCAAGATGGGAAAGAAATTGCAGTAAAACGGCTTTCTAGCAGCTCCGGACAGGGCAAAGAGGAGTTCATGAATGAATTAGTACTCATCTCAAAACTCCAACACAGAAACTTAGTCCGGATTTTGGGATGTTGCATTGAAGGAGAAGAGAAGCTATTAATTTATGAGTTCATGGTGAACAAAAGCCTTGATAACTTTATCTTTGGTCAGTTCCTTCTTGCCTCTTTCGTTTTCGAATAGTATCTTTTCTCTCTATTGGGAATTACTGATCTGAAAGTGTTTACACTATATTATTGTGCAGATTCAAGAAAAAAGCTTGAGATTGATTGGCCACAGAGATTTCACATCATTCAAGGTATTGCGCGTGGAATTCTATATCTCCACCGGGACTCCCGCCTCAGAGTTATTCACCGAGATCTGAAGGTCAGCAATGTTCTTTTAGACGAGAAAATGGACCCTAAAATATCAGATTTTGGGTTGGCTCGGATATATCAAGGAACCCAATATCAAGAAAACACTTGCAGGGTTGTTGGAACTCTGTAAGAATCTGTCTTCATATACATGCTTAACTAGGTTTCATAATTATAATGATACATTGAATCTGGAGGGAAACTACTTGATATGTGCAGAGGATATATGGCTCCTGAGTATGCTTGGACTGGGATGTTCTCTGAGAAGTCCGACATCTACAGCTTCGGAGTTTTGCTGTTAGAAATCATAAGCGGAGAGAAGATTTCAAGATTCAGCTATGGCGAAGAAGGAAAAACCCTTCTTGCATATGTAAGTAAAACTTTTCTAAAATTCTTTATCAAGTGCAGAGATTTTACTACTAAGTCTTTTAACGTTTCCTGCTCTTATTTTGAAACCACAATAGGCGTGGGAGTCTTGGTGTGAAAATGGAGGAGTTGATCTTTTGGACCAAGTTCTTGCTGATTCTTGTCACCCGGCTGAAGTTGGAAGATGTGTTCAGATTGGTCTGCTCTGTGTTCAGCACCAACCTGCTGATAGACCCAACACACTTGAGTTGCTGTCTATGCTCACCACAACATTAGATCTTCCGTCACCAAAACAACCCACATTTGTAGTACACAGAAGAGATGACGAGTCACCGTCTAAGGATTTGATTACTATTAATGGGATGACACAATCAGGTATCTTAGGGCGTTAAGAACAACCGCTAATCCAAATTAAAGTGATCAAATTTTTAATGTTGGTAGCTTCATCATCTATTACATTCTTCATTTACATTTTCAAACAGAGTTGTTAAAAAATTAAAGTGTTTCTGTTAATGCCCAAAGGACTGACTACTAATGTCGTCTTCTCTTGCGTCTTGGCATTTATGTCCCGCTGGTGATAACGACACTGAGACCAATTATAACCGTTTATATTACTCGTATCATTTCAAATTAGCTAATACCATTTGAAAATGAAACAGAGGATCCTCAAATAAGCTTTAACGTAACAGCGAAACCCCACTTGTTTCTGCAACTTTGATCATCGCATCAATGAGAAAACCCAACCTAATGTACAATAGACAGACAAACACTAACAGTTTATCTTGTTTTAGCTTTTCTCATGAATGTAAAGAGAACCGTATCTTATAATTTATGCAACAGAAAAAGGTGTTTTCAAAGACATTTTGTGAGAGCATATGCATGGAAGTGAAACAATTCCAATTGCGTTCTCTAAAAACATAAACCAAACATTTATCATAGTCACATACTAATAGAAACAAAATGACACTACCCGCATTAACCATTTAAGCCATATCTTCCATCAAAGAGTAGCAGAGAGACCAGCCGCATACACCAAGTGACAAGATTTATGGACTGTAAGCACAGCATCAAACCACTCAACTTTCCCCCAAATCTCATCTCCATCACCTCTTCTTTCAAGCGAAATCTCCGCACACCAAATCACATTCTCCTGAAGTCTAGTGGAATGATACACAAACTCATTCCACAAAACCATCATCTTCCCACCAACATCCACCATTAAACAATGACAAAAATCAGGCAATCCTTCAACACCATTCAGTTTCTTCCATAACCTTGCCTTAGAATCATACCATTTAAACACTCCATCATCCCAAAAGAACAAAACTTCATCTACCACACTGTCACTAAAGGATACTGCACAAGCCATATCACTATCTAATCCTATTGTGTTCCATCTACCTTCCTTAGGATTATAAACCACAAACTCATCATCCCTAAACAGATAAAACTTCCCATCAAGTCCTAAGCTTTTGATCTCACCTCCATGGCGTTTATCGATACCAGGATTCATAACAGACCCCCAAGTTTGAGTCTTTGGATCAAAAACTTCGACCCAATTAGAGAAATTGACATCTTCACAACCTCCTGCAACATATATCTTCCCATCAAGTGAGCTCGCTGTCGAAGAATAACTGCGGTCCACTCGCATACTTGGAGCTTGACGCCACTTATTCGACTTACAATCAAGAACAGAGACTCTACAAGAAGAGACTCTATCACCACCAAGTTTGTATATTTCCGAACCAACAGCTACAAGACACGAAGATTCTGTAGGAGGCAAATGTGGAGATGGGATTGGGACTAAAAGATTGCCACGGTTTGGTGTTCGACAGAGAGTGAACCAATATGTGTTTGGGTCTAAAGGGAAACGTAAGCAGAGATAGAGACAACTCTCTGTACGGTTTATGAGTGAACATGTCTCGTAAAGCTCCGGTGAAGCAATGACGGATCTGAATGTTTTGGAGACGAGAGAGAGAGTTGGGTAATGTAATTTAGAGACTCGTGCTAAGCAATTTAATAGGAGATCGTAAGGAAGTGATAAAAGCATCGAGGTCGGTTCTATAGCCGGAGACGGAGACGGCTTCTTCTTACGCAAGGCGTTCGCGGCGGCGGAAAATCTTGTTCTGGACGACATTGTTGTGTTGGGGAATTTGCTGCAACATTTCGTTAGTTAAGATTTAAGAAGAAGAAGAAGAAAACTTAACTGGGTCGGGCCGGGTCGGGTCGGGTGCGTATGCTATACGAGTTATCTTGGGCGTGAGGGAAACTCAAGACGAAAGCTTGGGCTTTTTATCCACTGCTATAGCAGATCCCTGATGGGCTTGCATGATTTGTGATAGCATATGTAATTTGATTTTCTAACTTTTTTACTTGTATTTGTAGTTATGGTGTGATTTAAACGAGTCAAAAAACGTAATTTTGGTAATGATATCGAGGATTTTCAAATTGTTTTAGTGGCAATTTCTTTGTTGGTTCGCTACAAGACAATGTCTAATGGATTATACTATAGAAGACACTATAGTTTAAGGTTACGGTTAAACCATAGTGTCTTCTCTTCTTTAGTCAGCCACATGCATAAATTAAAAGGTACGGTTCATGTTACATGATTCACGAGAATAACTGAAACAAGACAGATGGCTAAGTGTTAGTTAGTCTATACTCTATGAGTATAGTCCGTTGGACATTGTCTTGAAGCGAACCAACAAAGAAATTGCCACTAAAACGATTTGAAAATCCTCTATTTCATTAGATACCCGAGACCGACCGAGAAGTGTCCAAGGATGAGTTGGTGGCGGCGGCACAAGAGTATTTGCCGCGAGAGTTGAGCAAGATACATGTAAGAGAGAAAAATAATTGAATCGTGGTTTATCATCATAGAGATGGAATCGCGCTATATGTCAAATTTTGGTCTAAAGAACCGTACCCTTTAATTTGTGCAACAACGTACACAACAAAATTGTTATCAAGCCAGGACATTTTGTCAAAATAAGCTAGCTCGTCCTTGTCTAACAAGTAAACGCATATGTTTAGAAGTTTTAAACAATGCAAAATTGCATTCCACTAAAAAACATGAAAAAATCATTCATATATACTAATACTAATAGAAAAGAAACAACACAAAGAAACGCTAATATTCAAAACCAAATCAAATTATCCGCATGCATAAGCCATTCAAGCTTATTCTCATGAATAGTCATTTCATCAAACGGTAGCAGAAAGAACATCCGCGAATTTCCAACGAACCCGACTCGTGGACTCTAAGCACAACATCAAACCACTCAACCTTCCCCCACATCTCATCTCCATCGCGCCTTTCAAGGCTAATCTCAGCACACCAAATCCTATTTTCCTTACACAGACTCTCTTCCCATAAAACCGCGCGCCATCTTTCCACCAAGATCCACCATTTTACAATACTCACGGTCGGGTAAGTCAGGCAATCCTTCAACACCATTCAAATCCTTCCATAAACTTACCTTAAAGTCATACCATTTGAACACTTGAGTTCCCTTATCCCAAATGAAGGGGACGTTGTCTATAACGCAAGAACTAAAGTCTACACAAGACCTAGAGTCTATAGCACGGCGAAGAGGCCTATGCACTCCTATATCGTACCATCTATCTTCCTCAAAATTGTAAACCGAAGAATCACACCCAAACATGTATAATTTTCCATCAAGGCCTAAGCTTTTGACTAAACGTGTAGGTCCAAATTCATTTTGGTACTCGTTGCTAGGGTTCTTCACAATGCCCCAGGTTTGAGTCTTTGGATCAAACACTTCCATAAAGTACAAGGAACATGTGTCAGCTTTGCAGCCTCCTGCTACATATATCTTCCCATCAACTTCGCATACTGTGGAGGCATAACTCCGTTTAACTCGCATGTTTGGAGCCTGACGCCACCTATGATTCCGACAATCCAGGACAGAGACACAAGAAGAATAGCGAGTGCCGATTTTGAATCTAAGAGAATTAGAGCCGCCGATTTGGTAAATATTAGAACCAACGGCTATGACACGCGACGATTGCGTAGGAAGCAAACCATTGGGAGATGGAATTTTGACCAGACTATAGCCACTTGACTTGTTGGTTACGTTTTGATTAGGTTTCCGGTAGAGAGTCAACCAATGTGTGTTAGTTTCAAAAGGGAAGCGAAAGCAAAGATAGAGACACTTCTCCGTACGGTTTAAGCGTGATCGGGTCTCGTACATCTCCGCCGAAGCAACAATAGATCGGAAAGTTTTGGAAACAAGGAGAAGAGTTGGATAATACAACCTAGAGACGCGTGAGAAGCAGTTCAATAACAAATCATAAGGAAGTGACGTGATCGAGGTTGGTTCTGTCGCCGGAGAAGGCATCTTCTTCTTTCTTTTACTGAGTGGTTTTCCGCCGTTCATGGCGGGGGAAGATTTGGCTTTGGACGACATTAGGGCAAAAATGAGAAGATTGTTTATCAATGAAGGAATAATTAGGGTTTCCTTGATTCCAAAAATCGATCAAAACCTAGGCATATAGGCCCAAAGCTAGCATGTAAATAACGGGCCCTATGTAAAACATTTTTGAATTGAAATAAATGAGTCACAAAACTTTTTATGATCTATAAAACCATCTCATTTTAAAAATCTGATGGCTGAAAATAGCATTAAACAAAATTTGGGGCTAATATCGGATATTGAACATTCTTTAGGGGTTAATATGAAAAGCTATCAGATATTATTGTCAGCGACTCGGCCATATTTTATCATCGGAGTGACAAAACCTGATCACCGGAAACACTCTGTTTCAGACCGAATCTTCTCGCCGGAAAGTTGCTTCAGCTTCCCCCAAACGCCAGGTTGGCTTCGCGCTGGCTGAATTGGGCAATCTACAGTTCTAAAACATTAAGTCTACTCCAACCGCGTGTGGCGTATGCATGCACTGGAACTGTTCGATGAAATGCCTGAACGAGAATGTACGGTTACAAAGAGTTGGGGTGATGTTCTTTAATATATTTGGATCTTGTGAATGCCTCCAGAGATTTGATGGAAGAGTTTCAGAAACCGCCAAGAACTTTGAGGCTCCAGCGTACTCACGTGATTATTACAGTGTATATGTGGACCTTTCGGGTTGTGTGTGACGCACGTTCCTCCAAAATGAAAATGCTACAAAGGGTTTAAACCATTAAATTTTCAAGTGTTTTGGATGCTGAAGAACGCAACCAAAATTTACCTTCACAATTGTTCTTGCTTGGCCTTTGCTTATATTCATGGAATAGGGTGCTTAATGTGGAACCATGATCTAATGGACGCAGTGCAATTTCCTGCAGGAGGAGAAATTCTTCCATTCGTCTTGCAAGTTCTGAACTAGGTATAGCTTAAAAGATAACACGAAAGAGCTACTTCGTCAATTATAAATGTCTTCAACTCCATTGATAGCGCGTTCACTTGAATAGTAGCATGGCTTATTGTTTAATTTAGTTTAGTCTTAAATATCTCAGGTGGAAATGAGCACAACAAAATCATTGGCGCTAGTATTGTGAGCTTTTCTCCTTTTCTGATATTGGCTTCTCCTGCTGCATTTGGTTTGGGAGATACAGAGTGAAACATAACGGTACACTGTACCGATGATCTTACTATCTCTATTGAATATATGTTTACTTTGCTAAATTACTAGATGGTGAGCACTAACACACGAATTATAATCTAAATTCGGCTTCTATATAAAAAAGTGATGCATGGAGGAGAGTGATCTGAAACTACAAGATGTCTAGCGTTTAGATTTCTTTGAGATGAGACTACTTTTAAAGCATACAGGTAAAATATTTCATGACATTCTTTTAATACATTAACCGGGTTGCTTGGTTTGCAAATGTCAACTGTTAATCCTAAAAGTTTTTCGTTTGGCCATTGACATTGTCATTTCTTACAAAACACGAATATGTTTACACAGGGTCTTACAATACGAAGAAGCCAATGGTAGTAGCGAAAGATAGAAAGATTGTACGATACAAGAGACATTAAACACATGGGGTGATGATCACCTCAGTGGAACTTGAGGCTGGTCAAGACGTTGTTGTTGACGGGATCAGCCAAGTGATCGAGCAGGTTCTGGTAAGGTCCCACACCGGTCACTAGTCCTTGGATAAAGTAACCGAGAATGGCGAGCATAGCCAGTCTACCGTTCTTGACCTCCTTGAGTTTCAACTCCTTCAAGGACTTCTCATCTTTCCCAAACCCAAGAGGGTTAAAGAAAGGTCCACCGGGGTAAGCCGGGTTTCCTGAACCGGCCAAACCCTTTTCTAACCCCAAGAAGTACTGCTTTCCCATAGATCCTGGGTTGTACCAGTCCTGTAACCTTCGGTGCTCAGCGAATCCCATCAGAGCCATCTCGAGAACAAAGAGAGTGTAATTGTCTGCCCAGTAAGTGTATGTCCCTGCTGGTGGAATCACACCGGTTTGGAACCAAGGAAGAGCAGTCTCTGGTGGAATCAGACCAGCCTTTCCTAGAATCTCAGGAGCAATAGCTCCAGCTGCACCCAACATGGCAAACCGTCCGTTGATGATCTCTCCGTATGCTAGCCATCTTGGCTCAATGAATCCTCCAGTACCCTCTGGGTCTGAAAGACCAAGTGGGTCAAATCCATAGTCACCAGGTAAGCTGCAAGAATCACAACATCTCCAAAGTTTGAACATCATGAAGTTCTCAAAACAAATCAAATCCAACAGTTGCTTGAACATTACCTGCCATCCAAGTAAGAGAGACTCTGCGATGATGCAAACCACAATGGTCTGTTTGCTCCTTGCTAGAAAACCAAACACACAAAATCAAGATCAGATTATTCAGTTCATATAGAGAGAGATCTGTGAAAGACTAGGGTCTGTGATCATGTACCTTGACAGGTGGAGTTGCTGTAGCCTTAACAACAAAGGAACTCTTCCTCTGTGACGCAGAAGCAACTGGTTTGGAGCCAAATATCTGTCTAGCTGTCTGAACAGAGGAGGTAAGCGAAGAAGACACAAGTGCTTGTGCTGCCATTTTCTCTGTTCCTCAACTCTTCTCTTCTGTCACCAAGAGATGATGATGATGGTTCAGTTATGTTCTGCAAGGGCTGTGATAGAGTAGAAGGAATAAGGTCCAGTACTTGTGGCTTTGAAATAACACAACAGGTTTTGCTCAGATTAGATTAGTAATCTGCTTCACCAACTATATCTGTCCACGTGGCAATATAAGTTGGATAAGAGATTATGTTATTCTGTTTTTGCTTATCCGCCACACAAGAACAAAAAAATCTTTACATAGAAGCCTATTGGATACAAAAAATAGATATCATATGTTTTATTGATTAGAACTTGGAACGGATATGTGTACTTGTGTGGTAAAAAAAAAAAAAAATTAACTATTGATTATTTACTAAAACGTTGGAGAGGCATTTTTTGGTACGTTTAAAAATTCGTCAAAAATACTCAAACGATATGGATTAGTTCAGTTTACAACATGTTACAGAAAACCGGAAGATTGGAAAGAAAATCGTGGTAAAACAGAGTTTTAGCAGCTCTGGGTAGGGTAGGTCAAAGAGAAGTTCTTGAATGAAATAATACTCTTTTACATTAAAACCTCTATAAATTAATAATGTTAGGACCATGATATTTGATTAATTTATAGTGATATTAATTTACTTATAAATTAATATTTATTATTTTATCGTATAAATTAATAATTATAGAAAGATTTTGATTAATTTTTAAATTTCTAAAAAATATGAAATTGTTGTTTTGGACATTAAATTATGGACTTTGGATTTGATATTTTTAGAAAAGAATTTGTTTAGCCATAAGTTACAAAGATTATAAGGGAATTCACTTATACAAACGATATACATAAATTCAAATTTATGATTAAGGATCTCATGTGTCATATTTTAATATCATAAAAGACTATCAAAATAAAAATTATGCATATTCATAAAACTTATAAAAATTTAGTTATTTTTATTACATAGTTATAAAATATAATACAACACTTTATTTTACAAGCACAAAACAATAAGTTAAAGACAATCTCTAACAAAAATATAATTTTTTGGAAAAATAATTAAATCATACATTAGTATATTCTATTTATATATATAGATATATATATATAGATATATATATATATATATATATATATATATATTATTTATATGATTATTAATTTATGATATTATTGGGAACATATTTTTATATAGGGATTTTTAAAAAAAATATTATCTTATTATTTTATCAAATTTGATTAATTTTTACACAAACCCGACTCAAGATCAAAATTTTTTATTATTTTATCGTATATATTAATTTATCGAGTATTAATTTATAGAGGTTCTACTGTATTTAATTTTTGTTCACCGAATGAAATAGTACTAATTAAACTATGTGATCCTTCATCCTTGGGTTATAACGACAAAAAGTCCTTGGTTTGGTTTGTTTCTTCAGATTTCAGAAAGACTTGCGTGCTCTTTGACTGGGTTTGGGGTTTTTCTAGAAGACCGGGTTTGTAAACCAAGCGTATTCCGGTTTTCCAAAAATAAACTTGAGATGAAAGGAGACAGGAATTGTTACAAAAGAAAAAAACGAGATAATTGGCCCAATAATAAAACATTAGGCCCATTTGTCCGACTTGGATTTGTCTCTCTCCAGTCTCCATGCTGTTAGCTCACGACCAAGGTGGCAAGGTGTGTGGATTCTTTACGCATCTTTCTCATTTCACTGTCCTTTGTAGAAAACTCTTTTTAAGTAAACCCCCACTGACTCGAGACTGATGCATAAACCCCCACTGACTCCACACAATCCTAACAAACTACCTAATTCTTGGATCATGCAGAATCTGAGACCCTTCATTGCCAAGGTACGTACGTCGAAGATCTGATTCTCGGTTCTTGTTTTCCTATTATTCGTGCGATTGATCTGTTGATAGAAGAATTACAGTGTTACCGAGGAGGGAGATTGAGTGGAAATCGCCAATATTCTCGCGGTTTCTCTTCATCATCACCTACGGACCTACCAAAAAATGGTACAAATTAATTTCATTCGTGAGAGCCTCTATTCTCTGTCTCGAATCATGTTTATATTTGTGATTTCTTCTTTTGATTGCAGAGTCATTGATGATTCAAGTAGCATGGAGAGTTGGCCTCTATATGTAGAGAAAATATAGTGCGAGATATCTATATTCCAATTTTTATTTTTTATTTTTTCCGACGAATTAACCAGATTTTTTCCGTTTTCAAAGCGGGTTATTTGATGTTTAAAGCTGTGGAGGGAACGGTATCTCTTCAAGACGTTAAAGTGGCTGAAGGTAAAAACAAAATCAGTTAGCACTTGATAAAATTTGGTATCAGTTGATTACTATTTTTTTTCTCATTTGTGTGTTTCAGATCTTTTTTTTTTTGTTTTGTTAATATTGTGTGTTTCAGATCTTGCAGCCGAGAAGGGAAAAAAGTTGGGATTTAAACACAATTTAAATTTTTTCAAACCTAATAAACTTCAAGTGGTGTTTTATGATGATGATGATTCCAGACATCCAGTCGGAGGTTAATCTCAAATGACCTTTTTTGAGATATTAGGATTGGTGATTTCTTCTAATTTTCTATTAATTTGATTGCAGAGTTCAAGAATGAACTAGCATGTACAGTGGTGGTACCTCTTGCAGGAAGTATGTAGCTAGAGACATTTTATTTCTATTCTTTTCTTTGTTGACCTTTCTCATTTTGTTTTGTTGACCTTTTTTGTTTTGTTGACCTCTTGCAGGCAGTATGACCTTTTTTGTTTTGTTTTTAAGGTTTTTATATGAAATGCAAAATTCAGGAAGGACAAAGGGCTCGATACATGAGACAGGCACTAGGTAAGAACAAAATCAATATAATTAAGCACTTGAACAAAATCATTGATTGCTGTCCTTTTCGTTACATTGTGTCTCAGATCTTGAAGCAGAGTTGACAGATCTTGCAGCCGCAACAGGGAAAAAAGTGGCAATTTCAGTCGATCTTAATCTTTTCAAACCTATTAACGCTCAAGCGGTGTATTATGATGATCTAGGTGATCTAGTCGCTATGTCTAGTACGTAGCCTGCCTTTGGTTGTGTTCAAATGTAAGCTCGTTCTGGCGTTTCTTCAGATTGATTATGATTTGAGGTCTCTGAAATATCTAAAAACCAAATCATCAATCTTTTATTAACAAACAGATTAATTATTCCAAGTCAACAACGAATTGAACGTTGAAAGCATTATTGATATCTTTCATTGTAATTGCTTGTGGAGGAAGCAAGAGAATGTGCTTAGTTGTGGAAATTTTTGTTATATGAGTGAGTGAATATGATGAATATATTTTTCTAATAACACTCAAGACCAGTATGTTGGAATCTGGTTCAAGGATACCATTCCCCGGGTCGTAGTGTGGGTGGCCAATAGAGAGAAGCCCGTTGCAGACACCACGGCAAATCTAGCTATCACCAGAAATGGAAGTCTTCTGTTATTTAACGGCAAACATGGCATTGTGTGGTCCAGTGGAGTATCTTTTGCTTCTAGCGGGTGTCGTGCAGAGCTTTTAGACAGCGGAAATCTTGTAGTCATAGATAATGTTTCGGAAAGATTTATGTGGCAAAGCTTTGAGCATCTTGGTGATACTCTGCTACATACCTCATCCCTGACATATAACCTTGCCACCGCTGAGAAGCGGGTGTTGAATTCATGGAAAAGTCACACTGATCCATCACGTGGCGCCTTTGTGGGCCAAATTACACCGCAAGAGCCATCACAGGGGTTTATTATGAGAGGCTCGACCCCTTACTAGAGAAGCGGTCCATGGGCTAAAACAAGGTTCACTGGGATACCCTTCTTGCATATGTAAACGAAGTTACCAATTGGACATATTACTGATTGTGTAGTCCATGGTTTTAGAAGTTAGCAACTTAATTGTTGCAGTTCTTATGTTCCTGCTGGTGATACGCCCCAGTGTTCACCATTAGAGTCAGCGATTTTGTCCAGATAGTGGCAATTGGATTAATCCAATTTAACAAGGGTTTAAATTTCGGACGCTTGGATCACGCACTCTAAATGTTCGGTGAAATGCCTAAACGAAGTGTTAAGGCTTCAAAGCTGCGCTTTTTTTACTTAGAGAATCATGCACTTATATACGTTGTATAAGGGGTCACGCCAATAAACTCTCCAATTGTTTCTTTTTTTTATTGGTCCATATTTGAGGTCTTGCTCTCAGTGATTATGGTCAAAGGTGCGTGGTTGATTGGGTAATAGGTTGAGTTTTTGGTTCAGACTATGAAAGGTAAGAGCTATGAATTCTCATCTTTTGATTGGTTCAGAGTGTTGGTGATGATTTGTCATTGTTTCTGGGTTAAACAAGTTAACAAACTCATGAAAATGACATAAATGTTTCAATATGAGGTCAACCGTTTGCATGCTTGATCGGGTAAAAGGTTGGAATTCTTTCGAGCCAACTGGTAAACATAAGCATTTTATTTTACTCAAATTTGTACTATAGTACAAGTTGCAAGTTGATCGTGAATAAAGTAATGCAGAATCTTGGAAGATAGGAGTTGTGGTCAACACTGTTTAGAGAATAATTTTCAACTACTTGAGTTTGTTTTCATGGCTTTTGCATACATGTTTTTTTTTCTTACACTAAATCTGAAGGAGATTGTTGTTGGAGACACAAGAGTGCGCATGGGGATTAAGAGGTTTGCTTGTTTTCTCTTGTTTACCTTACTCTTAAACTTTAGCTATGCAGCTATAACGCCAACAAGTCCTTTGTCGATAGGACAAACTCTCACCTCTGCTAATGGAGTTTATGAATTGGGGTTCTTCAGTCCTAATAACACCAAGGAACAATATGTTGGAATCTGGTTGAAAGGAACCAACCCCCAGGTTGTTGTTTGGGTGGCCAATAGAGAAAAGCCTGCTACAGACTCCAAGGCAAATCTTACTATCAGCAGCAATGGAACTCTTCTCTTATTAGATGGAAATAATGGTGTTGTATGGTCCGTCAAAGAAACTTTCTCCTCTAACGGTTCTCAAGCAGAGCTTTTAGACAGCGGAAATCTTATTGTCAGAAAAAATGTTTTGGGAAGAACTCTATGGCAAAGCTTTGAGCATCTTGGTGATACTATGCTCCCTTTCTCAACCCTGATGTATAATCACACCACCGGAGAGAAGCGGATGTTGACTTCTTGGAAAAGTTACAATGATCCATCCCCTGGTGAATTTACGGTTCAAATTACACCGCAAGTGCCATCACAGGTGTGTACTATGAGAGGCTCGAAGCCTTATTGGAGAAGCGGTCCATGGGCTAAAACAAGGTTCACTGGGTTACCACAAATGGATGATACATATACAAGTCCAATTAGCCTTCAGCAGGATGCAAATGGGTCAGCAACTCTTACTTATTCAGACAGAAACGTCAAACCTCCACGTATGATGATAACATCAGAGGGCTCACTGAAGATTTTTCAGCATAGTGGGACCGACTGGGAATTAAACTTTGAGGCTCCAACCAATTTATGCGAAATTTACGGTGCATGTGGACCTTTTGGGTTGTGTGTAACGTCAGTACCTCCAAAGTGTAAATGCTTCAAAGGGTTTGTCCCTAAATCCATTGAGGAGTGGAAAAGAGGAAACTGGACCGATGGTTGTGTAAGGCGTACCGAACTACGTTGTCAAGGAAATTCTACTGCAAATGATGCCAACGTCTACTATCATGTGGCCAACATAAAGCCTCCAGACTTCTACGAATATGTCAAAGCTGATGCTGAAGAATGCTACCAAAGTTGTCTCCACAATTGTTCTTGCTTGGCTTTTTCTTATATCAATGGAATAGGGTGCTTAATGTGGAACAAGGACCTAATGGACGTAGTGCAGTTTTCTGCAGGAGGAGAACTTCTTTCCATTCGTCTTGCAAGTTCTGAATTAGGTACGGCTGAAAAGATAACACGAAAGCTCTACCTCGTCGATTACAGATTTATTTTCAACTCTATTGATAGTGTTATCTTTGGTAGCTGCATGGCTTATTGTTTCATTTTTTTTTTTTCTTATACGTCTTAGGTGGTAATGAGCGCAGCAAGACCATTGCTGCTAGTATTGCGAGTCTTTCTCTTTTTTTTGATATTGGCTTCTGCTGCATTTGGTTTCTGGAGATACAGAGTGAAACATAATGGTACACAGTGATCTTACTATCTCTGTATTGATTTCTTGTTGTTTGTTTATTCCTTTGCTTGCTAGTGGTAACACACTGATGACCTTATTATCTATTATTGAAACTCTAATTTCAGCTAATATATCACAAGATACATGGAGTATTGATCTGAAACCACAAGATATCCCAGGTTTAGATTTCTTTGATATGAATACCATTCAAAACGCCACCAATAACTTCAGTTTATCAAATAAACTCGGACAAGGTGGATTTGGTTCAGTTTATAAGGTTAGAGAATTTATTCTGCGTTGCTCTTTTCTATTCGCTATTTATGCTCCCGAGATGACCTTCTGCAATCTGTTTTCAGGGAAAGCTGCAAGATGGGAAAGAAATTGCTGTAAAACGTCTTTCTAGCAGCTCTGGACAGGGCAAAGAGGAGTTCATGAATGAAATAGTACTCATCTCAAAACTCCAACACAGAAACTTAGTCCGGGTTTTGGGATACTGCATCGAAGGAGAAGAGAAGCTATTGATTTATGAGTTTATGGTGAATAAAAGCCTTGATACCTTTCTCTTTGGTTGGTCCCTTCTTGCATTCTTCCTTTACTATTCAGAAATTTTTATCTATGTGGAAACTGTCTGTCTGATAATTTATATGCCTTAGATTCAAGAAAAAGGCTGGAGATTGATTGGCCAAAGAGGTTCCACATCATTCAAGGTGTTGCGCGTGGACTTCTCTATCTCCACCGTGACTCACGCCTCAGGGTTATTCACAGAGACCTAAAGGTCAGCAACATTCTTCTGGACGAGAAAATGAACCCAAAAATATCGGATTTTGGATTGGCTCGGATGTATCAGGGGACCGAATATCAGGACAACACTCGCAGGGTTGTAGGAACTTTGTAAGACTTTAATTATTTTCAAAGACTTGATTAACTAGGATTCAAAGTTATAATCAGATATCAACTTGGGGGAAACTATTTGATATATGTGCAGAGGATATATGTCTCCAGAGTATGCATGGACTGGGATGTTCTCTGAGAAGTCTGACATCTACAGCTTCGGAGTTTTACTGTTAGAGATCATAAGCGGAGAGAAGATCTCAAGATTCAGCAATGGCATAGACGGGAAAACCCTTCTTGCATATGTAAGTAAGATTTTTGGCATTGGCACAGTAGAATCTTGTATTTGATTCCCATCAAGTGCAGAGATCTTGCTGTCCGTTTGAAAACTTTTCTTGCTCTTACATTTGCTTATTTTGTAACCACAACAGGCGTGGGAATCTTGGTCTGAAAACGGAGGAATTGATCTTTTGGACCAAGATGTTGCTGAGTCATGTCACCCATTAGAAGTTGGGAGATGTGTTCAGATTGGTCTACTTTGTGTACAACACAATCCTGCAGATAGACCAAACACACTTGAGTTGCTGTCTATGCTTACCACAACATCAGATCTTGCATCACCAGAACAACCAACATTTGCATTGCACGCAAGAGATGACGAACCCCAATTTAGGGATTTGATTACTGTCATTGAAATGACACAATCTTTGATCCTTGCGCGTTAAGAAACCTTGTGTGATGGAAATTGTACAATTGTAGTGTGTTAAAAATATTCCCTTTAAAGGGTTCATTCTTCAGTGTTAATAACTTCAACATATCCAAATAAAAAAGGTTTTTAACTTCAACATTGCTTTTGTTGGAGCGGTGCTCTCACTATCTTGGAGAGCATCGATGGATGCATTAACCTTTCACCGGGTCTAATGTGTGTCGTCTCGATTATGGGAGTTGGAATCAGCCATACTTCCATAGCTCCATGTGTACATTGGTCTCGATTTGGGGAATTAGTGTCCAACGACTTTAGCGAATCTTTGAATGTTTTGATTATGCACTGTAAGTGTTCGATAAAATGCTTGAACGAGATTTACGTAGTCTGCAGTACTAGTCATCATGTCAACATTTTAAACTGTGTTGTAACTTACTACTTCAGAAACCATCATCTGATTTAATCATATATTCATCTTTCAATTGTTGCAGGGTGTATAGATTTGGTTCTGGACTCCAAGACATGGAAACAACACAATATTTCAATCTAAGGTCAATCGAGGTGTGATTGATTGGGTAAAATTTTGTATTCTTCAAGTCAATATTTCAATCTAAAAATTCTCATCTTTTGACTAATGCAGGGTATAGATGCCTAACAATCACTGGTTCTGGCCCAACAACCTAACAAGGACATGAAAAATGTTGCTATGTGAGGTCAAATGTTGATTGGGTAAAAGGTTAGACTTCTTGGAAATTATTGAAATTTATTTGGTATTATTAGATAAAGTTTAGTAAAGTTTCATGGAATTTACTCAAAATGCCAAGTCGGGAACCTAGACTGTTTTAATATACCACCGTTTGCAGAGAAAATGCAGCTTTGAATCAGTCAATATGTGAAGCCTCTCTATTTTGCAGACCTTATGCTCATCTCTTGTGGTCAACATTTATAGGTCCCAGAAAACAGTTCCCACAAGTCCCTGAGTTTGCTTTTTCTGGTTTTTTTCTCACTTCACTTCTTGATGTTGAAAAATCTGATTGATTCATTTTCTCTCATCGCAGAGTATAGATGTCTATCTTTCATTGGTTCTAAGGTCAACTTGAATGGTTGATTGGGCTAAAAGCTAAGACTTCTCCGTGGAAAACTGGCTATCACAATTAATATTATTATTATATAAGTATAAGTTTATTGTGGATGAAGTAATGTAGAATTTTGGAACATAACGGCGGTGTGGTCAGCATTGTTTTTAGGTTCTTGATTATAGTCCTCACAAGTACCTGACTTTGTTATCGTGACTTAATTACCTTCTTGTTTACTATAGAATAGTTTGTTTCTTTAAAGAAGATAGTTCTTGGAGACACATGGGGAAAGAGAGGATCATGTTCTTTGCTTGTTTACTATTGTTTACCATCCTGTTAAGTTTTAGCTATGCAGGGATAACAACAAAAAGTCCTTTGTCAGCAGGACAAACTCTCAGCTCCTCTAATGGTGTTTATGAACTGGGGTTCTTCAGTCCTAATAACTCTCAGAATCAGTATGTCGGGATCTGGTTTAAGGGTGTCATTCCCCAGGTGGTTGTGTGGGTCGCAAACAGAGAAAAACCTATTACAGACACCACGTCAAAGCTCGCTATCAGCAGCAATGGAAGTCTTCTGTTATTTAATGAAAAACATGGCGTTGTGTGGTCCACTAGAGAAAGTTTTGCATCTAATGGGTCTCGTGCAGAGCTTACAGACAACGGAAATTTAGTTGTCATAGACAATGTTTCTGGAAGAACTTTATGGCAAAGTTTTGAGCATCTCGGTGATACTATGCTCCCTTTCTCAGCCCTGATGTATAATCTCGCCACCGGTGAGAAGAGGGTGTTGACTTCTTGGAAAGGTTCCACCGATCCATCGCCTGGCAAATTTGTGGGTCAGATTACACGACAAGTCCCATCACAGGTGCTTATTATGAGAGGATCGACGCCGTATTATAGAACTGGTCCATGGGCTAAAACACGGTTCACGGGGATACCACTAATGGATGACACATATGCAAGTCCATTCAGCCTTCAGCAAGATGCAAACGGGTCAGGATTGTTTACTTATTTTGATAGAAGTTTCAAACGTTCACGTATAATTTTAACATCAGAAGGATCAATGAAGAGGTTTCGGCATAATGGAACGGACTGGGAATTAAACTACGAGGCTCCAGCCAATTCATGCGATATTTACGGTGTATGTGGACCATTTGGGTTGTGTGTTGTGTCAGTACCTTTAAAGTGTAAATGCTTCAAAGGGTTTGTACCGAAATCCATTGAGGAGTGGAAAAGGGGAAACTGGACTGGTGGTTGTGTGAGGCGTACGGAACTACATTGTCAAGGAAACTCTACTGGCAAAGATGTAAACATCTTCCATCATGTTGCCAACATAAAGCTTCCAGACTTATACGAATATGAAAGTTCTGTAGATCCTGAAGAATGCCGCCAAAATTGCCTCCACAATTGTTCTTGCTTGGCCTATGCTTATATCCATGGAATAGGGTGCTTAATGTGGAACCAGGACCTAATGGACGCAGTGCAATTTTCTGCTGGAGGAGAAATTCTGTCCATTCGCCTTGCGAGTTCTGAACTAGGTACGACTTAAAACATAACACGAAAGAGCTACTGTTCTCTTTAGTAGGATCATGGCTATCTTTTTTACTTTTTTTTCGTCTTATATATCTCAGGTGGAAATAAGCGCAACAAAATCATTGTTGCTAGTATTGTGAGCCTTTTTCTTTTCGTAATACTGGCTTTTGCTGCGTTTTGTTTCTGGAGATACAAAGTGAAACATAACGGTACACAACCGATGTTCTTACTATCTTTCTATCGATTTCATGTTTTTTGTTTATCTATTTGCTAGCTAATGGTAACACACTGATGACCGTATTATCTATTATTGAAAGTCTAGTTTCAGCTAAGATATCAAAGATTGCTTCAAAAGAGGAATGTAAAAATGACCTGGAGCCACAAGATGTCTCAGGTTTAAAGTTCTTTGAGATGAATACCATTCAAACTGCCACAAATCATTTCAGTTTCTCAAATAAACTAGGACAAGGTGGATTCGGCTCAGTTTACAAGGTCGGAGAATTTTTAATTTCCTTTGTTTTTGTATTATACTTTATGTTCTCGAGATGACTTTCGGCAATCTGTTTCAGGGAAAGCTGCAAGATGGGAAAGAAATTGCTGTGAAACGGCTTTCTAGCAGCTCGGGGCAGGGCAAAGAGGAGTTCATGAATGAAATAGTACTCATCTCAAAACTACAACATAAAAACTTAGTTCGGATTTTGGGATGTTGCATTGAAGGAGAAGAGAAGCTATTGATTTATGAGTTCATGTTGAACAAAAGCCTTGATACTTTTCTCTTCGGTGGGTTCCTTCTTGCATCATTCTTTTACTATCAGGAGCTTTGTTCTCTACATGGAAGTCTTATCTGATTGTTTGTACGCTGTATTGTTGGTTAGATTCAAGAAAAAGGCTTGAGATTGACTGGCCTAAAAGATTTAATATCATTAAAGGTATTGCGCGTGGACTTCACTATCTCCACCGTGACTCATGCCTCAGGGTCATTCACCGTGATCTTAAGGTTAGCAATATTCTTTTGGACGAGAAGATGAATCCAAAGATATCAGATTTTGGATTGGCTCGGATGTATCAAGGAACCGAATATCAGGACAACACTCGCAGGGTTGTAGGAACTCTGTAAGAATCTATTTTCGAAGACATGATTTACTAAGATTCAAAGCTATATCTAGATATGAACTTGGTAGAAACTATTTTGATATATGTGCAGAGGATATATGTCTCCAGAGTATGCATGGACTGGGATGTTTTCTGAGAAATCTGATATCTATAGCTTCGGAGTTCTGCTGTTAGAAATTATCAGCGGGGAAAAGATCTCAAGATTCAGCTTTGGCGAAGACGGCAAAACCCTTCTTGCATATGTAAGTAGAACTTTTCTATAAACTTGTATTTGATTCCCCATCAAGTGCAGAGATTTCACTATCCGTTTAAACGTTTCTGAAACTGAAACAGGCGTGGGAATCTTGGTCTGGAAACGGAGGAATTGATCTTCTGGACAAAGATGTTGCTGATTCATGCCGCCCAGTAGAAGTAGGGAGATGTGTGCAGATTGGTCTGCTCTGTGTTCAACACCAACCTGCCGATAGACCCAACACACTTGAGTTGCTGTCTATGCTCACCACAACATCAGATCTTCCATCACCAAAACAGCCCACATTTGCATTGCACACAAGAGATGACGAATCACCATCTAACGATTTGATCACCGTCAATGAGATAACACAATCTGTGATCCTTGGGCGTTAAGAAACCTTGTGTGATGGAAATTATATATATGTATAGTGTTAAAACATAAAATTGTTCTCTTTAAAGAGTTCATTTTTCAGTGTTAATAACTTCAACATTGTTTTTTAAAAAACTCCAACATTGTTTAGGTTCTTACAAGTTACAACATTTTGAGGCGGTGCTCTCACAAACTTGGAGGAGATTGAAGGCAACCTAATTCACTGGTTCTCGACCCATCCTCTCTTCTGGGGTTTCTTCAATCGGTTCCAATGTGACACCAATGTTAAATTTGGTGGAGAAGCACGAGAGAACCAGATTGTGGGAGTTTTAATTATGCACTGTAAGTGTTCGTTGAAATGCTTGAACGAAGTTTAACGTTGTTCCGGTGAATCTAGTCAACATTTAAACTATGTTTTAAGAGTAAAACCAACGACTTCCGAAACCAATAAGAAAGATTTGTTTGATTAATATCTGACTTTTCGTAGGCAATGACTCAAGGATATTTCAATCTGAGGTCAATCAATGTGTAGTTGACGTCTGTGAAAATTCTCATCTTTTGATTGATGCAGAGTATAGATGTCTATTTCACTTGTTCTTGGCCTAACACGGTAACATAAATGACAATGTTGCTATGTGAGGTCAATGGTTTGTTTCTGAAACCCCATGAAAAAGAAACGTTTGCGTTTTCGTCTAGGTGCCCCACTTGACATTTTGAGCTATTTCCATGGACTGTATAAATTGCAATTTTTGCAGAGTCAGCTTTGAATCAGTCTATATGTCAAGACTCAAGACTCTATATTGCTGACCTTATGCTCATCTCTTGTGGTCACATTGCTTATAGGTCCCAGAAAATAATTCCCACAAGTCCCTGAGTTATTTTTTCTTGGCTTACTTTCTCTTGTTCAAATCTAATTGATTCTTATTCTCATCATTTGATTGACCGCAGAGGGAAGATGTCTATCTTTCATTGGTGCTGGTGTCAATTTGCATGATTGATTAGTTAAAAGGTTAGACTTCTTCGTGGTAACATAAGTGTTACAATTAATATTATTATTAGATAAGGTTTAAGTTGATTGTGATTGTGAATGAAGTCATGCAGAATTTTGTGACATAAGTGTGGTCAGCGTTGTTTATAGGTGCTTGATTATAGTCCTCACAAGTCCCTTGACTTTGTTTTCGTGCCATACTTTCTTGCTAACTTAAGAAAAGTTTGTTACTTAAATTAATCCCAAGAAGATAGTTCTTGGAGACACATAAGGAAAAAGAGAATCATGTTCTTTGCTTGTTTGCTCTTGTTTACCATCCTTTTAAGTTTTGGCTATGCAGAGATAACAAAAGAGAGTCCTTTGTCAATAGGACAAACTCTCAGCTCCTCTAATGGTGTTTATGAATTGGGGTTCTTCAGTCCTAGTAATTCCCAGAATCAGTATGTCGGAATCTGGTTCAAGGGCATCATTCCCCAGGTGGTTGTGTGGGTGGCTAATAGAGAAAAGCCTGTTACAGACTCCGCGGCAAATCTCGGTATCAGCAGCAATGGAAGTCTTCTGTTATCTAATGGCAAAAATGGCGTTGTGTGGTCTACCGGAGATGTTTTTGCATCTAATGGGTCTCGTGCAGAGCTTACAGACAATGGAAATCTTGTTTTCATAGACAAAGTTTCGGGAAGGACTCTATGGCAAAGCTTTGAGAATCTTGGTAATACTCTGCTCCCTACGTCAACTATGATGTATAATCTCATCACTGGTGAGAAGCGAGGATTGACTTCTTGGAAAAGTTACACCGATCCATCGCTTGGCGAATTTGTGGGTCAGATTACACCGCAAGTGCCATCACAGGGGATTATTATGAGAGGCTCGGCACTTTATTTTAGAACCGGTCCATGGGCTAAAACAAGGTTCACCGGGTCACCGCAAATGGATGAATCATACACAAGTCCATACAGCTTACAACAGGATATAAATGGGTCAGGATACTTTTCATATGTTGAAAGAGACTACAAACTTGCACGCATGATTTTAACATCAGAGGGATCAATGAAGGTGTTACGGTATAATGGAATGGACTGGGAATCAACCTACGAGGGTCCAGCCAATTCATGTGAGATTTACGGTGTATGTGGACTTTATGGTTTTTGTGCTATCTCAGTTCCTCCGAAGTGTAAATGCTTCAAAGGTTTTGTTCCTAAATCCACTGAGGAGTGGAAAAAAGGAAACTGGACTGGTGGTTGTGTGAGGCGTACCGAACTACATTGTCAAGGAAACTCTAGTGGCAAAGATGCAAACGTCTTCCATACTGTTCCCAACATAAAGCCTCCAGACTTTTACGAATACGCAAATTCTCTAGATGCGGAAGAATGCTATGAAATTTGCCTCCACAATTGTTCTTGTGTGGCCTTCGCTTATATTCCTGGAATAGGGTGCTTAATGTGGAACCAAGAGCTAATTGATGCAGTGCAATTTTCTGCAGGAGGAGAAATTCTTTCCATTCGTCTTGCACGCTCTGAACTAGGTACAACTTAAAAGATAACAAGAAAATTCTACTTCGTCATTATAACTTTGTTTTCAACTCCATTGATAGTGTTCTCTTTGTAGCAGTATAGCTCATTGTTTAATTTATTTTTGTCCTAAATATCTCAGCTGGAAATGAGCGCAACAAAATCGTTGTTGCTAGTATTGTGAGCCTTTCTCTTTTTGTGATATTGGCTTCTTCTGCTGCGTTTGGTTTCTGGAGATACAGAGTGAAAAATAATGGTAAACACTTATGATCTTATGATCTGTCTATCGGTTTCTTGTTGTTTGTTTATTCATTTTCTTGCCAACAAAGCGACGTGGGTCTGCTAAATTTGTTACAATAGAAGAGTTTTTCCACTACGTCAAACCTACCCTAAATCGACGCACTTATTTATGTTCTTTGAACCAGTACATGTTCTTTTTGGAACCTTGGTTTTGGTTTGCTTCAAAAGATCTGAATATGCTCCCTTGGCTAGATTAGAAGATGTTAAGCACTAACACACGCGTTCTAACTCAAATTTCAGCTCATATATCAAAGGATGCCTGGAGGAATGATCTGAAATCACAAGATGTCCCAGGTTTAGTGTTTTTTGAGATGGACACCATACAAACTGCCACCAATAGTTTCAGTCTATCAAACAAACTCGGACATGGTGGATTTGGTTCCGTTTACAAGGTAAGCAACTTTTTTTCTCTCTTTTCTCTTTTTCGTTTCTCTATTATCTTGAGATGACATTTGCAACTTGTTTCAGGGAAAGCTGCAAGACGGGAAAGAAATTGCGGTAAAACGGCTTTCTCGCAGCTCTGGACAGGGAAATGAGGAGTTCATGAATGAAATAGTACTCATCTCAAAACTTCAACACAGAAATTTAGTCCGGGTTTTGGGATGCTGCGTCGAAGGAGAAGAGAAGCTATTAATTTATGAGTTTATGGTGAACAAAAGCCTTGATACTTTTGTCTTTGGTGGGTCACTTCTTGCGTCTTTCTCTTTCAATTAACAGCTTTTTCTCTCTATATGGAACTTCTTATCTGATAGTTTCTATATGGTATTATTGTTTAGATGCAAGTAAAAAGATCGAGCTTGATTGGCCAAAGAGATTTGATATCATTCAAGGTATTGCGCGTGGACTTCTATATCTCCACCGTGATTCACGCCTCAGGGTAATTCACAGAGACCTGAAGGTCAGCAACATTCTTCTGGACGAGAAAATGAACCCGAAAATATCAGATTTTGGATTGGCTCGGATGTATCAAGGAACCCAATATCAGGACAAAACTCGCAGGGTTGTAGGAACTCTGTAAGAACCCGTCTTTAAATAACATGCTTGACAAGATTCATTAAACTAGATGATATGATACTATTTGATATTTGAACAGAGGATATATGTCTCCTGAGTATGCATGGACTGGGGTATTCTCTGAGAAATCAGACATCTATAGCTTTGGAGTTCTACTGTTAGAAATCATCAGCGGGGAGAAGATCTCAAGGTTCAGCTATGGCGAAGAAGGAAAAACACTTCTTGCTTATGTAAGTTAATTCTTAATGTTTTCATACACTTGCAGAGGATTTTAAAAGAGGTTCTCTGATATTCTTAAGTTATTAAAATAAACAACAGGCATGGGAATCTTGGTGTGAAACCAAAGGAGTTGATCTTCTTGATCAAGCTCTTGCTGATTCTTCTCATCCAGCTGAAGTTGGGAGATGTGTGCACATTGGTCTTCTCTGTGTACAGCACCAACCTGCAGACAGACCCAACACACTTGAGTTGCTGTCTATGCTCACCACAACATCAGATCTTCCATTACCCAAACAACCTACGTTTGCAGTGCACACTCGAGATGATGAATCCACGTCTAAGGATTTGATCACTGTCAATATGATAACACAATCTATGATCCTTGGGCGTTAAGAAACCTCGTTTGATGGAAATTGTACTATTGATGTTTATAATTTCAACTTTGTATTCTTCTTTTTTTCTCGTTGCATATTCTATAACAATTTATAAATGTTGAGATCTTCAAAATTGATTCATTCTTATATTTATTTATTTCTTAAAGAAACCATTTTATTGGTCTTTTGTTTAAGACTCAAAGTGTAAAAGAAAACGGGAAAAATGTCATTAAAATCCCCAACTTATTCAAAACGTTGATTTAAATCCTCAACTCACGACGAAACGAAATAAATATCAAACTTATGTTGACTTTCCAAATAAATATTAAACTTATGTTGACTTTCCAAATAAAAACCAAACTTTCATTGACTTGGCCATATTAGGCATGACGTTAAGTGGGTTAACAGACCATGTTAACGAGATTAATTTTCTGTTAACAGACCCGCTAATTGAAAATGATAGTATTCCTTCTAAACATAAAACGACGTAGTTTTATCGTAACTGCTCAATAAAATCCCGAGTTTCAAATCATATGAAGATTTAGGGTTAGGGATTTTGCTCGATTTGAGGATCTAAGATTGACTTTAGGGATTTAATTCAATCGTTACGACAAAACGATGGCGTTTTGTTGTTATATGAAACGATGTGGTTATCAATTAAAATGTATGTTAACAGAAAATTAACTCTGTTCACGAGATCTATTAACCCACTTAACGTCGTACCTAATATAGCCAAGTCAACGGAAGTTTGATATTTATTTGGAAAGTCAACATAAGTTTGATATTTATTTGAAAAGTCAACATAAGGTTGATATTTATTTCGTTTCGTCATGAGTTGAGGATTTAAATCAACGTTTTGAATAAGTTGGGGATTTTACATTTTTCCCAAAAGAAAACACTATAAATTGTTTTTCGAAATTAGCAATTTAATGGTCTCAGGCTCTCAGCATTTAGGTTGCCAAAAAAAAAAAAAAAAATGGTGTCGGCATTTATATATGTTCTTGCTGGCTGGTGACACACCGGTAACAATTGTGCGTGTACTATCTGTCTGGATTCGAGAATTTAACAAGGGTTTAAAAGGGAATGTCTTCGGACGTTTGGATCACGCACCCTAAGTGTTCGGTGAAATGCCTAAACCAAATGTAAGCTTCAAAGCTGCGCTCTATCTATCAGAAGAAGAAAGTAATCTGAAAGAAGATCAAATAAAATAAGGTTGTATAGGTCTAGCCATGAAACCCCTTTTTCTTTTTCCGGTATTTAGGCTTACACGTTACTGATTCTGAGGTTGACACAGTGTTTTTAGGTTGGAGTTCTAAAGATTCAATTCGTTGGGTCCAACTGGTGAACATTGTTTAGAGGTCTTATTTCAGATGAGTCATCACTTCTTGATTATAAGTTTTTTTTTGTCTAAGAAAGATCTGATATTTAACATTGATGTATCTTTCACAGGTTATGGAGCTGGTAAGGACACTGACAACACAATATTTTAATCTCAGGTCAGTCGATGCGTGATTGATTAGGTAAAATGTTTGATTCTTAAAGTCAGACTGACCATTCGATTGATTCAAGTGTATATATGAAAATGACAATGTTGCTATGGGAGAAACAGATTGGGTTAAAACGTTGGACTTTTTCTCGGCAATTACGTAAGTATTAAATTTATTTTGTATTACTATATTAAGTAATGCAGAATTTTGGAACATAATTGTGGTGTGGTCAACATTGTTTTATAGGTTTTTGAGAATATAGTTTTTACAAGTCCGTGACCTTTTGTTTACTTTCTCTTGTTAGCATGTTTGTTTCTTAAATTAATCCAAAGAAGATAGTTCTTGTAGATACACATGGGGAAGAAGAGGATCATGTTCTTTGCTTCGTTGCTCTTATTTACTATCTTTTTAAGTTTTAGCTATGCAGGTATAACGAGAGAAAGTCCTTTGTCAATAGGACAAACTCTCAGCTCCTCTAATGGTGTTTATGAATTGGGGTTCTTCAGTCCTAATAACTCCCATAATCAGTATGTCGGAATCTGGTTCAAGGGCATCATTCCCCAGGTGGTTGTGTGGGTGGCTAATAGAGAAAAGCCTGTTACAAGTTCCACGGCAAATCTAACTATCAGCAGCAATGGAAGTCTTCTGTTATTTAACGAAAATAATAGCGTTGTGTGGTCTATTGGAGAAATTTTTGCATCTAACGGGTCTCGTGCAGAGCTTACAGACAATGGAAATTTAGTTGTCATAGACAATGCTTCGGGAAGAACTCTATGGGAAAGCTTTGAGCATTTTGGTGATACTATCCTACCTTTCTCAACCATGATGTATAATCTTGCCACCGGTGAGAAGCGGGTGTTGACTTCTTGGAAAAGTCACACTGATCCATCGCCTGGTGATTTTATGGTTCAGATTACACCGCAAGTGCCATCTCAGGCGTGTACTATGAGGGGCTCGACGACTTATTGGAGAAGCGGTCCATGGGCTAAAACAAGGTTCACAGGGATACCGGTAATGGATGACACTTATACAAGTCCATTCAGCCTTCAGCAGGATGCAAACGGGTCAGGATCCTTTACTTATTTTGAAAGAAACTTCAAACGTTCATATATAATGATAACATCAGAGGGTTCACTGAAGATTTTTCAACATAATGGAAGGGACTGGGAATTAAACTTTGAGGCTCCAGAAAATTCATGCGATATTTACGGCTTATGTGGACCTTTTGGATTTTGTGTTAATAAGTCAGTAGCTTCAAAGTGTAAATGCTTCAAAGGGTTTGTACCAAAATCCATTGAGGAGTGGAGAAGAGGAAATTGGACTGATGGTTGTGTGAGGCGTACTGAACTACATTGTCAAGGAACCTCTACTGGCAAAGATGTAAATGACTTCTATCATGTTGCCAACATAAAGCCTCCAGACTTTTACGAATTTGCAAGTTTTGTGGATGCTGAAGGATGCTACCAAATTTGCCTCCACAATTGTTCTTGCTTGGCCTTTTCTTATATCAATGGAATAGGGTGCTTAATGTGGAATCAAGACCTAATGGACGCAGTGCAATTTTCTGCAGGAGGAGAAATTCTCTCCATTCGCCTTGCAAGTTCTGAGCTAGGTATGGCTTAAAACATAACAAGAAAGAGCTACTTCGTCATTACAGCTTTATCTTCCACTCCATTGGTACTGTTCTCTTTAGTAGCATCATGGCTACCTTTTTTACTTTTTTTTTCGTCTTATATATCTCAGGTGGAAATAAGCGCAACAAAATCATCGTTGCTAGTATTGTGAGCCTTTCTCTTTTTGTGATACTGGCTTTTGCTGCGCTTTGTTTCTGGAGATACAAAGTGAAACATAACGGTACACAACCAATGATCTTACTATCTTTCTATCGATTTCAAGTTTTTTGTTTTTTCATTTGCTTGCTAATGGTAACACACTGATGACCGTATTATCTATTATAGAAAGTCTAGTTTCAGCCAAGATATCAAAGATTGCTTCAAAAGAGGCATGGAGGAATGATCTGAAAACAGATGTCTCAGGTTTAAAGTTCTTTGAGATGAATACCATTCAAACTGCCACAAATCATTTCAGTTTCTCAAATAAACTAGGACAAGGTGGATTCGGCTCAGTTTACAAGGTCGGAGAATTTTTAATTTTCTTTGTTTTTTTGTATTATATTTTATGTTCTCGAGATGAATTTCTGCAATCTATTTCAGGGGAATTTGCAAGATGGGAAAGAAATTGCTGTAAAGCGGCTTTCTAGCAGCTCGGGTCAGGGCAAAGAGGAGTTCATGAATGAAATAGTACTCATCTCAAAACTACAACATAAAAACTTAGTTCGGATTTTGGGATGTTGCATTGAAGGAGAAGAGAGGCTGTTGATCTATGAGTTTTTGCTCAATAAAAGCCTTGATACTTTTCTCTTCGGTGGGTTCCTTCTTGCATCGTTCTTTTACTATCAGGAGCTTTTTTCTCTACATGGAAGTCTTATCTGATTGTTTGTACGCTGTATTGTTGGTTAGATTCAAGAAAAAGGCTTGAGATTGACTGGCCTAAAAGATTTAATATCATTAAAGGTATTGCGCGTGGACTTCACTATCTCCACCGTGACTCATGCCTCAGGGTCATTCACCGTGATCTTAAGGTTAGCAATATTCTCCTGGATGAGAAGATGAACCCAAAAATATCAGATTTTGGACTGGCTCGGATGTATCAGGGAACCGAATATCAGGACAACACTCGTAGGGTTGCAGGAACTCTGTAAGAATCTGTTTTCAAAAACATGCTTAGCAAAATTATAGTCATAATCATATATCAAACTTGGGTGAAACTTTTTGATATTTGCACAGAGGATATATGGCTCCCGAGTATGCATGGACTGGGATGTTTTCTGAGAAATCAGATATCTACAGTTTCGGAGTTATACTGTTGGAAATCATCACCGGGGAGAAGATATCAAGATTCAGTTATGGTAGAGAAGGAAAAAACCTACTTGCATATGTAAGTAAGGCTTTAGGTTATTTATAAACTTGTAGATGTTTTTTAAAAAGTGTTCATTGCTCTAACATTCTGAAGCCCTGAAACCTTAACAACAGGCATGGGAATCTTGGTGTGAAAGTGGAGGAATTGATCTTTTGGATAAAGATGTTGCTGATTCATGTCACCCATTAGAAGTTGAGAGATGTGTGCAGATTGGTTTGCTATGTGTTCAACACCAACCTGCTGATAGACCCAACACAATTGAGTTGTTGTCTATGCTCACCACAACGTCAGATCTTACATCACCAAAACAACCTACATTTGTAGTGCACACGAGAGATGAAGAGTCTCTGTCTCAGGGTTTGATCACTGTCAATGAGATAACCCAATCTGTGATCCTTGGGCGTTAAGAAACTATGTGAGATGGAAAATTTATAGTTGAAATGTTTGGATTGTACATTAACTAGTAACAAAAATTTGCCCCAAAAAGAGACAAAAAATGTTTGGATTGTACCATTAGGTTCTTGGCCTAACAGCTAACAAAGGATATGAAAATGACAATGCTGCTATGTGAGGTCAATGGTTTGTTTCTAATACCCCATGAAAAAGAAACCTTTAATGATAGCAGTCTCATGTTCTCGTACGTCTAGGTGCCTCCACTTGACAATTTGGGTTAATTCCATAAATCACAGTTTTTGCAGAGAAATTGCAGCTTTGAATCAGTCAACACTTCTATATTGCTGACCTTATGCTCATCTCTATATTCCTGAGTTATTTTTTTTCGTGGCTTACTTTCTCTTGTTCAAAACCATCATGACTTCTAAAACCAATATTGAAAAGTCTAATATTGATTTGTATTCTCATCATTAATTGATTGATCGCAGATTCCAGAGTGTATGTGTCTATCTTTCATTGGTTCTGGGCTCAACGAAAAAAGACATGAAAATGATACACTAATTAATGTTGCTATATAAGGTCAAACTTGCATGATTGATTGAGTACAAAGGTTATAGATCCGTAGAGAACTGGCAAACATAAGTATTACTATCAATATTATTATTACCCCTTACTATATATATAAGGTTTCAGTTAATTGTGAATGAAGTAATGCAGAATTTTGGAACATAAGTGCGATGTGGTCAAGCATTGTCAATGAGATGACACACTATCTGTGTCTCAGATCCAACCTATGGTCTTCTAAGAGCATCTCCAAATGAGATCTCAAATCCTCAAATATAAGATTTTTGGTTTTAAAGACAACCTCAAAACCTCAAATTTGAGGTATCATATTTTTATTTGCATTTTGGTCCTCACAATTATTTAGATCTTATAAATACTTTTGCTAATTTATTATTTTAACATATTAGTCCTTAAATCTTTATGGCAATAAACGAAAATACTCGATTTTAACAATTTTTATCTCTTAATCTACATATAAATACTAAAGAGACTCATCTAGTTCTTCGAAATGCATCGACTGATCATATATGGGAGCATTACGAAACTACTTAAGTTCAGTAATTTGGTAATTTAGCTTTAATTTATGATTTCGTTTGTGAGTTTTTATTATTATTATTTTATGTAATAATGTAATATCTTATTAACTAATATTGCTTGTAATATTTTTAATGTATGTTTATTGTTATTTATAAAAGTTTTCCGTAATTATAATCAATAGCAAGGACTATTATGCAAAATACAATTTTTTTTGAAGTTTAATTTGAGGTTTTCTTTTGGAGAGACACAACCTTAAACCTCAAATTTGAGGTCTCCTTTGGAGATGCCCTAAATACACAGACAATTCTAGATTTACTTTCTTCGAAATGGAGCGTTTTTCATATTCTTAGAAATCCTATTATAAATGCAAACAATGTTTTATAAGATTTTAGAAATCAAATGTTTATATTAAAACAAAATATATAGAAAAAAAAAATATCAATAATTTTAAAGACTTTTCGGTCCGGCCCGATTCCAACCATACTAAATTCCAAAAAAACTTTTATCCCGAAAAATCTGACTTTTTTTAGCACATATATTTAAATCCAAGTCCGGTGTTTTAGAGGAGTTGACTACACTTGCCCGAATTAACATGCCTGGATTATATTTAAAATTTAAAATTTATGGAAAATGATCTCATACTATCCAATATTTCTTAAAATTTTGTAAAATTTTCTAAATTACCTAAATATATGTCCGAAAGTTAGATCCAAATAAATAAGAACATGGGTAGTAAATTTAACTACCAAACTTATCAAAGCCACTCCGTTATGATCCGAGTCAATACTTTTCCAAAGAGAATTATACTTTTCAAAGAATTTCTTGTTTGAAATAAAATTATACTTTTCAATATCTAAGTTATCTGTTTATTGGCTATCTCCCTCTCGTGGACAAAAGACTAAAAACTGTTATAGTCTTTGAAAAGTATTAGAGACCGCTTATCTTGTGCAAAGTTCTGATTAATATAATTATTTATAGGTTCTTGAAAATAGTTCTCACAAGTCCCTGAGTTTTGTTTTTTTTTTCTTGGCTTTCTTGCTATTGTTATATCTATCTTTGCTTCTTAAACTAATCTGAAAAAGATAGTTACTGGAGAGAAAAAAAAAAAAAAAAAGCACATGGGGAAAAAGATGTTCTTTGCTTGTTTGCTCTTGTTTACCATCTTTTTCAGTTTTAGCTATGCAGTGATAACCAAAGAGAGTCCTTTGTCAACAAGACAAACTCTCAGCTCCTCTAATGGTGTTTATGAACTGGGATTCTTCAGTCCTAATAATTCCCAGAATCAGTATGTCGGAATCTGGTTCAAGGGCATCATTCCCCAGGTGGTTGTGTGGGTGGCTAATAGAGAAAAGCCCCTTACAGACTCCGCCATGGCAAATCTAACTATCAGCAGCAATGGAAGTCTTCTGTTATTTAACGGCAAACAAGGTGTTGTGTGGTCTAGTGGGGAAGCCCTTGCATCTAACGGGTCTCGTGCGGAGCTTACAGACGATGGAAATCTAGTTGTCATAGACAATGTTTCGGGAAGAACTCTATGGGAAAGCTTTGAGCATCTTGGTGATACTATGCTCCCTTCTTCAACTTTGATGTATAATCTCACCACAGGTGAGAAACGGGTGTTGACTTCTTGGAAAAGTGAAAACGATCCATCCCCTGGCGAATTTGTGTGTCAGCTTACACCGCAAGTACCATCACAGGTGTTTATTCTGAGAGGCTCGAAGCCTTATTGGAGAAGCGGTCCATGGGCTAAAACAAGGTTCACGGGGATACCGCTAATGGATATTACATATACAAGTCCATTCAGACTTCAGCAGGATGCAAACGGGTCTGGTTCCTTTACTTTTTCTGAAACAAACTCCAGACTTTCACGAATAATGATAACACCAGAGGGCATACTGAAGATTTATATGCAGAGTGGGACTGACTGGGAATTAGATTTTGAGGCTCCAGACGATCCATGTGAAAGGTATGGTGTGTGTGGACCGTTTGGTTTCTGTGTTGTTTCAGTACCTCCAAAGTGTAAATGCTTAAAAGGGTTTGTACCAAAATCCACTGCGGAGTGGAAAAGAGGAAATTGGACTAATGGTTGTAAGAGGCGTACTGAACTACAATGTCAAGGAAATTCTACTGGAAAAGATGCAAACGGTTTCCGTCCTGTTCCCAACATGAAGCTTCCAGACTTTTATGAGTTTGCAAGTTTTTTGGATGCTGAAGAATGCCAGCAAAGTTGCCTCCACAACTGTTCTTGCTCTGCTTTTGCTTTTATCAATGGAATAGGGTGCCTAGTGTGGAACCAGGACCTAATAGACACAGTGCAATTTTCTCCAGGAGGAGAAATTATTTCCATTCGTCTTGCACGTTCTGAACTAGGTACAGCTTCAAAGATAACACTAAATAGCTAATCTGTCAGTTGACACTGTTATCTTTAGTAGCAGCATGGCCTTATTGTTTATTTTTCTTTCGTCTGATAAAATCTCAGATGGAAATAACCGCAAGAAGACCATTGCTGCTAGTATTGTGAGCCTTTCTCTTTTTGTGATAATGGCTTCTGCTGCGTTTGGTTTCTGGAGATATAGAGTGAAACATAACGGTACAAAATGATCATATTACTACCGTTCTATTGATTTCTTTTGTTCATTTAGAGTATTCATCGGTTACACACTAATGACCTATATTATCTATTATTGAAACTCCAGTTTCAGGTAATATATCAAAGGCTGCTTCACAAGTTGCATGGAGGAATAATCTGAAACCACAAGATGTCTCAGGTTTAAATTTCTTTGAGATGAATACCATTCAAACTGCCACTAATAATTTCAGTATATCAAACAAACTCGGACAAGGTGGATTTGGTCCAGTTTATAAGGTCTGAGAATTTTTATTTTTAACCTCTTTGCTCTTTTCTATTATTTTCTTATGCTCTCCAGATAACCTTCTGCAATGTGTTTCAGGGAAAGCTGCAAGATGGGAAAGAAATTGCTGTAAAACGGCTTTCTAGCAGCTCGGGGCAGGGCAATGAGGAGTTCATGAATGAAATAGTACTCATCTCAAAACTACAACATAAAAACTTAGTTCGGATTTTGGGATGTTGCATTGAAGGAGAAGAGAAGTTATTGATTTATGAGTTTATGTTGAACAAAAGCCTTGATACTTTTCTCTTCCGTGGGTTCCTTCTTGCCTTATTCCTTTACTATCAGCTGTTTTTTCCTCTATATGGAACTGTCTTTATCTGATTGTTTTCACGCTGTATTGTTGCTTAGATTCAATAAAAAGGCTTGAGATTGACTGGCCAAAGAGATTTGATATCATTCAAGGTATTGCCCGTGGAATTCACTATCTCCATCGTGACTCACGCCTCAAGGTAATTCACCGAGATCTGAAGGTTAGCAATATTCTTTTGGACGAGAAGATGAATCCAAAGATATCAGATTTTGGATTGGCTCGGATGTATCAGGGAACTGAATATCAGGACAATACTCGCAGGGTTGTAGGAACTCTGTAAGACTCTATTTTCAAAAACATGGTTAACAAGATTCATAGTCATAAACTCATAATCGTTTATTTAACTTTGTGTGGAACTATTTGATGTTTGCACAGAGGATATATGGCTCCTGAGTATGCGTGGACTGGGATGTTCTCTGAGAAGTCCGACATCTACAGCTTTGGAGTTCTGCTATTAGAAATTATCAGTGGAGAGAAGATCTCAAGATTCAGCTATGGCGAAGAAGGAAAAACCCTTATTGCATATGTAAGTTAGACTTTAGATTTTCACTCATTTGCAAATTTCTCAAAGCGTTTCTTGCCTTTATATTCTTAAGATCTGAAACTGAACAACAGGCATGGGAATCTTGGTCTGGAACTGGAGGAGTTGATCTTTTGGACCAAGATGTTGCTGATTCATGTCGCCCATTAGAAGTTGAGAGATGTGTGCAGATTGGTCTTCTCTGTGTCCAACATCAACCTGCAGACAGACCAAACACACTCGAGTTGCTGTCTATGTTAACCACAACATCAGAACTTCCATCACCAAAACAACCCACATTTGTATTGCACACGATAGATGAAGAATCACCGTCTAAGAGTTTGAACACTGTCAATGAGATGACAGAGTCTGTAATCCTAGGGCGGTGAGGAATTATGTGAATAAAACTGTAGAATCGATATGTTTGATTGTTCACGAAAGGAATCAACTTTCGAATGTTGATGATAACTTCACCATTCATGCTTTTTGTAAAAGATTATTACATTGAGTAAATAGAGAGAATTACTATAGATGAGCTTCCAATTTGGTGCACCAATGATTTACTATAGAGTTTAAATTGCTATTGCATTCCCGATTGATCTCCAGCAGAATTGTCTAATCTTGTGAGGAGCTTATATTGATCCAGATTTGAGAAAACAGCTCGTGTTTTTGAGACCTTGTGTGCAGAGCCAAATGAGCGTGTTTTGTGCACATAAAACATAAAGGACAATAACAAAGAAAATCACGAACCAAGAAATAAAGAAGTTCCTAATAACCAGCACAATTCAGTGGAAGAAAACATCTAATGAAGTAACTCAAGTTTCATCTGCAACAATGGTCATGTCGATTAATCAGACTTCTTCAGACGGACTCGAACCAGTCTTGCGACGTTCTTAACATGTCCTTGAAAATGGAGATCTGACCTAGAATCGCACCTGAATCTTTCATCTCCAAAATCACTCTCTCTTTCTCTCGCTCTCACTCTTGCTTCCGCTTCTTTTCAAAATTCAAAATCGCAAACTTATTCCCGGCGTGAAAGTTCCGAGAAGAGATTATTTACTGGGCCGTATGGGCTTCTATCTAAAATCGGCCCAGTGACACCTTATAGTCATTGCATTATCTGTTTTGATAATTTCCCATCCCGGAATACACGAAATGGACAAAAGACTTAAAAAGTTAAAAATGGTTGACTGACTCTACTTTATTTTAAGTCTTCCCGGAAGGTTCTTCACTGGCTTTACGACACAAGTCAAGCAACCTTTCATACACTGACACACCAATGTTGACTGTTGGATTCTTCGACTATTTTGGACAGAAACAGTTAAGCCCAGATGGTTGGAGTTGGAATCAATCGATTGGGGTCATTAGGGTCTTAACGATATTAACGAAGCTTCGAACCTTTTAGTTATGCACTGCAAGTGTTCGAGAAAATGCCTAAACGAGATAATTCATAGTCTGTAGTTCAAGAAAGTTATAGGTTCTCGGCCTAACAAGCTAATAAGGACTTGAACAATGAAAACATTGCGTATCTGATTGGGTAAGGACTTCTTCGTGTCAATGTATCATGTATGCATTGACAAATTTATTCTGTATATATTCTCGGCCTCACAAGTCTCTCAGTGTTTTTTTTTTCCGGCTTTCTTGCTTCATAGACTAATCCAAAAACAGATAGTTATTGGAGAGAAGAAAAAAATATGGGGAAGAAGAAGATCATGTTCTTTGCTTATTTGCTCTTATCTACCATCTTCATAAGTTTTAGCTTTGCAGGGATAACGAAAGAGAGTCCCTTGTCAATAGGACAAACTGTCAGCTCTTCTAATGGTGTTTACGAACTGGGATTCTTCAGTCCTAATAACTCCCAAAATCAGTATGTCGGAATCTGGTTCAAGGGTATCATTCCCCGGGTGGTTGTGTGGGTGGCCAATAGAGAAAATCCTGTTACAGATTCCACGGCAAATCTCGCTATCAGCAGCAATGGAAGTCTTCTGTTAATTAACGGCAAACATGGCGTTGCATGGTCCAGTGGAGAAGCTCTTGCTTCTAACGGGTCTCGTGCAGAGCTTTCAGACACCGGAAATCTTATTGTCATAGACAATTTTTCAGGAAGAACTCTATGGCAAAGCTTTGACCATCTTGGTGATACTATGCTCCCTTTCTCAACCCTCAAGTATAACCTCGCCACTGGCGAGAAGCAGGTGTTGACTTCTTGGAAAAGTTACACTGATCCATCGCTTGGCAACTTTGTGGTTCAGATTACACCGCAAGTGCCAACACAAGCGTTAACTATGAGAGACTCGAGGCCTTATTGGAGAAGCGGTCCATGGGCAAAAACAAGGTTCACCGGGGTACCACTAATGGATGATTCATTTACAAATCCATTAAGCCTTCAGCAAGATGCAAACGGGTCAGGATCCCTCACTTATTTAAACAGAAACTTCAAACTTCCACGTATAGTGATAACATCTAAGGGCTCACTGGAAATTTCTCGACATAGTGGGACTGACTGGGTATTGAACTTTGTGGCTCCAGCGCACTCATGTGATTATTACGGTGTATGTGGACCTTTTGGGTTGTGTGTGATGTCCGTCCCTCCACAATGTAAATGTTTCAAAGGGTTTATACCAAAATACATTGAGAAGTGGAAAAGAGGAAATTGGACTGACGGTTGTGTGAGGCGTACCAAACTACATTGTCAGGAAAACTCAACTGAAAAAGATGCAAACATCTTCCATCCAGTTGCCAACATAAAGCCTCCAGACTTTTACGAATTTGCAAGTGCGGTGGATGCTGAAGGATGCTATAAAAGTTGCCTCCACAATTGTTCTTGCCTGGCCTTTTCTTATATTCATGGAATTGGGTGCTTAATGTGGAACCAAGACTTCATGGACACAGTGCAGTTTTCTGCAGGAGGAGAGATTCTTTCCATTCGTCTTGCACGTTCTGAACTAGGTAAGGCTTAAAAGATATCACGAAAGAGCCACTTCTTTCTGGTAGCAACATGGCTTATTGTTTCATTTGTATTTTTCTTATATATCTCAGGTGGGAATAAGCGCAAAAAGACCATTACTGCTAGTATTGTCAGCCTTTCCCTTTTTCTATTATTGAGTTCTACTGCGTTTGGTTTCTGGAGATACAGAGTAAAACGTAATGGTAACGCTCTGTTGATCGTACTATCTCTATATCTGTCTCCTGTTTTTTTTTTTTTAATTCATATTGATGCGCCTTATTATTATCTCTCTATCTATTCCTGAACTTTATTAGCTCCACAAGATGCACGGAGGAAAAATTTGGAACCACAAGATGTCTCAGGTTTATATTGTTTTGAGATGAACACCATTGAAACTGCCACCAATAATTTCAGTCTCTCAAATAAACTCGGACAAGGTGGATTTGGTTCGGTCTATAAGGTCGGATAATTTTTAATTTTTTATATTTTCCGTATATGTTCTCGAGATGACTTTCGGCAATCTGTTTCAGGGAAAGCTGCAAGATGGGAAAGAAATTGCTGTGAAACGGCTTTCTAGCAGCTCGGGGCAGGGCAAAGAGGAGTTCATGAATGAAATAGTACTCATCTCAAAACTACAACATAAAAACTTAGTTCGGATTTTGGGATGTTGCATTGAAGGAGAAGAGAAGCTATTGATTTATGAGTTCATGTTGAACAAAAGCCTTGATACTTTTCTCTTTGGTGGGTCCTTTCTTGCCTCATTCCTTACTATTAGCAGCTTTTTCTCTACATGGAACTTTCTTATCTGATTGTATATACGCTGTATTGTTGCTTAGATTCAAGAAAAAGGCTTGAGATTGACTGGCCAAAGAGATTTGATATCCTTCAAGGTATTGCGCGTGGAATTCACTATCTCCATCGTGACTCACGCCTCAAGGTAATTCACAGAGATCTGAAGGTCAGCAATATTCTTCTGGACGAGAAGATGAATCCAAAGATATCAGATTTTGGATTGGCTCGGATGTATCAGGGAACCGAATATCAGGACAACACTCTCAGGGTTGTAGGAACTCTGTAAGACTCTATTTTCAAAAACATGGTTAACAAGATTCATACTCATAAATCGTTTATTAAACTTTGTGTGAAACTATTTGATGTTTGCACAGAGGATATATGGCTCCTGAGTATGCATGGACTGGGATGTTCTCTGAAAAGTCCGACATCTATAGCTTCGGAGTTCTAATGTTAGAAATCATTAGCGGGGAGAAGATCTCAAGGTTCAGCTATGGCAAAGAAGAAAAAAACCTTATTGCATATGTAAGTACCTTTTTAGGTATTCATACAGTTGCAAATGTGTCAAAACGTTTCTTGCTTTTATATTCTTAAGATCTGAAACTGAACAACAGGCGTGGGAATCTTGGTGTGAAACTGGAGGAGTTGATCTTTTGGATAAAGATGTTGCTGATTCATGTCACCCATTAGAAGTTGAGAGATGTGCTCAGATTGGTTTGCTCTGTGTTCAACACCAACCTGCTGATAGACCCAACACAATTGAGTTGTTGTCTATGCTCACCACAACATCAGATCTTCCATCACCAAAACAACCCACATTTGTAGTGCACACGAGAGATGACGGATCATCGTCTAAGGATTTGATCACTGTGAATGAGATGACAAAGTCTGTGATCTTAGGGCGTTGAGAAACGATGTTTGTTTGGAACTTTAGAATTGATGTGTGTTTAATTGTTGTCGAAAGGATCAACTTTTGAATGTTGATAACTTCACCTTTAATTCATTTTGTAAAATAGTTTTTGGTGCACCCATTATTAACAGTAGAGTAAGAATTGGCCATGGCTAAAGATCAAGTTATCAGCAGTAGTAGTACTTACATTCCAATCCAATGGCTAAAGTTCAGATAATAGATTCATCATTTCATCTTCCATGTAAGCCAAAATCGAGTTCTTCACATCTATGTTCTTCATCTCCATAATCCGAACTTCGTTTTCCAGAAACTCCCTCTCCGACAATAAATTCCTTGATTCACTACCCTCAATCTCCTTCTGGAATCGAAAACACATATTCACAAACCCTGCCCTGGATACAAAATTCCACAATCAATGCTTTCTTGATCTAAGACTCTAGAATAAACATTCTTGTTTAAAACGCAATCGATGATTACCGCTTTTCGGTTAGCCTTGTAATTAGCTCACTGTGCTCACTTCTCAGGCGATGAATCTCATCCTCCAATAGCTTCAGAGAGTTTCTTGAATCGGCTTTTAAGAAAACAAAACATAGTGATAGAAATTTAACATTCGAATGTGAATTTTAACAAGACAAAATCATTAGGAAATTTTAGAAACCAAAAGCAACTCAAATTCAGTAACCTGTAACGGAGATCAAACCGCTGATCTCGAACTGAGAAGCAAGGAACGATCTAGTAAGCTCAGCTTCTTTAACGGAAAGAGTCGATTCCATATCAGAACACGCTCTGATCTCTGATTCGATCTCTCGCGACACCTGAATGTTCGCTTCGATTTCCCGATTGACCTGTTTCATTCGATCACAGCTCAAACCAAATTAAGCTAAAGACGAGAAACCAAACCAGTGAAGAGGAAGAAGAAGAGGGAAACCTGATCAAGCATGTCCTTGAAAATGGAGATCTGACATAGAATCGCACCTGAATCCTCCATCTCCAAAATCACTCTCTCTCTCTCAGCTCTCTTGCTTACGCTTGTTTTCAAATTCAAAATCAAAACCGTTAAGAGTTGAGGGGGAAGATAAGATATTACTGGGCCTGATGGGCTTTTAAAATAAAATCTGCCCAGTGAGACCTTGTGTGCATTCGTATTTTGGATCTTTCAATATTCGGAAATACCAACCGATTCGGAATCAATTTGGTTCGGTTTGTAGTTTTTTTTGGTCCGGTTCAGATTCGAGTTTGGTTTGGATTCGGCTTTGATTTGGAGAAAAACTTGTGTTCGAAATTGTAGTCTTGTAGAAATGACTGTTGAAGTCGTCTTCTCTCCAGTGAAACTGGCACACCAATGTTGATTGACTGTTGAATTATTCGGCTATTTTGGAGAAAAACAGTTACGCCCAGATGGTTGGAGATGGAAATGAGGGCATTAGTGGAGCTCTGAAAGTGTTCTGATTAATGCATTACAAGTGTTCGGTAAAATGCCTGAACGAAATTTAACGTAGTCTCCAATTCAAGAAAGCTGTTCCGATGAATCCAGTAACATGTCGTCGTCATCTGGTTTACTCATCTTTCAGTTGATGCAAGAGTGTTGATGTTTATCATTCACAGATTCTGGATACTAAGAGTTGGCGGCAAGAACATGGGAACACCACGAAATTTTTAATGTGCATGCGGTCAATGAATGCGTTCTGACTTGTGAAAATTCTCATCTTTCAATATGGTTGCAGAGTATCGGTGCCTATCTTTCACTTGTTCTCAGCGCAATAAGCTAAACGGGCATGGAAATGACAATGGTGCGTATTTGAATGAGTAAATATTTGGACTTTATTTGTTGAAATTACGTAACCATTTTGACAAATTTTTGTTTGTATTCATTAAATAGGGTTTAACTTGATCCTGTATAAAATAAAAAGTAATGTAGAGTTTTGGAACATAAAGTGCGGTTGATCTTGTCAACATTGTTCCCACAAGTCCCTGAGTTTTGTTTTTTTTGGCTTTCTAACTCTGAAGAAGATATAGTTTTTTGGAGAGGCAAAAAAACACATGGGGAAGAAGAGGATCGTGTTCTTTGCTTATTTGCTCTTATGCACCATCTTTATAAGTTTTAGCTTTGCAGGGATAACCAAAGAGAGTCCTTTGTCAATAGGACAAACTCTCAGCTCCTCTAATGGTGTTTATGAATTGGGGTTCTTCAGTCCTAATAATTCCCAGAATCAGTATGTCGGAATCTGGTTCAAGGGCATTATTCCGCAGGTGGTTGTGTGGGTGGCTAATAGAGAAAAGCCTGTTACAGACTCCACGGCAAATCTCGGTATTAGCAGCAATGGAAGTCTTCTGTTATCTAATGGAAAACATGGCGTTGTGTGGTCTACCGGAGATATCGTTGCATCTAATGGGTCTCGTGCTGAGCTTACAGACAATGGAAATCTTGTTTTCATAGACAAAGTTTCGGGAAGGACTTTGTGGCAAAGCTTTGAGCATCTTGGTAATACTCTGCTCCCTACGTCAACTATGATGTATAATCTCGTCACTGGTGAGAAGCGAGGATTGACTTCTTGGAAAAGTTACACCGATCCATCGCCTGGCGAATTTGTGGGTCAGATTACACCGCAAGTGCCATCACAGGGGATTATTATGAGAGGCTCAACGCCTTATTATAGAACCGGTCCATGGGCTAAAACAAGGTTCACCGGGTCACCGCAAATGGATGAATCATACACAAGTCCATTCAGCTTACAACAGGATGTAAATGGGTCAGGATACTTTTTATATCTTGAAAGAGACTACAAACTTGCATGCATGATTTTAACATCAGAGGGATCAATGAAGGTGTTACAGCATAATGGAATGGACTGGGAATCAACCTACGAGGGTCCAGCCAATTCATGTGATATATACGGTGTATGTGGACCTTTTGGGTTTTGTGTTGTATCAGTTCCTCCAAAGTGTACATGCTTCAAAGGTTTTGTTCCTAAATCCACTGAGGAGTGGAAAAAAGGAAACTGGACTGGTGGTTGTGTGAGGCGTACCGAACTACATTGTCAAGGAAACTCTACGGGCAAAGATGCAAATGTCTTCCATACTGTTCCCAACACAAAGCCTCCAGACTTTTACGAATATGCAAATTCTCAGAATACTGAAGAATGCCACAAAAATTGCCTCCACAATTGTTCTTGCTTGGCCTTTGCTTATATTCCTGGAATAGGGTGCTTAATGTGGAGCAAGGACCTAATGGACACAATGCAATTTTCTGCAGGAGGAGAACTTCTTTCCATTCGTCTTGCACGTTCTGAGCTGGGTATGACTTAGAAGATAATTCAAGGACCTTCTGTATCTTTTTCAATTATATCTTCTACTTCATTGATATTGATGTTTTCGATAGAAGCATGACTTATTGTTTAATTCTTGTGCTAAATTCCTCAGATGTAAATAAGCACAAGCTGACCATTGTTGCTAGTACAGTGAGCCTTACCCTCTTTGTGATCTTGGGCTTCGCTACTTTTGGTTTCTGGAGATGCAGAGTGGAACATAATGGTAACACATTGATGGCTTTACTATCAAACAACTTCTCACTGTTCATCTATTTATTTGGTTGTCAACAAAATTGCTCTGTTACATTCGTTACGAAATATCGTGAAATAAAAAGGTGTTTTTCCACTACATCAAATTTACACTAAATTGACAGACTTATATATATGTTCTTTTTGGTACTGACACACAAATTCTAACCCAAATTTTAGCTCACATATCAAACGATGCATGGAGGAATGATCTGCAATCACAAGACGTCCCAGGTTTAGAATTTTTTGAGATGAATACCATACAAACTGCCACCAATAATTTCAGTCTATCAAACAAACTCGGACATGGTGGATTTGGTTCCGTTTACAAGGCGAGAAACGTTTTATCCTCTTCGCTCTTTTTCTTTTCTGTTTTTTCTCAACTCTCAAGATGACATTTGCAACTTGTGTCAGGGAAAACTGCAAGATGGAAGAGAAATTGCGGTAAAACGCCTTTCTAGCAGCTCTGGGCAGGGCAAACAGGAGTTCATGAATGAAATAGTCCTGATATCAAAACTCCAACACAGAAACTTAGTCCGGGTTTTGGGAGTTTGCGTCGAAGGAAAAGAGCAGCTATTGATTTATGAGTTTATGAAAAACAAAAGCCTTGATACTATTGTCTTTGGTGGGTCACATCTTTCCTCTTTCATGTAGCTTTCCCCTTTATATCTAGAACTGGTTATCTTATAGTTTTTACATGGTATTCTCGCTTAGATTCAAGAAGAAGGCTCGAGATGGATTGGCCAAAGAGATATGATATCATCCAAGGTATTGCACGTGGACTTCTCTATCTCCACCGTGACTCACGTCTCAGAGTAATTCACCGAGACCTGAAGGTCAGCAACATTCTTCTGGACGAGAAAATGAACCCGAAAATATCAGATTTTGGGTTGGCTCGGATGTTTGAGGGAACCCAGTATCAGGAAAAAACTCGAAGGGTTGTCGGAACTCTGTAAGAACCATTCTTTAAAACATATTAAACTAGATTGATAGTCATATATTAAACTGGGTGAAATTATTTGACCTTTGAACAGCGGATATATGTCTCCTGAGTATGCATGGACTGGCGTATTCTCTGAGAAATCCGATATCTACAGCTTCGGAGTTCTGTTGTTAGAAATCATTAGCGGAGAGAAGATCTCAAGGTTCAGCTATGGCGAGGAAGGAAAAGCACTTCTTGCATATGTAAGTAAGACTCTTTATGTTTTCATGCATTGGTAGAGGTTGCAAAAGGTTTGTTACGTTGCTTTGATATTCTTAAGATCTGAAACTAAAAAACAGGCATGGGAATGTTGGTGTGAAACCCGAGGAGTTAATTTTTTGGACCAAGCTCTTGCTGATTCTTGTCACCCATCTGAAGTTGGAAGGTGTGTCCAGATTGGTTTGCTTTGTGTTCAATACCACCCTGCAGACAGACCAAACACACTTGAGTTGCTGTCTATGCTTACCACAACATCAGATCTTCCTCTGCCGAAACAACCTACGTTTGTAGTGCACACTAGAAAAGACGAATCACCGTCAAATGATTCGATGATCCCTGTCAATGAGATGACAGAGTCTGTGATCCAAGGGCGTTGAAACTGTAGAATGTGAATTATTCTCTATAAGGATCAAAATTTCTAATGTTGAGAAAATTACATCCCTTCTTGGCCAATCAATCTCCAGCCTTTCTCTTTGGTTGATCCCTTCTTGCATTCTTCCTTTATTATTCAGAAACCTTTTATCCATGTGGAAACTGTTTGTCTGATAGTTTTATGCCTTAGATTCAAGAAAAAGGCTGGAGATTGATTGGCCAAAAAGATTTGATATCATTCAAGGTATTGCACATGGACTTCTCTATATATACTCCATCGTGACTCATGCCTCAAGGTAATTCACCGAGATCTGAAAGGTTAGCAATATTCTTCTGGACAAGAAGATAAATCCAAAGATATTTGATATTTTGGATTAGTTCGGATGTATCAGGGAACCGGACAATACTCTCAGGGTTGTAGGAAGCAGAGCCGGCCACGACTACAAGCGAGCCAAGCACCAGCTTGCGGCCGCCCAAGAGTTTATTAAAAGAAACGGCCGCCATTTGCATCAAATATTCATCAGCTCTACTGGTAAATGTGAGTTATTTCAAGAGAAGAGGTTTCTGGGTCGATTCCCACTAAGTACACTATAAAGTTTTTTCATTTTTTTTGATAAATCAGTAATTAGTTTGTCCAAAAAATTTTTTGGCTTGTGGCCACCTATTTCCTAAGGACGGCTCTGGTAGGAAGTAGGAACCCTGTAAGACTCGATTTTCATAGTCGTAAATATGTATGTCATAAAAACTGAATCGACTAAGGTATATTTTATTAGGCATCATTACATGATTCCACTTTCCACTAACCCCGAATAATGTATTTTTTTTTTTTTTGAGCAAAGTCTTTTGTCAATTTCGTGTGTTTCGGGATGGGAAATGATCCAAAATAAAGAGACTAAAAAATCGTCGACTCTAAGTCTTCGCGGAAGATTCTTCTCTGGCCTGTGGCTTTACGACACAAGTCAAACAACCTTTCATACACTGGCACACCAATGTTGACTGTTGAATTCTTCGGCTATTTTGGACAGAAACAGTTGGAATCAGTCGATTGGGGTCATTACGGGTCTAACGACATGAGCGAGTCTCCGAATTTTTTGGTATGCACTGCAAGTGTTCGAGGAAATGTCTAAACGATATAAACCATAGCCTCCATTTCAAAAAAGTTAATGTGTTAAAATGGAAAAGCAAGGATTTCGGAAACTAATTCAAATGATCTGATTGTCGATTGATGCAGAGTTGTACGTTCGGCCTAACAAGCTAATAAGGGCATCTCCAACCCTACTCTATTTTAGAGTAAAAATGCAAAATTCTTCTCCAACCCTACTCTATAATTGACTCTAAAATAGAGATTTCTGCAGATTGACTCTATATATAGAGCAACTCTATTCTCTACTCTATTTTTGAGTTCAAGTTTTTTATTTATACTTTAGTCCCTCAAATTTAAACTTTTTTATTTAATACATCTAATCATTTTACAAACAACAATTACAACACATAGTTTTATAAACTTAAAAAGCAAACAAGTACTAAATTTAAAATAAACAACATAAGAAAATTAAAACATAAAACTAGTAATTTAATAGTCCGGTAAATTGCTTGTAGATCCGCCAAGATAGTTAAAATATCTTGTTATTTAAAATAAAATTTGTAATGTTTTATTATTGTTATATGATGTAATGTTTTTTTAATGAATAATTAGTGTTTAATTTAACTAATATCATATTTTATGGAAATTTTGCAAATCTATAATATATGGGGTCAAATTGTAAATTATATAATTAAAATGTAATAGTATATAAAATAGAAATAGAATAGAAAATAGAGATATACATTGGAGAGAAACCCTCCTCTAAAATAGAGTTATAGAGTAAGATATAGAGCTATACATTGGAGATGGTCCAAGGACTGGAAGAAAGACAACGTTGCGTGTCTGATTGGGTAAGGGACTTATGCATTGACAATTTTTTTCTGTATTATTAAATAATGCATTGAAACATAAGTAAAGTAGTTCTCACAAGTCAATCCCTGAGTTGTCAAAAAAAAAAAAAACTCCCATAGTGTTTTTTTCCGGCTTTCTTGCTTTATGTATAACAAATATGGGGAAGAAGAGGATCGTGTTCTTTGCTTATTTGCTCTTATCTACCATCTTTATAAGTTTTAGCTCTGCAGGGATAACGGAAGGGAGTCCTTTGTCAATAGGACAAACTCTCAGCTCTTCTAATGGTGTTTATGAACTGGGATTCTTCAGTCCTAATAACTCCCAAAATCAGTATGTCGGAATCTGGTTCAAGGGTATCATTCCCCGGGTGGTTGTGTGGGTCGCCAATAGAGAAAATCCTGTTAGAGACTCCACGGCAAATCTCGCTATCAGCAGCAATGGAAGTCTTCAGTTATTTAACGGCAAACATGGCGTTGCGTGGTCCAGTGGAGAAGCTCTTGCTTCTAACGGGTCTCGTGCAGAGCTTTCAGACACCGGAAATCTTATTGTCATAGACAATTTTTCAGGAAGAACTCTATGGCAAAGCTTTGACCATCTTGGTGATACTATGCTCCCTTTCTCAACTCTGAAGTATAACCTCGCCACTGGCGAGAAGCAGGTGTTGAGATCTTGGAAAAGTTACACTGATCCATCGCTTGGCGACTTTGTGCTTCAGATTACACCGCAAGTGCCAACACAGGTGCTTGTTATGAGAGGATCAACGCCTTACTATAGAAGCGGTCCATGGGCGAAAACAAGGTTCACGGGGATACCGCTAATGGATGACACATTTACAGGTCCAATCAGCCTTCAGCAGGATACAAATGGGTCAGGATCTCTCACTTATTTAAACGGAAACTTCAAACGTCAACGTACAATGCTAACATCAAAGGGCTCACTACAGGAGCTTTCTTGGCATAATGGGACAGACTGGGTATTGAACTTTGTGGCTCCAGCACACTCATGTGATCACTACGGTGTATGTGGACCTTTTGGGTTATGTGTGAAGTCCGTTCCTCCAAAATGTAAGTGTTTCAAAGGGTTTGTTGCTAAAGTCATTGAAGAGTGGAAAAGAGGAAACTGGACTGGTGGTTGTGTGAGGCGTACCGAACTATATTGTCAAGAAAACTCTACTGGCAAAGATGTAAACGTCTTCCATCCTGTTGCCAGGATAAAGCCTCCAGACTTTTACGAATTTGCAAGTTTTGTGAATGTTGAAGAATGCCAGAAAAGTTGTCTCCACAATTGTTCTTGCTTGGCCTTTGCTTATATCAATGGAATAGGGTGCTTAATGTGGAACCAAGACCTAATGGACGCAGTGCAATTTTCTGCAGGGGGAGAACTTCTCTCCATTCGTCTGGCACGTTCTGAACTAGGTATGCCTCAAATGACAACACGAAAGAACTACTTCGTCAATTACAACTTTATCTACAACTCTATTGATACTCTTCTTGCCGGAAGCAGCATGACATATTGTTTAATTTGTTTTTTGTCTTATATATCTCAGGTGGGAATAAGCGCAAGAAGACCATTACTGCTAGTATTGTGAGCCTTTCTCTTTTTGTGATAATTGCGTCTGCTGCGTTTGGTTTCTGGAGATATAGAGTGAAACATAACGGTACAAACTGATGTTCTTACTCCCTCTCTATTGATTTCTTTTATTTATTTACAGTATTCATTTTCTTGCTATCGGTAAGACACTGATGTTATCTATAATTGAAACTCTAGTTTCAGCTAATATAACAAAGGATGCTTCACAAGTTGCATGTAGGAATGATCTGAAACCACAAGATGTCTCAGGTTTAAATTTCTTTGAGATGAATACCATTCAAACTGCCACCAATAATTTCAGTATATCAAACAAACTCGGACAAGGTGGATTTGGTTCAGTTTACAAGGTCAGAGATTTTTTATTTTTAACCTCTTTGCTCTTTTCTATTCTTTACTTATGCTCTCCAGATGACCTTATGCAAAGAGTTTCAGGGAAAGCTGCCAGATGGGAAAGAAATTGCTGTAAAACGGCTTTCTAGTAGCTCGGGCCAGGGTAATGAAGAGTTCACGAATGAAATAGTACTCATCTCAAAACTACAACATAAAAACTTAGTTCGGATCTTGGGATGTTGCATTGAAGGAGAAGAGAAGCTATTGATTTATGAGTTTATGTTGAACAAAAGCCTTGATACTTTTCTCTTCGGTGGGTTCCTTCTTGCCTCATTTCTTTACTATCAGCAGCTTTTCTCTATATGGAACTACTGTCTTATCTGATTGTTTTTATGCTGTATTGTTGCTTAGATTCAAGAAAAAGACTTGAGATTGACTGGCCAAAGAGATTTGATATCATTCAAGGTATTGCGCGTGGAATTCACTATCTCCATCGTGACTCACATCTCAAGGTTATTCATCGAGATCTGAAGGTCAGCAATATTCTTCTGGATGAGAAAATGAATCCAAAGATATCAGATTTTGGATTGGCTCGGATGTATCAGGGAACCGAATATCAGGACAATACTCGCAGGGTTGTAGGAACTCTGTAAGACTCGATTTTCAAAAACATGATTAACAAGATTCATATTCATAAACTCATAATCGTTTATTAAACTTTGTGTGAAACTATTTGATGTTTGCACAGAGGATATATGGCTCCCGAGTATGCATGGACTGGGATGTTCTCTGAAAAGTCCGACATCTATAGCTTTGGAGTTTTAATGTTAGAAATCATTAGCGGGGAGAAGATCTCAAGATTCAGCTATGGCAAAGAAGAAAAAACCCTTATTGCATATGTAAGTACGACTTTAGGTTTTCGCACACTTGCAAATTTCTGTAAAGGTTTCTAGCTTTTATATTCCTAAGACCTGAATCTGAAAAACAGGCGTGGGAGTCTTGGTGTGAAACTGGAGGAGTTGATCTGTTGGATAAAGATGTTGCTGATTCATGTCACCCATTAGAAGTTGAGAGATGTGTGCAGATTGGTTTGCTCTGTGTTCAACACCAACCTGCTGATAGACCAAACACAATTGAGTTGCTGTCTATGCTCTCCACAACATCAGATCTTCCATCACCAAAACAACCCACATTTGTAGTGCACACTAGAGATGATGAATCATCGTCTAAGGATTTGATCACTGTGAATGAGATGACAGAGTCTGTGATCTTAGGGCGTTGAGAAATGATGTTTGATTGAAACTTTAGAATTGATGTATGTGTAATTGTTGCGGAAAGGGATCAACATTTGAATGTTGAAAACTTCACCTTTTATTCGTTTTGTAAAATAGTTTTTGGTGCACCTATGATTTACAGTAGAGTAAGAATTGGCCATGGGCAAAGATCAAGTTATCGGGAGCAGTACGTACATTCCAATCCAATGGCTAAAAAGTATCATAATTCCAGAAACACTAATCAGATAATAGATTCATCATTTCATCTTCCATGTAAGCCAAAATAGAGTTCTTCACATCCATGTTCTTCTCCTCCAAAATCCGAACTTCGTTTTCCAGAAACTCCCTCTCCGACAATAAACTCCTTAATTCACTGTCTTCAATCTCCCTCTGGAATCCAAAACACATCTTCATAAATCCTTCCCTGTGGACAAAATTCCATAATCAATGCTTTATTAATCTAATACTTTAGAACACAAAATACATGTTTACAACGCAATCGAGGATTACCGCTTCTCGGTTAGCCTTGTAATTAGCTCACTGTGCTCACTTCTCAGGCGATGAATCTCATCCTCCAATTGCTTCAGAGAGTTTCTTGAATCGGCTTTTTATAGAAATTTAACATTCGAATGTGAATTTTAACAACACAAAAATCATTAATAAAATTCAGAAATCAGAAGCAACTCAAATTCAGAAACCTGTAACGGAGATCAAACCGCTGATCTCGAATTGAGAAGCAAGGAACGATCTAGTAAGCTCAGCTTCTTTGAGAGACAGAGCCGATTCCATCTCAGAACAAGTTCCGATCTGTGATTCGATCTCTCGCGTCACCTCAATGTTTGCCTCGATTTCCCGATTGACCTGTTTCGTTGTTTCATTCGATGACAGCTCAAATTAAGCTAAAGACGAGAAACCAAACCAGTGAAGAGGAAGAAGAAGGAGAGAAGAAGAGTAAAACCTGATCAAGCATATCCTTAAAAATGGAGATCTGACATAGAATCGCTCCTGAATCCTCCATCTCCAAATCTCTTTCTCTCAGCTCTCTTGTTTTCAAATTCAAATTCAAAATCGTTAAAAGAGTTAGAGGGAAGATAAGATTTTACTGGGCCTTATGGGCTTTTAAACAAAATCGGCCCAGTGTGACCTTGTGTTCATTCGAATACAGTAATTTTGGATCTTTCAATATTTGGAATACGAACCGGTTCAGATTCGAGTTTGATTTGGATTTGGAGAAAAACTTGTGTTCGATAGTCTTGTAGAATTGACTGTTGAAGTCGTCTTCTCTCCGGTGAAACTGGGACTGTTGAATTCTTCGGCTATTTTGGAGAGAAACAGTTAACGCCCAGATGGTTGGAGATGGAAATGGGCTCTGATTAGTGAAGCTCCGAAAGTTCTGATTATGCATTACAAGTGTTCGGTAAAATGCCTGAACGAGATTTAATGTAGTCTCCAATTCAAGAAAGCTGTTCCGATGAATCCAGTAACATTTAAAGATGAGTGTTGATGTTTATCTGGATACTAAGAGCTGGCGGCAAGTACATGGGAACACCACAAAATATTTTAATCTTTGGTCAATCAATGCGTTCTCATCTTTCGATATGGTTGCAGAGTCTCGGTGCCTATCTTTCGATATGGTTGCAGAGTCTCGGTGTCTATCTCGGTGGCTCGGATGTATCAGGGAACCGAATATCAGGACAACACTCGCAGGGGTGTAGGAACTCTGTAAGAACCATTCTTCGAAACATGCTTAATTCATAGTGTTGATCTTGTATTAATCTTGGGTAAAACTATTTGATTTTTTCACAGAGGATATATGGCTCCTGAGTATGCATGGACTGGGTAATCTCTGAGTAGTCCGACATCTACAGCTTCGGAGTTCTGCTATTAGAAATCATCAGCGGAGAGAAGATCTCAAGATTGAGCTATGGCGAAGATGGAAAAACCCTTATGGCATATGTAAGTTAGACTTCAGATTTTCGCACACTTGCAAATGTCTCAAACTCAAAGCGTTTCTTGCTTTCAATAGAATATTGTAATGTCCCCGAAACACACGAAATTGACAAAAGACTTTGCTCAAAAGAAAAAGAGACTAAAAAATCGTCGACAAGCAACCCTTTCATACACTGGCACACCAATGTTGACTGTTGAATTCTTCGGCTATTATCGATAGAAACAATTAAGCACAGATGGTTGCAGTTGGAATGAGGTCATTAGGGTCTAAAGAAAGTTAAAGTGTGTTGTAACAGTGAAGGATTTTCAGAAACCAATTAGAATGATCTGATTGAATTCTTTCGATTGATGCAGAGTTATAGGTTCTCGGTCTAACAAGCTAATAAGGACTTGAACAATGACAACGTTGCGTATCTGATTGGGTAAGGACTTATTCGTGCCAATGTATTATGTTCTGTATTTAATCCCTTTATTAAATAATGCATAATTTTTGGAACATAGTAAAGTAGTTCTCAAAAGTCTATGAGTGTTTTTTTTTCTTCATACACTAATCCAAAAAAAAGATAGTTATTGGAGAGAAAAAAAAGTATGGGGAAGAAGAGGATCGTGTTCTTTGCTTATTTGCTCTTACGTACCATCTTTATAAGTTTTAGCTTTGCAGGGATAACCAAAGAGAGCCCTCTGACAATAGGACAAACTCTCAGCTCCTCTAATGGAGTTTATGAACTGGGGTTCTTCAGTTTTAATAACTCCCAAAATCAGTATGTCGGAATCTGGTTCAAGGGTATCATTCCCCGGGTGGTTGTGTGGGTGGCCAATAGAGAAAAGCCTGTTACAGATTCCGCGGCAAATCTCGCTATCAGCAACAATGGAAGTCTTCTGTTATTTAATGGCAAAGATGGCGTTGCATGGTCCAGTGGAGAAGCTCTTGCTTCTAACGGGTCTCGTGCAGAGCTTTCAGACACCGGAAATCTTATTGTCCTAGACAATTATTCGGGAAGAACTCTATGGCAAAGCTTTGAGCATCTTGGTGATACTATGCTCCCTTTCTCAACCCTGAAGTATAACCTCGCCACTGGCGAGAAGCAGGTGTTGACTTCTTGGAAAAGTTACACTGATCCATCGCTTGGCGACTTTGTGCTTCAGATTACACCGCAAGTGCCAACACAGGTGCTTGTTATGAGAGGATCAACTACTTCGTCAATTAGAACTTTATCTACAACTCCGTTGATAATTTGATACTCTTCTTTCCGGAAGCAGCATGTCTTATTGTTTAATTTGTTTGTCTTATATATCTCAGGTGGGAATAAGCGCAAGAAGACCATTACTGCTAGTATTGTGAGCCTTTCTCTTTTTGTGATAATTGCGTCTGCTGCGTTTGGGTTCTGGAGATATAGAGTGAAACATAACGGTATTGATTTTACTCCCATTCTATTGATTTCTTTTGTTTATTTACAGTATTCATTTTCTTGCTATCGGTAAGACACTGATGACCTATATTATCTATAATTGAAACTCTAGTTTCAGCTAATATAAAAAAGGATGCTTCACAAGTTGCATGGAGGAATGATCTGAAACCACAAGATGTCTCAGGTTTAAATTTCTTTGAGATGAATACCATTCAAACTGCCACCAATAATTTCAGTCTACCAAACAAACTCGGACAAGGTGGATTTGGTGCAGTTTATAAGGTCAGAGAATTTTTATTATTAACCTCTTTGCTCTTTCTATTATTTGCGTATGCTCTCCAGATGACCTTATGCAATGTGTGTTTCAGGGAAAGCTAGAAGATGGGAAAGAAATTGCTGTGAAGCGGCTTTCTAGCAGCTCGGGCCAGGGCAAAGAGGAGTTCATGAATGAAATAGTACTCATCTCAAAACTACAACATAAAAACTTAGTTCGGATTTTGGGATGTTGCATTGAAGGAGAAGAGAGGCTGTTGATATATGAGTTCATGTTGAACAAAAGCCTTGATACTTTTCTCTTCGGTGGGTTCCTTCTTGCCTCATTCCTTTACTATCAGCAAGTTTTTCTCTACATGGAAGTGTCTTATCTGATTTTTTATATGCTATATTGTTGCTTAGATTCAAGAAAACGGCTTGAGATTGACTGGCCAAAGAGATTTGATATAATTCAAGGTATTGCACGTGGAATTCACTATCTCCATCGTGACTCATGCCTCAAGGTAATTCACCGAGATCTGAAGGTCAGCAATATTCTTCTGGATGAGAAAATGAATCCGAAAATATCAGATTTTGGATTGGCTCGGATGTATCAGGGAACCGAATATCAGGACAATACTCGCAGGGTTGTAGGAACTCTGTAAGACTCTATTTTCAAAAACATGGTTAACAAGATTCATAGTCATAATCATATATTAAACTTTGGGTGAAACTATTTGATGTTTGCACAGAGGATATATGGCTCCTGAGTATGCATGGACTGGGATGTTCTCAGAAAAGTCCGACATCTATAGCTTCGGAGTTCTAATGTTAGAAATCATTAGCGGGGAGAAGATCTCAAGATTCAGCTATGGCAAAGAAGAAAAAACCCTTATTGCATATGTAAGTACGAATTTAGTTTTTCGCACACTTGCAGCTGTCTCAAAACGTTTCTTGCTTGTATATTCTTAAGACCTGAATCTGAACAACAGGCGTGGGAATCTTGGTGTGAAAGTGGAGGAATTGATCTCTTGGATAAAGATGTTGCCGATTTATGTCGCCCACTGGAAGTTGAGAGATGTGTGCAGATTGGTCTGCTCTGTGTTCAACACCAACCTGCAGATAGACCCAACACACTTGAGTTGCTGTCTATGCTCACCACAACATCAGATCTTCCACCACCAGAACAACCCACATTTGTAGTGCACAGGAGAGATTACGAATCATCGTCTAAGGATTTGATCACTGTGAATAAGATGACGAAGTCTGTGATCTTAGGGCGTTGATAACTTTACCTTTTTCTATATATGAAGGTATATTCCAACAAATGAACCTCCATTTTGGTGCACCAATGATTAACAGTAGAACTGTAGAAGAATTGGCCATGGTGTTAAAGATAATGTGACTAGTAGTAGACTAGTAGTACGTACATTCCAATCCACTGGCTAAATTTTTCATAGTTCCAGAAACACTAATCAGATAATAGATTCATCATTTCATCTTCCATGTAAGCCAAAATCGAGTTCTTCACACCCATGTTCTTCTCCTCCAACATCCGTACTTCGTTTTCTAGAAACTCTCTCTCGGACAATAAATTCCTTGATTCACTGTCTTCAATATCCCTCTGGAATCCAAAACACATCTTCACAAATCCTTCCCTGTTTACAAAATTCCATAATCAATGCTTTATTAATCTAAGTCTCTAGAACACAAATACTTGTTTACAACGCAATCGAGGATTACCGCTTCTCGGTTAGCCTTGTAATTAGCTCACTGTGCTCACTTCTCAAGCAACAAATCTCATCCTCCAGTAGCTTCAAAGAGTTTCTTGAATCAGCTTTAATGTGATCTGTGATTCGATCTCTCGCGTCACCTGAATGTTTGCCTCGATTTCCCGATTGACCTGTTTCGTTGTTTCATTCGATCACGGCTTAAAGCCTAAAGACGAGAAACCAAACCAGTGAAGAAGAAGAGTATAAGAAGAGTGAAACCTGATCAAGCATGTCCTTGAAAATGGAGATCTGACATAGAATCGCACCTGAATCCTCCATCTCTAAATCTCGCTCTTGCTCTAACTTCCGCTTCTTTTCAAATTCAAAATCAAAATCGTTAAAAGAGTTGGGGAAGATAAGATTTTATACTGGGCTTTATGGGCTTTTAACTCAAATCGGCCCAGTGAGACCTAGTATTTCGTGGCCATTCGGATTTCGGATCTTTCAATATTTGGAAATACGAACCGAATTTTTTAATTTCGGATCTAGTTTGGTTTAGTTTCATGTGCGTTCGAAATTGTAGAATTGATCGTCTTCTCTCTGGTTACACTTGCACACCAATGTTGACTGTTGAAGACTTGAAGTCAGCTATTTTGGACAAAAAACAGTTTGGCGTTGGAAATGACCATACATTCTTCCAATGTGTAGATTGGGGCATAACGGTCAAACGTCATTACGGTAGATTTGAACGTTCTGATTATGCATTACAACTGTTCGGTGAAATGCCTGAACGAGATTTCACGTAGTCTCCAGTTCAAGAAAAGAAAGGTCTTCCGGTGAATCTTACTATTGATGCAAGAGTGTACTGGCTTCAAAGAGCTGGCATGATCATGGTCAAGCAATGCGTTCTGACTTGAAAAATATTCTCATCTTTTGATTGGTGGAGAGTGTAGGTGCCTATCTTTCACTGGTTCTCGTCATGAAAATGATAATGTTGCGTAATTGACTGGGTAAAAAGTTGGACTTTGTTTGTTGCAATTACGTTACCATTGACAAATGAGGTTTAAGTTGATCATGCAGAATTTTGGAACATTAGTGCGGTCAGGTCATAGGTTCTTGAAAATACTTCTCATAAGTCCCTGGAAGAAAAAAAAACATCTTTATCAAAAAGAAAGTCCTCCAGTTTTTTTCTTTCCCTTGGCTTTCTTGGTCTTGTATATGTTCGCTTTTTAGTTATTAGAGAGAAAAAGGAAAACACATGGGGAAGAAAAGGATCGTGTTGCTCTTATTTATAAGTTTTAGCTATGCAGAGATAACAAAAGAGAGTCCTTTGTCAACAGGACGAACTCTCAGCTCCTCTAATGGAGTTTATGAACTGGGATTCTTTAGTTTTAATAACTCCCAAAATCAGTATGTCGGAATCTGGTTCAAGGGTGTCATTCCCAGGGTTGTTGTGTGGGTGGCCAATAGAGAAAAGCCTGTTACAGACTCTGCGGCAAATCTGGCTATCAGCAGCAATGGAAGTCTTATGTTAATTAACGGCAAACATGGCGTTGTGTGGTCCATCGGCGAAACTCTTGCATCTAATGGGTCTCGTGCAGAGCTGTCAGACTATGGAAATCTAATTGTCAAAGACAAAGTTTCGGGAAGAACTCAATGGGAAAGCTTCGAGCATCTTGGTAACACTCTGCTCCCTACGTCAACTATGATGTATAATCTTGCCACTGGTGAGAAGCGAGGGTTAAGGTCTTGGAAAAGTTACACTGATCCATCGCCTGGTGACTTTTGGGTTCAGATCACACCTCAAGTGCCATCACAGGGGTTTGTTATGAGAGGGTCGGTCCCTTATTATAGAACCGGTCCATGGGCTAAAACAAGGTTCACCGGTATACCGCAAATGGATGAATCATACACAAGTCCATTCAGCTTACATCAGGATGTAAATGGGTCTGGATACTTTTCGTATTTTGAAAGAGACTACAAACTTTCACGTATAACTTTAACATCAGAGGGAGCAATGAAGGTGTTACGGTATAATGGAATGGACTGGAAATCAAGCTACGAGGGTCCAGCCAATTCATGTGATATTTATGGTGTATGTGGACCTTTTGGTTTTTGTGTTATCTCAGATCCTCCAAAGTGTAAATGCTTCAAAGGTTTTGTTCCTAAATCGATTGAGGAGTGGAAAAGAGGAAACTGGACTAGTGGTTGTGCGAGGCGTACCGAACTACATTGTCAAGGAAACTCTACTGGCAAAGATGCAAACGTCTTCCATACTGTTCCCAACGTAAAACCTCCAGACTTTTACGAATATGCAAATTCTGTGGATGCTGAAGGATGCCACCAAAGTTGCCTGCACAATTGTTCTTGCTTGGCCTTCGCTTATATTCCTGGAATAGGGTGCTTAATGTGGAGCAAGGACCTAATGGACACAATGCAATTTTCTACAGGAGGAGAACTTCTTTCCATTCGTCTTGCAGATTCTGAGCTAGGTATGTCTTAGAAGATAATTCAAGGAACTTCTGTATCTTTTTCAATTATATCTTCTACTTCACTGATATTGATGTTTCCGATAGAAGCATGTCTTATTGTTTAATTCTTGTCCTAAATTCCTCAGATGTAAATAAGCACAAGCTGACCATTATTGCTAGTACAGTGAGCCTTACCCTCTTTGTGATCTTGGGCTTTGCTGCGTTTGGTTTCTGGAGATGCAGAGTAAAACATCACGGTAACATATTGATGCTATCGAACACTCTCTCATTGTTCATCTATTCATTTGATTGTGAACAAAATTGCTCTTTCACGTTTGTGAATTATCGTAAGATAAAAATGTGTTTTTTTTCAACTACAACAAACCTACACTAAACTGATGGACTTATATATGTTTTCTTTGGTACATTGGTTTGGGCTTGTTTTAAAAACTCTTAATATGCTCACTTGGCACTAACTCACAAATTCTAACCCAAATATCAGCTCATATATCAGAGGATGCATGGAGGAATGATCTGCAATCACAAGACGTCCCAGGTTTAGAATTTTTTGAGATGAATACCATACAAACTGCCACCAATAATTTCAGTCTATCAAACAAACTCGGACATGGTGGATTTGGTTCCGTTTACAAGGCGAGAAACGTTTTATCCTCTTCGCTCTTTTTCTTTTCTGTCTTTTCTCAACTCTCAAGATGACATCTGCATCTTGTTTCAGGGAAAACTGCAAGATGGAAGGGAAATTGCGGTAAAACGCCTTTCTAGCAGCTCTGGGCAGGGCAAACAGGAGTTCATGAATGAAATAGTACTTATCTCAAAACTCCAACACAGAAACTTAGTCCGGGTTTTGGGATGCTGCGTCGAAGGAAAAGAAAAGCTATTGATTTATGAGTTTATGAAAAACAAAAGCCTTGATACTATTGTCTTTGGTGGGTCACATCTTGCCTCTTTCTTGTAGCTTTCCTCTCTCTATGTGGAACTGCTTGTTTGATAGTTTTTACACGGTGTTTTTGCTTAGATTCAAGAAAAAGGCTTGAGATAGATTGGCCAAAGAGATTTGATATCATTCAAGGTATTGCGCGTGGACTTCTCTATCTCCATCGTGACTCGCGCCTCAGAGTAATTCACAGAGACCTGAAGGTCAGCAACATTCTTCTGGACGAGAAAATGAACCCGAAAATATCAGATTTTGGGTTGGCGCGGATGTTTCAGGGAACCCAATATCAGGACAAAACTCGCAGGGTTGTCGGAACTCTGTAAGAACCTTTCTTCGATAACATACTAAACTAGATTGATAGTCATATAGTACTAAACTGGGTGAAACTATTTGACCTTTGAACAGAGGATATATGTCTCCTGAGTATGCATGGACTGGTGTATTCTCTGAGAAATCAGACATCTACAGCTTTGGAGTTCTACTGTTAGAAATCATCAGCGGAGAGAAGATCTCAAAGTTCAGTTATGGCGAAGAAGGAAAAGCACTTCTTGCATATGTAAGTAAGATTTTTTTTTTTTTTTATGTTTTCATGCATTTGCAGAGGTTGCAAAAGGTTTGTTGCTCTTGTATTCTTAAGATCTGAAACTAAATAACAGGCATGGGAATGTTGGTGTGAAACCCGAGGAGTTAATCTTTTGGACCAAGCTCTTGCTGATTCTTGTCACCCATCTGAAGTTGGAAGGTGTGTCCAGATTGGTTTGCTTTGTGTTCAACACGAGCCTGCAGACAGACCAAACACACTTGAGTTGCTGTCTATGCTCACCACAACATCAGATCTTCCTCTGCCAAAACAACCCACATTTGTAGTGCACACTAGAAATGACGAATCACCATATAATGATTCTGTCAATGAGATGACAGAGTCTGTGATTCAAGGACGTTGAACAACAAATGTGTGATGGAAATTGTAGAAGGGATTATTTTCTTAGATAATGTCATCATGTAAATTGAGATGATGACATCCAAAATTATGCAAAAAGGCATGTTTAAAGAGTTTTCTAAACATCTCTTGTGAATCTCTTCTTCGTTGAGACTATGTACATCATTCACGTGAGTGTGTTCGTGAGCTTGGAATCTATTTGGCCGTATTGGTGTTTTGTTTCAGTTAAAGCCTTAAAGTCTGTAACTTTGACTAGAAGTAGTTAAACCCAGGTCGAGACTTGAGGAACGGTGACATTAGCAAGCCTTTGAATCTTATGTCTTGGATTGTTAGGATTACGCACCATAAGTGTTCGACGAAATGCCTAATCGAAATGTAGTAAAGGTACAAATCAGTAATGCATGTGATCCCAATAGTGAATTGTCTTGTTCTTGCGATTATCAACATTTATGTTCACTATTAAAGTCGGCTACTTTGACTACATGTAGTTAAGCCCAGATTGTGGGAGTTGCATTAATCGGTACTTTCGCGTGTAACTATCTGTCTCAAGAGTTTAGGTCCGGGCAACATGCGTTACATGCCAAGATTAGAAATGCTTTGGATACGCACTCTACATGTTCGACGAAATGCCTGAACGACATACAAAGTTTCAAATGCTGGCCACTAGGAGTTGGTGTTATGTTTAAACACGAACAGTGTTTCAGGTGAGCATCTTTCTAGGTCTTTAGATCTTCATTTTACAGTTTGCACTTTGCATAAAGCTTAAACTTTTGAAAGCAATTTCTAAATCTGTTTTGTCTTTTGGAACATGAAAAGGCTGCAAACTTAATTGCTGTGTTGGTTTGACTTGTGAGAGACCAACATGAAGAAAAAACAAAACTCATTTACTAGATTCTATCTTTAAGGAAGAGTAACATGGAACTTCTTGGTCAACGACTCAACGCTGTCTATACAGATTATTTTAATGCTTATGTTTAGATTATGATTGTAATTATTCTTTTTGACAAAAGAAAATATTATCAAATTAGTGCAATACTTAAGATATAGTCATATAGAGGATAACATGAAGGTCTTTATTCCTTTGGTCTCATTTTAATCTGTTAATCTACGTAACGTTTTGCTCATATGTTTAAACTTCCACAAGGAATTGTGCAGACAAATAGAAGTAATCATGGGTATGGTTTTATTTGCTTGCTCGCTCTTGCTAATTATATTTCCAATGTGTGGTAATGCAGATATAAACACATCAAGTCCTTTGTCAATAGGACAAACTCTGAGCTCCCCTGATGGAGTTTATGAGTTAGGCTTCTTCACTCCTAATAATTCTCGGAATCAGTATGTTGGGATCTGGTTCAAGAACATCATTCCTCAGGTCGTTGTCTGGGTGGCTAACAGAGATAAGCCAGTCACAAAAACTGCGGCGAATCTAACTATCAGCAGCAATGGGAGTCTGATCTTGCTCGATGGTAAACAAGATGTGATTTGGTCAACAGGAGAGGCTTTCACATCCAACAAGTGTCATGCTGAGCTTTTAGACACCGGAAATCTTGTTGTAATTGACGATGTTTCCGGAAAAACTTTATGGAAAAGCTTTGAAAATCTTGGTAATACTATGCTGCCTCAGTCTTCGGTGGCTTATGATATTCCCCGTGGAATGAATCGTGTGTTGACCTCATGGAGAAGCAACAGCGATCCATCGCCTGGGGAATTCTCACTGGAGTTTACGCCACAAGTCCCCCCACAAGGCCTTATAAGGAGAGGCTCATCGCCCTACTGGAGAAGCGGTCCATGGGCAAAAACAAGATTCTCTGGGATACCTGGAATTGATGCATCATATGTAAGTCCATTCACTGTTGTCCAAGATGTAGCGAAGGGCACAGCATCCTTTTCTTATTCCATGTTAAGAAACTATAAATTATCGTATGTAACGCTAACATCAGAGGGGAAAATGAAGATCCTCTGGAATGATGGAAAAGGTTGGAAGCTTCACTTTGAGGCTCCAACAAGCTCTTGTGATCTATATCGTGCTTGTGGTCCTTTTGGTTTGTGTGTGAGATCCAGAAACCCAAAGTGCATATGCTTGAAAGGGTTTGTACCAAAGTCAGATGACGAGTGGAAAAAAGGGAATTGGACAAGTGGGTGTGTGAGACGTACACAATTATCTTGCCATATGAATTCTTCTACAAAAACACAAGGCAAAAACACAGACAGCTTCTACCATATGACCCGCGTTAAGACTCCAGATCTGTACCAATTGGCAGGCTTTCTCAATGCAGAACAGTGCTACCAAAATTGTCTAGGCAACTGCTCCTGCACAGCCTTTGCTTATATTAGTGGAATTGGATGCTTGGTATGGAACCGGGAGCTGGTAGACACAGTTCAATTTTTGTCTGATGGGGAATCTCTCTCCCTTCGTCTTGCAAGTTCAGAATTGGGTATAATGATTACTGTTTACTTATTACATTTGAACTTTCAACTTTCTCTATATGTGATGTGTTTTTTTTTTCTCTCTAGCAGCATGGTTTAAACTTTTTGTTTTCTGTGATTATATCAGCTGGAAGCAGTCGAACAAAGATTATTGTAGGTACTACTGTGAGCCTTTCCATTTTCGTGATCTTGGTCTTTGCCGCATATAAGTTCTGCAAATACAGAACAAAACAAAATGGTGAGATACATGCACTTTGGTCTATCTCACTCTCTTTCATTGTCTCTTTTTTCATCTAACTCTGTAACCAAATCCGAAGCAAATGAATCTCTTCCTCTTCATCTGATACACACCACATTTCTAGAATTCTTAATTTGTGACCCAAGGTACAGTCTCAGCCTCTCAGGTAGACAGTTCATTTGGAAAGTCTATACGGTCTGTTTAAGATGTCCTAAGGGTTAATATGTTCACTTATGTTGAAAGTCAATACTTGGATGCTAAACTGCTACAAATTAAGCACTAATACATGCCCACTTGTTACTCGTAGAACCAAATCCTATGTTCATCCACAGTTCACAAGATGCATGGGCGAAGGATATGGAACCACAAGATGTCTCAGGCGTAAATTTATTTGATATGCATACCATACGTACTGCCACCAATAACTTCAGTTCCTCAAATAAACTTGGGCAAGGTGGATTTGGTCCAGTATATAAGGTATGTATCATTCTGTTCCATTTACTTCTTTTTTTCCTATTCTGTACTTTCTTCTTATGTAGATGACTATGTGAAACTATTCTCCCAGGGAAAGTTGATAGATGGGAAGGAAATAGCCGTTAAACGCCTTTCTAGCAGCTCTGGACAGGGTACAGATGAGTTCATGAATGAAATAAGACTAATATCCAAACTGCAACATAAAAACTTGGTCCGGCTTTTGGGATGCTGCATCAAAGGAGAAGAGAAACTATTGATTTATGAGTATTTGGTGAACAAAAGCCTCGACGTTTTCCTCTTTGGTCAGTCCTCTATTCCATTGACCTCTTCGTTTTTCCACCATATGAATTTTATCAAATGTGTCATTGTCACTACTATCACTAATCTGCTCTATTTTATTGGCTAGATTCAACTCTGAAGTTTGAGATTGATTGGCCAAAGAGGTTCAACATAATTCAAGGTGTTGCGCGTGGACTTCTCTATCTCCACCGTGACTCACGCCTCAGGGTAATTCACCGAGACCTGAAGGTCAGCAACATTCTTCTGGACGAGAAAATGATCCCAAAAATATCAGATTTCGGATTGGCTCGGATGTCTCAGGGAACCCAATATCAGGACAACACTCGCAGGGTTGTAGGAACTCTGTAAGAACCATTCTTCAAAAACATTCTCTACAAGATTCATAGTCATGATAATTCATATAGGTGAAATTATTATTGATGTTTGCACAGAGGATATATGGCTCCCGAGTATGCATGGACTGGGGTGTTCTCTGAGAAATCAGACATCTACAGTTTTGGAGTTCTACTGTTAGAAATCATCATTGGAGAGAAGATCTCAAGATTCAGCGAAGAGGGAAAAACTCTTCTTGCATATGTAAGTTAAACACTTATGGTTTTCCTAAGGTCTCAAAAAGCTTCTTGCTCTAATATTCATAAGATATGAAACTAACAGGCATGGGAATCTTGGTGTGAAACCAAAGGAGTTGATCAAGCTCTTGCTGATTCTTCTCATCCAGCCGAAGTTGGAAGGTGCGTCCAGATTGGTCTGCTCTGTGTTCAACACCAACCTGCAGAGAGACCAAACACACTTGAGTTGATGTCTATGCTCACCACAACATCAGATCTTCCATTACCAAAACAACCCACGTTTGCAGTGCACTCTAGAGATGATGACTCTACGTCTAATGATTTGATCACCGTCAATGAGATGACACAATCTGTGATCCAAGGGCGTTAAAGAAACTATGTCATGTGTGATCAAAATTTGTTCGAAATTGAAGTGTGGATTCTGCTCCTGTAAATTAAAGTGATCAACTTTGCAATCTGGTTTCATTTTTTCAACACCTTTTAAAAATATTTTCTCTTACTTTTTTAGTATTGTTTATTTTTTTGCTTATTAATAAAAGAGTTTGTGCTTTTAATTGTTGTCCATGTGGTCATGAGTCTCCAATGATTCGTTGTCTGTTATATTGATTTGATATAACAGTGGAAATTAAAATCGATGAATTTGAAGTTTTGAGGTATTGGTTTCGTTATCGCTTGCGTTCTAGGTTTATGCTTCTTCTGGTCAAAGTTTGCAACTTTTGGCTACAAGCACATATTTTTCTGAGTCGTCGTCGTCACTGTCTCTGTCTCCGTCTCTACAAAGTCCTGCGATATTTGAAGTTTACTTTGAATCTGGCTCGTCTGGATTATGCACTGAATGTGTTCGATGAAATGCCTGAACGAGATTTTTATCGTTCTATTCGTTGTTGGTCTTCTAAGTTTTTGGATCTCAACTTTGCAACTTGCAAAACGTTTGTCAGTAATTTCCAGTTTTGTATTGTCCTTCTCGAAGAATGCAAAAGCTCAAAACTTCTTGGCATAGTAGAAATTAGAAAGTTGACTTATGAGTACCACACGTTATTTTCTGTGGACAGTAAGATTGGGAGATTCTTCGTCAAGGTCGTCTATTATTTTACTTGTTTTGTTTCTCTCTCTTTTGCTGGTCAATAGGGTATATTTTAGTACTTAATATTCAAAGAAGTAGTGTGAACCAAGATCTAGATATTTATTATCTCAGGATACGTTTAAAGGAAGTACTTATTGTTTTTCTCTTTGTCTCAATGCTCACTTTATCCCCATGAAGTTTTGCTCATACTCAAGTTATATTGCAGAGAAATAGGAGAAAAATGGGTATGGTTTTATTTGCTTGCTTGCTTTTACTAATCATATTCCCAACTTGTGGCTTTGCAGCTATAAACACATCAAGTCCTTTGTCAATAGGACAAACTCTGAGTTCTCCTGGTGGATTTTATGAGTTAGGCTTCTTCAGTCCTAATAATACCCGGAATCAGTATGTTGGCATCTGGTTCAAGAAGATTGATCCTCGGGTAATTGTGTGGGTGGCTAACAGAGAAACGCCAGTTACAAGCTCTGCAGCAAATCTCACTATCAGCATCAATGGGAGTCTGATCTTGCTTGATGGGAAACAAGATGTTATTTGGTCAACAGGAAAAGCTTTCACATCCAACAAATGTCATGCGGAGCTCTTAGACACGGGAAATTTTGTTGTAATTGATGATGTTTCAGGGAATAAATTGTGGCAAAGCTTCGAGCATCTTGGTAATACTATGCTGCCTCAGTCATCGTTGATGTACGATACTTCTAATGGCAAGAAGCGTGTGTTGACTACATGGAAAAGTAACAGCGATCCGGCGCTTGGGGAGTTCTCACTGGAGATTACACCACAAATCCCCACACAAGGCCTTATAAGAAGAGGCTCAGTACCTTACTGGAGATGTGGTCCATGGGCAAAAACAAGATTCTCTGGGATATCTGGAATTGATGCATCATATGTAAGTCCATTTAGTGTTGTCCAGGATCTAGCAGCCGGCACAGGATCGTTCTCTTATTCCACTTTACGAAACTATAATCTGTCGTATGTTACACTAACACCAGAGGGGCAAATGAAGATCCTCTGGGATGATGGAAAAAACTGGAAGCTTCACTTGTCTCTCCCAGAGAACCCATGTGATCTATATGGTAGATGCGGGCCTTATGGTTTGTGTGTGAGATCTAATCCCCCAAAGTGTGAATGCTTGAAAGGGTTTGTACCAAAGTCTGATGAGGAGTGGGGAAAACTCAACTGGACAAGTGGGTGTGTGAGGCGTACAAAATTATCTTGCCAGGCAAGCTCTTCTATGAAAGCAGAAGGCAAAGACACAGACATCTTCTATCGTATGAAGGATGTAAAGACTCCGGATCTGCATCAATTTGCCAGCTTCCTCAATGCAGAACAGTGCTACCAGGGTTGTCTAGGCAACTGCTCTTGCACAGCCTTTGCCTATATTAGTGGAATTGGATGCTTGGTATGGAATGGGGAGCTGGTAGACACAGTTCAATTTTTGTCTAGCGGAGAGTTTCTCTTCGTTCGTCTTGCAAGTTCAGAATTGGGTAAGGATGAAACACATTTCTTCTCACTTCTCAGTATAATTTCTTGTTACATTTGATATTTCAACTTTCTTTATAATGTGTGTAGCATCATGGTTTTGAAGTTCTTATTTTCTGGTGAATATCTCAGCTGGAAGCAGTCGAAAGAAGATTATTGTGGGCACTACTGTCAGCCTTTCCATTTTTTTGATCTTGGTATTTGCTGCAATTATGTTGTGGAGATACAGAGCGAAACAAAATGGTAAGAGATTGAAAAACTTAGCAGCTTTATATCTCTCTCTGTTCTCTCTTTTCTTGTCCCTATTTTTCAGAACTCTGTAACCAAACCATAGTTAAAGAGAACTTCTATATATACATACTTTCGTCTTAATCAATTTTATACTAATTGGTCTATGATATGTCAAATCTTGACGTTAAGCCTTTGGAAGTTAAAACGCTACAAATCAAGCAATACTACATGCACATGTCTTACTCGTAGAACTAACTTTTGTTGTCTTTGACACTTCACAAGATGCATGGAAGAATGATATGGAACCACAAGATGTCTCAGGCGTAAACTTCTTTGCGATGCATACCATACGAAGTGCCACCAATAACTTCAGTCCTTCAAATAAACTTGGTCAAGGTGGATTTGGTCCAGTTTACAAGGTGTGTGACAGTCTTTTTTATTTGCTTCTTTTCTTTTCTATTATGTACTTTTTTGTTTTGTTTTTAGATATCTAACAATATGCAACTTTTCTTTCAGGGAAAGTTGGTAGATGGTAAGGAAATAGCTGTTAAACGCCTTGCTAGTAGCTCCGGTCAGGGTACAGAGGAGTTCATGAATGAAATAACACTGATCTCAAAATTACAACATAGAAACTTGGTTCGGCTTTTGGGATACTGCATCGACGGAGAAGAGAAGCTATTGATTTATGAGTTCATGGTGAACAAAAGTCTCGATATTTTTATATTTGGTATGTTCTTTATTCCATATAATCTCTCGTTTTTCCTTTTCCTTCCATCTTATGAGATATTTATGTGTCGCCGGCACTAATCTGTTCTATTTTATCGGCTAGATTCAACTCTAAAGTTCGAGCTTGATTGGCCAAAGAGATTTAATATCATTCAAGGTATTGCGCGTGGACTTCTCTATCTCCACCGTGACTCACGCCTCAGGGTTATTCACCGAGACCTGAAGGTCAGCAACATTCTTCTGGACGAGAAAATGATCCCAAAAATATCGGATTTTGGATTGGCTCGGATGTTTCAGGGAACCCAATATCAAGACAACACTCGCAGAGTTGTAGGAACTCTGTAAGAATCTGTCCTCAACCACTTTCATAAAATGGATTTATAATATAGTATTATATATAAACATTTTGGTGAAACTATTTGATATTTGAACAGAGGATATATGTCTCCCGAGTATGCGTGGGCAGGATTGTTCTCTGAGAAGTCCGATATCTATAGCTTCGGTGTTCTGATGTTGGAAATCATCAGCGGAAAGAGAATTTCACGGTTCATCTATGGTGATGAAAGCAAAGGCCTTCTTGCATATGTAAGTGAAACAATTTACTGCTTTAACAACTTGATTCTCATCAAATGCATACACTTCTCCGTCTCCTTTTCTAAACAATTCTTATTCTTTAGACATGGGATTCTTGGTGCGAGACCGGGGGATCAAATCTTCTGGACAGAGATCTTACTGATACATGTCAAGCATTCGAAGTTGCGAGATGTGTTCAGATTGGTCTGCTCTGTGTTCAACACGAAGCCGGCGACCGACCCAACACTCTTCAAGTACTTTCCATGATTACTTCAGCAACAGATCTTCCGGTACCAAAGCAGCCAATATTTGCAGTGCATACTCTAAACGATATGCCAATGTCTAAATCTCAAGATTTCTTATCTGGAAATGAGATAACTCAATCTATGATCCAAGGAAGATAAGCCTAAGGATCTTGTTATCTCACTACAGTAGTAGTATATACTTGTAAATTCATGAACATTTAAAGCTTAAGATTTTGATATCTCACTTTATTTTTCTTAAGCATGTGATCTCATAAAGCCCCAATATTTCGTTGACTCAAGACACGTCATAATATTGTTATTAATAACTGTCGCAATGATAAAATATGCATTTTTTATGACTTGATTGTGTCGTCTTCTCTGGCATTCTCTTCTCTGCATTTTTAAGGTCATATCAATGCAAAGTCTTCGACTTTGGTTACAAGCGTCGATGCCCAGATGGTAAGATTTGGATTATCCGCTATATTTTTTTCTTGGTAGTCGAAATCGCTGTTACTTTAAACGATGGAACGTTTAGGTTATGCACTGAATGTGTTCGGTGAAATGCGTGAACGAGAATTTAAAATTCAAAGTTTGGGCAGTGGGGGCCAATATTTGAAGCCGCCCATGAAAAGTCATACCTCCACTATAGGAAATCGGAGCTAGAACTTTGCTCTCTTCTTCAGGTAAGCTTGTCCTAAATCCAAAGTCTGTTGCTTCTTTCGATTTCATATCAGGGTAATAATATTCTTTCCCAATCAATTGAAAAGTCCTTGTGTTGGTTTTTTTTCCCAAATTTGATTAGTGTACAGAGGAAATAGAACTTTTAGCTGCAAGTAAAATGTTGCAAAAACGTTCTTGTGCTCTTGTTACTTTTCTAGAAAATGGAGAAAGTTTTAGCTGCAAGTAAAATGTTTTGTTTTTGTCTTTCTGTTACTTTCCTAGAAAATGTGGATTGGTTATGAGAAAAAGTTGTTGGCTTTATTTATGGTTAAGGCCCCGAGATGGGAATATTCAAAGTTATCTGCTGAAGCAACATGGAATTTAAAACCAGTAAATTTTGACTTCTAATTTGGTGTCACCATGTGAATGGAGCGATGTGACTCTAGTGGTCAACGAGGTCTATGATTTTTCTATTTTATATTGCGGTCACGATGGCTTACTAGTTATAATAATAATATAAATTAGGAGTCTCCATAGAAATACCATCCAAGAGGTTTTATATTTTGTTTGTTCTGTTATTACTGCATTGACTTTATAAAGATTCATACACTCAAATCTTTAGAAGAGCTCCTGCAGATCGTATGGGAAAGATTGGTATTGTTTTCTTTGCTTCGTTGCTCTTCTTGCTAATCATATTCCCAAGTGGTGCCTTTGCAGCTATAACCAGAGTAAGTCCTTTGTCAATAGGACAAACTCTGAGCTCCCCTAATGGAACTTATGAGTTAGGGTTCTTCAGTCCAAACAACTCTCGGAATCAGTATGTTGGGATCTGGTTCAAGAACATCACCCCTCGGGTCGTTGTCTGGGTGGCTAACAGAGATAAGCCAGTTACAAACAACGCGGCGAATCTTACTATCAACAGCAATGGGAGCCTTATATTGGTTGAGGGAGAACAAGATCTTGTTTGGTCAATAGGAGAAACTTTCTCTTCTAACGAGATTCGTGCTGAGCTTTTAGAAAACGGAAATCTTGTCCTCATTGATGGAGTTTCAGAAAGAAACTTATGGCACAGTTTTGAGCATCTTGGTGATACTATGTTACTTGAATCATCTGTGATGTATGATGTTCCGAAAAACAAGAAACGTGTCTTATCTTCTTGGAAAAGTCCCACCGATCCTTCACCTGGAGAATTCGTAGCTGAGCTTACGACACAAGTACCTCCGCAGGGCTTTATAATGAGAGGATCCAGGCCTTACTGGAGAGGCGGTCCATGGGCAAGGGTAAGGTTCACTGGCATACCAGAAATGGATGGACTACATGTCAGCAAATTCGATATTTCCCAAGATGTTGCAGCCGGCACAGGATTTTTGACTTATTCATTAGAACGAAGAAATTCAAACCTCTCCTACTCTACGCTCACATCAGCGGGATCGTTAAAGATCATTTGGAATAATGGCTCTGGTTGGGTTACTGACTTGGAGGCCCCTGTAAGCTCATGTGATGTTTATAATACATGCGGACCTTTTGGGTTGTGTGTGAGATCTAGTCCCCCAAAGTGTGAATGCTTGAAAGGGTTTGTACCAAAATCAGATGAGGAGTGGAATAGAAGGAACTGGACCGGTGGTTGTATGAGAAGAACAAACTTATCTTGTAATGTGAACTCTTCTGCAACAACACAAGCCAATAATGGAGACGTCTTCGACATTGTTGCAAATGTAAAGCCTCCAGACTTTTATGAATATGTAAGTTTGATCAATGAAGAGGATTGCCAACAGCGTTGTCTTGGAAATTGTTCTTGCACGGCATTTTCCTATATTGAACAAATTGGATGCTTAGTGTGGAATGGAGAGCTTGTGGATGTAACGCAGTTTGTTGCTGGAGGAGAAACACTTTCAATTCGTCTTGCAAGTTCTGAGTTAGGTACGGCATGAAACTGAGCATTAAGTACTTCTAATTTTTTTTCGAGTTTCTTTGTGATGTTCTTGTTTGCTGCAGCATGGTTTACAGTTTAATTTTCTGGTGCATCTCTCAGCTGGAAGCAATCGAACGAAGATTATTGTTGCTAGCACTGTCAGCATTTCTGTCTTCATGATCTTGGTTGTTGCCTCTTATTGGTTCTGGAGATACAAAGCGAAACAAAATGGTGAGACACTGAAATGCTTAGTAGCCCTCCTTTCTCTGTTTTCCTGCCTATCAACTTCTTTAGTTTAGCCTTGGGATGCTAATTTTCTTAAAATTTAGTACTGACTCTTGGATACTTGTAAATCATAGATTCAAATCCTATACCCAAGGAGACTTCACAAGATGCATGGAAGGAACAACTGAAACCACAAGATGTAAATTTCTTTGATATGCAAACCATATTAACTATCACCAATAACTTTAGCATCGAAAATAAGCTAGGTCAAGGTGGCTTCGGTCCAGTGTATAAGGTAATATTTATCGTGCTTTATCTGCTCTTTTTCTTTTCTCATTCTCTTCTTGTTCACCATATGTCTATCTCCAACTGTGTATCCAGGGAAAGCTACAAGATGGGAAGGAAATAGCCATAAAACGTCTTTCGAGCACCTCTGGACAGGGTCTAGAGGAGTTCATGAATGAAATAATACTCATCGCGAAACTCCAACACAGAAACTTGGTCCGCCTTTTGGGATGTTGCATTGAAGGAGAAGAAAAGCTATTGATTTATGAGTTTATGGCGAACAAAAGCCTGAATACCTTTATCTTTGGTCTGTCCCTTATTGTGCCTTTCTCTGCCTCTTTCCAATAATTTTCATCATGTGGAACTCTTGTAACCTTGTTTATCTGTTTAGCTGACCAATCTGTTTTTAATTTGACTAGATTCGACGAAAAAGCTTGAGCTTGATTGGCCCAAGCGGTTTGAAATCATTCAAGGTATTGCTTGTGGACTTCTTTATCTTCACCGCGACTCATGTCTCAGGGTTGTACACCGAGATATGAAGGTCAGCAACATCCTTTTAGACGAGGAAATGAACCCAAAAATATCAGATTTTGGATTGGCTCGGATGTTTCAAGGAACCCAACATCAAGCCAACACGCGAAGGGTTGTTGGAACGCTGTATGTATCTCTACCTCCTCTGTACATATATAACAAGCCTTTACTTGCTTATATAGTCAACCTGAGGAGTTTTTGTTAAAATGAACAGAGGATACATGTCCCCAGAGTATGCATGGACAGGCATGTTCTCTGAGAAATCCGACATCTATGCATTTGGAGTTCTGCTACTGGAAATCATAACCGGCAAGAGAATTTCAAGTTTCACCGTTGGAGAGGAAGGCAAAACTCTTCTTGAATATGTAAGCCAGTTTCCCTCTCTATCCTCCTTGAATCTAAGTATGAATCAAAATGTTTCTAATAGGATTGTGTTCATCGAATTTCAAGGCATGGGATTCTTGGTGCGAAAGCGGTGGAGCGGATCTATTGGATCAAGATATTTCTAGCTCGGGTTCTGAATCCGAAGTAGCGAGATGTGTTCAGATTGGTTTGCTCTGTATTCAACAACAAGCTGGGGATAGACCCAACATTGCACAAGTAATGTCTATGCTTACTACCACAATGGATCTTCCGAAACCAAAACAACCGGTATTCGCAATGCAGGTCCAAGAGAGTGATTCAGAGTCTAAGACTATGTATTCTGTCAACAATATAACACAAACTGCTATAGTTGGTCGATAAAAGCAACAATCACCAGAATGAAATGAAAATGATTGTAAATTGTTGTAGAAGTAAAAATAAAACATTTTTGAATATACAAAAGTCTTTTTTTTTTGTGAGGTTTTAATATTAAAAAAAAAATGATCTTGTTTTCAGTAGAAGAGCAAAACAAAAAGCATTTAATTGCAACATGTGTAGTTGCTGCTTATACTGAGATGAAATGAAACTAAATTGAAAACCAAAAAAAAAAAATCGGATAACAAATTTCACTTTATCACATAGAATACCGACTTGCCCTAGTAGATTTTGGCATCATTTAATGAAATGTGAAAGTTTGGGGTTTATTGTTGTAATAAAATTGATAAGGGGGGGCACAAATCCAAACCGACTTGCCGTAGTATTAATAAAGAAGCCCTATTCGCCGTTCGCCATTCGCAGAGTAAACAATTTCTAGAGAGGATGGAAGATAACAAAATTTTGGGAGGAGACCTTCACAAAAATATGAAGGAGATGTTGGAAGGCAAACGCAGAAAGGTAATTCCTCGGTTCCATATCTCTAAAATAATCCCTGAATCGGGTTTCATCTCTGTTTTCGTCTAGGTTTAGGGTTTCATGTATTCGTGGGATCGAAATTGTCGGTTCCATCTCTCAAACAGTCGTGAATCGGATCTGATTTTTTTGTTTCCTGAACCGGATCTGATTCACTTTCGTATATCGAATTCGAATTCGTCGAATAATTGTTTCAAAGTCGCCACGGCTGCTTCTGATATCCTAAGTCTATATTTTCTTGTATGCAGATGGGAGATTTGCAGCCATTCGCGAGTAAACAATTTCTAGAGAGGATGGGAGACTTTAACAAAAATTGGGTGAGGTTCGAAAATAACAGAAAGTTGGAGATGTTGGAAGGCAAACGCCGAAAGGTAATTCCTCGGTTCCATATCTCTAAAATAATCCCTGAATCGGATTCCTTCTCTCAAACAGTCGTGAATCGGATCTGATCTTTTGTTTCCTGAACCGGATCTGATTCACTTTCGTATATCGAATTCGAATTCGTTGTTTCAAAGTCGCCACGGCTGCTTCTGATATCCTAAGTCTATATTTTCTTGTATGCAGATGGGAGATATGCAGCGCCTAGCATGCCAACGACTCATGTGTGATCAGTACTCTCGTCTTGGCCATTGCAAAAGAGGTGACCGATGTCCATTCCTTCATGGCAAGCCAATGAAGCCCTTGTATCGGAATATGTAAGTCTTAGTTTATACATATGTTTCTGCATCACATACATACATACATGATGAATTCTTCTTTCTTTGTCATGTTTTAACAGTTCAGACAATCCAGAACTAGTTGCGTTCATGATGAAAAACGGTAACATGCCTGCATGTCCACCAGAGGATCCCACCGTGAAGATGCTTTACGTCAAGCGACTGAGCAGGACGACACTCGTTGAGGAGGACCTGCGAGACTGTCTCAGCGCTTATGGAGATATCGAATCTATCAGAATGGTGCAAGAGTATAATGGCGCTGCGTTTATCACATATGGAACCCGAGAGGCAGCAGAGAAATGCATGGAAGATCTCAAAACTTGGGTTGAGATCAAGGGTCACAAGCTGAAAATTTTGTGGGTTTACAAGTACCAGCCTCATCGATACACTACCATTTCCTCCAACCAACAGGGTGCTGTCACTTCAACTCAAGAGGGAGCTTCGTCTTCATCTTCTGCTCTCGAGGTGAAGAGGAGGAAAATCGAGTGAGAGACATTTTGATCTCAAACCCTACCTTTTGTGCTACTGTTTTTATTGTTCGAAAAACATGTTTGAATCTTCATATTTTGATCTCAAACCCTACCTTTTGTGCTACTGCTTTTATTGTTCGAAGAACATGTATGAATCACGTTATAATGCATTTCTTGTCCTGCTTATCGTGTTAGTTACTCGGAGTCACCAGAGCTAGATAGTATAAGCCAAGCTGGTGATCTCTCACATTTCAGGACCTGCACTTACATTTGTGCTACTCAGCTGATTTCAACTACAATGTCATTTGAATGTATCCAACACATCAAAGTAGAGTTATTTTATGAAAGCTTTGTTCAGAGGTGAGAACAACCTGAGCTTATGGAATTATTTTACTGTAATTCGAGAGAAGAAGGATTTGTAATTCTTCATGAAAGCTTTGTTCTGAAATATACTCTGTTTCTGGAATTCGAATAGCATTTATACAAATGAAACTTTAAATGATCGAATGTGTTGATTGACTTCCATTTTTGCTTAATGATAGATCTGATATTTCTATTGTCCGTTATTTAATTAAAATCTTTGCCTGTATGGGAAAAAAAAATGGAACTTCTTAATGATATTTGTTTGTAATAACAGATGTTGTTAGATAATTCAATACTCAGTAAGTAGTGAATGATACTAAGAGCAGTGACATGCTTCTAGGCTGCACATATTTATCTCAGGTTTCCTGTCTCTTGTTAGATTGAAACCGACAGAGATATTACTTCAACAGTACGGCACAAATGTCCAAAGGCACGAGTCTTTGACTCTTTGTATCGATTCCATAGTGTGTCTTTGGAAGATGTTTAACTCTAAATTGTTGTCTTTTCTTTGCGTCATCATAATTGTGTTATGTTGACATTGTTTTCCAGTTAAAGTTTGAGACTTTGGATCGAATCGCTTATGCCCAGATGATATCAGCGTGATCAATCACAATTAGTTTTAAAAATTCGTTTAGTCTTTCACAAATTAAGGTTTGACCGCTTCTAGAATAAGATATGCACTGAATGTGTTCGACGAAATGACTGACTGAGATTTAACTTTCCCATATTTTGACTGCGTGCGTTTTTTTTTTCCAACAGATTTACCAAAGAGACATGTTGAAGCGACTCGAGAAAGTAGATACATTGAAATCTCTTAATTGGGATAATTGTAAGTAACTGAAATTTTCATAGTCATTCTTTGGAGATTATTCGAGAAATGGAAAGCTTATGTAACATCCAGGTAACTTCTGCAAATGGGTCCTGTTTTTGTGCTAATCTCTTTCATGGAAAGTGACAAGTGTGAAAGCTTCAAAGTATTTTTCAGAGGTTGGAGAAAAAGTTGACTTCTTTTTAGACTTAATGCAATTGGAATGTTTCAATTCGTATTGTTTATTCTGTTTAATATTAGAAAGGAGCATATTGCGTTATTGCACCAGATAGAGAGAGAGAGCTGAACTTTGAATAAGTCAAGTATTGTGATCTTAAAGCTTGGTCAACTTTAGGTGTCTTATGTAGAAGCAAACCCCATTAGTTTTTACCGTTTATACATGAAACTAAGAGAGAATTGTTCTCTCAATTCTATTAGTTCACCAAAAAAATTTCTTTTTTTGTTCTTACATTGAAATCTCAAGATGCGTATTGTTGCATGCTTCCTCTTGATAACAACTATATTTTCAAGTTGTTGCTATGCAGCTATAACCACATCAAGTCCTTTGTCTGTAGGACAAACTCTGAGCTCTCCTGGTGGATCATATGAGCTTGGCTTCTTCAGTTCTAACAATTCTGGGAATCAGTATGTTGGAATCTGGTTCAAGAAAGTCACTCCTCGGGTTATTGTTTGGGTGGCTAACAGAGAAAAGCCAGTCTCGAGCCCTGCGGCGAATCTCACAATCAGCAGCAATGGAAGTCTTATCTTGCTTGATGGCAAACAAGATCCTGTGTGGTCAGCTGGAGGAGATCCCACGTCTAATAAGTGTCGTGCTGAGCTTCTAGACACCGGAAATCTTGTCGTTGTAGATAATGTTACTGGAAATTATTTGTGGCAAAGTTTTGAGCATCTTGGTGATACTATGCTACCTCTTACATCTCTGATGTATGATATTCCTAACAACAAGAAACGTGTGCTGACTTCTTGGAAAAGTGAGACTGATCCATCGCCTGGGGAGTTTGTAGCTGAGATTACACCACAAGTACCCTCCCAAGGCGTTATAAGGAAAGGCTCGTCACCCTATTGGAGAAGCGGTCCATGGGCGGGAACAAGGTTCACTGGGATACCAGAAATGGATGCATCATATGTGAATCCATTGGGAATGGTCCAAGATGAAATCAACGGCACAGGAGTTTTCGCTTTTTGTGTTTTAAGAAATTTCAATTTGTCATACATCAAGCTAACGCCAGAGGGATCATTGAGGATTCAACGCAATAATGGAACCGACTGGATCAAGCACTTTGAGGGTCCGCTAAGCTCATGTGATCTTTATGGTAGATGTGGACCTTTTGGCTTGTGTGTGAGATCCGGTACTCCAATGTGCCAATGCTTAAAAGGGTTCGAACCAAAATCAGACGTGGAGTGGATAAGCGGGAATTGGAGTCGTGGATGTGTGAGACGCACAAACTTATCTTGTCAAGCAAACTCTTCTGTAGAAACACAGGGCAAGAACAGAGACGTCTTCTATCATGTATCCAACATAAAGCCTCCAGATTCATACGAATTAGCAAGCTTTAGCAATGAAGAACAATGCCACCAAGGCTGTCTCAAGAACTGTTCTTGCACAGCCTTTTCCTATGTCAGTGGAATAGGATGTTTGGTGTGGAACCGGGAGCTATTAGACACAGTGAAATTTATTTCCGGAGGAGAGACTCTTTCCCTTCGTCTTGCACATTCTGAATTGAGTAAGCCATCATAAAGAGCTTTGCTTATTTATACTCACATCATATAATTTCTTAAATCTTTACAATGTTCTTTTGGGTAACAGTGTGGTTTACAATTTAGTTTTTGTGTGACCTTTTCAGCTGGAAGAAAGCGAATCAAGATTATTACTATTGGCACGCTCAGCCTCTCTGTCTGCTTGATTTTGGTGCTTGCTGCATATGGGTGTTGGAGATACAGAGTAAAACAAAATGGTGAGACCCCAAATCGGTGACGACTATCTAAGCTTAGCTCAATGCATCAACTTTTAGAAATACTAAACTAACACATGGATACTTGCGACTCATAGGTTCAATTCTCGTATCCAAAGATAATGTAGAAGGCGCTTGGAAGAGTGATTTGCAGTCACAAGATTTCTCAGGTTTAAATTTCTTCGAGATTAATGACCTACAAACCGCCACAAATAATTTCAGCGTGTTAAATAAACTCGGTCAGGGTGGGTTTGGTACAGTTTATAAGGTAAGAGACATGGTTCCTTTTAATTTCTCTTCTCCATTCTGATATATCTTGTTCTTTATATAACTGTCTGCAACTATGATACCTTCAGGGGAAGCTTCAGGATGGAAAGGAAATAGCAGTTAAACGTCTTTCTAGCAGCTCTGTACAGGGCACAGAGGAGTTCATGAACGAGATAAAACTCATCTCGAAATTACAACACAGAAACTTGCTTCGGCTTTTGGGATGCTGCATCGATGGAGAAGAGAAGCTATTGGTCTATGAATATATGGTGAACAAAAGCCTTGATATTTTTATATTTGGTAAGTCCGTTCTTGCTTTTCTCTTATCATGAATAGAGAGAGTTCTTTGTGCTGATCTGTTTCTGCCATACTGTGTGTTGTATTTTTGGCCGAATAGATTTGAAGAAAAAGCTTGAGATTGATTGGCCTACGAGATTCAATATCATTCAAGGAATTGCTCGTGGACTTCTCTATCTCCATCGTGACTCATTCCTCAAAGTTGTACACCGCGATTTGAAGGTCAGCAATATTCTCTTGGATGAGAAAATGAACCCAAAAATATCGGATTTTGGATTGGCTAGGATGTTCCATGGAAATCAACATCAAGACAGCACTGGCAGTGTCGTAGGCACTCTGTAAGTAACCAGTACCATTCTTATCACATGCTCAACTAAAATTCTTTCATGTTTACTATAATCAACTTGACTAACGACTTACTGTATGATATGAACAGAGGATACATGTCTCCTGAGTATGCTTGGACTGGGACGTTCTCTGAAAAATCCGACATTTACAGCTTCGGAGTTCTGATGCTCGAAATTATCACCGGCAAGGAGATTTCAAGTTTCAGCTATGGAAAAGATAACAAAAACCTTCTTTCATATGTAAGAATCTATCTTAATCACTTGCAAGGTCTAAATTTGATTCTAAATTCTTACGGTTATTCGCGGGTCTTTGATTTGTTGTAACAGGCATGGGACTCTTGGAACGAAAACGGAGGAGTGAATCTACTGGACCAAGATCTTGCTGATTCTGATTTAGTTAATTCAGTTGAAGCCGGAAGATGTGTTCATATTGGTCTGCTCTGTGTTCAGCATCAAGCTATTGATAGACCAAACATCAAACAAGTTATGTCAATGCTGACTTCAACAACGGATCTTCCTAAGCCAACACAACCAATGTTTGTATTGGACACAAGCGATGAGGATTCTTCTCTGTCTCAACGCTCCAATGATCTCTCCTCTGTTGATGAAAACAAATCTTCTAAGGAGCTAAATGCTTCCTCATGAATGTTCCAATCTATATTGAAAAAACAATATTTTTCCCTCCATATGTTGTGATTTAGATTTCAAAAACGGATATAACTTACTTGACTCATTTTTAGCACGTCATAAATAAAATGTAGCATGCATGTTATCTACACATAACATAAGATGTTACATGGTATAACATGTTATACACATAAAACGGACACAAATTTCTCGATCCATTCGTAAAATGTTATAAAAAAAATTGAATAACATGTTTTAGGATACAATATGAATATGTAACATAGTAATAGTATAACATGATATAGCAAAAAGATATGGTTATGGCAAATGAAAGATGAAAAAGTGTTAGTTTCAAAAATGAAAGAAAAATTGTCATAGCAATCAAACAAAACTCTATATTTTAAAGGGTATTAGAGTCTCCCAATGGAAGAGAAGGTTTTGATGAAAAACAAACACAGGAAGAAATTGGTCCATGAAATTGTCTTCTTCTTCTAACAGATTTGACGTTATTTGATGGACAAAGGATAAGCTCTCAATATGATTGGCTACACAAATCTTTGTCAAATTCGTACACCAAAAGAATTTGTCTAATTGTCTATTGTCTTCTATGTGAGAGAGTTTCAGATGAAGAAGACTACTTGTGTCTTTTGGGTATTTCAAGTTCTATGTTTGATCCAATAACGAGGTTTAGTAAGGTTTCATACATGTTTTATATTAATGTTCTTGGTTCTAAATTTGCATGGATTTAAAAATGTTGTTGGACTAGTTAACTAATCCCTAGAAAATTAGTTTTAAAATGTACAATTTTGGATATTAGTAATGGTTTGTTTTAAACATGTAAACTACAAAAAATTATTTTTAAATGGCATTTATTTTTGAATAATTACATTCTTTACCACAAGCTTGACAAATGTTTAGAAAATGTAAGGTAGCAAATTGTAAATTTTAGTTAATAAAAACTAACAAGTAACCACAAACATACTAAATTTTATTTTCAAATTGCATAACATCAAAAGTCAAAATTGTTATTGTTATAATTTTTTAAAATGTGATATACAAGGCTGATGTAGCCTAAAAAGTTCATCAAATTCGAATTGAACCAAATATAATTTGATATGTAAGTAAATGGCTTTTTGCAACTTGAGGAAAAGTTTCTTTAAATCATAATAAATTAATTTTAATTATTATTGCAAATTAAATCAAAAAAGAAATTGTTTATAAAATGTGTTGATATGTGAATATGTGATATAAACTCAATCCTGAGGTGGCTGAAAATTCATCTTATTGGAACTACACCAAATCTTACCAATGTTGAAAACTGAACTAGTTATATCTTAAGAAATGACAAATATAATGATTCCTGACCAAACAAAACTTAAGCCAACATAGCCAAATTGAGAATCAAAATTGATATAAGTGAAAAGAAATGATAAACCAGTTTAATGGTATCCCTAAGAATCAAACTAACTAATTTCCAAACCAAACTGAAGAAATTCTGTTTAACTTCATATCATACTTTCTCCAAAATGAATAAGCAAAACCCTAACAAACCGAACCGGAAATCGAATTAGCCACCTCTACTTGGGACCATCGTTTCTAGGAGTTACGAAGCTGTCCTTTGCCAAACTAGAGTTAGCACAAACATATTCGTTTGTCACCAAGCGCACATGGCCCCCAAAATCTTACTCACAACACTATAAGTTTAAGTAACAAGAAGACACAATTTTTAATTCTCATTTGATCGATCACTCTCACTTATATATATCTCTCTCCATATAATTGAATTGTGGTAGATGCGAGATATCACTCTATCTCTCCACACAACCTCACATGCTTCTTTATCACTTGATTCCATGTGCTTCCCCATTTTCCCATATACTTCCAAGATTACATGCATTTATACAAAACTATTTCCCATACACTTCCAAGATTACATCCATTAGTTTCATTTTTCTAATCGAATCTTTAATTAGCTTGGATCCTAATGTATGTCTTATATCTTATTTAGAAGTTTTGCCATTCAAGATCGACTTTTCTCTAATGTTTATTCGGCCAAAAAAGCTATAATATGGATCAATGTAAGGAAATGTTTGATTTTTTTTTTTTTGATCAAACTTCATTATATAAATGATAAGCATCCTAACCTCCACTAACAGAGGAAGGGGAAGAAGAGAGTACAACATTCAGAGCTGCTTTAGCGATAGCATCTGCAACTACATTACTAGTACGAGGAATGAAATAAAAACAGAGATTGGTAAAGGACACACTCAGTTCTCTGATCTCATGAAGTAGCCCTCGAAGTATGACGATGCTTTTTCCTGAGTTGAGAAGGGAGATTAACTCTTTACAGTCCGAGAAGACATTTAGCTGTAGCACACCGGTAGATAGAGCATCCACCAAGGCTGAATGTACAGCAATTGTCTCAGCAATGAGAGCAGAACCAACAAAGCTGCGGGAGGTCTGGTTCACCTTGATCGTCACTTTGTTTGAATCCTGCAAAATCCAGCCCAGCCCGCAATATCCAGAGTCAATCCATGCTGCATCCACAAAGCAGTTTGAAAACTCCGGATTTGGGTGTGGGGAGGAGGGATCTTTGTGAGCAGCCGACACCTGAGGTAAATGAAGCTGAGCTTCCATCCAACAACGAGCATCATTAATGGCTTTTATCACAAGACCCTCTTCTGTGAAGCTGCGGTCCTCAAAGATCAGCTGATTCCTAGCTTTCCAGAGGTGCCATAAAATCCAGGGGTACAGCGGGGCTGCGGAGAGACCTGTTGGAGGTAGAGAGACCATGCGCTTTGCACCAACAAGAAGAAGCTCCACTGAAGTGTGGACTGTCTCAACTGGTTTAAATAACACTGGGGTCTGCTCCCAAACCTTTTTGGCGAAGGGACAGAGGAGGAGTAAGTGGAGGGTGGTTTCCTCCTGTCCACATCTCTTACAGTGAGTATCTGCGGCGATCTTCCTGCGAGCTAAAGCATCCCCGAGAGGCAGAGCCCCTTTCATGGCTTTCCACAGGAAGTGCTTTATCTTCGGAGAGGTGTGAAGCTTCCAGATATTCTTCTGCCAGTTAAATCCTTGATTCTTTAACGGGACTGAGTTCAGTTTAGCTAAGGCATAACCAGTTTTGGTAGTGTAACTTCCTGATTTCACAGGTAACCAGACCATACTATCCTGCAACCGCGAGGAAATGATGGTAATTTTTCTAATTTGATCCTCATACAGAGGTAAATGTTTACGGATGGCTGCGATGTTCCAGCTTTTTGAATCCGGGCAAATAAGATCGCTGACTAAGAGATGTGTGTTCTCCTCTGTTGGGGGTCCAATAGGTGTTAGTGGAGCGACAGGTGACAACCAAGGTTCAGACCATACCTTAATCTTTTCTCCTGTCCCCACTGACCAGCCTAAGCCTTTACGCAACAGCTCCCTTCCAGCCAAAATCCCTCTCCAGCCGTGTGAAGCAGAGGAAGGTGAAGCAGAGCAGTCCATAAAAGAAGTCGACTTGCAGTACTTCCCTAGGAGGACCTGAGCTAGCAGAGACTGAGGCTCGTTTAAGAGACGCCAACTCAGTTTTGCCAACAGAGCATCGTTGAACTCCTCTATTTCTCTGAATCCCAGTCCTCCAGCATTCTTAGGGAGTGTTAGATTATCCCAAGAAACCCAAGCCATCTTCTTCTTCTCTGGTTTGGAGTCCCACCAAAACCGAGTGAGTACGGATTGGATTTGTTTACACAGTGAAGCTGGTAACTTGAAGCATGTCATTGCATATGAAGGCATGGCCGATAAAACTGCTTTGAGAAGGATCTGTTTTCCAGCACTTGAAAGGAATTTGGAGCTCCAACTATGGGAGCGTTGTCTAATCCGATCCACAATAGACGAGAATATGTCCCTTTTCTTCCTTCCAAAGTGTTCCGGTAGCCCGAGATACTTACCTATTCCTCCCTCGTTTTCTATACGTAAGGTGAGCTTCACTCTTCTTTTAACATCCTGCGGAGTCTTGGAAGAGAAAGTAATTGCTGACTTAAGGAGGTTAATGCTCTGTCCCGATGCCATCTCATACTTTTCAAGAATATTACTTAGAGCACCACAACTTGTGGGATTTGTTTTACAAAAAAACATGGTATCATCCGCGAATAACAAATGGTTTACTTGGGGACTGCCTCTCGCAACTCTAATTCCCACCATGACACCTTTCTCTTGTGCTTTCCGACAAAGACCCGAGAGGACCTCCGTACAAAGGATAAACAAATATGGTGACAAGGGGTCTCCTTGTCTCAACCCGCGAGTTGGGAGCACTTCACCTTGCGGAGAGCCATTAATAAGGAAAGAGTAGGAGACCGAACACACACATTGCATCACCCATGTTATCCATTTGCTATGGAATCCAAGTCTCTCGAGCACCGCTTGTAGAAAATTCCATTCAATACGGTCATAGGCCTTACTCATGTCCGTCTTTATGGCCATAGAACAATATTTCTTTGCTCCGGAGATTCGGAGAAAATGAAGAATCTCATGTGTAATGAGTACATTGTCCGCTATTGCTCTTCCCGGCACGAAGGCCGATTGATGCTTGGAGATCAAGTCAGTCAACCAGGGCTGAAGTCTTCTTGTAAGGATTTTTGCGATGATTTTATATTGGACATTGCAAAGCGCTATTGGTCTATAGTCCCCTACCCTCCTAGGAGCTGAGATCTTGGGGATGAGGGTAACATGAGTCTCATTTAGTCGGGTAGATAGGTGACTATCTTCAAAGAAAGACCGAATGTCTCGGGAAACATCCTCACCAATAATGTCCCAATAAGCATGATAGAAGGCTGCCGAAAAAACCGTCAGGACCGGGAGCCTTGTCTGCATTAATGGAGAAGAGAGCTTCCTTTATTTCCTGTGGGGAAGGTATCAAGACCAGAGCCTCATTGCATTGTGGAGAGACGGAGGGGAGCAGAGCCTCTTCCACTACTTGTAAATTAGAGTTGTTGCTAGTAGAGAAGATATCTTGGAAGTAATCCGAGATAGTAGATGCAATCTGCTCCTCTTCGTGAAACTCCTGCCCCTGCCCATCTTCAATAACAGAGAGTTTGTTCATCATTCTTCGGCTTCTAGTGATGGCGTGAAAGTACCCCGTGTTGCGATCGCCACTATTCAGCCACTGGATCCTACTCCGCTGCTTCCAGAACAGTTCTTCAAGTCTATAAGCGTTCTCCAGATCCTGAGTAATAGAGCCAATGAGAGCAGCATCTGGAATATCCGCCGACAGAGCTGCCTCTAGGGCTTGCTGAGACTTCTTAATCAACCTTTCACTGTTAGAGTTTTGATCCTTAGTCCATTGGATAATGCTTTGTCGACACTGACTAATCTTGTGCAAAACTGAGTCTTGACGAGCAAGATCCCAAGTTTCTTTGACCAATAGCCGAATCTCTTCCTTCTCTTTGAGTCTCCTATCGAAACGGAAAAGCTTTTTCTTTCTGCGGGGAGTTGCACCAAAGAAGGTTACCAGAGGCCGATGATCGGATCCCTCAAATCTTAGGTATTCACATCTACTAGTGGGGAACATCTCAGACCAAGAGCAATTGGCTAAAGCCCTGTCTAGCCTAGACTTAATGAAGTGTGAATATCTTGTGCCTCTCCAGGAGAAGGAGTTCCCTGAATGGTTGATGTCCCATAAGCCATTCTGCGAGACAAAACTACGGAAAGCAAGGAAAGAGCCTTCCCATCTCAGAGGACCCCCTTTCTTCTCCGAGTTATCTAAAATGTCATTAAAGTCGCCGGTTAAGAGCCAAGCTGAAGATCTCTGAGCTCCCAACTCTGAAATCTTATCCCAGAAAACAGAGCGATTCTCTACTTGTGGTGCACCGTAGATGAAGGTAATGTGAGAAGTGTCCTTCTTGTACTTGACTTTAACATCAATAAAGTTAGGGGCTGATTCCAGGATATCAACTTCAACTTCTTCCTTCCAATACAAGGCTAGACCTCCACTTAAACCCTCCGGAGGGATTGTAAATCGATGCGCATACCCCATCCAATCAAAGGTTTTAGAAATAAATTCATCTTGATTCTTAGTCTCCATAAGGAACAACATATCCGGGAAAAGACCTAGTCTAATTTCCCGGAGTCTACGAACTGTAAGAGGGCTCCCCATCCCCTGACAGTTCCAAGAAGTTATGACTAAGGAAGAGGGTTTGATGGATTTTGAAAATCCATCTTAGACTTGCTAGTAGCTGGCACCATTTGTGGAGGAGGAGGATCAATTGGCAGGGCCATGGAAGGATCTTCTTGAGCTTCAGGTAAGTTGTCTACTCTTAACTTTTTGCGAGAAGCCGGCTTCCTTCCTGTCACATTCTGTTTCCTGATACTTGCTCCTTGGAGAGGACTGCGATTAACTCTCTGTACAGGAACAGCTCTTGGTTTTGCAACTTTGGGAGGGACTTTCCTTTTCCTTGTGTTCTTTACAGCTGGGACTTTACTGGGGATTGTAACTGTTATCGACTCAAGAGGAGCACCTAACCGCAAAGATGTGTGAACTCTCTCTGTATCAGATAAAGGCCTTGACCCACTGCAGTCACCAAGCTCTGGGACTACTGGCTGTATACCAAATCCATCAGGTGAACCCGAATCCCCTAAGTACTGAATCTCCACATCTTGTAGGCGATCAGACATTGAGGAAGTAAGAGGGGGAGTTGGTAGTATAGGAGCCGGAGCAACTTGCTCTACTCTCTCCAAGGCTGGCCTCCTTGACTTTGGAGTGTTAGAATCACCCATGTCTTTAATGCCAGAGGTCCTTGACCTGGTTTCTGTAGCTTGACGCTCTGGCCTTGCAGGGGAATGTCGATGCTGATCAATTCTTGAAGACGACTTCACTTGAGAGGCTTTTTCCTTATACAACTCCCTAGATGAGGGTAACTGTTGACTTCTCCGCACATAAGGTGCATTAAGGGAGGAAGTATGATTTCCTTCATTGACTGAAATCCATAAATAAAAATTATGTTTATAGCAAAAGTGCTAACATTGCAGCTTCTAAGAAGAAGAAGAATCTCTTTAGTCTATATTAAAGACTTAAAGAAAAGTCTTTTTTAAGATACCCACTGAAAACAAAAAACCCTCTTTTTGTTTGCATTTCACCAAATTAAAAAGAGAGAATAATATAAGAAAAGGAAAAAAGAAAGAAGAAAAAGAGATATTCTAAAGCTATATTAATATTCTTGTAGTTGAATTTGGAGGTCACATGGGATTGGAATTGAGATTAGTGGGAAGAGAACTAACAAAAACACCTTTGTAAAAAATATACACTCAAAGAAAAATTCACAAAAACTATAAGAAAACAAAATAAAATTAGGAATGCCAAATACCACTGAGTATGCTGCGGAATCTGTTCCTAGATAGCTTCTTCACAAGTTTCTTAGCATCTGAACCTTCAGTTTCTGCTAGCTTCTCTATGCTTTTCAAATACCCTGAAGTCGCAATCTTTCTTCTCGCGCTATTGCAGCTCGTTAAAGACATCAATATCGATATCAAAAACTTAGTGTTACCTGAATTGCTGCTCACATTGCTCCCATCTTCATGGTCTAGCAACTGGAGAATGTAGCTAATGTTAAAGTCATCTTGCGCAAACTTCTTCCTGTTTCTTGGAACCGAGATCAAACAGTAGAGCGCCACACTCGCCATTTCTCTGACATCTAACGATTTGGCGTCGAGAAATTTAACTAGCTCAGGCATAAAACCCGCGTCTCCCATTATCCTCTTAATTTCTTCTTGTAAACTACATAGCCTAGATGTGACCTTCAAGGCTGATTCTTGAACAGAAATCTCCCCATTCCTTAGCAGATTCAGCAAATGATCCAAGAATTTGCAACTCATCAATGCATTCAAACAACCCGCAGATCCAAAACATAAGTTATCAATCGCCCTTAATGCTATCTCCTTAGATTTCGAAGAAGACAACGAATTTGGATCAGATAATACACTCACCAGCTCCTGAATTCCTCCTTCTCTAACCAAGATTTCGCGAGTTTGTTCGTCCTTACAACACATACTCAACAGTAAATCAATGGAATTTACCTGAACAATCTCTTCCTTCGATCCAATAAGCTTGATGAAATTCGCTACAGTATCATCTTCTTCAATCATATACCTCTTGATCTCTTCAACACCAACAAGATTTCTCAACACTCCACACGAAGTACCGATCAACTCACCACCAAAATCGCTGCAAGAACATATCTTCAACAATGCTGAAACACCTCCATGAGCAGAAACAGACCAAGCATTCTCCGAATTCTCCGTTAATTTCATCAAACACCTTGCAGACGCTTCTCTACCAACACCATTCCCATTCTCAAGAACCCTAACCAAAGGACCAATCACACCTGATCTGATCAAAACATCCCTATAAGAACCAAACCCAGATATAAAAAACACAGCTTTCGCAGATTCTTCTTGAACCCCCATCTCAGAATCAAGAAACCCAACAAGAACATTAACCATATCACTAATCTCAATCACAATCTTAACATATCTATCATCTTCTTCCATAGCTTCATTAAGCTTAACCAAAGCTTGTTTCTTCATCTCCAGATCTCCAATCTTCATCCTCGTTAACAAATCCCTAATGTAAAACCTCATGTCATCTTTACAAGCATTACCATTAGGCTTCAACACAACGATCGCAAATCCATGACTTAGAATCCCAGCAGAGTAAATCCGAGATAGATTCCTCGTGTGTCGATCGAATTTCCCCGCCATAACATCTAAATCGCTCTGCATAAGAAGCTTACCACTGAAGGAAACGTTAACGCAACGAGTAGCGAGATCGTAAGTGTCTTTGAGAGAGATAAGAATGGCGGAGATTAAGCTTGAGAGAGATGGGTCGAATCCAGAATTGAGATTCTCTAAAGCAGAGAGACCAGAGTAAAGCTCTTCGAGTTTGGTTCTTATGAGTTGCCATTTGATGTTGAAGGATTTGATTGAGTGAGAGAGTGAAATCAATGAAGATATTGCTTCGATTGCTTTCTCTATGCTTGCTTTTGATTCCTCACAAGTTTCTTCACCCATTTTGGTTGATAAAGTCTTCTTCTTTCTTCTTCTTCTCAAAGTGGTTTCAAAGCAAAAACATCTTTTTGGTTGATGTTAGAGGGAAAATGATGGGAAGACGAAGACTTTCACAGGTAATCTTGTTGGGTTACCTGTAATGGTTAATGGGTTTTGAGGAAAGAGGAGAAAGAAAGAGAGTTTGGTAATATTTGACGGAGCTGGCGTTTCTCGGTGGGGTTGGAGAGGAGGCAGTGACATGTCGAGGAAGATGAAGGTGAGGGTATAATGGTCATTTAAATGGAGTACTTTTTATTTTATTTTTGGGGTTAGACGAAAAAGCGTATTTGGGAAAGGTAAGTTGGTTCTTAAAATGGTTTTGGTGACGAGCACGAGGACCTCGAGAATTCGATTCTTTTTTCTCTCTTTTTTCCAATTTCACATTTATCGTTTAATTGTTATTCTTTTGAAAAAAAAAAAAGCTCTTTTTCAATGTGAAAATGTATGCGTATAATAAGATAAATAAGCAAAACTTAAAAATTATACGGAAAGTTTATGGGATTTGTATCGAATTCTTAATGTGAAGTTGGACAATTCGATAACAACTTTCATTAACATTCTGCATAATTTGTGGATTTTAATTATTATTTTATTTTAAATGAAAATATTTCAAGCAGAGAACTTGAGAGTCACTCATAGAAATCGATTCGATTAGATAGTTTTTGGTTTTCATAATATTAGTTAGAAGCTTAACTCTAAAGGACCAACCAATTATCTGCACGAGCACGAGAAAGCCGGAAATAGAAATAGTTATGGACGGTGAAGCTGGTAGACATGTATATATATTACTCATCCTATTTCTTATTACATTTTGTTATAATCTAAATGACATTGTAATAGGCAAATACAAGTTATTATTGTTAAAAAAAAGGTGGAGGATATTTTCACGGTAATACATTAGCAAATCTATATATAATAGCAATCTAATAAATATCATTTGCACATCTGAACGGTTGCGTCTTTTTTATTGCAACTTTTCGTTAATATTTTTATTAATTAAAATATATATTTTACGGTTATGTTTTTTTTGTAAATTACATTCTGAATGTTTTCTACGGTTGCGTTTTTTTTATTGTAACTCTTCATAAACAGTTGAAACCGCTTATTCGAATCATTGCAATATTTAGTTTATTTTACGAACAATTGCAACCTTTGGTTTATATATTTAGTTTATTTCACGACCAATTGTAATTTTTGTTTTATTTTATAAATAGCTATAACATTTAATTATTTACCGCCGCGTCTCTCGGTGTAATTTTTCATAAATTATTATTTTAATTTTTAATTTTTAATTACTAAAATGTATTTAAATGAGATTGTAACTATTTAATTGAACTGTTTCAACATTTGGATTATTTGACGAATTATTGCAACTTTTGGTTTTGTGTTACGAACCATTGTTATCTTTAGTATATTTGATAAACTATTGCAACATTTGGTAGAATTGACGAACCGTTGCAGTTTTTGGAATATTTGATATCTACGGTTGCGTTTCTAGGATAAGTTCGTCATATTTTTAAAAAATATTTAAATACTAAAATATATTTAAATGAATTGTTGTTACCGTTTAATTTAACACAATAGCATTTGGTTTATTTGACGTTGAACGTTTTGGCTTATTTATCAAACTATTGTAATATTTGGTTTATTAGTTTATGCTTTTTGCACTTGGGAATAGTTTTTTATTACAAATTATTGTTTTTCTAATATTAATATACTTAATAAATGCTTGTGAGGGTTTTCTTTATCATAATTTTTGTAAAATATATATTGATTTGTTTTTAAAAAAATTCAAAATTATTACAATTCATTATGATTTTTTCGTTTGATATTTTTTTAAATGATTTTTGAAATATATTCCCCCGCGACATCGCGGGGGTCCTGAGTCCTAGTATATTAAAATATCTATATATATATATATATATATATTTTTTTTTCATCTACATTTGTATTAAATTACAGGATATATACGTATATTATATGTCTAAAGACTATAAATTTTCAAACAATCGAAACTTATAAATATATGTATAATATATAATAGTTGACTCAACTTACGTATATTAAAGGAAACAAGAAATGGTCCGTGACGAAACATGAAGAGCCAAAAAGAACCATACTTAGGTTTACCCCTGGGGTGAACCTTTAAATTCACCCAACAGATTATAGCCAATCGTTTTGCCATGTCATTACTAATACTAGAGAATTAAAAAAAAACACAATTAAAAAAAAAAAGAAATCAGAAAATAGATTTAGGGTTTAGGGTTTAGAGTTTAGGGTTTAGGGTTTAGATTTTACAATTAAAACGAAATTAGATGTCGGTTTGGGTTGCCAAATGAGTGGTTAAGGTTTATATTTTATAATTAAAACGAAATTAGATATCGGTTTGGGTTGACAAATGAGTTGTTAGGGTTTAAATTTTACAATTAAAATGAAATTATATATCTGTTTAGGTTTGTGAAATATTTGTTATATAAACCCTAAACCCTAAACCCAAATCCTAAACCATAAACCCTAAACCCAGCGGTGAACAGATATATAATTTCGTTTTAATTGTAAAATTTAAACCCTAACCACTCATTTGTCAACCCAAACCGATATCTAATTTCGTTTTAATTATAAAATCTAAACCCTAACCACTCATTTGGCAACCCAAACCGACATCTAATTTCGTTTTAATTGTAAAATCTAAACCCTAAACCCTAAACCCTAAACCCTAACCGATATCTAATTTAGTTTTAATTATAAAATCTAAACCCTAACCACTCATTTGGCAACCCAAACCGACATCTAATTTCGTTTTAATTGTAAAATCTAAACCCTAAACCCTAAACCTTAAACCCTAAACCCTAAACCTTAAACCCTAAATCTTAAACCCTAAATCTATTTTGTGATTTCCTTTTTTTTAATTGTGTTTCTTTTTTTTTAATTCTCTAGTATTAATAATGACATGGCAAAACGATTGGCTATAATCTGTTGGGTGAATTTAAAGGTTCACCCCAGGGGTAAACCTAAGTATGGTTCAGCCAAAAATATGGCAAAATTGAATGTAAAGCAAATGGATTGGCTACCTCTCACATGATTCCAAATTCAGATCGTATTTGATTTTATACAAATTTCTCCATCTTAATAAAACTTTCAAATTTGATTTTATTGTTCAACCAAATTTTTACATAGCACACATCTAGCTCCATGTGTGTCAGTGTGTGTGTGTTTTTTGTTTCCGATCCGAAATGTTCATCCATCGAAGAGATTATTTGACTATTGATATCATCATTAATGCTACTATTGATATCAATCACATGAAATTTTATTGACTTTATGAGTTTTCAAATTAAATGCGACTCGTAGATTGAACACACCTAGCTACGCATATAAGCATTGGAATTTTGAGCATTTTCATAAAAAATTAAATTGATACTTTCGAACCTGGATGGACCATTCAGCTACCCGCTACATATAAATATCTAGATATGTGAAGTTATATGGAATATGGATCAAGAAGATACAAATTTGTATATTAAGATAAATTTGATCAAGAAGATGCTAAGTTAATTATTACTACTTGTTTCACAAACACACGTTTGATTATCTATCACGGAAAATATCAATTAGTTGTTTTGTTTGAACGGTCCTAAAAATCACGAAAATATTATAGATACTAATTATCTATGCATGAGTGTGGTTAAGATGTTTTTGTCATGTATAAAACCGCATGCATGTGGTATTTGTTTATATATGGTACTTTAATGGATGGAAAACAAGACACACTAATTAGTGTACTTTTTACAAGGTAGATTATGCAATTAAAGAGCCGTAAATAAAATAAGTGTAATGCTAATAAACCAAAAGTTAGGTGTGGAAAGACAAAAAAACAAGCAAAGAAAGTGATCCATGATATCGACGTTTGAGTAGTTGAGAAGGGAGATATTCATATGTGCAAACGCATTACAACCTATTCCTTAGTTTTCACGAAAATTATAATAATCAAAATATCTAATTATTATTCAATAACAAAAATATATTATATAAAACACTAACCTTTGTTATTTATATTTTATTTCATCGAGTGATTGTGTCTGGTTAATTTGGTACCATAGTTGATTGTGTATAGTTGTAGTCTTGTAGATTTCAAAGACTATTTTGAAAAAAACTTAAACGGTCTTTATTTTAAATCAAACATACTATATGTTATATTTACATTTCATAACATAAAATATCTGATAAAAAAATTGAAATTTTATAATTTTAAATAGGAACTCAAGCATTTAAATTAAACAATCAAATCGTAAATATTTCTTACAACGATATTGTCGAGGAAATAGAGATCCCGTGAAGACCACAATATAATGTTCTTGCATTAGAGAAGTCACTTAATTGGTGAAACATTAACAAAATAAAATAAAATAAAATCTATAAAGAAAACTTTGTCATTTTCGGATATCACTATCTTTTCCAAAGTTTGGACTCTGGATGTTAGACTTGTAACTATTGTTACCCAAATGTTTTCTATATAACTTAATCGAATCATTGATCCGAAAATCACCGAAAAACTAGACCAATTCGAAGATTATGAGTCATGTAAAACTAGAAAAAGGGAAAAGTAATTATTTACAAACTCGTGAAGAAAAAGTGATTATAACTTGAGAGTTGAGATCGCTTGACGAAGACATGTTCTAATTTAGTGTGCACGACATAAAAAGGTCCACATGCAAATTTGCTCCAAGCTAGGCTAATAGGGGTTGATAATAACTAAAGGAGAAGCCTTGTCTTAAGCTTCAACACATAAACTTCAACTAACCATATTTTTATAATTTATTTATGCATTCCGGTTCACTTCTTAGTATTCAAACAATTGATTTGGTAATGAGATGCGTTTAAGATGATATAATATGTTGTGTATAAGAAAACAAAAATTCGTATAATTAGCATTAAATTGTCATCAAATCGATGATATTTTATCGCAAAGGTAACTAACAGTGAATGAATGGTCTCAATTATCTCATCTTAGTTAGAGTTGGGATCCTTAAGACTTTGAAACAAATTTATGAATAATTTGTTTAATTATTATGATTATAATACCTAATGTATATATCTTAAGTTTAATTATAGAAAGAAAAAAAAACTAAAAATATAGATGAACATAAATTATTTATGTGAGAATTCAAGTTGTAAACTATATTAGTTTTGATAATCATTTTTGTCAAATATGTGATAACTTCTAGTGCAAGAGTCAGTTTAGTATTTAAGAATATCTTTGACATGTGGTTTTACTCCTACCAAGGACAAACATTTTTTTTATTTTTAATTTGGAATCATCTTGTTACTTTGAACATATAAAATAATAAATGAACATAGTTTTTGTTGGATAAGTCATAAGGGTTTATAACCACCCATATAGATAGGTTAGTAAATCATCTAAACTTAATCTTGACATAATTATCTAGTCATACAATCTAAATTTAGCAACCTAAATCTCTACCAAGTATACATATGTTACTTAATCCAATTTACAATAACTATGATCAAGTTTGTATATTAAGATAAATTTGATCAAGAAGATGCTAAATCAACAATTACTTGTTTGTATGAAATTGTATCTGATATGATTTTAAGTTTTTTATATCAACCTAAACAAAAAATAAGTCGCAAAGAATTCGGAGAAAGAGATGAATTAATAAACTCCAAAAATATGAAGCTGGGCTACTTATTAAGGCCCCAATACGACCCAGCCCATTTATGCCCAAATGGTGTGAGATTCTGTCTACTCTATTTTTTTTTTGTCATCAGTGATTCCGTCTACTCTCTAGAATGAGAAATGCTGATTAAGTGGGTGTGTAATCAACAAACACTTCAAAAATTTGAAATCAAGAGGCTAAAAATAATGAAATAAATATGCATCTCTTGTTATTATTAATCACTTTGTAAAAACCAAATAAACTATATTCACACTACACAACATACAAAAAGATTTAGTACCCTCCCAAAGAGTTTCTTCTAAACAAGCTAAGCCTTTCCAAAACCCTATCTTTCTTTTTGTATCTAACAACAATTTACAGAGACCTATCCAAACCAAAAACCCAAATACATAACTTTAAAACCCCTCCTCTTCAATTAAGAATCTTGAAGAAACCAAGTTCATAGTATTAGCCTCAAACCAAGTTGTTTGATTCAGTTGAACAGAGCCACCGAGACTCCAGAATCGTCCTTGTTGCGGTTTATCCTCGAAAGGCGGTACCTTTTCTGCAATGGTGCACCTGGAGCTTCAATCTCTTTATCATCATCCTCTACATCAAAAGGTTTGTCCCAACCGAATCTGCCATGGTGATGGTGGAAAACCGATGTTTTCCGAGGTGTATTATACGCGAAATGCGACTGCTTTGCGATCAATGTCTGTAAATAAAAACAAGGAACAATTATTAGATTCAAAATGTAACTAATGGTGTATCATCAAAATCTACTAATGATGCCAAATTTTACTTACAGCTTCTCTTATTGTCTTTGAAACATGAAACAATTGTTTCAAGTCTTCATGCTCGACCCCACAGATAATCCTCACCTGTAATAATATAAATCACAAGATCTATCAATAAATGTCTATGAAATGTCAGACAACCTTATGCACAATGACAAAAGTTTTCCAGATATGAAAAATTTGACCATTTTTTCATTTCCAATAAGAACATTTTAGCTCAATTTTTTTGCCAAAAAAAACAAACATTTTAGCTCAATCTGATTAATTAACTATGAAATCTCAACTAATACACTGACGCAAAAATCTGAAAAGGATAAAAATGAATTTGTGATGAAACTAACCGTAATTTCAACATTTTCTAATTTGCATTACGATTTTCGAATCTCAAAGGAAAAACAGAAAAAAATTTGAAATTTCAGCTCAAATCTGATTAATACTCCCTAAAATAATACAAAATCTCAACTAATTAACAGAACCCAGAAATTAGAAACAGATAAAATTTGAGTTAACAAAAACAAAATTTGAACACTTTCCCTTTCCAAAACGATTTTGAATCTCAAATTTAAAAAAAAAAGAAAAAGGATTCAACTTTCAGCTCAAATCTGATTGATACTTTGCAAATTAACAAAACCCAGAAACCAGAAAGAGATTTAAGAAAGAGTTAGTGAAGAAACGAACCAGAATATCTAGCGGAAGATCTTCAAGCTCTCGACTTTGACCATCAGCAACCGATGTAGTTTTATCGCAAAGCTTTTTACCAACAGGTGAAGTGAAAATCGAATCCTCCTCAATCTCATCACCTGATGAAATTAGAATCCTCTTTCTCCCAAATCCTCTCTTGTACTGTACAAACTCTAACCCTAACCCTAATCCTCCATCACCCACATCACGACGTTGCCTCAAATTCGACTTCTGGGTAACGATTCTCTTCTTCCCTAATGCCATTTTTGTCAATCTGCATCAGCAAAAGTACAAAAAAATCAGATCTTTTTTCGAATTTCAGAGAATCCAAAAACAGAGGATTTGAATTAAAGAACAAAGGAAAGTGAATCTAAAAATAAGAAACTAACCTATAAATTAGTGAAATTTTCCAAAGATTTTCAGAGTCTTAGTATGTTTGCGGGAAATGAACAAAAGCTGAGAAAAATGAGTAATTTTTCTTTTTTGGTTTAAAATTTATGACCAAAGAAGATGAACTACTACTTCTCTATACTTATAGTAGATAAATTATTATTATTTTTTTTTTTAAAAGTCAATTTATTTTAATAAAACCGAGTAAAGTAGAAAACGCTGGAAATTTCCTAAGGCAAAAATATCTTTAATTTTTTAAATTTTGTTATTCTCCCTAGTCCCTCCTCTGTAGTAAGCAAAAGACGGCTTACAAAAAAACTAGCCGTTGGGATATACACGTGGCGAACTTTGAGCCGAAGAAGGAACAAACGTGGGTGGTTCATGTGATGACGTGGCGACAAGTTGTTCGTTTGACGGTTTAGTCGTCTCACACGGTTTTGTTCTTAGGATTCCCAAAAGTAACAACAAAAGATCTTTGAGACTCTCTGACACACCGTCATTAATAATCTAACACTTATCAGTAATCACCGACCAAAAGATTAGATGATTAAGTTTTAATTTTTATTGATTACTCTTTCATTTTAATCCATTATTATGGTATCCTTGTTATGGTATATGCAATTTTTGTGACATTTAATTATGGTATATGCAATTTTTATGTCAATTTTTGTATTATCAAGATCCAAAGATATATAAGTGTGTGCATCCTTGTTATGTTTTTCTATTTTTATTTCCACAATCTTATTGAAGAAAGTACAATACTATTGATTAATTTAAGATTTGCATGCCATTTGTTAATATTTAGTTATTATTTGATAACTCTTCATTTTAATCCATTATTATTGAGTCTTTTTGACATTTTATTATGGTATATGCAATTGAGTTTATTGTAAGTCATTATCAAGATCCAAAGCTTTTAACAAAAAAAAGAGATGATATGCATGCATCATTGTTATATTTTTCTATTTTTGTTTCCACAATTATATTGAAGTAAATACAATATTATTGAAGAAAAAAGATTTGCATGCCATTTGTTAAGAATATTGGTAACTTATTAATTAATTATTAGGATTTTTTTGTTAACAACTTATAATTATTGGAATTTCTTAACTGGCATATGACTGATTGGAAAGTAAAAAAATTGGTCAATGTTATTTTTTCAATAAAAACAGTAATTAATCATTAACATATACATATATTATGTTGATTAAGTTGATAAATTAATTAAATTAAATTATGTAGATATATTATATTGAGTTGTGTGCCTAATTGTGATATATGCAATTTAGTTTGTTAAGTACACGTGTTAAGACGTGTAATGTGTAGTCTTAATTCGAGTCGGTGCTTGTAATTTTTAATGGGCCTTTAATAGGCCTTTAATAGGCTCATGTTCTTCTATACTTAGTGTATTGGGCTTTTTAAAAATATAAAATGAAATGGCCGACAAAAAGAAAAAAGTTTGTTACAATATTTATTGAATAATCAAGATCCAAATATACGCATAGATCTATATTAGTGTCATATTTCTCTATTTTATTTCCAAAGTCTTATTTAAAATTTAAAAAGTACATCTATATATCTAAAGGAAACTACTATTTTTATTTATTAGATGTTCTTTATTGAAAATTTTGAATTTATCGAAAATAATATATATTTTTGGTCAATATTTTATTGTCATTAATAATTAAAAATACAAATATCATTTCATAATAAAAATAATCTAGAGAAATAAATTTTGGTTAAAACTTTCACTTAGGATTAGATGAATTTCTTAGCGCTATGTGTAACTTAGCAAATAGAGCCATTGCAACACCCATCAAAGGGGTCGTTCCCCATCCAGGAGCTACTAGTTTAAACGAAACATTTTGCGACACATAACTTAGTTTAGGGGAATTGTATAGCACCAGATATTTGTTTCATTTTATGATCTCTTGGACTGATCAAGTTTGATTCAATCCTATAAAGACACTTTTTTCATAAATAACCACATTAATTCTACTCGTATTTCTCGAATGCTAATAAAGCCATATTAATGATCAAATATGAGATTATTCTATATAAAAAAAAAGTTATTATAGATTATTTGTTGATGAGTGGTTAAGACAAGTAAACAACCTTAAGAGGACATTTAGAGGCGGTATTTCTAAGGGATCAACAAGACATTCATAATTTTGGATTACTATGAATCCAAAATAACTAAATCTTTATTTGTGCTAATTTTCCAAACAAACGAAATAACTAAATTAACTAGCCATCTTCGTAAATATAAAACATACAAGTATGAGCAATACAAATAACCTCCTCTACCATGCGCATTTCGAGATTCGCTTATTGATTAGTTAAAAACAATGACAACAAAAATAGGTGGTACTACTAAAGTATCCCAGACATTGCTCCACTCTTGATCATTTATACTTGTATTGCATGGCTACACATTCTCTGTATCAAACCATGCTTGCGGCCCTGAAAATACTATATTTGAACGGCTTTTTTGAGAAAAAAAAACTTAGTGGCTATAGAGTTTAAGGCTTGATCCTTTCTACAACAAATTTAAAAAAAAAAAACAAAAAAATCAAATTTATTCATTAATCAGCCCAATCTGTTTTTTTTTTGTGGCCCATTATTCAGGGCTTGCTCTGATTACACGGTGTTTACATGCAACAAATTTTCCAAGAACAAAGGTGTCAAATGACTTTTTTTTTTTTTTGATAACCCAGTATCCAGACCACACAGTGATCTGACTAGCCCACTGGGCCTAAGCCCGCGTCACAGAGGTTTTTAAGCCTCCACTTAAGGGCCCCCTGATAAACTGGTAGTCTGGGGCGCCTGAGCAAGTCCGCAGGTAAATTCCCAGGTGGCCACAGGAGTGAGAGAGCGAAACTGCGTCTGGGGAGGATCGATCCCTGGCCTAGACCAACAGGGCGATCCTTCCAACCAAACGAGAACCACTCGCCCACCACCATGTGGTTAAATGACTTGTTTAAGATTTCAACAACATGCTGATAATAGTGACTTATGTAAACTTAGATTGATTAGAGTCGAGTTTAATCAACGGATGTAAACAAAATACTAATATAGATTTTTGTAATTACTGTTGTAATAATTGTGTTAACTTAATACTATTTATTAATTAGTATCAATTGTTTTTCCTACATTTTATAAGTGACGCTAAATGACTTTTCTTTTAGTAGTTGCAGGAGCATGTAAATATGTTACCATTGTCTAAATGGCTATAAGCATTATAATACCAATGATCCCAAATAAGTTTTTTTTTTTTTTTTTTTGATATACAAATGATCCCAAATAAGTTCAAATCTGAAATAAATTAAAATCCAAAAAGAGCTCAAATCTAAGATAAACCAAAGACAGAAATAAGAGAGTACAAATCTGAATAAAGAGCAAAAAGAGAGGAAAAAAAGACATATGTTTCACTCGCTGTGATGTTTCAAACACATCAAAAGAGCTATTAGTGTTTGGCATGCTTGAGCTTAAACTTCGGTAACTTTAATCCCTGAAAATATGTTTTTTATGAAATTTATCCTTGCATAATCTGGGGTGTGAGCAATGTTCTTAGCGTTCTTAGGCATCTCTAACTCCAACCTCTTTAGAGATGGTGCGTTCTTGACAAAGAACTCTACTATATCAAGCTCATGCCAGTGGCCTTTATAGCCAATGATCTTGACGTCCGTGAGACACTTCAAAAGGTAGTTGTTATTCGAGTTATTCTGAATCTGCCCCTTCTGATGCATCTCCCAGAAATATAATTGAGGTCCAAATGTGAAATTATGAATCTGCACATAACAAACGAAAAGTTTTACCTAGTGAACTTAGGGAGGGAGGGGGGGAGGGAGAGAGAGACTTACATCGATGATAACATGTTCGAGTTTAGGACACTCTTTAAGGAATTCAGCGATGTCAAAAAGAGTGCAAAACGTTGGAGCTTTAAGGAAAATCTTGAATTCTCTTAAGTTCTCAAACTTGAAAATCGGCTTTTCCAGTTTCCCTCCTGGATATCTATACGTGAGAGCCTATTTAAATATATGTGAAAACACCATCAAAACTAACTCCGACCAAGAATGAAAGAGTATGAAATAAACAAAGTAGAATAAAACATAGTGAAAAACAAACGTGTGATTGTTGTAACTACGTATTGTCACAATTTGAAAAACTTGTACCTCAAGCAAAATGTTTGTCGTTGTGAGGACATGAACTGCTGTATAGGACCGCATAGTACCAACCACCATGGCAGACGAATGCTTACTTTTACTTCGATTATAATGAAATTCTCCCTCTTTAAGTGCATTCACTCTCAAAACCTGGATTGTCCTGGCATATCCATCATACTTGTAACTTTCAAGAATGGGTGCATGCAAAACGATGCACAAAAGATTTGGCATAGAAGACACAACCAACGACTTGAACTTCTTATGATCATGAGCGTATATACTCAATATCCCGTACATTTGGCATTTGACTAGTTCAAGCGACTCGAGGTGGATACAGTTGTTGAAAATCGCATCTATCATCTCTTTCGTCAGCTCGGTCTGCATGAGCGAAAGTGTTCTCAAGAGCCTTAGACCTTTTGGAAGATTAGCCGGTATTTCAAATTTACACCATTGCAGTTTCAAAACTGTTAGTGTCTCGATGGACGAGAAATCGACAGGGATCTCCATAACTTTCTTGGATCTCGAGAAATCTAGCACAAGCTCTTTGATGTTTTTACGAAGACACGTACTGATCCACGAAAGTATCTTATCCTCCACGCCAATATGGTTGAGAAACAAAACAAACCGGTTAATCTCTGGTCCTTTGTGCTGATTAAAAATGTTTTCGATTATGCGTACAGCCTCTAGTTGACTATGTCTGACAGAAAAAAATTCGCCAAAATCGAGGTCGCGAGATTGTTTCCATGTGTCCCTAAATCTCTTCGACAAAACACGGTTTTGTAAAATAGATTGGATTGGAAGAAATGACAAGATGCACTCGACCAAATCATCAGGAATTCTTTTGATGAGTTTCATCTGCTTATTTGAGGATTCTGACATTTTGATCTCTTCGGAGAAGCAATGGATTCCTCACTAGTCCTGATTTATATATAGATTACTTCACGGAAAAGAAAATTATGGTTTTGGTTATGTATATATGTATTTTTTCTTACAAAATATGAATTTGTTGCTTTGTATTATAGAAAACAGGTGTGTTGGTCTGTCTTTTACCTTCTGAAACTAGACAGGCTTATCAAACTTATTTATATTAATTAATTGTTGTTTTGGGTTGTTTAGATGTAGATATATTTTGAAAAGTATTAAATTTTTAATTAAGAAGAAAATATCTGGCTATGTAAGGTAAATGTTTTTCTCCAAAAACAGATATTTAATTTAATCTATATTTTATGTTTTGTGATCAAATATGTTATTTACTTATATCATATACTATTCTTTACCAATGGAATTAATAACTTTCTATATATTTTTTTGCATGCTTGCAAATAATTTCTTCATATTTATCAGTTAGAGTTCAATATACATCAACACATGTCCTTTTTATTACTTACATCTATTTCAATAAGTGTCAAAATGAAGAAAGATTTTGACATATTTGCCAAAAGTAATTAAATCTTATAACAATCTGAAGAAAAGTTTTCCAAATTTGATTTTAAGTGGCATTGAAAGAAATTATAATATAAAGAAAGTTAAGATTTTCAAAAAATATGTTTACTGGTAAAATTAAACATTAGATGTTAATTTTATTATCATTAATTATTTACTCACAACTTTTTAAATCTCTGTTTCTTGATTAACATTTTTCAAAACTTGATAAAATAGTATATTTACTTCTCTTTTTGGATTAAATTATGATTTGTTGCCAAATATGTCAGATTCTTTACCATTTTTACTAACAAAATTATATTTAAATTAATAGAATTTAATTATGCGTTGGGGACTAACATGTTATATTATTTACAATTTACCAGTAAAAATAATTGTCTTCTTTGGTAAATTTTTGAATGTCTTTTAGAGCTTTGACACATTATAGAGAAAGCACATGTCAGTTTTATTACATACTCAATTTCAGTAAGATTGTATGAGCTTGTAGGCCTTAATTTAGGCTATGTTTGTTTATTTCAACATATCTATTTTTAAATGCCTCTTTGTCTCCTCTTTCTCTAGTATTTGATTCGCTGTTAGCAATTTTTGTAATTAATAATTAAATTAGAAAAAGAGTTCAAATTAATTTTAAAATAACAAAACACAGAAATAAGGGAATTTAAAACTGAGATAAGATCATAAAAACTTTAAAACAAAAAAAAGAACATAAAATCTGAGATGAGTCTGATGTTTCAAACACATCAAATTATAGTTTGGCATGCTTGGCTCAACATGAATTTAAACTTCCTTAACTTTAATCCCGGGAAATATGCTTTTTATGAAATTTATCCTTGCATAATCTGGTGCGTGAGCTTTGCTTTTTGCGTTTTTGGGCATCACCAATTCCAACTTCACTAGAGATGGTGCGTTCTTCACAAAGAACTCTAATATATCAAGCTCATGCCAGTGGCCTTTATAGCCAATGATCTTGACTTCAGTGAGAGACTTCAAAAGGTAGTTGTTCTTCTTAATCTCCTCCTTATGATGAATCTCCCAAAACTCCAATCGAGGTGCAAATGTAAAATTTTGAATCTGCACATAACAAGCAAAAAGTATTAACGAACGTAGGTAGACCAATGGTAAAGAGAGAGAGAGAGAGACACGTACATCGATCACAACATGTTCGAGTTGAGGGCACTCTTTGAGGAATTCAGCAATGTCAAAAAGAGTGCAAACCGTTGGAGCTTTAAAGAAAATCTTGAATTCTCTTAAGTTTTCAAACTTGAAAGTTGTACTCCTTTTTTCCAGTCTTCCTCCTCCTACGTATCTCTTTGTGAAAGCCTAAGAAATATGTGAAAAAACACCATCAAAAACTCGCTCTAAACAAAAAAGATTAGATTATGAACAAAAGAAAATGGAGATAATAATAGGAAAACAATTGTGCAAATTGCATACTAGATCTAGAAATGATGATCATCCAAAGAGTTTGTGCAAATTATGCTCTAACATCCAACTTCTTCTACTTGAAGAATAATGCATGTAAGAAAAAAGTATCTAAAGCTCTAAGGAATAAGATATCATATTTTAGTAAACTTTATCCATCAAATACCTTGTCAAATAAATTGGTCGACGTTATGTTGGTATAAGATTATGACGCGTTGTCATGTCTTATGTATCTTGAAGCAAATCTCATTTTTATTGATTAAATACCTTTTGGGAAATAATTTATCTAGATAGTAATACCATGTAAGATATAACAGCCTTAATAATTTGTGCACAAAAATAATATATATAAATTTATAAAATTCAAAACTAATTGAAAATAATTTTAATAAACTTGCGAAGATATAAAATTTTAAAAACATGTATTAAATTCAAAAAAAGAAAATTACCTCAAGAAAGATGTTTGTCGTTGCGAGGACATAAACTTTTGTATAGTGTTTCATGTTAGCAACCACCATGGCAGATGAATCATAGTTACGACGATTCCTGTTATATTGGAGATTTGCCTCTTTAAGTGCATCTGTTCTTGAAAAGATAACATTCATGACATATCCATCAAACTTGAAGCATTCAAGAGTGGGTGCATACGAAACGATGTCCATGAGATTTGGCATATAAGACACAGCCAGTGACTTGAACTTCTTATGGTTATTAGCGAGTATGCCCAATAGCCCGTGCATACTACATTGAATTAGCTCAAGCGATTCAAGGTGGATGCAGTTTCTGAAAACTGCATCTATCATCTCTTTCGTCACCTCAGTCCGCATAAGCGAGAGAGTCTTCAAGAGCTTCAGGCCTTTGGGAGAATTATCCGGTATCTCAAACTTACACCATCGTAGATGCAAGGCTTTAACTGTTTCGATAGCCGAGAAATCGATTGCGGTCTCCATAATATCCTTGGTTTTGGAGAAATCCAACACAAGCTCTTGGATTCTTTTGGCAATGCAGATTTTGATCCATGAGGCTACCGCTTCCTCCCCGCCGATATCTTTGAGACACAAAACAAATCGGTTTATCTCTGATCCTTCGTGTTTGTTGAAGACATTTTGGATGACGTTAATAGCCTCTAGTTGACTACGCCTTACAGAAAATATTCCGCTAAAATCAAGGTCGAGAGACCGTATCTCTGTGTGTCTAAATAGTTTGGACACAACACGGTTTTGTAAAAGTGATTGGATGGGAAGAAACGATGAGGCCCGCAACACAAGTTCTTCAGGAAGATTGTGAAGGAGTTTTATCTGCTTGTTTGAGGATTCTGACATTTTTTATATTTTTGGGAGGAGATATGATTTTTTCACACAATTGACTCTTTACTTGTAACTCTTATATATATATATATAGATGGAAAAAAATAAGGGTTTCCTATTTTTAAGTATGTCTTTTCGATTAATGGAGACAATGATTTGGTTTAACCTTTTGTATAAATTTATTTTCATTGTTGTTCTGCTGAGTTACACACATAAAAAATATAAAAGTAGCATTAAACAATAATCACATGGAATTACCTGTTGAAACATATTAAGCTTTTTTCTTATTACATAAGGAAAGATTTTCTACCTTTTCAATGCACTTTTTGTTAATTAATGTTAAAAATTGCGAAGTTCAAGAAATATTAATTAAAAAATATGAATTTACTTATTTTGTATTGGTTAGTATTAATGGGAAAGTGTTTTTTTCGTGGAAAATTAATATATGATTACTAAAAATTGATTATTTTGTAATATGTGTGAAAAAATCATAATTTTTACTTATGCATATAAAGTATTTTTTTTAATTCAGATTTTTTTCCATTTACAAATAAAGTGTTTTCAAGATTTTTTTCCATCTAAAATGTTTTCTAAGATTCTTTTCCATTTAAATGTTTGATTATTTACATAGAAAGTTTTTTTCAAGACTAAGATTTTTTTCTATTTTAATATTTGATATATAAGGGACATAGAGAGTAATATTTATATTTAAATGGAAAAAATCTTAGTCTTGAAAAACACTGTATACATAAATAATCAAACATTTAAATGGAAAAAAATATTTATAAACATTTTAAATGGAAAGAAATCCTTAAAAACACTTTTAACAAGTATGCAGTGAGTTTCTATGAAAGGCTAATAACAGACTAAACCAACCTGTGTCTCCTTCAAATGAAAAGTATTCCTAAAATGTAGCAAAATTATCTGTCGTAAATAGAATAAAAAAAAATTCAACGTGTTAAAAATACATAGAATAAAAAAAATCTAGATTTTTTCCATTTACTTATAAATACTTCTCCCTTTGTTCTTTAAAAATATTTGAAAAAAAAAGATTTCAGACATATTAAAAAAATAATTATGTTTAATTATGCATATATTAATTTTCCACAAAAAAATACTTTCCCATAAATACTAACCATTAAAAATTAAGTAAATTCAAACTTTCTAATTTATATTTTTATGACCTTTATAATTTTTAATATTAATTAACAAAAAATGCATTGAAAAGGTAGAAAATATATTTTTGTGCAACAAAAAAATACCTAAAACATATATAATACGGTATGAAGAACTAAGTGAGTGACTGAATATATAGAATTGAATAAACAAAATATCAATATGTTATATAACTGATTCCACATAGCCTAAACAAATCATTAATTGGAAAAAGACATGTCGTTTTTGTTATTTGCTAGATCTCTATATGTACAACCATTAATAAAACCACATATGTTGCACTATAATGTGCCAAACTATAGATGATAAAATATGGACTTTACATTAGCAAACATGCAAAATGTTACAATTGAAAGTAACTATCCCTTTACCAATAAAATTAATTACTTTCAATTGTAATTAATAAATAAAATAATACATCTGGCCACAAAAACGTTATAAATTAGTCAAGTTGTTTTTTTTTTGGGGGGTAAACTAAACTCTACGTATTACCGAAAACATTTTTCAATTAGCACAAAGGACCAAAAATCAATTATACTTTTTCTCTAAAATTTCTCAGTTATATAGGCATGGATGGTAAAATTATCTCGCACATCCTTTTGAATGCAACATATTATATTCTTCTCCACGTTGATATGATTTTAAAAAAAATAGTTGATCTCTGATTATTTATGCTAGTTAAAAAGTTTTTCGATGATGCATATAGCTATAAATTGAAATTATAAAAAAATTGACAACTTTTTTTAATCAACTTAAAAAAAATACCTGATTTTTGGGACAGCGTCGGAATCACCACTGTTGTATTTCTTAGGTCATCTCGTTCTCATAAAAAAAACTATGCGATAAAGATCGACTTCTCCTCGAATCGTCTCTAAGGAACCACATATAATTAAGATTTTATTTGAAATATGGTTATGTCGCTTTGTCTGTCATCCCAAATAAAATCTAGGCCACCGAACCTACTTCAGATTTGGTTATCGAGAGAGCATCTCAAATCTGGATCTGCAAAATGACAGTACAATATGTATATGCAACTAACACAAAAAGATCAGATATCAATTGATTTTTTAATTGCTTAATCATAAATACTTACTAGTGAAGAGTGTATTTTGTCCACAATCAATATCGCATCCAAAGCAAATATCAAAGTTGTCAGAATCCTCAGATAAGTAGGTGAAACTCCTTGGTGATATGTGTCTCATCGTTTCTTCCCATCCGATCTTTTCTACAAAAAAGTGTGTTATCCAAAATCTTCAAGCACATAGAGATACTATCTCTCGACCTGGATATCATCGAAACATTTTCGGTTAACAAGATGTTGTTAACACAATCCAAACCATTATTAACCAACACGATCTCTCAAACTTGATTTCAGCAAAATATTCTCTCTCTTTCCAAAGTAAAAAAAAAAAAAAAAACTTTATTCAAATTTTTGGTGTCATTCATACCTTTGAAATCACTGTTTGTTTCTTCTAGGCCCTCCCAATCCTCATGAAAAAAGAAAAACATGGGAAAAAGATCGACTTCTTCTCGAACCGTCTCTAAAGAATTTTGAATAAGATCTTCTTTAAAATTTGGTTCAATCGTTATCTCTGCTTTCTAAGAGAAAACTTTGGCCCCAATCCCTCTTCAGATTTGGCCATCACGAGAGCTTCCCAATTCTAGATCTGCAAAATTTACGATACTGGACGATCTAATCACTACCAATCATCAATTGATGTGGTTACCTCTTAGAGAGATAGCGTAATAAGGCAGTGGTGATTGTTTCACTGACAGGGGGAAATCGGAGAAGAAAAAAAAAAAAAAGTTGGCGGCCAGAGAAGAAGAAATAAAAAAAAGAGTCGAGGGTTTTGAAAAGAAAAAATTTGTGTAGGTATTTTAGGTTTCCGAAAGCTATCATACGAATCTAAATTGTATGATTTTTGACACAAACAGATACACGTATATATATGGAGGATACTGAAGATACTAGGTCAAAGCTAATTACGGTTAAACCCCGTGCTTTAAAAGGCCGGAACAAGAAAAACAAATGGGCCGCTTTTACACATTTTCTTAAAATCTTTTTTCCATCTTAGCCATTTTCTAATACACTGACTTCTTCACCATTCACATATATCTCTTTTCCTAACGATTTATCAGTTATAGAAGTTCATGATTTCTATTTACGTACTTCAACAATGAATTAACCTACGGTTTTGGTAGTGCTAATTTTCTCCTTTTTCTTATTTAAGATGTGTATTCGACTTTTTAATTTGACAACATCTTACTTCAATTAAAAAATTTATTACATAGATGAATTATTATACAAAAACTATATAAACAAATTACAAAGAAACTCAAACATAAGAATAACTAACCTACTAAACAAAGGGCTTTTTGGATTGCTCATGGCTATGCGTTGTATGGCTATCCATAGACATGTTGTGGTGGGTATATAAGCCAAGCCCAGCCCATCCATTCCATTGCCAATTAAATGGTTTACGGACCAGACATGATCGAATTAGTGGCATTGGATGGATCATGTTGGTGAAATAGAAAATAATCTTATTGATGTTTATGATAGAGAAAATTAAGAAGAATGTCACATACTATTCAAAAACTTATCAGATATGTCATATTGCGTTTGCCATCCTTTTTCCAATTGCCACAACATCAAAATCAAAAGACCAAACTACCGTCTCTTTCCTTTATCTATATCCTCCCTCTTTCTCTCTCCTTTCTCGATTCTCAAACTCCAGCCTTCATCATTTTTTTTTCAATTTTCCTTTATCTTGTTTTTTTTTTTTGTCAACAAGTTTATCAAAGACCGAACTTGTTGCAACCAAGATGGAATACACAGCCCAAACGAGGGAAACTAAAGCCGACGGACGGAGTAAAAGTCCTCGGAGTCAAAAGCCGGAAGAAAAACAAGATATCCCCGGAGTCTAAGCCCTATAGAAGGGAATCCTTCTTTCTCTCTACTCTCTCCATAAACCTAGGAGGCTTTTACAATTAATCCATTTATTTTTTTCTCCACATATTACTTATGCAACTTTTTTAATGTTTTTATTGTCTGTCAAATAAGATAAAAGATCCAACCTCGTATATGTTTATGATTCTCCATTGTGTGTTTTGCGAACAAATAGAATAATGATGAGTGTGTTCACGGATAGATTATATATACATATTATTATGATAAACTATAGTTTTTGGTTTATGGGTTTCAGATTTAGTATTGAAAATATTTCAAAAACTGAAAATGAAAAAAAGAGTCAGGTTACGTACATAGATTTTAGATTTTCTTTGAAAATTGACAAAAAAAATTTAGATTCTCTATTTTTACAAAAACCCAATTTTTTGGTAATGTTGATTGGCTATAAAGTAGATTTTTGGAAAAACTAAAACCAAAAACATATACATATGATTTGCTTCTTTTTTTTCAATATATGATTTTCTTTTGTTTTACTTAAATTTAGTATTTTTTTCTTTTTTTCTTTTATAAAGATACAATAATAATTACTGTACTTTTTAATATGATGTTAATTTTCATAAAAGGTTGGTTTACCTTTAGAGGGAAAATAAAATCACGTTTACTTATGTGAATTAATTAATGTATACGGATATATACTTTTTTTTTTTGCTCAAATAATTACTTATCTATTAAATGTTGTGCTACTTTTTTACCAATAAAATTAATATTTTTCTATAGAAATTGTTTGCTAAACATATTTCCAAATATATACATATGTCATTAACTTTTTTTTTGTTTATTCTGCAGTTATATATCTTAATATATATAAATCTAAGCGTATATAAGAGCATCTTTATCAGTTAAGATATCTTAATGAGTACCTAAAAGTTTAAATATTACTATTTTAATTATATATATTTTAATTTAAAATATAAAATGTAAACCAATAAGATTAAGGACAAGGTTATTTAAACGCCTGTTATAAAAGATATTATAAAATATCTCACCCTCTTTCTTTTTTTAATATTTTTTTATTTATCTTTTTATTTTTAGATACCCTATCTAAAATGCACAAATCGCTTCAAATACACAAATCACTACTACAAAAATTGCCTATTTTCAAATAGATTTCTTATTAAGTTTTTTTTTTTTCTTTTTGTTCAAACGTATAAAAATATTTAGAATAAACCGCTCTTAAAAAGTAAAAAAAAAAAAAGCTAAACTTACCATTTATAATAAGATGAGAACAAACAATTATAGACAAGATTCTATCCAAAAAAATCACTTCAACATGAGCATGATATGAGGTAAGGCTGGTATGAGAAGCAAAATGAAAACGACTATGAAGAGAAGAATGGCATAACAAGTCCATTTCCTCGAGCTCTTTTGGTACTCTCTTGCATCTTGAAGCTGGTCTGTCCCTCTTCTCACGAACGAGCTCGCCTTTGACACGTGGCTTTCTATGTCATTTAGTTGCTGACCTTGTGCTTCCACTAGAGCCGCCATGTCTAAGAACACTTGGTGAAGCTCTATAAGATTCTTCTCTATCTCTTTTACCGCGTCGTGTCTCTCTTGAATCTCTGATATGGTGTCTAATATTTGGCCTCTCCCTTGTTCTTGTATCGCTTTCTGGAGAAAATTCTCGCTTTCACCGCTCGAAATCAAGTTCTCAATCGTCTGTTCGTCTGCCTGTTCTCCGGTTATCGTGAAATATCTGCAACAATTTCAATGTTGTTATGTCAACTCATCAAACTTCTTTTACAGTACATGAAGCAAGGAGGAAAAAACAGAGCAATAATGAAGAAAGATCTTGTTCACCTGCGTTCTACGGTTTCTTTATACTCAGCATTCATCCGCGCACGCAAACCTTGAAAACTATCCATCAAGTCCTTAAGCTTTTTCCCGAGTCCACTAACAACAGACGTCCTGGTCCTATCGGTGGAAGAGCCAGGGCCACAACCAGGGACATTACGGCTATTAGCATTCGCTTTTTCAAGCGCCTCGAGCTTTTGTTTGATGATCTTGACTCTCTTGAGGACCTGAGCGACATCTCCATCCATCTTTGCTCGGAGTTCCTTCACTTTCTTGGCATTGTGTACCGTTTTGCATTCTTCGTTCGAATCCTGAAGGCTCTTGTAAAGAGTCTCTACGCCTTTCATGTCATCTTTGACATTTTCGACATCCTCGAAGAACTTATCGAGGTTCATCGTCTCTTTACCTGCCTCAACATCATCCATTTGGGCCTGTTGCTTCAGGTCCGTGTACTTCTTGAACGAACTAGAGAATAAATCATTCATTTTTTCCTATTTGCTTTTAAAAAGATTCACCAAGTTTATGCAATAATATACAGAAACAAGTTCTATCTGAAAATTATTTTGGGTTCAAGAGACGATGATCTTGGTGAAGATCATCATCATCCTATGCCTTAGGAGGAAGAAGATGGGAAGATTTTTTTTCCTTTTTTGGAAGAGGTTCGCAACTAGTTTTGTTAGAAAAGTTTGTTTTGTTTTGTTTGGAGAAGAGAGACGACTAGTTTTTGGGAATTACCCAAAATTAGCCAATGACACAACTTTTGTTAACCAAATTAGCAAATGTACTAAGAATAGTTTGTAAAAAAACAAAACAAGCAACATTTTACTTCTAATGTGATTAAAACCCAAAACCCTATAAAGTAGAAACATTCAACTGAGACGCTTCGCTTTATCGAGGTTTTTGGTATGCCCTGTGAACTGAAAGCAGCAGACACAAGTCAGTGTAGAAAATACTACCCAAAGTACTCAACTCAATCCAATACAAGTTCCAAAGTTCATATATGATGCAAAGTTCAAGCCATTCTTATAAGCCAAAACCTTCTTTGTTAAACTGAATCAAAATAACAAGAACAGAAACTGAAAATTACCCTAAAAGAATTAAGTTCGCTCCCTCGACCTAACCCGATGAAAACCTCCATAAGCTCTCTTCTTTTGAATGAGTCTCACAAAAGAGCTCTCATCCCTATTTATCTATATAAGCAAAGCACCTTAAGAAAAGGAAATAGAGAAATGGAAATACTAGTTACAAAACCTCCAAAAGCTCTCTTCTTGTGCTATAGCTCAAGTAACATATTCTAAATAATACTCAAAATCACATTCTCTCTCTGAAGTCTGAACCATAGCGCCTGGTTTTCTACTAAAAAGAAGCAAAAATGTTTTTTCATGTAAACACCAAAATCAATATCTCTCCACAAGATTCTAAAGCCTGAATCATTCGCACACAATTCTCATATGTGCTTCACAACAACACTCTAAATGTACAAACAGAGACATATACACAAAAACAAACATCAAATCTTCAACATAGTAATACCAAATGGTCCGGCTTTTCCTTTGAATTTGATGAACACTAATTTGTTCCTATTACTTACCTCAGCGAAATTCGAACAAAGGCCATCACTTGACAAGATTCGAATCGAACATAAGATCGTTGATTCTTGTAATATCAATGTCAGAGATTGGATCAATTGGCCTATCATCCCCATTCTTCATCAAAAGAAGAAAATCCACATCTTCTCTGCTGTACTCATCTGCCACAACAACCAAAATAACCAAACAATTCAATCATCGCAATCAAACTCCGAAAATTTAAACATTTCTAGCTTATATCTCTAGCAATTTGACTATCAACAAAAGTGAAATGAATTAGGTGGCTCACCAAACAAAGTATTGAAAGAGGTTGTGGTTGAAGTAGACATGAAGTTGAGACCAATGTAAAACACCAAAGCTAACAACAGAGTCACCATCAAATACATCGGCATCGCCATAGCCCAGTACTTGCTCGGGTAGTAATAAATACCTAAAGACTCTAAGAACTTATCTGGTACATAAGCCCAAATCAAGAAGATCACAGTGGCAACAACAATCGAAATGGTTCCTACAAATCCATAAACCTCACAAGGTTTTGTTCCGTGTACTTTACCAGCTTCTTGATTCAATCTTAAGAATCTTCTCGGACTGTTCACTAATTGATCTTCTTCTTCTTCCATTTTTACACGAAAATTCACTGCAACAATCATTGAGAAATTGAAAAAGACAAATAATTAGTGATGTGTGTTTTCTCAATAAAAGGACAATTTGAAGGACGAAACTTGCAAATACTCGAAAACTAAGAAAACTCACAATAAGCGAATCTATCAGAAATCTGGAAGATGGCTTAAACCCCCAAAATGCGATTATGAAACCCTAAATCCTCAAAAATTCGCTAACTTTTTGAAATAATCATACAATTATGGACCATACAAAGATTACAACAAAATTTTGGAAACTAGGGATGATTGGGGGATGGGTGTAGGGAGGCCCGCACGAGGTGAGTTCTGCAAAGTAAGCAGCGTCAACACATCGGCCAGCCTATAACCCCTCCATAAATTCTTGCGCCACTTTGGTGTTTTACGATTAGCGCTGCGACCGGTTCTCACCGGACGCTTTGTTTTCCTTACTCATTAGTTTAAGGCAAGTTGTTCAGTAGTTGTTCATCACGCTCTTATAGTAGCCTCGATAGGTCTCAAACTAGTTATAGTTCCGATGTGGGACAGAAACATTTTTACTTACAATGATGAGGCTCGTTGAATGAAAGCCCAATAATTAATTCAAGGCCCATTTTCAATTTTCTTACAAACATGAGTAGTTGGTATCATTCCCAAGATTTATGAACATTGTATCCAATCAACGAACATTTCAATGCAAATAAAAAAAAGGAAATGAGAACAACAAACAAAATTTTAGTTAAATTTCAAAAGAACAAAATCAGGAACAGGTCAATGAAATTTAAGTAAGATGAAAATCTGTTGACTTTTAAAATCGTGAGAAGAACCAGCTAAATTTGATTTCCCTTAGTGAGGCAAAAGTCAACTTTTATTCCCTCTCTATCTGTCTCTCTGACTCTCGTGCACACAACTTTTGGAACCACCGAGAAAATTAGAAAAATTGTCTCGCAAGTCACAACATTCCAAAGTTGACAATGAGAGGAAATCCAAGTTCACCGAACCAAATCCTAAACCAAGATCTTGTGGAGGTATGCTCTTTGCGATGATCATGTTTATGAATTTAGAAACGTTGTTCTTGAAAGAGTTTGTTACCCTCTTGATTCTTGATGTGTCGTAAGATGATAATTTTGCGTACGGAAATTTGGAAACATAAAACTCTTAGAGACTTACTTACAGGATCAATCATTTGAGCTGGAAGATTGGCTTCCAATCACCGCATCACGAAATGCCAATTGGTACTATTCGGCTTTCCACAACGTCACTGCCATAGTTGGTGCTGGAGTTCTTGGTCTTCCTTACGCCATGTCAGAACTTGGATGGTATATATCTTTTATTCTGAAAAAAAAAAACACATTTTAAGAGTCTGGAGATATAAAAAGGTTCTTTTGTTTTCAGGGGACCTGGAGTTGTGGTGTTGATCCTGTCATGGGCCATAACGTTATACACCTTCTGGCAAATGATTGAGATGCACGAAATGTTTGAAGGGAAACGGTTTGATAGGTACCACGAGCTGGGCCAAGCAGCCTTTGGCAAAAAGCTTGGTTTGTACATCATAGTGCCGCTACAACTTCTTGTTGAAATCAGTGCTTGCATAGTCTATATGGTGACAGGAGGTGAATCACTGAAAAAGATTCATCAAATTTCTGTGAAGGATTACGAGTGCACAACGTTGAAAATCCGACACTTCATTTTGATCTTTGCCTCTTCACAGTTTGTGCTTTCCCTTCTTAAAAATTTTAACTCCATTTCTGGTGTCTCTTTGGTAGCTGCCGTCATGTCTATAAGGTAAGTGAATCTCCTCCTCTTTATTTATATGTTGATATGTTCTTGTGCTTTACTTACTTTACCCTAAACTAATTATAAACTTCTTATATTAAAGTCATTCCAATTAAACAAATTCAATTAATCTCGTCAATTACGATTAAAAATTCTTAAATCGATTGCGCCACCAAAGGAGATTTTCTGAATATGCTTTGAGGATTCTTGCATTGGAGAAAACAAATACGGTTAGATATATGTACAACATACATTGCACACATGGATGGGGAAGAATATTTGAAAACACAATTTAAGAGTTTTTATTCGTAATTTAATGAAGTTTATAATTCGTTCAAGGTGAATTGGGTAGAGGCTAAAAGTACAGGGTGATATGAATTGAATGCGCAGTCTGCAAACATAACATGGAGAATCTCTGACAAATGTGTTATTACTTTCCCACAGCTATTCCACAATTGCTTGGGTAGCTTCATTGACAAAGGGTGTCGCGGTCAATGTAGAATACGGATATAAAAAACAACGCACCTCAGTGCCGTTAGCCTTCTTAAGCGCATTGGGGGAGATGGCTTTTGCGTATGCAGGTCACAATGTTGTTTTAGAAATTCAAGCAACGATTCCATCAACACCAGAAAATCCATCAAAAGGACCCATGTGGAAGGGAGCCATTGTAGCCTATATTATTGTAGCTTTCTGTTACTTCCCTGTGGCTCTTGTAGGGTTTTGGATATTTGGAAACAACGTTGAAGACAACATTCTCAAATCGCTCCGGGATCCCACGGGACTTATGATTGTGGCCAATATGTTTGTGGTTATACATCTCATGGGAAGCTACCAGGTATATATACCAAGAAACGCCTTAATTATTAGAAAACTTGGTAACTACTAAAATAAATTAAAACCGCCTTCGTTTTCTTTTCCTAGGTGTACGCTATGCCAGTGTTTGACATGATAGAATCTGTAATGATAAAGAAATGGCACTTCAGTCCAACAAGAGTTCTACGGTTTACCATCCGCTGGACTTTTGTGGGTAAGTCTCTGTTATTTGTATACCAAGATCACAACACATCTTGCTCTCCAAGTTATCTCCAATATCTGGGAAAAACAAAAAAAGACTAGCTAACTTGTATTATTGTATATATATGGCAGCCGCCACGATGGGGATAGCGGTCGCTCTACCAAATTTCAGTGGTTTGTTGTCATTTTTTGGAGGATTCGTGTTTGCCCCGACCACATACTTTGTAAGCTCTTAAACTCTATCAACATATCATAATATCTTCAACAAAATATAATGATGTTCTCTTTCAGATCCCTTGCATCATATGGTTGATCCTGAAGAAACCAAAGAGATTTAGTCTATCATGGTGTATCAATTGGGCAAGTGGAACTCCTCCCTTTGGTATTATTTTCAAGTGATGATAATCTTGTTATAGCTAATAATATTAGGACATAATGTCCCACATCGGAAGTTGGAAGGGATCCTAAGTAATATATAAGGGATATGGGCCACTCCACTCATTGCCAATTGGTTTTGAGTTGGAAGCCCATAGAACTTAACATGGTAGCAGAGCCCGATCCACACATGTCCAACCCGATCCGACCCAAAGATGGTCCAATCATCGACAAGGCCCAAAATTGATGCCGTCGATCTAAGCCCGAACATTCCGAGATTAATGGCCAAAGAGTCATCATCTCGAGGGGGCGTATTAGGACATAATGTCCCACATCGGAAGTTGGAAGGGATCCTAAGTAATATATAAGGGATATGGGCCACTCCACTCATTGCCAATTGGTTTTGAGTTGGAAGCCCATAGAACTTAACAAATAATACATGTTATTTTATTTTGTTGTCAGATCTGCATCATTCTTGGGGTTCTAGTGATGATTATAGCACCTATTGGGGGACTCGCCAAATTAATAAATACTGAAAAACCAAGGTGCAAAATCACTTAAATATTGTACTGAATTTTCCTTGTAGGTAACACAAATTTTTCTCTATTAGTTTGATGGATTGTGTAATCATGGCTGCACTATAACAAACTCGAGTGTGAATCTGTTGCATATTGAAACAAATGTATATGGAGGAAAAAAAAACAGAAGCAATAATTCTGATTTCTCCCGGTTTGGTTAATCGGTCCGGTTTTGCCTTTGGTGTTTGAGATTCACTGGTCGTCATTGTTAATGTTCAGTCATAGAGAAAGCTGTTGCATTTGAATCCAAACTTTCATATTTTACAACAAATCTCTGATTCATGTAACTCTGTCAGAGATAAGATTCAAAAAATTCATCAGAGATAAGATAGTCTACTATGTCAAAAAAAAAAAAAAGCAAAGTTTTAGGTCCTCAAAAAATCCTTAAAGAAACCTTAAAAACTCGTTTATTTGACCCAATTGAGCCCAGTCCAGTATCGATCTTTAGATAAAAGGTTATGATGGAAGCTGTTCAACACTAATGGTAGGCCCGGAAGATTCTACATCTTTTTTTTTTTTTTTTTTTTTTTAATTTTAAATTTCCATTGAAAAGAAAGAGGTTACAAGGCTAAAAAGCCCTTGACGGCCACAGGCCCAAAAGAAAATTACAAGGCAAAAAGCCCATGACGGCCGCAGGCCCAAAATAAAAGGAAAAGAAGACATTACCTTCCAGCAAGCGAAGAAGAACAGTCCCAAAAACGAACCAGCAAAAGAAGAACTGAGCAACTACATCTTTGTTCATTCATATGTCAAAACGTTTGCATTTGGTTTTAGTGTAGTTTGTATTATTTAGTCTGATATGAATGAAATATCATTTGTAATTGGATCTTTGTTAGAATGAATATATGAGCACCTTTTGTTTAGTTATTCAATCTAAATAATATGCTTAGAAGTTTTACCTCCAAACTAGTTTCTTTGACTTTTGGACATTCATAAATAATTTGTCATGGGCTCATACATAATGAAGACCTGTTGGAGTTTGCTAGTGGATCACTAGTTAAAACTTCGTTTAACCGTCGCTGTAAAACTGTATTGTTTGACATAGAAATCAAAATACATCATCAAATTACCATTATGACCACGCTTAGACCATTCCAAACTATTTATAGTGCATTAGTCTTGTAGTAAACATTGTCACAACACACAAAACCCATTCACATAGACTAGAACAATCGTTAATCTTTTTACATATTGAAATCAGCCAAGTTACAATCATAGAAAAAAAGGCTAATTAAGTACTTTTAGGCAGAGTATTAAAGAATTGATTAACTACCTCGTACGCGTGTTTGACTTAACAAAACACACATTAAGGATAATTTTAGTTGGTACGTTAATCTATCTACTCAATATTGTCGTATATTCTAGTTAATTACTTAATAATAAAAATATTCTCATTTCACTTCTTTGTTATAGAACAGTCAAAGACTCAAAGATTAGTATGTATCATCATTTATTACATTTGTCTCCTTACATACCGATTTTATCCATTCCCGTAATTTATTCACATTATCTCGGTCGAACAACCGAGAGTCGACCAAAATATTCAACGTCTTTTAAAACGACACGTGTCGTATCTTATTAGCTCTGGCCGGTGCACAAGTAACGGATCTTCATATAGATTCTCCTTAAAACCGTTGTGATGATACTCGAGAAATTACCGGAACAAGATGGCATCATCCACACTCGCAAACTCAAGCGCGTGAAGTCTAAACATAAGCTTCGTTGGACGACGCGTGGAGTTTTGTCCGTAAATTCGTGGAGCTTGAGAAACTCACAACAGTCTATTTTTCCGTTGGACGAAAATGACGGTTACCCATCACTAGCTAGAAAAAACAGTTGTCAAACTTGACAGTTGAAAAAAACGTTGTCGTTTTGTTCTTTCGCAGTTTCTACGAAATTTCTAGCCAAAGACTCTTATTCAGTGATGTCTCAGATTATGGTGCAACCATTTGCAGCTTTTCACACTAAAGCCAACCCAAGTTTATGCTGTGGTTTTCATCAACTTGTCTCTATAATATCTCTTGTAAGGTTACGCGTTATGCATACAAATAAATATAACGTAAACAGATTAATCTATATATAATAGCAATCTAATAAATATCATTTGCACATCTGAAAGGTTGCGTCTTTTTATCGCAACTTTTCGTTAATGTTTTTATTAATTAAAATATATATTTTACGGTTATGTTATTTTTTTATAAATTGCATTCTGAATGTTTTCTACGGTTGCATTTTTTATCGTAACTCTTCATAAACAGTTGAAACCGCTTATTCGAATCATTGCAATATTTAGTTTCTTTTACGAACAATTGCAACCTTTGGTTAATATATTTAGTTTATTTCACGAACAATTGCAATTTTTGGTTTATTTTATAAATAGCTATAACATTTAATTATCTACCGCCGCGTCTCTCGGTGTAACTTTTCATAAATTATTATTTTAATTCTTCATTTTTAATTACTAAAATGTATTTAAATGAGATTGTAACTATTTAATTGAACTGTTTCAACATTTGGATTATTTGATGAATTATTGCAACTTTTGGTTTTGTTTTACGAACCATTGTTATCTTTAGTATATTTGATGAACTATTGCAACATTTGGTATAATTGACGAACCGTTGCAGTTTTTGGAATATTTGATATCTAAGGTTGCGTTTCTCGGATAAGTTCGTCATATTTTTAAAAAATATTTAAATACTAAAATATATTTAAATGAATTGTTGTTACCGTTTAATTTAACACAATAGCATTTGGTTTATTTGACGTTGAACGTTTTGGCTTATTTATCAAACCATTGTAATATTTGGTTTATTAATTTATGTTTTTTGCACTTGGGAATAGTTTTTTAGTTACAAATTATTGTTTTTCTAATATTAATATACTTAATAAATGCTTGTGAGAGTTTTCTTTATCATTTTTTTTGTAAAATATATATTGATTTGTTATTAAAAAAAATCAAAATTATTACAATTCATTATGATTTTTTCGTTTGATATTTTTTTAAATGATTTTTGAAATATATTCCCCCGCGATATCGCGGGGGTCCTGAGTCCTAGTACTATTAATACTAATATATATTTGTGGTTTACTAAATAAGTGCTAACAAAGCTCGTTTCATTCTTGTGCCAGAATCTCTGTCTATCTCAAAAAAAACTATCGATCTTATTTAATCCTAATTACACTTGCATGTTAGAGAAACATGTTTTCATTGACTAAATAATTGGAGTACACTTTTTAACAAAAAAAAATGGACTAGACTGGAGAGAGTGATTGGAAGTAATACACACTATTATAGAGTCACGAAAATAATAAAAATCACTTCATACTGTATCAATTTATCATATACAACCGATTTAACTGGAAATATTGAAATCGATGTACACATGAACAAACCCCTAGCTCAAGCTGATTTAGTAGACCGACCAACAATTTTTTTGAAACCAAACAAATAAAATACATTATGATGACAAAAGAACAAACTTTATATATCTTCTCCCTTATATAGTAAAAGCAACAAAATCTTAAAAAATAAAATTTAATAAGAGCGTTATATGGTCGGCTTTTCACGCGTTTGCACTTTCCAATTTTCATTTCATTTATAAGAAAAGAAGAACACCAAAACATTAATAACAAGGAAAAAGAAAAGAATCTAAAAAGATTGTGGGTGGAGAATCAGGTTAGTTTAAATTAAATCATTTCTTTCTTCAACTTACCAGATAATGATGCCTTTTAGGACCAGGAGCATATATACTGAGTGAAAAGAAAACACTTACAAAAATATAAACAAAATTTGGAATTTATCAAATAAATCAGAATTTCCCACGTTTATCAAATAAACTGATTAAAAGCACATAACAAATATAGTGGTAAAAGCACATAACAAATACGCCAGTTAGCCACTATGTTATCAACATGCATAATGTATTCTAATTTATAGAAAACTGGCGTCTAGTGGTAAATAAAGTTTGCCCAAAAAAAAAAAAAAAAAAAAAAAAAAAAAAGTGGTAAATAAATAACAAAAAAAAAAAGTGGAAAAGTTTTGTGGCGCCACTTGCGAAGTAAACTTTGGAGCTGGAGCACAGCTGGACACGAGCAGTGGGGGCTGCAGCTGCTAAGTGCTGACCCAAATGGGGCATATGCGGCACAACCTATCCTCTTATAACGGTCCAATATATATGACCGTTACGTTACCTACAATATACTAATTTATATTTGTTCATCTCGTAAAAAATAAATACCTTTTGAAAGCTCCTTTGATAGAACTCTAGGAATGTTTAACGCTCCCTGAGTTTTTCCAATTCTCAATATTTGAAGGAAATTTGGAAAAATAACCCACAAAAATTTATAAATTAGGTAAGTAACCAAACCAAAAAAAGAAAGTGATATTGTGTGTATAAACTGTAAATCGGACTCTTTTACCTTTTTTTTCTTTCCAGATGCATACACAACACAAATACATCTGCATTTCTATCTCCAGAGTCCAAATGCACACCAAAACTCAATTTCACACTCAAACAAAAACAAAAATTGCACAAGCCTCTTAATTTCACGTTCATGGTTTCTGCTCTAAGAAAGTGTTCTTGGTCAAAATAATATTACAATATATATAGACTTAGTGCATAAGCTTAGAGCATGGGCAGTAGGGTAAGCAGGTGGGTGTGAGTCTTGGGGTGTAGGTATTAAAAAAACGAAAAAATTGTCTCTCTCTTCACACCCGGATGTAAGTTTACACTCGGGTGTAACACTTTTTCTCTCTATCTCTCTCTTTCTTTTTTCTCTTTTACTTTAAATTATAATACTAAAAAAATACTTACACCCATACAAACACATTTGCTACTGCTGATGGTCTTATAGTTGCACTTTTTCCTGGACAAGACTGTTATCCTTTCAATCAAAAATGCGTTGTTTAATTTTATACTACTGTATTTATTTAGTAAGTATATATAATTTACCCCACACTCATGTCATTAATACACACCACTTTATTGGTCTCTAGACTAATCTGGTTATATGTGCCCATGACCATCATTAATTCTAACTCAATAACTAACTTACGTAAGAATTCCACCCTATAAATCAACACTTTTTTTATCACTCATAAATCAACAGTTAATATTTTAAATTTGACAAACGTCGTTATTAATTTTATATAACTATTGCTAAAACCATTGCTTAATTAATTTGAATAATCCGTTGCTTAATTAGAAAACACATTGCTTTACTATATACTTTTCATGCCCTCGGTTTGGTATTTTGATATATCAAGTGGCTGTTACTTGAATTCAGAATCTACGTTTCCTATGATGGTCAAGTGGCCGCTACTTGATTTCAGAATCTACGTTCCTATGATGGTGAAGATATCGTAATGAATGTTAAAAAAAAAATTTCTTTGGTATGATTGATTAGCCATACCAAAAAAAAAATGTTGATACTAATTTAAATTTGAATTTATATCAAAAGTATATCCACTAATTTGAATTTATATCAAAAAAAATAAGTGATACTAATTTAAATTACCTATTACTATTTAATACAAAATATTTAATTTAACATCAATTACAACAATTGATATTTTTATTGTTTTATTTGATATGATGCATTTAAATTGGTGTAAATCAATATCAATTTACATCACTTTTAATATATATATATATATATATATATATATATATACCATACAAAAATATGAATTAACAATAAATGTAAATTAATTTCCATTAACATCTTTCTAGTACTAGAGAAACTTTATTTAGTATGTTTGAACAGCCTTTTTAGAACAATATTTATCGAAAACTTAGATTTGTTTACGTGCATGTTCCTTGTTCAAACAAATACGAGTTTACCTCTGAGCTAAGTGTCCCAATAATTTAAGTGTTTTTTTTTTGACATTATACTTTTTCTAAAATCTGTTTAGATGCTTTAAACTAATACATGCCATAAACAAGAAAATACGAGTTTCAGTGTAAAACAGGATTACATGTATAACATGCAAGAAAATTATACGACAATATACCATCAACTAATAAATAATATTTTACATTATGGAATGTTAATGATGTGTAAGATTTAGGAGACACGTTCGTGGAAAGTAATGTAAAATAGATGGCTTTGAATGGTAACCCATTTTAAAGTTGTACAGCTTTGTACAGCTTTGACAGTTACCAATCACAAAAACTTTATGAAAAGCGGTACACTATAACATAAACAGCTTTTTTAGGACAAAAACAAAAACAAATTAAAACGGTTACGGTTAAATACTGTTATGGTTAAATATGGTTACGATTAAATATGGTTATAACGGTTACGGTTAAATACGGTTATAACGGTTACGGTTAAATACGGTTACGGTTACAACGGTTACGGATAATTACGGTTATAGTTATTTGATGACTACAATACGGTTAATATCGGAGGCGAAATCTTACGAGTTACCTAACTTATTATAATACTTTTCATAAAATCAAAAAGTATGTTACAAACCAAATTTTCTTCATTTCGAGCAAAATAACAGTATAACATATTAGTTTGAGAAAAAAACCATTTTTTATAACGTAGATTTTTTCATATGCGGTATCATTTACTTTTTTGAAAATCTTAATCTGAACATTCGATAATTGTTTTTGCATTATATGGAGTTACAATTATATTTTTAAAGTTTTAACTATGCGGTTAACCATATGGTTAAATAACGGTTTTCATATGTTTACCGTTAATTAACGGTTACGGTTAATATATTTTTTAACTGTAACTAATTATTTTTTACGGTTAACGGTTACGGTTTTTAACCGTTTTATACGGTTACGGTTGAGAAACGGTCCGGTTACGGTACAACATATGGTTACGGTTAGCTTTTGGTCATGCCTAGGCTAACCGTAACCGTATTTTGGATCGAAACTGGACCGTTTTTCAACCGTAACTATATAAAACGGTTAAAAACCATAACCATTCACCGTAAAACTAGATTAGTTACGGTTAAAAAAATATACTAACCGTAACCGTTAATATATCAGAAACGTATCAAAACCGTTATTTAACCGTACGATTAGCCGCACGGTTAACCGTATTATTAACCGCATAATTAAACTTTATAAAATATAATTGTAACTATGTATAATGCAAAGAAAAGGTCTCGAATGTTCAGATAAAGATTTCCGAGAAAGTAAATAATACAGTCTATGAAAAAATCTCATTAGAAATAATGGTTTTTTTCTCAAACAATTATTTTGGAATGTTATATTGCTCAAAATGAAGAAAATTTTATTTATTATAGGACTAGTAAATTCATATTATTATTCTAATAATAAAATATTGTTCATTCTATATAATCTTAATTTTCATATGTAATTATATACTAAAGTACATTTCTATGTAATTTTTTTTTCTTTCTAAATTCTTAATATTATTTATTATGTGTACCGCTATGATGTTTCCAATCAGAGTAAATTTTTAAAATTTGTTCTGCGTTATTTTTTTGTACAGCTTTCGTGTTTTATTCTTTTGTACAGCTTTGCACTATTCCCTAACAGCTAACAGCTCCAGCTAACCGCTCCAGCTAACAGCTAACAGCTTGTTACCAATCAGACCCGATATTTCATTAACAATATGTAATCTAGAATTCTTGATTGACTTTCATAGCTAGTTCTTGTATAAACAGTAATTCTTTTCTAGTTGATATTATATTAAAATGATTATCATCTATCTGCAAATCTATACATTATAATTATAATATCCTTATAAATTCCACCAGTAACTTTCAATAGAGAGTTATCAAAACATGAATCATGGATACATCAGTATTTATTACACACATATTTACACGTAAGAGATAATCAGTTTCATGGTCATCGTTAATTTATCTGACGATAATCTAATTTAAAATCGGGTGGTTTTTAACCCGGACCCATTTGCCATCACTCTCCATAAATCCTAACCGTCCATCTAATCAAACGTAGATCTAACGGTTAATATCAAATCAAAGGTTAATTCCCTCCCTATATAAATTAGGAAATTGATCCTGAAGCGTGTACCGTACACACATCCCCATACGAACACTCACAATCGTTAAGAAGAGAGAGAAAGCTTAAATCGGAAAAAATGGTTTCGTGGATGATGACAATCAAGGCGGTGCTAATCTCAAGCGGCGTCGCCACCGTGGCTCTGTTACTTAAACTCTCAGTTCCTGTAGCTGTTGATTTCTCCTTGTCACGAGCTCCGATCTTGTGGAGCTCCTTGTTGTCATGGCTAAAACCGCCGTATCTGTACGTCGTCACCAACGGAATTATCATTACTATCGTCGCTTCTTCTAAGTATTACCGTAGCCACCATGATCGTGATGAAGAAGATGAGATCGTCGTATACGGTGGTGGAGGTTATAAGATCCAGACGGAGGAGCCGATTGTGAATCAACATCAAGCTTCTCCGCGGATGTTGGAAGTTAAGGATTTAGATACTGGTGCGCATTTTGGTTTCGTTGTGGCGAATCCGGAGGCGGAGGAACTCGAATCAGAGGCGGTTACGGCGGTTGAGGATGAGGAGGATAAGATTAAAGATGCGGTGATGACGGCGACGGCGGAGGAAGATGAAATTGAAGAGGAGCTTAAGAGTGTGATTATGGTGGAGAATTCAGATCTGGTTGAATCCGATGTCATACCGCCGCCGATTTCAAATCTTCCGCCGATGATGATCGAATCGGAGAATCTTCCTCCGATTGAGAAGCCTCTGGTTACTTCAAGGTTCGGTCACCGGAAATTGATGAAAGCAAGTCAAGAAGGTACTGATTTGATTCTTCACTTTTTAAAAAAATTATTTTTAAATTAGTTATTAAATATTAAAAAAAACGGTTAAGTCGATTATTTTTATTTTGAAAATTCAAATTTGGCGTCGAAAACACGCGTCGGTGGACCAGAGGGCAAATTAGTAATTTAACATTACTTCTTTCAGGTGGAAGAGCTTTGAGAGTGACGAAGCCGAAGAAGAACGAGACATTGGAGAATACGTGGAAGATGATAACGGAAGGGAAGTCAACGCCGTTGACTAGACAGTTATACCGGAGATCTGACACGTTTGGTCGTGGTGATTCCGGCGGTGTTGACGGAGAGGCAAAACCGGTTTATAAGAAATCGGATACGTTTAGGGACAGGACTAATTATTATCAGTTGGCGGAGACGGCGAAGGTGAGGAAAGAGCCGTCGTTGAGTCAGGACGAGTTGAATCGTCGAGTTGAAGCGTTTATAAAGAAGTTTAATGAGGAGATGAAGTTGCAGATCTGAGACAGTACAAAGAGATAACTAGCCGTGGGGTTTAGTTTTTTTTTTTTTTTTTACTTTTTTTTTTCTCGTTTTAAATTTTTTTATTTGCTTTTTTATACACAGAAAAATAATAGAAAAACAAGATTAGTTAGAGACTGAAGTTAACTTAAAAAGAACAAAAAAAAGTTAGATGTCCAAAAAAAAAATATGTTTATTAATTTGTGAAGCTTGAATGTTTTTTTTTGGTTGTCAACGCTTTGAAGTTATACAGTAGGTTTTTTTTTTTTGTTGGTGTGTGTATAATTTTACTCAGCTATGTACTTTGGTTTGTGAATATTAATGTGTTGGTTTTACAAGAAAAATATATATAAATGAACATATACACTTGGTTGTTGTTATGTTGTATTATGCCAAACCAAGTCTTAATATATTAAGGTACTGTATGTGACTGTTTAATACAGTACATAATTTTCTAACTTTAAGGTAAAAAATTTATCAAGCAGTGGCATTTTTCTTGTTTTGAAGTTTAGTTTGAAACTTTGAATTTAATTGGTTGTATGCCAATATTACCACTTAAATTGTGAGATAAGTTGTAAACTAGTATTAAAGGCAAAACTCTTCTTTCATTAACTTTAAACTATATAGTCACAATCGTTTATATATAACCTAATTAATAAACAGAGTCAGTACCTCTCTAACTAACTTTCATAACTACTTTATCTATATCTATATCATATATGATGAAATTATATTAAAGAGATCAGATTATATAGACTATATATATACACACTAATAACTTCCTTCAAGCTAGAGTGAAAAAGAGATGAAACTCCCATCTTGTTACGATATAAACAATTTGTAACTTAGTTCTAATATAGTTTTAAAGATGCAACCCTTTTTTAGGCAAACTATTTTCGGACAATATATGACTATTTATTTTAAAATATTTGAATTGCAAAAATATTTTCATTTAAAATTTATTTTCGAAAACGAAATGAAATGTGTAATATGAAACATTGTGTGACCTCAATATCTCACAACCTCATAAGTTATATTTCGGTATTCAACTTCAGTTAAAGATGCGAGAATTGTTGTGTGTTTCTAGGATTCAATGGATAGAATAATAGACTATACCTTAACAGCATACACTTACCTCAAGAGAATCAAATCATTGAGCTATCTATATAACATGTGGTTAATGAAGTTAAAGTACGATAAAGATGATGGTATTCAAAACATGAAAAAAGCTTTCTCTTTTGCAAAGGGTAAAGGACTTTGTACTTCGAGTGCACACTGAATACTCGTGACAACAATGTGATCAAAATGTTGGTTTGCTAGCATCAAGAAAATGTAAGTCCTTACCTAGTTATATTAGTTTTCAAATTTAAATTTATTTTTAATAATAAATCATATTCGCATGTATGTGTAGATTCATACTATCAAAGTAGATGGGTTTATGTATCTCACCGACGTGAAAGACGAGGAGCTCCTAGCAATCGTGATATAACAACTCGTGATTGGGATATTGCACAATATTAATGATGACTTCATTGATATTGGATCTATAAGTTTCTAACTTAAAATTCAATTGAGATCAAGTTTATACAATATCCTTTTTTTTTGTAGAGGAGAGTAATTCTTTTTCAATTTGTAGAGAAAATCCCAACTCCTTTATTTGCTTGCAAAGGAGGAAAAGCAAGCAAGAGCTGTAGCCAAGTCTCTAGGACTGCATATCCCTGAAGTTGCTTATTTGGTAAACGATTACATGCATTACGATCCTAACGATGATGTTGTGAATGTGAATGTTGAAGTAGCTGTTAACGTTGGTGCCCCTGTTGAAGTGGTCTTGCACGCTGATGCCCTTGCAAGGATGTGGCGTTAGTTCATCTCTCATTTTCCATACGCAAGCCACAACCTACTATGAAGCTTCAATTCCCTGGTTTGACCATGGAGCAAGTTAAAAACTAGGGGAAGCGAATTGCTAAAGAAAAAGGCGGTTCATAGATGATTCATCAGATGAATGGATGTACCTGTGGGCGTTCTTTCTTTTGTCTTCCCATTGACTCTACTAGTGAGCATTAATATATAATTAGATTAAACTCCAGGTTTAAGTTCAACCGGAGAAAGTAAAAAATTCTGACATAATTTTCCTTTTGTGTTTGCTATTTTTCTCTGCTATCGACAACTATTTTTGGAGAATTATTAATTACACTATTTTGGGCAAATTGAATACAAAAAATAATAGAATTAACATCTGAAGCTTGAAACCTGAAAAAAATAAAATAAAAAAATTGATGTATTGCTCAGTGAATTCCCTCTAGCATTATGATGAAGATTCTCCTACCTACTAACTATGATATAATTATGTAGTATAATATATATTTGCAGTCATATCCATTCAACATTTTTCGAAAACAAATATACAATGAATATTCAAAGATTTGTACTTGTTTATAATTTAAACAGTGTCTTCTTAAATACATAAATATACAAGCATTTTAACGACCATAATTTAAAGAAAATTATGAGAAGTGCATATGAAAAATCATTTTCATGGAATACGGTGGGTGAACCAAATACACTTTAGTAGACAGGTGGGGTTTTCTTGTGAATGATTTTTCTTTCTCAATTAGACTTTTCTTAGAAAACAAACACAGAACAAAGGGTCCCCAAGAAGTTTGTATATTGTTGAAAACAAAATTTAACTATCATAAAAATATATTTTAAAACAAAATGATAAGAGATAATATGTTATGCACAAGAATACCCAACCACTAAACTACTCAAATATGGAAAACTAGTTGGTCAGATTCTAACATAAATTAAATGGTTTTAATTATACTTTGGAAGATTAGTTGGAATGAAAAATTCAACTAGTTATAAATAAATAAAAATGTTTGTTTAACAAAAATAAAAGTAGATGATAGTTGAGGAACTTAATGGCACTTTCTCTTATGCTACGTGAAGTGGGAAAGTTATCTGTCGACACATCTGTTGTCTGCAATAAAGTCAGTTTTGGGTTTATACTGCCAAATTGCAATTAGACCATCATGAGAAAGGACCGACCAGTAGAGAGTATGACTTTTAGATAGAGACATGAGTCATTTATTTATTTTCCCTGTTTTTCCTTATCTATTTTGAAAATCATTTTATATCTTTTGTATATATTTTCATCTTTTTATAGTATATATTTATTTTTGCCTTATTAATGTTTAAATTCTTATTCATGAATCTCCACATTTATTAAAAAAAATCATATTTATTTGATTTTTAAAATATTTAAAATCCATTCCTTTCACATATTTTCTTAACCATCTGATATACTATTAATCAATTTTATAAAGAACACAATACATAATAAAATTGAGAAATGAATTTAAGATAGTTTTACACTTGGTGCTCAAAAAAGAAAGAAAGAAGAAGATAGTTTTACACCACAAACCTCATTCATTAACAAATATGCATAAATGCTATATTAACAGTAGAATTTCACAAGCTTAATTTTGTTTTCCTCACTTTTAGTTTTAGTTATTATTAATATATTTTTTTTGTTCTTGTTGTTTGAGGAACTCTAAACCGAGACCCATATATCACCCTATCGACAGTACGATAGTTCCTCTCAGATGAGAATCGAACTGGAGAACTAACAAAAACCCTTAGAAAACTTAGGTAACACTACTAGCCCAAAATTTACATGGTATTAGTCCTCTGCATATCTAACATTTCATGTCTTATGGGTAATCTAAATCATATTTTATATACAATCTCTAGTAAGAGTATGTGTTTTAGTAATTTCACTAACTCATAGTTCATGAAATTTCCATCCTCGTCTCTTATTACTATTGATTTGAGTTTTACTAAAATGGAATGAATCCAAACAAAAACCAAACCGAACAACAACAATTAGTTTAATATTTTTCTATAAAACAAAACAAAAAATAATTCGAACCGAATCCAAACCAAACCATAAACCCTAGTGTACACCGCTATTCAAAAATCAAACAAAATTTTCTGATTCAAAATCTAAGTTCGTATATCTTGGCAAGTGACTTTATTTTCAACTATCACCAACTTCTCCTCCAAATCAATTAAATGCTTTTTGTAGATTCTATATCTAAAAGTCTAAAACCTTTTCTCTATAAATAAACGATTCTCTTTTCTTGACGAACCACTGAATCCAAAAACAAACAAATCCAACTCTCACCAAAAAGAATGACTACAAAACTCAATCTCCTCTTCACGATTTTGCTTCTCACACTAACACTCTCTCACTCACGCCCGAGCCGACCCGAATCATCATCATCAACCGGATTCTACTCAGATCAGCTCAAGAAAAACTCCAAAGGTAAATATAACAAGAATGACAAGGGCTATGGATCAGGAGGATACCCTGGCCTTGGAACCGAACCAGCAACCGGTTTTACTTTACCGGGTTCCGGTCCTGGTGGTAGTTACAGCGAACTTAGCGGCGAAAATAACAAAGGACGTGTGGTGAGACCAACGGTGGTGTGTAAAGAGAAAGGTCATTGTTACATGCAACAAGGAGCTGACTTGTCCGGCGAAGTGTTTCAAGTCTTTAAGCAGGAACGTCAAAGTATACATTGGTAGTGGTGGAGGCGGTGGTTGCACCATTGATTGTAAGAAGTGTGGCTTATTGTTGAAATGTGAATGTCGTGGGAAATGTTTATTTATATAATATAATAGCATATAGTCTTTGATTTTTATTTTTGTTTTCTTGATTTTGGTGTGTTTTGATTTTATCTTATAATAAATGATATATCATATGGTTAATTTATTATACAAAATATTGCTAATGGAGCAACCCAAGCCAAAAGAGAACGGTAAGAGGTGTACCGTTACTATGTTAGTATGGTTACTAAACGGTAAAAATTATTTATACCAAAAGTGGTCTCACTAATTGAGTTGTGTACCATGTTATTGCTTATTGCTCTAATTTTTCGCTACAAAAGTTTTACCGTTTTTTTATCACCAATCAAACCTACCAACCAAGATTGACATAGCTGTGAAAAAAAAATCGGATGAATTTTTCAACCATTGGAGCAACATAAATTTGTTATCAATGGTTACAACTTACAAGCATGTATTGTTTGTCTTTGCATATGATGGTGACTATTTGATATAGAAGTTTTTGTGACAATGTATGCAAACTAATATATTCCTAAATGTAAGAATTTTTCTTAAAAATTAGATTTGAAAACTGAAACATATAAAAATAGCCGTTAAAAATATTATAATACAAGAACACAAACGCAAACAAGGAAATAATGGTGTGGATGTAAGATGAGTTCTTATAAAAAAAAACTAACAATTTTGAATGGTTTCGAAATACGTATGAATCTGAACTCTGATTTTTGAACAAACAAATTTACAGGACATAACGGTACAAAGGAAAAATTGAATAATTTTTTTTGTGCTTATAGAGCAGAGAGGGAGAGAGAGAGACTTAAGAAAATCAGAGAAAAAGAAAGAAACAGTAAAGATTGCATACACAAACCAGAATGTTACAACGAAACCTCTCAAACAGCGGCTCTCAAGGCTCCTCTCGCCGCTTCCCGTCTCATTTGATCTTGTTTCCCGCTGCCTCGGAAGTACATATACACTTGCTGCTCAAACAAAACAAACCCATATCAAAATCAAATGTTTAAGAAAATGATTTACAGATTATAACACTATATAAGTTCAAAGACTGATAATATAGTGATGGGAATTGAAGAGAGAGACCTGAATAACCCAGATGCTAACCACTGATTCGAGGCAGAAAAATGCAAACCCAATGAAGTAGAATATCTGTAAACAGAACAAATATCAGATCAATGATCCATATGTTAGAATATCTTAGAATTGTTTTTAAGATCCTCGAAGATCGTCAAAGGGTGAGAGAGCTTACCCCAACAATTGCTTGACCGCTTAAGACATCTATTGCAGGTAAGATCCCACTGTAACAGAGCGAAAAAATCGATTACAAAAAAAAGGTTAGAGAATTTTCCAAACAATGGATAAGTTGATAGCAACTACTTATGCAACTATTAGTGAAGTATGCCAGTGACAGGTACTAGAATGTTTGTTATCATTTGGAACAAAAAACTTGTGGTTGTTTGCTTTGATCAATTCAATGGATTTTCTCAACACTCAAATTACCAAACACAGTGACAAAATCATCTTCAATTGTGTAGAAGTTCGGTGAAAAAGAAACTTACGCAAGAGATTTTCCTTTGAAGACGACAGGTGGAGCAACAGCAGCAAAGACGCAGAAAGCAATGTGGAGCTGCAGCAAGAACAAGATTTCAGAACTGAGTTTTTATACGGAGCATACATGTGAAAAAATCCATAGAAGCTAATCATTGCTCACCATATAGAACAAGAAAAACCATCCAAAGCTCAATGCACTATCAGTTCTGCAACATTCAACAAAAATGTGATAGAATCAGTAACATAATATTATATTTAAGAAGCCGGGATTTGAAAGTAGAAAACTCCTAAAATCATGTAAGAACCTGAAGGCACGGTAGAGTGGCCGATACCATAACACATAGCCTCCTGGAACACCGGCTATGAAGTAAATTAAGGCAAGAAGCCATATCGTCACTCCTGCAAAACATAAAACCAAACTCTTAAGTCTTGTTAAATATGCAGTAAGGTCTCCTAGAGGAGTACGAGAAAACTTTGAAATAGACTTAAGAAACAAACCTTCTCCTTTGATCCAAGCTGTAGTAACAGCGATGATATTCCAGAAAAGACATAGAACCAAACCTGACAAACAAGAATTACATCTAAATGTGTCAACCAAATGAAAGAAGCAACAAATATAAATCTCATGCTTGAAAAATGTGATCCCTTAAATTTAAATACAAATGCAGGAAAGAGTAAGTATTTGTATCATATGAAAATTGTTAACTTAGGACAACACAATACTTACCCAAATAAGTTGCGAAAGTAACGTACTGTAGTCTTTGGAGATGAACTGGAATTTCGTTTGCGATGTCATGGTGGATAAGCGGGAAGAAAGGCGGCCAGTTTTTCACTTCGATAACGATTCCAGCTGCATAGAGTAAACCGCAAAATGAAAGATTTTAATAGAAGAACAAAATGAACCAGTCAATTGAGACACATCTAAGTTAAAACAGTTAATAACAAGTTCAAAATCATCTAGGAGAGAGCTTAAAAACAAGTGATTGAAAAGAGTATATTATAGTACCTCGTGCAGCAGCATCTTCTTTTCTTTTGAGGTCCTACATAGAACCAAAAAAAAACATTCAATGAATAACAACACCGTTGCTAGGTAATACGAATTTCAAAAGGTTTAAACATATAACCAAGAAAACATAGAACCATTGCAAAGAACTATCTAAAGACTGCAAATCTACAATAAAAAGACTCAAAAGTCTCCAGTCCTTTCACATATAGAGCATAAAAATGGACAAAACCTAAGAAACAATCCAACTCCGAAAGATAGAAGGAACCACCGTGTAAGGTAAATCACAAAAATATCAAATGAAGGAGACGGCTCAATAGTGCATAAGTCCATGCTTTACTTAAACTAATAGGTAGCAGCCAATACCTGCTCTCGTCGTTTTAGCTCAGCTTCTTTGGCTTGGAGTTCCTTCTCTTTCTTCTTCAAATCCTAGATTCCCAACAATCAAACAAGACACAAAAAGCTATCATAAGTAACTCCAAGATCCACCTAATCACAAAAACATATAATAAAAAATCAAATCCATTATCTCTAACCAACCTGTCCACCAGGTCTGTCAAGAGGAATGTCCACGGTTCGACCATAATCGAAACCAACAGGCTCTGGAGGTAAAGGCGAAAGTCTAGAATTCGACGCAGGCGGAACACCTCTAGGATTCTACATAACGTAATTACATTCACAACCATCACAAATCAGTTTACAAAAACAAAATTCATTGCTTCAGAATTCAGTGACTAACATCTTCAAGATTCATGACAAAGCATCACAAACCCAAGAACAAACCGAAAGTTAGGAACATAAAGGTAGAAACTTTATCAACCCTTGAATTACAAATCTCTCATAAATTTCAATTTCTTTAAACCCATATTCAGATTCTAAGCCACAAGTACAAGCGAGTAGAAATAAATCAAACCCTAAGTAAAACCCAAAGATTAACAAGATTCAAAGAATCAACCAAAATTCGAAAAACCCAATTCGCAGAAAGATCAAATCTCTAGTTTTTACGAGTTAAATCAAAAAGTCAAAAAGCTTACAGCGAAAGGATTGACTTCTTCTTCCTCAGCGAAAGGATTTGGATCATAACGATTAGCCATGGCTATGAAAAATTAAAGCTTTAGAAGATTCAAGAAGCTATAGTTATCAGAAGACGAAGAAGAAGAAGACTTTAGAAATCGATCTAAGATCTTGAGCACGGACCAAGGATTAAGCCGAACGTTGAAGACAAGACATATATACACAAAAGCGTGTCTTATTAGTAAATAATTGTTTTTTTTATTATATTGTTAATTACCATTTATCTGATCTGATTTATTCTTAATCTTCTTTAGTACTTTACACTAAAATATTTAAATTTTATTAGTTGTAAAATTAATAGATTCATTACATTAATGTCTGTATCACAAATTAAATATTAGCCTTTTTTATTTATTCAACAACTCGCAGTTTCAAATAATTTGAATTTTCTAATGAGTACACACAGAGGAGGAAATTGAAATTGTCTTCTTTGGTCAATAATCTTTGTCTGCTTCTAAGAACATTTGAAAAGTAACCCATCACATACGGCACAATTTTTTTTAAAAATTCAATATTAATATTATCTTCTTATTTACAGAGAAAATATGGAAAAAAAAAGTCTTGCTCAAGTTTGATCAGAAATTTAGAAATATTAGAAAACTGTTAAATTTTGTTTTCCATGCCTTTCACAAGATTCATAGAAAACTTTAATTCATAACAAGATATATGTTTTTAAATCTTGTTCAATATGAAAATGATGGAGAAAACCTTTAATGGAATAATGGGATATATTATTATAAGAGTAATGATTGATTTATAATAATAAATCGTTTTTCTCAAACCTCAAATCATTTTTCTCAAATCTTATTCTAGCTTTTTTCTTTATTTTTATTGATTTATAATAATAAATCGTAAACTTCAAGGCGTAATGATTGAAAATAATTAACTTTCTTAGATTACTATTAGTTGATAATTATTTTAAAATATGTAATATTAAAATTAATGTTCAAATGATTAAATAATGATTGAATTCTTAATATGTGTGAAAACTCTAAAACATCAAACTATTAGAAACGGAGGGAGTATTTTTTTGGGCAAACCTTTAATGGGATATTATCTTAACTTTATATCTACAAACAAAAAGAGAGTTTATTGAGAAAAATGATTTGAACTTTCTTTATCCCTAAATTTTATAGAAACACCCCATTTTTAATATGAACCCTTTTCAAGAAAAACATGCTCATTTTTTTTTCTGTGCACCAGAAAAACAGGCTCATATAATTGGAATTTAATCAAAGATTGAACCACATCTAAAGAAGACCATGAAAACTACACTAATCAAAGAGAGTAAATGATTAACTATTAACTTATATATAACAATGAGACCAAAAAGAAAAAAACCTCTCTCTATATATAATCTGATTAAAACTGTATCTGTTTATGTTGTAGTCTCTTCAGCTTTCCTCTGCACTAAACTTGGAATCACACTACTTCTTTTTAATCTCCGGTTATTGCCAATTCGGTTCCGGGTCGATGAAGACCGGTCGACCCAGTTCTTGTCTTCTGCAACCGCTTGGTTCCACCGTTCTTTAAAAGCTTGCAGCTCCCACGTTGATTGTCTCCGTATCTGCTCACAAAAAAACACACACATTACACTCCTCCTGCCCTAGAGACACAAGAATGTTCCTAAGCAAGTTCATCATCGGGTGATAATAACTCACCTCTGTTCTTGAATCAAAAGTAGCAGAACCGCGTCTCTGTACAGAAGAAAAAAGTGACCAAAGTTGTGACATTTCTGTTTATTTTACAGTAAAAAAATGAGGATTTGGATAGTTATGTAGCTTTACCCGATTCACTCCGCTGCGAGCTGAGTTCTGTGGAAATTAGGAAGAGAATATTCGTTTATCGGTTTTCGGTATATACAAGGAGAATATGAAGGGAAGTAGAGGAAGGATCTTACCTTCTTATCGGGATAACCGCTTCCACCTAGAGTTTGAATGCCTTGATGGAAGATATATTCACTGTCGACAATGCCTACTTTCTTGCTACGGTCACCCTATAACGACATTTTTAAATCCGATTCATCTAGAGAATGCAATCGGGTCACAATGCTAATGTACGCTAAGGATGTTGGAAGGTACTAAAGAAGAAAAAGACTTTACCTGAGCACAGTATCCAAGTTTCATATCCATTCCCCACCCATGAACCAGATCATTCTACAAACGCAAAAACAAGAAGTTAGATGCTATTTCATTTAAAGCAGAACAAATATATCGTTTATAAGTGGTCATCTCGTAAAAGTACTTGTATTAGATTCCAAGTGCAAAACCACGCAGATCTCGAAAACACTGGAGCCATTCCTTCAACAAATCTGGAAAAACAGAGAAAAATAGACAAACAATGACATTAATGTCTGTGTTTTGGTATATAAGAGAAGTCTTAAAATGTTATGCTACTTACCCGGTGCATGGAGGCCCTTCGCTAGCATTTGAACACTTCATATTGCCTCTACTATCGTAAACTCGCCTACGGTTTTGTAACCATCTTGTGTAAGTAATAAAAGACACAAATTATTAATAGAACTCCTTAACAAGTGGTTCACAAGGAACTCACCTATGAAATATTTTCGTTCTAGACCGGACTGTAATTCTATGGTGAACTTCGGTTGAGTTTGGGTGCAAGGCCGGTTGAGATATCTCCAGTCCCGCAGTTTTAACTATCCTCAGGTACCTGCAGAGAGACTGTTTAGAAAAGGCACTCCAAGATTTGACCTTTATAGGTTGTAAATTCACAAGTTAAGTGGTAAAAGGAATTTTACTTTTCCGGGTTGAAATTCTCCACTCCAAGATCTTCATCCCAAAGAAAAACATAATCGTAAATGGAGACAATATCAGGATGGAGAAAACGTTTCGCGAACCACCTGAGTAAATGTTTTTGACAAACCTTGTCATACTATGAAATTACATAGACACACAGAACATTCTACCATCCTCAACCGAGCTATACAACCCATGAGTATATGAACAATATCATTATCGCAAGTTAAAGAAATGATCTTATCGGACTTTATATCAAAAACATCATAATACCATTTTGTCTGGTTATGTGCAACAATGTGTATGGCTTTTGAGCTCCACTCTAGATCCCACCATTGATCCATGTTTCCATCATAATGAAATAGAATGACAGTGAAATTTGCAGGAAGAAACTGAATTCAACGAACAAACTTACATTAGAAACAGAAACTTTTCTCGAACCCTCGAAGATTTCAGTAATTCACTGACATAGACAAAGCATCCTTACCTTCTTTACAACAGCGTCAACATTATCCTTTTGCTTAAGTCCTACCGGCATTGCCAACAAGTTACGGTTGGTCATTTCGCCGCTCTGTTGTAAGACAACAACAGTCATCAGTAAATTCCTATAGCAACAAATATATCTGATTCCTCTACCTAAATCTTACATAAAATCTAACCTTTGATCTCAAACTACTACTTGACCAAAGTGGCTTTAACTCCAAATCTGATCTAGGTTGCATGATACCAAAAGGCAAGCCTTTCAACTTTTCACTGACCGGTTCAGATTCCTGAACCAGATCCCCACACATCAACTTTAGACCGGTAATGCATCAACATTAGAAACAAAGAGATTCAATATGTTACCTTTGCCATCTCAAATGGATAATCTGTTTCTTCTATCTGAGTAATGAATGCATATACCAAACAAAAGAGAGTTACATATCAATAATCTCATCGTTATATCTAAACATAATAGCTCTGTCTTTTCCACAATACCTCTGTCTGTTCATACTGAATATTTGTAGTCTTATACCAAAAGATCAAAAGTACTGTACACATGAGCACCACAATCGGTTTCATTTTCCACGACGATTTACCCTGCAGATTCCAAGCATTCCCACATCAAAATCAACCGCATAATCCGGAAAATCGCGCTGAGATACAGAGGAAAAAAGCTTTACTTACCCCTTCTTGAGCATTGTTTCTTCTCTTAACAAGTGACTTCCATGATTTAATAGACGGTAAATCATGTTCCATAATCTATTTACCGAGCTATAAAAACCACACACAGCAAAATTCATCAACCATACAAATAAACAAAATCAAAAGTTTCATCAATCAGAAAAACTCACCGAAAGCCACCGTCTTTGTTTTCCCTTCACAAGAACAGAGAACAAAGAAACCAATTTAAAAGCTTCACCAAAATCTCAGTTCTATACAAGGCTGATCTACGCACACTTTTTGAAAAATCTACACGAGAAACACAAAATTCAGAGGCTCCACATTAGCACAACAAATAAAAATCGAAACTTTTTTAGCATGTAATCTAATAAATCTTTCAAACAAAAATGAGATATTTTCAAGAATAATGAGAAGATAAAAAAAAAGCTTAAAGAAACACACAAAGATGGCTTCTTTCAGAGTTTTAACTCACTCTCCCAGAAACAGACGAACACAATCTGGGCCACTGTTGAAAGCGAAACTGCTAAGGATTCGTATAAATAAACCAATAGAAACAATAAGAGTTTTTATTATTGGATTTTTTCTTCTTCTCCAGATCTAGGGAAAGTAAATAAACTCTTAATACTAATGATATGAAATTAAAAAGAAAAAAGTTGCTTTGGTTAATTAAGACATTAATTAACAACAAGAAAATTAGTCATTTAAGGTTATATTTAGGAAGAAATCTGGTCACGAACTGTTCAACAATTTATAATGAAAAAATTAATGGCGGTGCAATAAATTTCAATGATGTGATCTTTAATTAAAGCATTAGAACACATATAAAAGAAACAGAGTAAGAAGAAAGAAAAAAAAGAGAATCGTTGAAGTAAGACACAAACCTTAAAAAGCTTAAAGAGAAATCTGAAGCTTGAGGATTCACTGTAATGAAGCAAAACCCAGATGGTAAATGGAAGAAGAAGATACGTTTAGAGAGAGACACTTTAAAAGGTGAGATTTTTACCAAAACCAATTTCAAGAAACCAAACCCAACAACAAATGTTCTACGCGTAATTAGAAGAAAACAAAAAAGAGAGAAGAAGCTTTGGTGGAGTGATTCGTGTCATCTGCTGACTCTATCTCAGTCTCTCTCTCTCTTCCTAAAAAAAATATAATTATCTTAATTGTTAATTAAGTTAGATTCTGCGACCAAATACGAGAATTAGAGGAATAATATTTTGTTTAATTTTAGTAATGTGTGGTGTATTTATTTATAAAGAAAATTAAAAAAGTATTTTCCATGTTTTGCGTTTCCTCAATTATCTATACTATTAATTGGGAAGCACTCAAACATAAATAACCTTATAAAGTGTAAAGTATTACAAAAACGCCAATGTTTTTTGTTTTTAAATAATATATTTAAATAAAAAATAGTAAAATTCTTTAAAGTAATTATTAGTTTCCAATAAATTAAACTCACTTTCTCTCTCATATTAATTATGGACGAAAATTAAAAAAAAAATTCTAAAAAATTGTTAACCAATGAGAATTGAAAAAATAAGATTTGATATCCAACTAAAATTTTATCTAAACCAATCCTAATAAACTATTCTATATCAAAAATAAAAAGAAAATAATACCATTTTAATTCAAAATAAAAAACACTATCGTTTAAAAAGTTTTTCAATGGAGGATTTTAATATTGAATTTGAAATTTCGTAAAAAAAATTAAATACAAATATTTATGACTCAGTTTTGTTATAATATTTTCACAAATTTTGAAATATAAAACAAAATTTTATTTCACAATTTCTAAAAAAACGATATTAGATATTAACAAATATTTATATTTACTATGAAATAAACTCAAATAATGATAAGTAATTATCGTTATGGCCTTCGTTTAGAGAAAGTTTCGGAAATATCTAAACAAAAGATTGTACATATTAATTTCGAAATATTTTGTGTTTTTTTTCTTCTCAACCGGATCTTCCTTAAACAAATCCATAATATATTGCACACAGTTTTTGAAATAATGTGAACTAATTATATATTTTGCATTCAAAAATCGAATTAATTATGATTAAACAATGAAAAGAAAAATATGCAAAATTTAGCTAGAAACATTAATAAATTTGTTTAAATATATTTATAACTTTAAAAGTATACATATTAATCCGAAAAACTCACAATATATATTGTAATATTGTATGGTATTTTAAAGTAAGCAAACAAGAATTTGTAATATGATTTTAATGGAATAAAATAGAAATAGAAATTACGAGACGAGATGAAAGGGGAACATATATTAAAAATCAAACCAAATACCCAACTGACATGAGTTCGGGTTATGAGCACTATATAAAATAAATTTGTTTACACACGTAACCATGTACATACATTTTCAGTTACACATACAGACATACTCTATTTATGACAGATATGGGACCAGAATATTTTTATTTTACGTATACGTGACAGATTATGGGACAAAAAATTTATGACAGATACCGGACGGGATATTTTCATGTTCCAAAATAGTTACGCCTAGCTAATATACATGAAATAACTCAAACTAAAACCGAATTCATATCCTATTTAACATATGTAATCAAACTGTTAGAACTATTTTGATTAGTTAAGAAAATAAAAATGTAACACCACTTACTTTTGCATTAACGCAACCACTTACTTTTGCATTAACACCACTTCATATCCTATTTAGTCCGGATCTTAAAATATAATTATGCATTAACGCAACTGAATTTTGTTCATTACTCTAACTTTATAATATTTATACTATTACGAAGTTCACTAACACAACAAATATTTTATATTTTTAAAATCTCTATAAAAATTTCTATAAAAATATCTCTACACGTATGTGGATCAAGATCTAATATACTAAAATATATATATCATAAAAAGTTAAAAACAACAAATAGTCTATACTGAATTAAAATTTGTTAGAATTTTTTTAAAATATGAAACCCCGCACGTATGTGCGGATCATGATCTAGTTTTAGTTTACAACAACTTTCAATAACAAACAGAACATAAGTGTGTGTGGTTTGTGCTTAAAGCAACTCCAAATCCAAAGCACCAAAAAGTTTTCTACTTCTCGGGTTGTTCAACTAGAACATGACTTATTAGCACTAACTAGATTCCGATTGGCTTTTGTTTTTCAGATTTGTCCAAAGTTTATTGACTCAAAGATGCTAAACCCTGAACCGGAGTGAACCACACTTGGCTTATTTATATTAAATTGAAATACTGCTTTTACATGGTGATTCTTATTAGATGAGAGATTGGATAACTGAAACATCGAAGATAAATGAAGATGAATAGATGATCAGTGGATGATGGGCATGACATGAACCCCAAGTTTATGAATCATGTTACTTGCTTTTCCATGGAACCCAACGATTTTGTAGCCTTCTTTCTCGAGTAGAAAGCTTGAGCTAGATTGGAATCCAAAGGATATAGATGTTCGTTTGTTAGTTTTAAACTTAAGCATGGTTATAACTTCGGCTTCCTATTCCTTTATCGTAACAGCCCTCCACCGCTGTGATGTATTCACCCGGATACTCAAGCTCCAACTGTGCCAGATAAACAAAAATATTAAGCTAGTATGTAAAGATAAATGTAAGAACAAGTTTGATAATTATAGTCACCTCTTTGACTTCAAATGGTGTTTTGTTTCCATGATCGTCTCCAATAACCATCCGCATGTCTTTGTCGTAAACAAACTTTAGGAATGCGATACCATTTTCACATTGTCCTACATATATCTTTCTAACACCATCGTAAACACCATCATCCCAAAAAGCTCCTCGGTCATAACCTTGTGATTCTAGTTTCTCCGCAGTAGGAGGAAGAGGCAGAGGAGAAAAATATGCCCCAATAGCAGTAAGATAAGGAAGAAAAGTCCATCCATGGAACCCAACTAGAGCACAACCTTTTGTCTCCAACACGAATTTAGTCCCAGTCACGCTTCCAAATGTCGGAGAGATTTTCCCTTTTGATGTTTTGAAAACCAAAGACGTAACGCAGTTCACTTTCCTAATGCAAGAATATTTGAAAGTACCATCCACAGATGTGATAAATTCATTTGGATAGTCTAGCTCAAACTACAGTAGAATTAAACTTCTTATTTTAGATACCAATCAAGAACAAGAAGTATATAGTCAACGAGTATAAGCTATTAAGGAATCTGACCTCTTCTACTAATGTTTTGTTCTTCCCGTGCTGACGCTTCACAACTGTGTGATTACTGACGTAGTCCAACGTGATACACGCTACACGATTGATAGAATAACTAACATAAACCTTTCTTATGCCGTCGAAAACACCATCATCCCAATACTCGTTTAATTTACTACCGTGACATACCGATTTACTAACAGAAACTGTTGTGAAATATGCTCCAAGAGAAATGAGGTTCTTCTCAGCATATCCATGAAACCCAATAATTTTCCTTCCCTTGTCTGCAAGTGAAAACTTCTTACCCTTTTCATATCCCAGCAGCTCAGAAGTCTTTATGTTAGTTTTGAATTGAAGTGCTTGAATGGCTCTAGATTCGTCGTCATAGTAACCCTCTACAGATACCAAATGTTCATTGTTGAGATGGTCAATCTCAAACTGAAAACAATAAGAAAAAGAAAATGGTGGAAAAAAGAGGTTAGAAATCAAGTCAATAATGAGAACATGGGAAATTCCAATACATACCGCCTGGGAGAAACCTCTACCAGAGAGACCGTGGACTGAGCCAATTTTAGGTTGTCCACTCTTGACATAATCGAACTTGATGTATTGAATGCCTTCAAAACCACCTCTTACATGAATCTTTGTTATACCTTCATGGTCTGCTCCATCATCCCATTGTGTGCCTCCCTTGCTGCCTTTTGCTTCTAATCTACTAGCAGGAATCCATGTGAAATATGCTCCAAGGGAGTTTACTAGTGGACAAGTATGGCTTCTTATATATCCATGAAACCCAATGATAATCTTTCCCTTGACTGAAAGTGAAAATTTGGTGCCCTTGCCATATCCAATCAGTTCGGAAACCTTGAAATTGGTTTTAAATTGAAGTGCTTGAAGGTTACCGGAGGCATCGTTGTAATAACCCTCAACAGATTCAAGATGCTCATTGTTAAGATGGTCAATCTCAATCTGCATTAATTAGGAAAAACAAAACAAACAAATATTGTTTAGTCACATGAAATAGGATAAAAGTAGTATTATTTATGTTTCGAATGGTTACACCGTAGGAGAAAAGTGTAGAAATGCAACATAACATTTGCTACGCACTATACACCGTTACAATTTGGAGCCTAATATATTTCAAAAACATACAGTTTGTGTGAAACCACTATCCCAAACACCGAAGAGTTCTCCACTTTTCAGTTGTCCGTTCTTGACATATTCAAAATGGATGGTCTGAATACCAGTATGACCACCACGTACATGAATCTTAGAAATTCCATCATGTTTGGATCCATCATCCCACTTATCACCTCCCGGAATGCCTATCGCTTCCAACATTTCGACCATTGTGAACTAATATAAGTATTCATACATAGGAGTATTGTGTTAATTCCCCCCATTACTTCATTACAAGGAGAGTAAAGAAGTAATGGTTAACCACCTCTTCGACTACAAGTCGCGTCTTGTTTCCATGATTGTTTCCCTGATCGTCTCCATCAACCACATGAGTGTCCTTGTCGTAAATTTTCCTACCTAAATCTTTATAACACCGTAAAAAAACACCATCGTCCCAAGAAGCTCCTCAATCACCACCTTGTGCTTCTTTAGTTTCTTCCGCACCATTAGGAGGAGGCAGGGGATAATAATATGCTCCGAAAGCAGTAGTAGATCTATTACCATCTTCTCGACCATGGAAGCCAACCAACCAGAGCACAACCTTTTCTCTCCAACGAGAATCGAACAAGATTGTTATAAGACGCAAGTCCAAAATGTTGAAGAATCTTTTCCTTTCGCTGTTCTGAAATTCAACGACATAAGCATAGAGGCAACGCTATGAGTTTTGAAAGTCCCCTCCAAAGTGTGATAAAGGTATTTGGATAATCTAGCTTAAACTGCAGTAAAAAAAGACTTAGTATATAGAGTTTATAACCTCTTCTTCTTTTCCCAATATTACCTTGTGCATACGTTTTCCCACTGTGTTGCTGTTGTTGAAGTCAAATTTGATACACGTTAGATAAGTGGTTATCAAAGCGAATGTACACCTTTCTTATGCTTCTGAAAAACCCAGCATCCCTAGATTTGTTTCTAGTACTACCGTGCCATTCCGATATATAGTATCAGAAACCGTTCTGACTATACTCCAAGACAGTTGAGGTTCTTCTCCCATTAAGGTCGATTATATCAATAGTCGACAACAGAAAGATGTGTATCAGTGCATGATCTCTCAAGTTGCCGATTATTGACTTAAATTTTCACCAACTTTTCATTTACAGTTTTGAGATTAATCTTCTCAACGCCTGAGTATCTCATATATGTAGAGGGTTGTTCATACTGACTCTATATGCATCTGGTCTAATTCAAGCACTTCAATTCAAAACTAACATCAAGACTTTCGAGCTGATGGGATATGATAAAAGTAAGAAGTTTCCACTTGCAGATCATTATCCCACTGCTTGCCTCGCGCAACCTTTCAGCTTCTAATCGTGTATGTCATAGTCATAGTCATATATCCATAAAAGTAAAACCCAATGATTTTTTCCCCTTGAATGCAAGTGAAAACTTGGTACCATTTATCATATCCAATTAGTTCAAAAACCATGAAGTTGGTTCTGAATTGAAGTCCCTGAATGAAACCGGACGTGGCGTCATCGTGATCAACCTCAACGGATTCAAGATGTTTGTTATTGAGATGGTTAATCTCAAACAAACAATATCAACATAAAATTCAAATAAAGGGAGTTTGATTAAGTATATACTTCCAAGAGATACATAAACATACCGTCATATATAGAGCTCCACTTTTCAATCGTCCAATATCCTCGTTGACCTAAGAAAACATAAGTGGGATGACGGATCTGACCATGATGGTGTTTCGACCCCTGGATAACTATCTCGTACATAAGTTTCTGCAACACCATCATGGTCGGATCCATCATCCCGCTTGTGGTCTCTCTTTTCGCAATAGTTTATGACTTTATGTCACCCTGAACTGATTTGAATCTTCATACAAAGAAAGGATTCTTGTGTTAATCATTTTCAAAAACCAAATCAAGCTTTAAGTCAATGATCCAATCCAATAGCCAGATTTTAAACTAAAAGGAGTAAAATCATTTGAAGGAAACAGAGAAGAAGATCAAGTTTCTTATTCAGCAACATTTGGATAAAATATCTTGTTATACAAGTTTACAAAATATGCTAATTACAATTAGTCAATTACAAGTAATTTCAGATTCAGAATAATTATATTTCCACAGTGTCTAGATATGCTCATCGAATTCATCTCTCCAATCAAAAGCATATTGGTTTTAAAAAAGTATATTTCAATCTGAAATATATAATAAGGTTGTGACAATAACATAGTTCCATTGTCTTTGTATAAATCAAAGAAATATCACTTTCCAACTAACCAAAAAGACAAAACAGTATGACTTTCCAGTATCACTATGTTCCAAAATCAACCAACTGGAAATAAAATCAAAACAGATTTAATCAAAAATACCTCGTGTATGTTCGAGTTAATGCGAGTCGATGATCCCAAAATCGAAGAAGCCCTAAGCTTCACTGTTGTCGGCGAAGCCAAGGAGATGCATTCTTGTGATCCGGATCAGGAAACGTTGAGAGTCTTATAATGGAAAGCAGTGCTTTCATCGTGTCAATGAAAAACGACGTAGTTAAAGACACTAAACGGCGTTAACAACGATGTGTTTATTTTTATTTTTTTTAGTTTTCCTGCACTTTTTTTTTTTAGCAAGGCAAGGTTGATGTATTTTTTTTTGTAATTTGTGTAAAGTTTTTTTTTTAATGTTGTTTGTTACATTTTTTTTTTTTTTTGTATGAAGTTATTTGTTACATTTTTTTGTATGAAATTCCTTTTTAATGTTGTTTCGTTACATTATTTTAGAGAAATACTCTTAAATAGCACTAAAACAAGTTTTGTGGACAATTATAACACATCCTCCACTAATTTTCAAAGATAAACAAAAATTGGCATAATTATTATATTATTGGGAAAAATGTCGGAAAATGCGCGAACTTTCAAATTTGGGACAAAAAAGCATGAACTTTCGAAATGTCATTTAAATCATAAAGTTTAGTTTGACTTTTGATTAAATGGTTAAGTTTTCGTTGACCTGGCAATTTCGGACATATCGTTAAATTTCCGTTAACGAGACGATGACGGGGTTAACTTTCCGTTAGAAATCTCCGTTGAATCGAAACGACGGAAAGTTCGATTCTTCACAGACGCAGTTAATTCATTTTATTTTCCAGTGAAATGACGTCGTTTTGTTGTTTTTAAACCGATGTCGTTTCGATTCAACGGAGATTTCTAACAGAAAGTTAACCCCGTCAACGTCTCGTTAAAGGAAATTTAACGACATGCCCGAAATGGCCAAGTCAACGAAAACTTAACCATTTTATAAAAAGTCAAACTAAACTTTATGATTTAAATGACATTTCAAAAGTTCATGATTTTTTTGTCCCAAATTTGAAAGTTGGCGCATTTTCCGACATTTTTTCCTTATATTATTATATTGTTACGGTGAAATAATAAAGTGGGAATATTGCAAAATCTACCACATTTCAACAACTGGCATTCAAAATCTACCACATTCTCAAAAGGTTTTCAAAATCTACCACATTTCAATAGCACATGCAGAATTGTGGACCAAAATACCCCTGAGTGGGACATAGTCTGTGTCAGGGACAGAGTCTATGTCAGAGACAGAGACAGTTTCGTCCAGCGCTTCCAAAGAAAGAGCAGGTCTGCAATAAATGATGCACATTTACATTTGCTAGATAATTGAATTTAATTAATAAAAATGATAATAGAGTAGGGTTAGACCATTAATTGCTCTTTTAATATATCAGATAAAAGAGGGGACAAGTTCAGATCGAATGAGTAATAGAATGAGATCGGGGACAAGTTCATATCGAATGAGTAATATAATTAGATCGGAGACAAGTTCAGATAGAATGGGTAATAGAATTAGATCGGAGACAAGTCAAATCGAATGAGTAATATAATTAGATCAAAAATTGAGCGTGATGATTTTTATCATCCAATTCTCTTGACTGTCCATCGCCAGATGGTGTAGTTTTGCCCGCCAGAGATCTGGATTTACTCGGGGACAACTGGAATAGAATTAGATCGAGGACAAGTTCAGATCGAATGGGTAATAGAATTAGATCGAGGACAAGTCAAGATCGAATGGGTAATAGAATTAGATCGGGGACAAGTTCAAATCAATGAGTAATAGAATTAGATCGGGGACAAGTTCATATCGAATGAGTAATAGAATTAGATCGGAGACAAGTTCAGATAGAATGGGTAATAGAATTAGATCGGGGACAAGTCAAATCGAATGAGTAATATAATTAGATCAAAAATTGAGCGTGATGATTTTTATCATCCAATTCTCTTGACTGTCCATCGCCAGATGGTGTAGTTTTGCCCGCCAGAGATCTGGATTTACTCGGGGACAACTAGAATAGAATTAGATCGAGGACAAGTTCAGATCGAATGGGTAATAGAATTAGATCGAGGACAAGTCCAAGATGATGATAATAGAGCAAGATGATGAAATCGGGGACAAGATCTAGAGACAAGATCTGGATAGAGAATTCTCAATCGGGGACAAGATCTGGAGACAAAAACGAAAGTTAATTGTTTAGTCTCAGGAGATATAATGTTTATTGGTTAAAGCGCACATGTTTCGAGGGAATAGAGATAAATAGGGAGGGAAAATAAATATGGAGGAAAGATAAATAGAGAAGAGAGATAATTAGGGAAGATAAATAGGGAGGGAAAATAAATATGGAGGAAAGATAAATAGAGAAGAGAGATAATTAGGGAAGATAAATAGGGAGGGCAAAATGGTAACTCTACATCCTAATGTGGTATGAGTTGAAAGAAGGGAAGGAATGTGGTAGATTTTGAAAGAAATTGAAAAAAAGTGGTAGATTTTGTAGTTTTTCCTAGGTAATACCCTATAATACTATTAAACTAAGTTTTTTTCTAAAAGTACCATCATTCATTTTTTGTTTTAAAAATACCACTACTAATATTTTAGTTCAAAAATACCACAAAAACTAAAAATATATTTTAAGAGTTTATAATTTTAAATTTTGGGTTTAGATTGTATTTAAGGTTTATGTTTTATTTTTAGACGATTTTGACATTGTTTTATATATTTTCCAAAATTTAAAATATATATTTTAATTAAATTTGTGTTAGTTTTGAAACTTTGGAGATGATGTGATAAATATAGAAACAAAACTTATGGACTATAACACAGACGATGTTGGGTTGCCAATTTTAGGAAACAGAGAAACAACACTAAATTACAGAACTATACCACACCAGTAAACGACAAAAAAGAATTAGTAACTTGAGCAAACTCTCGTTTTAGTTTGTTTTAGACATTCTCGATTTCGGATTGCTACAACACTAATCAAGAAAAATCCAAACAAAAATTAATATCCTATACTATTATTTGGGGAGTACACTTTATAAGATACCCTTAACTAACCTTCCCTTTTGTAAGAATTTACTTAAGAATGCCATTACAAAAATCTTTTTTAGAACAAATTTAATTCAATTTATTAAGGATAAACAAGTAAAATACTAATTTATGTCATTTAATTAATTTAATTAAATTATAAAACGAAAATCTGTTTTTTTTTTAAATGACCAATCAAAATGAACATATAAGATTTGATATCTAACTTACCATATTAATTTGTTATTAATCATTAAACTTCACCTCTCATCTTTATATGATTATATTAATATGAAACAAATAAATCATCATATCATCTACATAATAAAAAAAAAAGTAAATTTTTTTCTACATATGCCAAGATTTGAATTTTTTAAAGAGAAATTGTTAAAAATGCCCCTTTTTCAATACCCCTTTTCAAAAATGCCCCCTTTGAGAGTCCATTTTTAAGTTTGCCCTCTTTTAATTTTTAATGACCATTTTACCCTTATTTGAAACAAAATTAGGTCCACAAAATACAAAATATTTTTTGGCGGGAAAAGTGATCCCGCAATTTTCCCGCCAAAACACTTGTAAAAAACCTTTAAAATACCTTGTAAAATTTTCCCGTAAAATTTTTCCCGCCAAAAAATTTTCCCGCCAAAAAAATTTTTTTGCGGGAAAAGTGATTCCGCAATTTTTTTTTTTTGGCGGGAAAATTTTTGGCGGGAAAAATTTACAAGGTATTTTAAAGGTTTTTTACAAGTGTTTTGTAAGGTTTTACAATGTATTTTAAAAGGTTTTACAAGGTACTTATTAGGTTTTATAAGGTATTTATAACTTGTAAAACCTTATAAAAAACTTGTAAAACCTTATAACTTGTAAAAACCTTATAAAATAGCTTGTAAAATCTTATAATATCTTGTAAATACGTTGTAAAACCTTTTAAAATACATTGTAAAACCTTATAAATACCTTGTAAAAAACCTTTAAAATACGTTGTAAATTTTTGGCGGGAAAAACTTTCCCGCCAAAAATTTAACGCCAAAAAAATTGCGGAATCACTTTTCCCGCAAAAAAAATTTTTTGGCGGGAAAAATTTTACGGGAAAATTTTACAAGGTATTTTAAAGGTTTTTTACAAGGTTTTACAAGTGTTTTGGCGGGAAAAATTGCGGGATCAATTTTCCCGCCAAAAAATATTTTGTATTTTGTAGACCTAATTTTGTTATATTTCCTTATATATTTGTGATATATTTTATTAAAAGAAGGGTAATTTAGTCATTTTGTACATAAAAAGGGGTATTTTTAAAAATGGACAGCCAAAGGGGGCATTTTTGAAAAGGGGTATTGAAAAAGGGGCATTTTTGTGAGTCTCCCTTTTTTAAAACGCATATAAATTGTTCAATCTATAAAGGAAACAATTAAACGGGTCAAAAATTCAGACTTGAGTAATATATTTTTTTTACACAAAAATAAAGTCAACAAAAATTCCGACTGAGCAACGGGTCAGAATTTGAATATTTATATTCGATTTCATACATTTATTTTTTTGAAATGATAATTTTATATACTACAATAAAAATTTAAATATTTTAATTTGCAACATTTAAAATAATTCTTACTTGATATTTTTAGAGAATATCATCAATACTTAATAGTTCAAAAAGTTAAAAATTATAAATACTCTAATTTGATTATTTTATAATATGTAGCGGGTTAAATATAATATATTATATGATGAAATGAGTTTTGATCCTTATAACTATTTGAATAGTTATATTTAATTTCATATAATTTGTTTTTTGAAATTCATAATTTTATAAACTACAAAAAAAATTTAAAGATTTTAATTTGGAATATTTAAAAATAGTGTAGAACATTTAAATATGGTTTGACACCTCTAAATATTTAAAAATTTGATTCCGCAAGCAATCTTAGAATTAATGAATAATAGATTGTGCACGCAATATTTTAAAATGAAATATTGATATTCTAAAATAAAAATATAGACTCCACGCACGGGTTGATTTTGATATTATTATATACTAAATATATGTTTATAACATATTCGATTATGCGAATAATTGGTAAATTCCGTAATTATAAATCTCAAACAAATTCTGTAATTAGATTAGCTCAAACAAATCTCTATTTCAACAACCAAAGAATTATGAATTGAAAAAGAATTTTCTAAATTAATTCAAAATAATACCTAATTTTCTTAATTAATTCAAAATAATCTTTGTTTTATATGCGATTTATTTATGATATTTTAATTTTTGATCTAACTGAAATATATGCAATCCTATTTTGTGGTTGTTAACATAAATTAACTCATTGTTCAAAAAATATTACTTTTTAAAAAATAAAATTATTTTTCGTTTTCATATTTTAAAAAAAATTATCCATAATTGAGTATTATAGAAAAAATTCTATATTTATTCTAATATTGTATATAGGGACTGACAAAAAAATTAATATTTTTTCACTTACTATTATAATATATTAAAAATTAGTTCTAATATATATATTATATAAATTTTGTAATAAATAAAATTCATCCCGTACTTTAGTACGGGTGATGATCTAGTTACAAATATAAAAGGAGTAATTGATGTATCAAACACTTTGAGAAAGAACAAGATTATGAAGATAAAAGACTCTTTCTTTTATTCCCTTGGAAACTAACTCAAAACCAAGCTTACACAATCTTAATCTCTCAAATCTCTCATACACAAAACCTAAACACAACACATGTATTTATAGAGTTTAGATAACTCCTAAACCGACTAGAAAATTAGGTCTTAGATAACTCCTAAGCCTTTAAACAAACCGACTTCAATATTGCTTGGGCCTCACGCCATCTTCAAGCTTAGCCCAACAGTAATAAGTTAAATTTTATAAATAGTTCTCATGAAGGTGATTTTTATTACATGAGAGATTGCATACTTATGACAACAATCACTACAAGAAAACAGGCGATTACCGACTACGGTCGGCGACTAATTGTGTAGTCGCTAATTTATACGACTAAAATACGACTACTCTGCGACTAATGTTATGACTACAAGTATATAGTTGTATAATAGTCGCTAATTAACGACTACATACTGTAGTCATTCAAATAGTCGTAATATAGCGACTATTATACGACTAACATATAAGACCCTGACTATAGTCGTATCGTAGTCGCTAAATAGGCGACTATTTTGAATGACTATTGATTGTAGTCGCTAAATAGGCGACTACTTTATGACTACATTGCATACGGAAAAAAGTAGTCACAAAAAAGTCGCTAATTTGGTGACTAATATGTGACTACAAAACATAGTAACCTTATGGTGGTTTTGTAGTCACTATTTAGTCTCCATAACTGTTTATATAATCAAACTTCACCATTTTTTTCTAAAACCTAAATACAAAACTTTAAATCTCAAAATTCAAAAAAATTATCTAGTTACAATAATATATCCATAAACTGAAAACTAACACTTATAAAAAATTATAGTTTTCCAAATCTTATTTTTAATCAAAACTTAACCCCAAATCTTAAACTTAAACCCCAAATCCTATACTTTAAACCCTAAACTTAACTACTAAATTCCTTTAACGACTATTTAGCTACTAAATTCCGACTAATAAAAATAACTAGGCTAATGGATCCAGCGAAACCAAGCCCAACTAAAACGAAGTCGGCCCAGGACCAACTAAACTCACCTCCACCCCGAGAATTCCTAAGTCATCTTCCTCTTTCGCAAACCCTAAGTCATCTTCCTCTTTCGCAAACCCTAAGTCATCTTCCTCATTCTTCTTCTCGATTCTTACTCTTTCTCTCAAACAAATTAAACCCTAATTCCTCGATTCTTCCTCTTCCGCTTCCTCAAATCGAACCCTAATCTCCATTTCTTCCCCAAAACTTCCTCAAATCAAACCCTAATTCCTCGATTCGCGTAGCAATTCGTCTGACCCTTCGTCTCTTCACTCTGTTTCCTGCGAATCCGGAACAAGATGACTGGTAAGCGAGGCCGGAAGAGAAGAAATGCTCCCAACGCGTCTTAGAGAGCCGTTGGTTCCACCGCTGCAAACCGTAGACCTAAAAATCTGCGCCTCGTCAGCGATGGCGTCCACAGCAAACACCTCAACACCGACAGCCTCTTTCTCCGCAGCAGGATCCTCCTCTGTTTCCACAGCAGGATCCTCCTCCGTCTCCACATCAGAACTCTGAGGCTCAGAGTCACGCGTTTGGCTGTTCCTCTCAAGGTAACAACTTCCAAAACGAATTGCCGGATCTCCAGGAGGATACGCTTGAGGCTCTGACTGCTCTGCTTATGGTGCCGGACCGTCATCTGTTTACAACCGTTCTCTCTACAACACCGTTGCCAGACACGACGTGGTATGACTCTTGGTCCCTTCTATAGTGGTTTTTTCTGATTGCTTTGTGTGTTTTAGGATAGAAGAAGTCTGATTGTTTTCAAAATGTTTTGTGTGTTTGATTGTTTGCTTGTTCTTATTGTTTTGTGTGGCTTAGGATAGAAGTCTGATTGTGTGTCTTAGGATAGATTGTTTTTAAAAAGTTTGATTGTTTTCAAAAAGTTTGATTGATTTCAAAAAGTCTGGTTGTTTTCAATAAGTCAAGACTGGTTTGAAAAAGAAGTCTGATTCTTTTTAAGAAGAAGTCTGATTCTTTGTTTGATTGTTTTAAAAAGAAGTCTGATTTGTTGAATGTTAAAAAGAAGTCTGATTGTTATGTACTGATTGTGTGATGTCGTATCAGTCTTCATGCTGTGTTTGAGATGTTATCAAATATGTTGCAGGTTTGATTGGGACGAGAAATCAAGACTGGTAAGGAGGATTACCAAAGTTTTTACAAACAATTATGTGTATAATTGCTTAAATGTAGTTTTGTTTAATCACTTAGGACTTGTTCAAGAGGCACATGGTCGTGTTTGCAGTTGGAACTTCTTTAGCATCTGTTGCTACTGCTTGGATTGGTAAGTTTTGTTATTTGCTTACTTTATCTCGATTTCTCTTGTAGGCTAGGGATTGGACATCTTTTTCCATCTGACCAATAAATTTACATATGTTTCTCTGGATAATGTAGATATTCAAGTTCTTGATTGTGATGTCCGGAGATTAAGTTGCCTAAATGATGCTTGCTTAAGAACTGTTTTGGCGTATCTCGTCAAGTTCTTTGCTGTTTTAATTTCAGCTCATATTGATATAGCCTTTGATGCTTTGGTCTTATGTGTGTTTGTATTGTAGAGTTGGATAATAGATCTTGTTGGCGTGTCATCATTTTCTTCCGGTAGAAATAACCATGAGGCAGTTTTTGGAGCAGAAAAAGCATGAAAGAGTAAGACAAGGAAGAAGAATTGAAATCAAAAGAGTTAATTAAGCCAAGTTCTTTCTTAAAAATTGTTATCTGCTTTGTGTTAATTATGTTTTTAGGAGGATGATGTAATTTTATTTTTAATAATGTTTTTAGTTTTATTTGTATTATGGTTTTCTTTTAAATGTATAATTTTTATTACTAATAGCAGTACCTTCCAAAAACATATTATAAAATAATTAGTAAAAATATAAATAAACTGAAATAAATACCTAAATACTGTATAAATACATAAATATTGTATAAATACATAAATACTGTATAAATAAATACAATACTGTATAAATATATAAATACATAATTAAGACCAAAGTCACAATATAGTCGTCAATTAGTCACTAAATTTGGCGACTACTCTACGACTACATTTACGACTACGAATATTAGTCGTAAAGTAGTCGCTAAATGGCGACTAATTTAACGACTATTAATTTTAGCGACTCTCGATTTACGACTACACGTTTTAGTCGCTATTTAGTCGTAACCCACCATTTAGCGACTATTTAGCGACTTTTAGTGTAGTCGCTAAAATCCAGTTTTCTTGTAGTGAATGGAGATTAGAAGATGATCACTCAGTGAAGGGCACAACATGGACCCCGAGTTGATTAATCATGTTACTTGCTTTTCCATGAAATCCAACAATTTTGCAGCCTGCTTTGTAGAGTAGAAAGCTTGAGGTAGATTCAAATCCAACGGGTATGGATGTTCGTTTGTTCGTCTTAAACCTAAGCATAGTTATAACCTCGACTTCACTTCCAATTACTCTGTCGTAACAACCATCCACGGCCGTAATGTATTCACTTGGATATTCGACCTCAAACTGTCAAAATATTAATGTAATATGTAAACCTGATAAACCCAAATCCAAAAAAAAAAAAAAAAAGTGATAGTTAATCACCTCTTTGATATCTAGTGGTGTTTTGTTTCCATGATCATCTCCAATAACCATTCGAGTATCCTTATCGTACACAAACTTGAGGAATGCGATGCCATTTTCGCATTTTCCTACATATATCTTTCTAACATTATCGTAAACACCATCGTCCCATGAACCTCCTCGATAACCACCTTGCGGTCGTAGTTTCTCTGCAGTGGGAGGAGGTATCTGACTAAAATATGCTCCAATAGCAACGAGATCACGATCATTGTGTCGTCCATGGAACCCAACGACAGCACATCCTTTGTTCTCTAACACAAATTTGGTACCAGACACATTTCCAAATGTTGGAGAGGTTCTCCCTTCGGATGATTTCAAAATCAATGACGTAACTCTCATATCGCTAGGCCCAAAGGATTTAAATGTCCCCTCCACATAAGTGATCAGTTCATTTGGATAGTCGAGCTCAAACTGCAATAGAATCATGCTTCTCATAAGAGACTAATAAAGAACTTATATATAGTCCATGAATATATTTCAATTTTTAAGGGATTTTTAACCTCTTCTTCTTCTCCTTCGTCTTGAACACTTTGCCACCCGTGTTGTCGCTCTACAACTGTGCGGTTGTGGTAGTGAAATGTAATACTCTTTATGTTAGTGGTATTATAACTAACATACACCGTTCTTATGCTCTCGAAAACACCATCATCCCAAGATATGCCTCCAGTACCACCGCGACATTCTGATTTGGTAATGGGAACCGTTGTGAAATATGCTCCAAGAGAGTAGAGATACTTGTCAGCATATCCATGAAAGCCAACAATTTTTTTCCCCCTGTCTCCAAGTAAAAACTTCTTACCCTTTTCATATCCTAGCATCTCCGAAGTCCTGAAGTTAGTTTTAAATTGAAGTGATTGGATAACACCAGATGCAACGTCGTAGTAACCCTCAACATATACTAGATGTTCATTGTAAAGATAGTTGATCTCAAACTGCAAAAAAAAAAAAAAAAAGAATTGGTGAACATAAAAAGGACTATAAATGTAGTCAATAACAAAAAGTTTGGAATTTCATTGTATGTGTACCGTTTGCGTGAAACCGCTACCCGAGAAACCATGGATTGATCCTTCTTGGGCTTTTCCACTATTGACATAATCAAATTTGATATATTGAACGCCTTCAAAACCACCTCGTACATGAATCTTTGCTATACCATCATGGTCAGCTCCATCATCCCACTTATGCCCTCCCTTGCTACCTTTTGCTTTGAATCTTGTAGGATGATTCCAAGTGAAATATGCTCCAAGGGAGATAATATTTCTGTTCCTCATATGGCCATGGAACCCAATGATATTCTTTCCCTCGACTCCAAGTGTAAACTTGTTACCCTTATCATATCCAATTAGTTCTGAAATCCTAAAATTGGTTTTAAATTGAAGTCCTTGAATGTAACCAGATTCATGGTCGTAGAAGCCCTCTATAGATTCGAGATATTCATTGTTGAGATGGTTAATCTCAAACTAAAAAGAAAGAAAGAGTTGAAAACAAAGATTATAAATCAATTAATACGATCCACATATATAAAACATGGTAAATGGATTTTAGTTTAGTATACATCAAAGACATACCGTCTCTATGAAACCTCTATGTCGACGACCAACAAGTGTTCCAAATTTCAGCAGTCCACTGTTTACATATTCAAACTCCATGTACAGAATTCCTTGAAGACCACCTCCAACAAAAATCTTGGAAACACCGTCATGGTCACAACCATCATCGAATGTGAAGCCTTTTGTGCTACCTATAGCTTCCAATCTTTGTGTCATCAATCTTCAAACATGGAGGAAGAGTATTTGTTAATAATCAATTGAATTGCATCATTTCATGCTGTATTTGTACAAGTTCTTAAAAATACGCTCATGATGTTTACATAAAAAAAAATTGCACCAGAATAATATATAAGATTTTAGAGCTAAAAACAATAAAGAACTCCGAAATGACCTTTGGTTTGCTGAGGACAAGAAGACTTTGATGATCGGAGATTACTTCGGAGAACAATTAAACATGGTTATGCATAAAGGGATTGATTTATAAATTATGGATGAATTTGTCTTTATAATTAATATACAATTGGGTCACAACTCTATATTTCTACCAACGACCAAGTGCATATTTTTTACATACATGACTACCGATTCCTAGGGGCAATATTATATAGAAATGGTCTCACAAACCTCTAAGATGTCAAACACCTTGATTTCTCTTGGAACCTTTAGAGAATAAAATTACTGATTTCAATCCAAAGATGGAGATCTAGCATATCCAAATGCTTTGTTAGCACATTACTTTGGTGAAATGTTTGATTAGCCCTGTCAAAATTTAGGCTCATCCGTACGTGCGATTGTACAACCTTCTGTCGATTTTTTCTATGACTAGTAAATAAATTAAAAGGTGACAATGAGAGAAACTAACAATGAGATTAATGTACATTTTTTTAACAATTAGTTTTTCCAATGATCATGATTCATCACTGTCTATGCCTGCAGATTAGATTAACCGAAATATGAACTTCTACATCAAATAAGCTTTCTCTGCCTAACTACAAACAACATATGAAACAAACCCTTCATAAAAATTATCTAACCCGGTTCCGCTTTCTCCCCATCGATGCAGGAGATTCGAGTCCACGATTTGCTTGTCTACCGTCCTTTCTTCTCTCTACCACTGTTCCCTTCTTACCCGCTGCTGAGGATTTCACAACAGAAACTGGTAAATCCGTAACAGACCTTTTGTTACCTCTGCTTGAAGTCTTTGCCATATCATGCACAACCGTTTTAAGAGGGTGCGCCCCGGTTCTTGGTTTTTTAGCTGCCATGCTCGTTCGGACAGCAGGAGATGTAGATTTCTGAGGAAGAACCACAACCTTCGTGCTTGCAGTAATGCTGCTGCGATGAGGATGATGATCTTCTGTCAAATAGTGTCTTAGAGACTTTGTAACAATGTCTCTAAGGCTCACCGCGGATTTGTATTCACGAGTGTTCTTAGAGTAAAAAATAGCTGCATTGTTCGCCACCAAAAGAAAGTCCCTAAAAAGCTCTTTCGCTGAAGATATCGAACAACCGTTGATTCTTGATTGTATAGTGTCTAAATCCATATGCCTCTGTACCAATTTCTTGTATCTCCCCCTTTTCTGTTTAGCACAAAAAAGTAAAGAAAGAGATAAGCGAAAAAGTGGTTTCAAGCGAAGACTAAAGGAGTATTATATATGATCATCACCTGGCTATCAAGCCGTCTACGGAAGACGAGTGCACATTCGTTCTGTACGATAGTGTTGTATATCTTCATAAGCTCCTTTGGTATAGCCAAACCATGACCTCGGCTTTGACTGCTGCTAGTAGAAGCAGCTTCTTTACTCCTAGAAATGCTAGCAATATCCGCAGAAGTATCCAACAAATCGCTTTCTTCCACAGCGCTAACTTCCGTCACTTCTTTACCAACACTGACACTGCAATCTTTTCGTTTTCTCTTGCCTCGTTTCTTCCTCATACTCAGAAGCACTTGTCCTCCACCCCCATACACTGACTCAAAAATGTCGCTGTGTAATAGGTTTTTCGTCTTCTCTTGCTCTATTACTAGTACTGGAGCTTCTGACTTAGCTTCCGGTGACCAGTTTGTTATGGTCAGCTCTTGCTGTGTGAAACTACCAACTGATGACAAGTCTTTGGATGTATCTTTGCTCGTGCATTCTCCTCCGCCCTCGGATTTCGGGGAGGGTTCAAGTGATAACGTTCGGCTAGAATCATAATTGTTTTGATGACATTCATCGTTACTTTCTGACTTCAGACTCTGAAGCTTTGATTCCAAAGACCTAAACACAGTATTTCATTGCACAGAATTGAAAATTCAAAATCTGGTTCTTCCTTTGATTCCAAGACATGAAAGCGTTTAAGCCATTAAAAAGAACAAATGCTAACCCAATAGAGTCTTCGGATTTAAGTAAAGCTGCCTTAAGCTCAGCTACTCGTTTCTTCTTAAGCTCTTCAAACCAAGCTCTACAAGAACATAAACATATGAAGAAACACGGTAAATTTTAGGTCACAAAAGTCATGTATCCGACAAGAAAAAGTGTTGAAGAACAAGCAAAAACAAGTCTTTACTTGCATCCCAAATAACGTTTTCGCAAGTCCTTGTACTTGGCCTTGCATATCTGCAAATAAGAGTAGGAATTAGCAGATTCAAAAGATAGACAATATCTGAATTGAGTTAACTCAGCCCTGCGATATCACACAAACCACAAGACATTTTCTAATTTCTTGCATTATTCAATGTGGTTAAGTTTCCAATTCGAGAAGAAGTATAAAGAGTATCTACAATTGTCTTAACAAGAACAAGAAAATTCATTTTTTTTACATGACCCTAAACCTTTCTTGACACACAAGTGATGAATCTATGCTTCTAAATCCACCGACAACAACACTGTGTTTTGCCTCAAGCTTTAACTTCTTTTTTAAAATTTTTTTTTTTTGAAAAATCAATTTCACAGTAACATAACAAATTTCGCATAAAATGACCTAATCTGATTTTATTTTTGATTCTAACACATTTAACCTAATCGAAAATTTAGAAATGAATTTTGAAATTAAAGAGAAATGAGGAGATTGAGAGAGAGAGAGAGAGAACAAACCTCAGGTGTGAAAATCTCAGGTAGAGAATGAGAACGGAGTTCCTCAGCGACGACGGTCCAGTCACCGGTTCCATGACGGAGAACAGCGCCGCCGAGAAGAAGCTCCTCCCATGTTCCCCAATCACTCTCCATCGTCGTCGTTATCATCACCATAACCATCAAAAAATAAATCACGCGTGTGCGTTACGCGCTCCTCGATTTTGAAAAAAAAAACTCAAAGTTAAACTACGCACCCCTAGCGCACGTTAGCTCCTTTCACCTAACCTTCCCTTTTTTTCTCCGACCACTCAATTCTCAAAAAAAAAAAACGAAAAAAAACAGAGACGGAGACAACAAACCAAGAACCTAAAAAAATATATATATTGTAATCTGGTATGATAAGACAAGAAACCAGAAAAAGCCGTTACGAGTGGGTTGGTGTCGGAGGTAAATTACACGAAAAGCTGTTTTCCGACAAGAAAATGGGGGAGAAAAATTAAATGAAAATTCAAAATTAGTAAGAAGGAAAAAAAAAAAAAATCTGAGGTGGGAGAGAAAGAGTTGACGAAGGGTCTGGATTTGTTCGACGTTTGTGAAATGGAAGAAATTGGAAATTGATGGTTGTGGTTTGTTTTATTTGTTTTTTCTTGTTTTGTTCAAATGGCAAATACAAGAAGAAGATTGGTTTGTTTTTGAACAAAGAAGAAGACTTAGACTAGATTTGTGTGCCTTTGTTTTCTTATTTTTGTCTAAATAAAGTAATTTTAATTTAAACAGAATTTTTCTATCTTTTCTTTATTTATTCGATTTTTTCGTCATTACCACAACTTGTTGGAATAATTATTTTTAGACAATAGTGTTTTTATAATACCCAAAATCCAAACTAATTTTAATTATTGAATTATATAGCGGACATTATTAAATTAATAGTCTTTATGTCCCCTTGATCAATATAACATAATTCAATACATCATTCCATTTGAATTTATTTGTGTTTAATATCGTACAAAAGCAAACGAATATTTTCGTCCATTCGTTAATCTATGGCCTAATTTGGATGTTTCAGTAACCAAACTAATATCATGATTAATACTAATCACTTGATTTAAGATTTGAAAAGTTAAATATATATATAAAAAAACCTTTGATCATAATTATATGTTTTTCAACTATTTTTAGAGATATTAACTGGAATCCAAATTAGCTACTATTTTTTTCTACTAATTATATGTTTTTCAACTAATTATATGATCGTAATTATATGTTTTTCAACTATTTGTTTTTCAACTGTATAATTATATGTTTTTCAAGTTTTTTTTTTTTTTTTTTCTTTTTTTCCAAATTAGCTATTTCTTTTGTTTATCCCCCATTATTTAAATAAAGACAAGAAATTTCTTCGTATATTCGTTAATCTATTTCCTAAGTTTGGGATAGACGAAGACCAAATATTCAAATAACATCGACTGTAACTATGAAGACTAACTACTATCTGAAATATGTCATTATCACGTTTGGTAGATGAACACTCTTTGATAAGTCTATATTCTTAAACTCTACATGACACATGGCCAATTCCAAAAATCAGATATATGTCGAGCGACCAAAATGAATTTTCATATACTGATGGTGTCTTCTCATTAGGATTGCACATTACATTCACATGGAGAGAGAGAGACATTGTAATTGACATTTCAGCTAAACATTTGAGATTCAGTGAATCAAGAATCTGAAGCACATACAACTTTAATCCCAGAGACGGATCGATTTACAGCCATATACCAAATTTTTCCCGGAGTGATTTTTCGTGTTCTCTTGGCGCAATTCTATCTCAAAACCCGCCACAAGAACCTGCGACTTTTCAGCGAATCTTCAATACAAAATCACCAGGAGGAACATGAAAACGATTCTTGAAAATGTACAGATTGGAAAACTCAGCGGGAGGGGTTACGGTTCGCAAGTGATTCCGATTGGTCTTGAAGCTGAACCTAAAGCTATGGTGTTTGAAGAACTAGGTTTAGTTCTTGAGCCTTTCTTGCTATGAGACCACCTCTTCTGTAGTTAATGGAAGAGGGCAAAAACAAAAGGGAAAAACAATTACACAACAGAAAGCAAATACCGATCAACCAGAGCTGTCATGCTTGCAATGGTTCAGAACAATATCTGTAAAAAAAGTTCTTTTACCTTGTCAGTAGTGGAAGAATCTTGTGAACCTTTTGCAATTCCGCAGAACAGCTTTGGCAGATCTGTAACCTGCATTTCTCAATTTGTTTTAACTTTCTGGGAAAAGAGAATTAAGTGTGACAAAAGGTGTGGCATGAAGATATAAGAGGAGCCGAAAGTATAAGTACCTTTCTTCTGCGTGAAGATCAACGCCAACAACTCGTCGTGCTGAAACAGTTGATTGAATAACTGTACCAAACACTGCTACAAGCTTCAAGAGCATTTCCAAGGAGACATTTACAGGCCTATACAAAATTTAAATCACATGTTGCTTTCCTCTGTTAACTCGAAAAGCTCATAACTTTAACAAACAAACAGAGACTGCAATTAACAAATGGATTTTCTTGACATTCCCTCATTCACAAGCCAAATGTTGGAGACGACTTTATTATATCTTAAACTAAAAGCAAACCAAAGAAGGTTGAATATAGAATAAGATAATTTACCTCTCAGTCCTGCTGCCCAATAAGCCTGTAAGGACGGGTGCTAATTGAGAAAACAGATCCAATGTTAAAATTTCTGTTTTGTCTGTTAGGATACTGATCACATCTGCTTGAACCTGTTCCAGTTTAAGCGAGTCAGCTTTTTCCAAACATCTAAGCATAAACAAAAAAAGACAGGCAAAAGTATATCTATTGGGGTACTTACAGAGTGATCTGACAGCTTTCTCAAGGCCATGATCGCGCCTTTTATATCACTACGTTCCCAAAAATGTCTTACAATCTGCATGTTTGTGATAAATCAACCATTTAGTTTACCCTCAAAACCAGAAAAAACACATAAAGAGAAAAACAAAATTTACCTGTAATTTTGTCAACCTTGATTGAAGAGTGTTTAAGACCTCATTATGAGTTTGCATTAAAGTCTCCCAAATGTCACCATCATTCTCCCTCCCAGATATCTGAGGTTCTTCCTTCTGCAAAAGTCAAACAAATCAAATGTATTCAGAGCTCTTCCAACTTTGTAATCCTTGCAATTTCATATTCTATGTATAGCATTAGCGACTACTACATTCAATTATACAACTAGCTACATATCAAAGTTGGAGAAAGTACGATGTCTATCAGTTTCCGAAACTTATCATTGAAGCTTACCTGGGTCAAGATATCAGAAGCTTGTTGAGTTTGTGTAATATATGTCTCATCCAGTGTCAAATCAGTCACCTGATCAAGTACTGCAGGTGTTGCCAGCGTTTGAGTTGGGCTAAATCTTTGCTTGGATCTTATATGAGATGCATCAGATGTTACACTAATTGCTTGATTGAGTTTCACAGGAATTACACGGGCGGGAGAGTTCCTAGCTGATCGTGTTAATGCAACTGGAGGCTCATACGATGGCATATTATCTGCTTGATTGAGTTGCATAGGCAGTACACGGGCTGGAGAAGTTCTAGCTGATCGTGAAGATGATAAAGGACGCTCATCATACGTGTTAGATGCTTGATTGAGTATCACAGGCATTACTCGCGCCGAAGAAGTCCTAAGTGGTCTTGTTGATATTACAGGCTCATCAGATTTCATGTTAGTTGTTTGACGCTGACTGAGTATCACAGGCATAACTGGGGCTGGAGAAGTCTTAGCTTGTCGTGTTGATGTTACAGGAGACTCATCAGATGTCAGATTAGTAGCTGAAGGCCTATCAGGTCGTGTTGATGTTACAGGAGACTCATCAGATGTCAAATTAGTGGCTGAAGGCCTATGAGGTTGTGTTGATGTTACAGGAGGCTCATCAGATTTCATTTTTGTTGTCTGATTGAGTATCATAGGCATGACTGGGGCTGGAGAAGTCCTAGTTTGTCGTGTTGATGTTACACCAGATACATCAGATGTCAAATTAGTAGCCGAAGTCCTATAAGGTCGGGTTGATGTTCCAGGAGGCGTATCAGTTGCCATGCTAGTGTCCCGGCCGAGTACCACAGGCATTACTCTGACTGGAGTACTCCTAGTTCGTCGTGTTGATAACACAGGAGCTTCAACTGTCGTCGAGTTAGTTGCCTGATCAAGTTTAACTGGCATTACCTGGGTAGGCGTCGTGCTAACTGCTTGTACCGATGCTGTCAGGGGCTCTTCCTCTACAGCATTAGTGCTCTGAACTATTGTTGCACTGGCTGCTTTATCTTCAGAAGGAGTAATTTTTTCCCCTCTTTCAAACCTCTCAACCAATGACCGTGTCCTTCCCGAAACAACTTTTACTGCAAACATAGTAGTTTTTAAAGAATCAATAACCAGATGACTTATATGCTACCAAAGAAAAACAACAACAGCAAACTTTGAATGGCTAACCTCCTCTAACAACCTTCACAGAGTTTGATTCTTTCCTACCTCCAGGGGATTCAAGGCCTACATGACATAATATTTATAACCAATTATAAAATGATTGTTGCCTGAAGACCAAGTAACTTGACCACAACGGACAAGGGAACTGTAAAGGAAGTCCTAAAAGTAGCTAAAGATTTAGATGTAGCAACCTACAAGCTAATGCTATTATTACTCTTCTGCCGGCTCATTCTTTCAGATTGATTTTTCTTGTAGACTGTCTCTAATTCAGTAAATCAATCCTTAATTAACAGTTTAAAAAGGCAAAAGGAATCCAAACACATAACGTTTCACTAGTTTTAGCATTGACTTTAGGAGCAAAATCCCCATTAATTAGTCAATTTTGAATCAAGAACTTACTTTTTAGTTCATCACCAGCTTTCTCTGGTGATAGAACTCTTTCTGACCTACTTGAAATGCTCTTGTTATCGATATCTTCCTCACACAGGTTACTACCTCTGTCATCCTTATGCCCTGTTGGCAAGTCCATGTCTCTTGAGGACTCTAACCCACTCTTTTTACTGTCTAAAGCTCCAGAATCAACAGATGTCGCCCAGCTTGCCTCATTGTACTTAGTACTTGGTGACCTCTGTACACGAGGCGGTTTCAGCAACATACCTGAGTCAAAGATTGCAAGATTTCCAAAAGGATAGGATTAGATCATCTGAAAGCTCAAATCTGATGAAACTAAAGTATGAACTGGGAGAACCTACATTTCGCTTCATCAGTCGGTGATTCTGGTAATAAAGCTTGTTCAAACTTGTTGGTTATACTCTTGATGATAGAATCGTCGGCATCATATGGTTTCCTACCACTCATTTCTGAATCTAACGCCGTCTCAGTATCTAGCTCCGTCTCACCGTCCAATCCACTTTTCTTTAAATATCCAGATTGAACAGCCACTGACTGCTTCTTTGTTTCATCAAACTTTGTTGGCGTCTTTCTTACATGAGCCGGTCTCAACAGCATGCCTGGCTTTGTTTTTGAGAAAGTGATAGATTCCTTTCCCGAATCAGAAGAGTCTTTCCCAATATCACTATCCCGTGGCACAACACTATGCACTACTAAAGACTTATTATCCCCTGCTTGTCCAGTAGAAGTTGCTTTGACTTTCGTAGTACTTAGAGATCCTGACTTATGTGCAACAGCCGAATTTCCACCTGTAGCTTTGAAGAGAAGAGAGAATATTAAACCAAATATAAACGATAAGCATACAGAAGTGAGAGGCAAACGAAAATTACACTGTTGCAGTACAGAAACTGACATTAAAGACTAAAAATAACAGTCCAGGTCACAATGGTTATGGCTAGCGATATTTAATTCATTCAGAAAAGAAGACCACCATTTCAGTCTCAATTTCAAATCAATAGCTACAAAATTTAGTAATAAACAAAAACACATGTACAGAAAATATATGATTAAAGCAGGCCTAAAGATAAGGTAGCTTTCCTATCACTAATACAAGAAAACCAGAGTTAGTGATCTCTATTAATAGTCCATCGCAATTAATCGTAAAGTGTTGACTCAATTTCTAGATACAGGTGACAATAACTAGTAAGCTACCGTCCAGGGACTTCTTAGGACCTAACCAAAACCCTGTCATATCCTACTTGAAAGGAGAAAAATGAATCCACAAACATCGAAACAAAATTAATATTCACTCACAGTCGATGTATATGTTTTTTATCTCTTTCGTTTCATAATCTGGAGATGAGCTGCGCCTTGGGGTACTCCTTATTCTATCGGAGGACTGATCGTCCAGAGCACCGAGTATTTTCTCCACGCATTCCTTTTTATCCGCAGATCCAATGCCATATGGCTCAATTTGCTGTTTTAATTAAGGATAAAAGAAAGAACAAAAACATGAGCCTTCGAAACAATCAATTACCAGCTCCACATAACTTTTTAAAGGTATGGACAATCACGATAGCACATACTGATATATCTGAGACCCAAATCCCTACGGAATTTTGGTAGTATGAACAACCCAGGAGCTTCCCTTCGCTGATGCATAAGTCACCAAGCGTTGACCATCCCATATCAACACCATCATGGCAAACCACAGGTTCCCATGAATAAACCTGAATCATGAGCATTCAGCTTATGATATCAATGAATGTTTTTGACTCTGGAGAACCCTTAATATGGTAACGCTCATCACAAAGACAAATAAAAACCTTTAAGCTATCATCCAAACCACAAAATAGGGTTCGCCCATCCGGATGAAATTTGATTGAACGAACTCCAGTAGCCTGTGAAAACAAGGAAAACACCAGAAATTATGTGAATAACATCTTCCAAGACAAGGCTACGAAGCCAGCTCAACGCCCAAACATATTTCATCAGATGCTGCATTCTGGACTCCATTCACTTATATTTACTTCTCCATATTTTTAAGAACTAAATTTTATCTTGGCATTTCTCTAACAGACTAACACACTCTTCAGAGCAAGACTGAGAGTAAGCAGATTTCTGATTTTTAATATGACCCTTCAAGGTGATCACGCTAAAGGGAAATAAAGGTAAAAACACTTGTGATAGAGTCTCCTGGAAAAACAGTATCTAGTGACACCACAGGCAGTACCTCTGGTCGGGTAGATCCAATCAACTCAAACGTTTCCAAATCCCAGAACTTTACAGTCCTGTCAGCAGAACCTGAATATGAATAGGGGAAAGTGAAATTACAAGACTTCAATACACAATTTTGATTGAAGAGATGTCGGTAGTTAATCAACCAATTGAAAATGCCACCAAGTTACCCCTAAAATGCCTGAAAAACAAAGAATCACAGACTAACCTGTGGCTAGAAGGAACTCAAGTGGGTGGAATTCTAGCGAACGGATAGGTCCTTCATGAAACTTAAATTCATGTAAAAGCTTTCCAGCAGTCAAATCCCATACCTATTAAATACAACATATATAGTAGTATCGTTCTAAGATCATAGGTTGAAAAAAAATTATGCACAAGACTCATTTGTTAAAAAAGCTATTCTTACCTTTACAACATTGTCAAGTCCTCCGGACACTACCCAACGACCATCGGGAGTAAACCTGATAGTGTTGATGCCACGAGTATGACCCTTGTACGTCTGTATGCATCCCTTCTTTCTGATGTCCCAGATCTTTAGATTCGCGTCATTTGATCCAGATGCCAAAAATTCACCAAAGGGATGAAATTCAACAGCAGAACAATTGGATCTATGTCCAGTAAAAGCTCGAACCACTACACTTCAAGAGCAAGAGTGAAAATGTTAGACCTCATAAATCTAAACTAAACGATAGATATAGTCTGGTACACTGCTCAAATAACCAGACCCATAATCCACATAGCCGATAACTCAAATAGTATCCAATATATTCCCATTAAACAAGACTAGCTCCGTACACAAGAAGCAACAAATTTTCTAAAAGAAAGCAGAAAATCAATAAACTAACTCTTTGCTTCTTCTACATCCCACAGCTTTATCACACCCGAAGAAGCTCCAGCTAACACCAAAACTTCTGCAGAGTCAAAAGCTACTGAATCCACTGCACTAGTATGTCCACATAGACTCTGCCAATAAAAGGATACAGCATCATTTTTCTATCCAAGAAACACACATTTTCTGTTCAAGACTTTAATAGAAACAAAAAACATACTAAAGAAAGCTAATGCGAAACAAACCATTAAAGAAGTCGGCTTCCCGATCGCCCAAAGGTTGACTTTATAATCATCACCGCCAGTTATAAAAAGCCGCGATGTCTTCTTTCCAATACTTAGACAATTCACATTTGCAGAATGTGCCAAAAACTCCTCTAAGTTTCAAAATCAAGTTAAGTTATAAACAAACCACAGACAAGTACATATTAACAAATGAAACACCCTTTTGAAGCAACCAGACAGGAAAACATAAAACAGGTCAACAACAATGGATTCAAATCATATCCAGAAAATTTTCAAGATAAAACATTAATTGCAGTGTCTTTTTCTATCAATTTGCTCTCTGTTTGATAAACTAGACAATAATAGAAACATTTTGACCCGGGAAATTAATTTCTACTAAAATCTTGAAATTCTGATAAAATCTAAATTGAAGAAGAAGCTAATAAACCAAAGTTTGTTCATAAGATTAAAACCCTAACGATTCAGTGATAAAGAAACAGTCACAATTTATCAGAATGGAGCTAAATAATCAAGAGTGTGTTCAATTTTAATTCAGCTTAAGAATCAAACAAAATCGTCAATATAAGGATACGTAGCTTATATCCACGCTTCGCCATTTTTTACTCGATTTCCGTGAGGAAGAATAGAAATCTGAATCTGGAATCGAATCTGTAGCTTCCTGAATCGATTTAAAAACGGTGAATCGGAGCTACAAAATCCGAATTGTCACTAGACGACAGAGCTCGAGATTTTTGGGAGATTCAAAGGGAGAAATATGAGAAGAGATCGCTTCCCGTTGAGATTTGAAATCCAAAAACGTGAGAGAGAATCAGATTCGGGAAGAAGATTGAAAGAAACGAGAAAAAATCAGATTCAAATAGTGACACGAAGAAGAAGAAATAAGAAAAGAAACATAGAAGAAGAAGAAGAAAGAAATTTGATAAAGCGAAGAAAGTTTTTTTATTTCTCTGAGAATTTTCACATTTTTTTATATTTATTTATTAATCGGTCGGTGGGTTTTTTTAAGGGAATCTTTGCAAATGTACCACTTTCTGACAATTCTCTTTGAAATCTACCACAATTGGAAAAGATTTTCTGTTTTTACTACTTTTTTTACCATGTGATAATTTATGGACGAGTTTGCCCTTGATAGCGACATACTGATGTGTCAGAAAAAAAGACAGCTGCATTAATTGCACTCGGGGACAATTTTTGTTACATTCAGGGACAAATTTTATTACACTCGGGGACAATTTTTTCGGAACTCCGTCGACGAAGCTTCACCGCTTCAAATCCTGTGAGCTATGGGAATCATCATCATCATCATCATCTAGACCGATCAAAACTCATTCGATTCGAAGAGTTTATAGCGCAAATTTAGATCCATTCTCAGACGAAGAGTTTTCAAAAAAAAATCCAAGAGCTAACTCTCAGATTCAATGTCCCAAACCAAAACGACGACGAGAATTCAGAGCCGATGATAATTCACGATTACAAAGCTAATTCAATCGAGCCACCATGGAATGAGATGGTTCATTTGTCGAGTATTGAAATGAAAGCAAACAGTGTTGATCTTCCTCGTTCACTTACTCCGGGACGAAGACGAAGATCTGGATTGAAATGAAAGCAAACAGTGTTGATCTTCCTCGTTTACTTACTCGGGGACGAAGACGAAGATCTGGATTTACTCGGGGACAACTTTGTTTCGAAAGGTCACATCAACTGCAGTTCCTTATCTCACCAGTTGGAGGGTAAAATGGTCATTTTACAAACACAATGTGGTATGAATGATAATTGGGATTCAAATGTGGTAGAAGTGATAACTTTTGGGCAAAATGTGGTACCCAATCTAATTTTCCCTTTTTTTAATTTTTAAAATAATTAAGCATTTTTCTTGGACAGTGGACCTCTAGTTTCTTCGTTGTTCGTTCTTCTTGGTTCTGACGAAAACACCCTTTTGTCCGGGCATTGAATTCGAGTGGAAATTACGGAAACACCCTTGCTTCCAATTGACTTCGATTGGTACAGTTTTTCTCTCCAACTCCATCATATAATTTGTTAGTTTATTTTGGGGAAAATTCCCAAAAAAAACCCCAAGTAATTTTTATTTGGAAGTTTAATGCCCAATTCTTTTTCGTTGGTCAAAAAATACTTTTGTTAATTAATTGTTGTCAATTAAATCGTAAACTTATTATTGAAAGACTTAACAGACGTTTAATCAGCTGACGGAATCCCTAAACCGGGTTTACTGGTTAAGAAGACGTGGTTAATTGGCCTAATTAAAAGACTGTAATGCCCTCATTGTTTTCCTCCAAATCGATATATGAATATGAGACAAAGAACCCTAGATCAAAACTTCCATTTTCACAACAATTAGAGAGATGTTGAGTCAATGTTCTAGGTCTGACATTGTTTGTAAGTCTTGTTTGAACTAATGGGAGTTTGATAAAAAGTTAATCCAACATAAGAGCCAAAAAGAGTCGTTTAGTCATAAGGATCCCACCAAAAACATACAAGGATCCCACCAAAACAAACATCATCCAACTTAAGCATCATCCTACATATCATATCATCCTACATAAGCCTAATCCTACATCAGAAAGATCCTAAAAGACATCAATAAGATCAGCCTATTTCTTGTCAGGCTGCCAAACATCAAACACTTTGTCAGTCCATGGGGACATAAAGAAAACAGGCGGTTTAAGAGCTTCATCTTTGCCAGCACCTTTGCCACGACCCTTGCCTTCACCATTCTTAGTTCCTGGAGGGCGTCCACGAGCACGTCCCCTACCACTTGGATTAGCTGCTGGAGCACTTGAATGTTGAGGTACTTGTGTGGACTGACTTTGAGAACCAGATGGTGTGGACTGGCTTTGAGCTTGCTGCCACCTCTTTGGAGCATTGTTAATGCTCCATGGATCATCATTATCCTATGAATAAGACATAATCAAAACTCAAATCTGAATAAGACATAACTCAAAAGAGGCAATACTCAAAATGTCAGATTACTTACAAGACATTTCCTTGGTCTGCCTCTTTTGCGTGGAGGAGCTGCTTGTACACTAGCATTTTTGCATGTTCCTTTATTATGCCTTGACTGCTTACAGTTTGAACAACTCACAGTGCCTCCTTCTCTTGTAGCCTTTGTAGGATTAGTTGCTGATTCTCCTGGTTCCAGTATCCTAGCAAACTTCTTAGGACGCCCTCTCTTCTTTCTTTGGCACTTCTATTGGTCCGTTTTCTGTTTTCTTCCACAACATCTCTCCATTCACAGGTGCTATGTTGTCCTTATAGTTAGCTTGCTAGACAGTTGTCAGAAAATGTTTATCAACATAACTACACAAAAAGATTAAATGAATCAGTCCACAAAAAAAAAAAAACTGAAAGAGAAAGATCAAATGAATCAGTACAATACTTACTTTTCTGGATCACGGTTGTGTTCTGTTATGACATAGATTGCATGTGGACAAGGTATGCCAGTGAGATTCCATTGGTTGCAAGCACAAGTCTTATCTCGAAGATTGACACTGAAGCTTCCACTACCCTCCATCACCTCATATATGTTCTCACTACTCTTGAGGACAGAACAGAACTTGGCTGACTTGCGATTTGCTTCAAGTATCCCTATTATATGCGGTGGAAACTTAGACTTACATTTGGCAGTCTTATCACGTCTCTTAGATATACGCTTCATTGCTAGTCTCCTAACATCTTCAAGCATATTTAGCACAGGCTTCTTCCTAGCATCTTTGATTGTCCTGTTGAAACTCTCTCATAAGTTGTTGCAAACATCCTCACAACTAGCATGGCCTTTGAAAAATGCTCTGCACCAAGTACTTGGCTCTGTTTTCAGCAAATCCTCATGTGTAAGTGGATCATAGCTTTTCAAAGCTGCCATGTTATAAGTGTAAACACCTTCTGTTGAACTGTAAGCAATTGCCCAGAAGTAACTCTCATGACAATAGTCCCCATACACCTTCTTCCAATTAGCATAGATGTGCCTAGCACAATGTCTATGTTCTGCCTCAGGAAGTAAGTCAGCTACTGCATTGAGCAATCCTTTCTGCTTATCTGAGATCACAGTAAAACCTTTACCTATTCCCAAATCCAAATCCTTCTTCAGTTTCTCAACAAAGCAAGCCCATGAGTCATTGTCCTCCACTCTAACTACAGCCCAAGCAATAGGATAAATCCTATTATCTGCATCTCTCCCCACAGCTGCTAGAATCTCACCCTTCAATTCCCATTTCAAGAATGACCCATCTAATCCAATGATAGGCCGACATCAACTCTTCCAAGTTTTTCTTAAAGCATCAAAACAGCTGTAAAACTTGTCAAATTGTTGCTTACCAGACGCTTGAGGAATGGTCACAATCTCTGTCTTGGTATCCTTATTAGACCTCTGAAGTTCAGCCTCATAATCCCATAGCTTTGCAAATTGTTGCCTTTGTGTTTCTATCACCAAATCAAATGCCATTCTTCTTGCTTTCTGGCATATCCACTTAGAAACAGAGAGTGTATACCTCATCATTATCTCATCTTTGATGTCACTCCACCTCAATCCAGGCCTTCTTCTTGCTTCATCTCTGAACATTCTAGCAATGACTCCCTGCTTCAACATCCTTGCTTTCCCGCTAATAGAATGGTGGTGTTCATCAACATAAGTCATGACTACCCATTTTGCTGGACGCTTATGTGCAGAGCAATATATCTTCCAATTGCAATTCTCATGACTACATATAGCTGCCAGTTTCATTGCACCCCATCTACAAAGCTTCACATCATAATTAGTCTTCAGTACATACCTCAAGAGTTGATCCTTGAACTCTTCCCCACTGTTAAATTTCTGAGCTATCCAGAGGTAAGGAGGTTTATCCTTGGAGAAGTTCTTTCTTGATGATCTTCTTTCTGCTTGGTCATACGCATCCCATTCTTCATCTGTGTCCATGGCAGGATCCGGACGGTCTGCATCAAAACACTGTCTCTCAAATTCTTCTTCATCCTCTAACTGTTCACCCACTGTTTCTTCTTGATCTCTGTGGGTCTCTTCACCACCAGCTTCAGCAGCTGCTTCTGTACCATTGTGAACTTCTGCAAAGAAAGCTTCAAACCTAGGATCATCGTGCACACGTTCTTCTACTGGATCTTCCCCTTCATCTGGTACACCTTGTGGCTCTGCATTTGTTTCTTGTGCAGCCTTGTCAACACATTCTTCAGAATCTGCACCATCATCACCTGCTACTTCTTCCTCGGCTTCTACATCAAGATGATATGTAGGTTCACAGACGTCGGAGTCAATGTATATGTCGACTTCACCACCAACCACAGCCTCACGACACAACTCCCTAATTCCACCATCTTTGTCTGTCTTGATAACCCTTGCTGAACTTATGTCCTCATGCGGAAGCTTGTACCAAATCGCTTCGACTTCACCACTCACTCCCTTCTCTTTGCAAAAATCCTCGAAGATTGACCATGTCATCAGATCAGGATCCATCAACATGTCTTTATCCTCAAACCCTCCAATGTAATCGAACGACTGCTCCTTGATTGATACATCTCCTCGGTAGTGAATGTTGAGTTTCAAACACTCGAAATCACTACAAAATAAGAAATTCACTTGTTAATCGTTGTAAACAAAGTAAAACAATATCGATCCAACCCAAACCCAGAAATTTTTTGAAATCGGAGAACCCTAGAAATTCTAATCGACAGAGAAAAAACGCGAATCGACATACCTCATCTCTTCGATATATAATCCACTGACTCAACACAGATGCAACCGATCAAACGCTTACAATCATCGCCTCACTGAATTTCTTAGGAAATGAAACGAAGGAGAGAATCGATAGAGTTAGAGAATTAGGGTTTTTGATTTTTAGGGTTTGTTGAATCGATTTGGGGGAAAGTAATGAGGGCACTGTAGTCTTTTAATTAGGCCAATTAACCACGTTTTCTTAACCAGTAAACCCGGTTTAGGGATTCCGTCAGCCGATTAAACGTCTGTTAAGTCGAAAGACTTAAACGACCATCAGTAATAAGTTTACGATTTAATTGACAACAATTAATTAACAAAGGTATTTTTTGACCAACGAAAAAGAATTGGGCATTAAACTTCCAAATAAAAATTACTTGGGGTTTTTTTTGGGAATTTTCCCGTTTATTTTGTCGAAACTATGAGTATCTCTGATAGGTGAGGCAACACGTCATCATCTCTTGGTTTTGTTTATTTGTTGAAGACATTTTCAACCTTAGAATTAGAAATAAATAAAAATAATTTCAAAAACTTATATTTCTAAAAGTATTTTTGCAAGGCAATCCATAGATGTATGATGGATGATAACTGACGTTAAAAATAGAGGAAGAGATATGACAATAATTATGAAAATGAAAATGGTAATGTGTTTTTTTTGGCGAAATGGAATTATATTGAGCTTGAATAATTCAAATACAATTGTTGTTCAAGCCAAAGTAGCGGATTAGCTTCAATATAAAAACTGGAATTTAAACAATTAAACTTTGTTAGTTTATGAGTCACTTCATTACAACGACATTTCATATAAACAAATCATATTTCTTTAAATTTCTTGGACCAATAGATAATATCTTGGTGCAGATCTTGTATGGAGATGTCTAGGGTAGAACCAATAACCGTAAAATGTGTTTAAAATGGTTATGTTATAGTGATTTGATTGTTAGCATATAAGAGCATGATTATAGGGAGGATGTTAGCTAGATCTTAGCAAAATCTTAGGAATAAAAATGATTACATTTAATCAATTTTCTCCTTTAACAGTTAAGGAACGTTGCTTACTGTTAAAGGAGAAAATTGATTAAGGGGGTGCTATTGGTTTGTGATTGAAATGGAGTTTTGATGACTTTAATAAAATCATAGAAAGTGAAAAAGTGAAAGATTTAGAAGAATTGTTAGAGAGTTTTCAATAGTCTTGTTGATTAGTTTTCTATAATCTTGTAAAGTCTCCCAAACAGGGCCTGATTGGTTCCGGCTGTAGCTGTAGATTTTTGACTGTAGATTTTAGGCTGTAGATGTTTTGGCTGTGACTGTAGATTTTAGTGCTGTAGTATTTTTGCTGTAACATTTAAAATTTTGGAAAATTGAAAATTGTATGCTTTAGAAAAAAAGGCTTTCTACAGCCAAAAAAATTAATTATGGAAATATTTTGGCTGTGAGAAAAAAAAAGGAAAGTTAAAGCTTCTAAAGCTTGATTGGATCTATTTCAATGCTTTAGAATTTTTTTTGCTTTGTAAAGACTCTAAAGCACTTGATAATCAGGCCCACAATCTCAATATTTCAATCATACTTTCCATGACTTTATTTTGTAAAGAAAAGTGTACAAAATCATAAACCAATAACACAATAATTAAAGTCATTAACAATCATAGATTGTTTTGTTTTAGTTGAATAACACAAAATTTTTAATGACTGTATAAAATCTTAATCCAATAACACCATATTCATTAGGATTTTAAATGATTTTTTACAAGTCACAAACTAATAACACCAAATTTTAAGAGAGTTTAACAAAATCTTGATCGAATAACAACAGATTCTACATAACAATTAAAGTCATTAAAACTCTATTTAAATCACAAACCAATAACACCCCCTAAATGTAATCATTTTTATTCCTAAGATTTTGCTAAGATCTAGCTAACATCCCACCTATAATGATGCTCTAAGTCTAAAAGTAGTTTGGTTATTCTCCACTTCCTCTTCGAAATTGTTTCAATTTTGTTGTTATATTAGAAATAATTGTATATTTTGTAAATTCTTTGTGATATAATATATTTGATTTGCTGGAAAAAAAAATTAGTGATTTGAATGTTGTGGGATATATAACTTTTTCCTGTAATATGTTATCTTTACTGGAGAAAATTTATCAAAATTTTGTACGGTTTTTCTCATTTCATTTCATTTTGGTTTCTTGAAGTGATATCCATTGATTCTCTATGATTTAGCTCACGTTTTTAATGACTCTTTGTTGTAATTTTTTAAAATCTTGCAAGGTTTATAGGTTTCATTACCGATTAACAACCATGAGATGATATAGTGACTAGAAGCATTTCAAGAAACCTTTTTTCTTTGGCTTATTGATTTATAGAAAAACATTGGAATACGAAAATGAATCTTATGGTGAGTTGGGACAAGTTAATAGCCTCTCACTGTATTTGCAGGTTTTAGATAGTAACTTTATGGAAACTAAAGGTGTTAAAAGTTTTGTTAGGAGAAAAGAAAACGTTCCATTTTTCAGGGTTTTGCAGAGGTTTATGGTGAATCTTTGATACAATCTACATTCTACTAAGACTGATCTACTTTGAATCGTTTTGAATGTTAAGAGAGCTTAAATTGGGTTTTGGATGGTTTTGTGCCCGGCTCATAGAGATTCCTAGATCACTTCTCTGAGACAAGAGGATGCATATTCTAATCCTTGTTCTAATGCTTTTAAGGGATAGTAAAGAAGACGAATCGAGTCTTGAATATAGCGGAATTGTTAAAGATCATCAATAGAGGGATGTTATAGGAGAATGTGAAGAGAAAGACTTGACAAAAGCGAGAAGAAAGTAAGATTAAGTTTACCAAAATATATACTCAACAAGATTAAGCGTGATAGCCTCATAGAGAGTTTATTGTGTCTGGACTCGCAGCTAAGTCAAGTTGTCTTTGGAGACAGTGGATGAACCGAGGTTCAAGACCGGTGGATAATTGATCAAAATCGAGTTTCTGAATTTGGTTTTGGTTCTTGTTTTATTGATAGTTGATGTGGTGAACCCATTCAATGCAGGAGAAAATAAGCTCTTCTTGTTGCCCCAAATCAGAAAGCCACCACTAGACATGGCTTAGAATTAGATCACATTTTTAGTATCTTCATATAGAGGACCTGAGTTCATGATTTAACAAAATTAACCAAAATGAATAACACAAACACGCTGCAAGATGGAAGAGAAATGCAAAAGATAGAAGCTTGGAATTTGATCTAAATCAAAACCCAAAATAAAATAAAAAAATCCAATAAGTAATACAATAAGAAAAATAATAACATAATCCAAGTTAACAAATTTGTCCAAAAAAAAAAAATTCAGTTGAACAACACAACACACTGCAGAAAGACAAAGAAATAATACAATCCTTTGTCCAAAAAAAAAAAAAATACAATCCAAATGAACAACAAAACACACACTAGAAGAATAAAGATAAAGCAATAGAAGAAGAAAAACCGTATGTGGATTCTGACTTTAGACAGTGAGGATATCCAATCCTGAGTAATGGATCTTTTAGACCCCATGAAACGGCCGCTAAAGAAGAAGAAGAAGAAACGAAGTTAGAGACACTTGTGGAACCCTTTGAAATTGAGAGGCACAACATATTATTTGATCCAATTTTGGAGATGGATCATATCTCATGCTAAGTTGAGAAAAAAGAAAACACTAGTAAGAAATAAAAATAACTCAAGCAGAAGAGATTAAAAGAAATGATTACCCAAGAATCGATTGAATCGATTGAAGGCAAGAATCGATTTTTGGTATCTTCATCCTCCCATTCAAGCTCATTTCCCTGTTCTCGAGGATACATAAGTATTCTAAATTCCTCAAATCGTGGGACACTTGTAGCATTTAAGGGAAGCTTTCTCAGCTTTGGACAGTCTCTAACTTCTATGAGCCACAAAAGTGAAAAGGGGAGAGGACTCCAGTAGATACTCTCCAGCTTCGGCAGTTTTTCCACAATTAAGATTTCTAGTTTCTGAAATGGGGTAATACCTGTAAGATTGGTTGCTTTCTCTTTGTTTATAATTTCTTCCACTTCTCTTGAATTTGAAATGCGTAGGAAGACAAGATTTGGAGCAAACAGAAGCCAAGTCAGATCCTTAATGCTATGGCATGACCCTAAATACACGGTGGAGAGGTTGGTAAAGCGTGGAATTTTCGGATTGTGTAAATCAGACGAGTCTGTCTTGTTTTCTATGCACATCAGATTTGTATTAATCTCTGAAACATGACTATTCTCTACCCAGAGCTCACGAAGATTCTCCATACTCGTCAGCAATGATATATTGAATGCCTTTTGTTGAAAATCTCTAATCTCCAGTTCAGTGATGCAGTTCGCTAACCTTTTATCATCTAATATTTGCTCCAGCCCCATTTCCGTAGATATCGTTGTGGTTAGAACTTGTAGATGCTCCAAGAGCTGCAGCTCCTTCACTAAGCTTACATCGGCATGAACATTAGAATCTCTTAGATTCAAAATTCTTAAACTCGACAACTTTGATATCGCACCCACACTACGGAGTCTCTTTGTAAAAATCAAATTCAGCTGAGTTAAATTTTTCAACTCATGGAAACCAACAGGCAGTTGCTCTATATTTGTACCCGACAAGTCAAGATACTGCAAGGAGGCCAGCTCTGATATCTGCTCTGGAAGTTCACTGAAGTTTCCATTCCATGACAGATCCAAAACAACTAGCTTTTGCATACACCGAATGAATTCACCTGATAGATTCATCAATTGATTTTGTTGAAGGAACAAAGTTGTAAGTTCAGAACACTTGGAACCACATGTTATCTCTTCAATATAATTATACATTAATGACATTCTTCTCACAGCTCCCCAATCCTTGACTTCTGGTATTTCATGTAATCTGACTCCTGCTCGCACAACAAAATTCTCCTTCTGTTTCCCAAAATCGGATGCAATCCATAGAGCCATTTCGCGAACCACGTCATGCATCACAACAGATGTTTTATCAACCTCCGTCAGTAAATTTGCACGGATAAGGGTACCAAACATCGTATAACCCTTATT